TTTTTTTTTTTTTTTTTGTTTTTTTTTTTTTTTTTTTTTCTTCTCTGTTATTGAGTTATTCTTTGGCTAAGTAGCATGGTTATTCGAATATTTACTTGTATTTTCAAGGGACTGAAATTATACCGTTGCGCACCGCGCTCCGGCAATAGTTATTGCCAGCATCCTATATTAGACAATAAAGAATAGCTGTGCTCGATAGGGTAGACTGGAACTTCTCGGGCGGAAATGTATATTGTTGGAAGTGACTCTCGGGGTCATGTGCAGTCGTACATACATCACAGCACACATGAGCTGAGAAGTTGTCTTCAGATGACGGACCTCCCGCAAACGAAGCTGCGCCACAGCAAGTACTACAAGATAATTATCCCGCAGATTATACCCAGGAAGGAGTGGCGCCATAACTCGTCTGCTACCGAACGAATTTTTGACATCCGAATGTCGCATTATGGTGACACCAGCCTAAGTATACGGGGGCTCTGAACCCGGTGAAACAGCATTGGTCCGGCGCACACAGATGATCAAGTATCCCATGCTAATGCCTCTGTCCGTCGAAGTCACCAGCTCAGTGTGGGGTTTGATCAGCTCATTGGGAATAGGCAGACGACAGTCGGCGGTAGTCTTGAGGAGAGCTTGACAATCGCTTTCTTCGCCTGCAGTGTATGTGGTCGATTGCTCAGTTTGCTATACCCACCACATTACTATCACAACATCGCAAGAAGATGAAGCTCAGTAGAAATGCCTCCTAAAGGGCCGGAAGAGGTTTTTGAGGGCCCTGGTTCAACCCTCAAGGAGAGGATATCAGTTAGGCTGGTTTAGGACACTTACGTTTACCACTCGCCACCGAAACCCCAGCCTTATTGACTTGAAGTTGAGCTTGCTCTCCTGGCTGGGTAGCTGACAGATGTTCAGCAATCTTCCAACATGACCGTGAAGCTTGACTCAAGCGACCTCCAGGGCATGGAAGAGCGACAGAAAAGTAATCACTGTGATGTGTAATGATGAGACATTGTGGTTTAACAAGATACGGATATTCTAAAACTCCTGCTAGAAGCAAAGAGATTCTGCCGGTATCTAAACCCTTTAATGACAATGAGTCTCCTGAGTACCACCGCATCCTCCGAGCGCAGGTTGACGATGAGCATGTAACCAGATTGCACTATGTTGCATCCAGTCCAGCACTTCTGTAGAACGCCCTTTCGGCCTTGAACTACCATATGAGCCCTTGCAGCTCCTTCTACGGCTAGCACAGGGTTTCACCAAGTGACCAGGGCGGCTCGTTTCCACCCAGACCTAGCCCATGTAGCGAATAAAAGTAGCACCGTCACAGTGTCACATGTCCTATAACCAATATCAGCTTAGCACGTCCTATTTGTCAGTCTATCGGAACACATGAATTTGTTCGGCGTATCCTGGGTGGCATCCTGAGCATCTTTTCTTTAGTCAAGACATGTTAAAATATAATGGAAGCAGCAGCACGAGCTGACATAGTGGATCTTCTGGGCAAGATAGTGATGGGTTAATATAACCTTGGACCCGGGTCTCACAATGTACACCCAGAAAGCACATGGCGCCGTTCTCTCGTCCATTGCCAGGGTTCTGTAGTGTTCTCGTGGCTCAAAAAGTGCTCCATCAGACACACTCTCTGCCTGTCACTGTCTTCGTTTCCTCGAGCTCATGAACTGAGTACAAGACGCAGACCGAGGGTATTTGACCGGATATGCCGGGGTTCGTTCTCAAGGCGACTGGATATGTGGAGCTCAACATCTGCTCTCCATCACGCCACAAATTTCTCAAAATAGGCTGATGAAGCCCATGTGCCGGCCATAAGACGGTTTATATACCTCGGCGTAATGGACCCGAACAGACTTTGAGGACTTTACACAGTTTCTATCCGATGAGGTGAGCAATATAATCCTACGAACTCCTTCTGCCCCACAGGGCAAGTGGGTCGCGTTCTCGTCGTCGCTTACAATTCGGAAAAGCAATCTCCGCGGTACACAAGTGAACCCATTGTTAACCAAAAAAAAATAAAAATAAAACAATAAAACAACAGAGCTTCAATGGTCTCAGCATGGTCCTTTGAGGGAGTCTTATGGGTGCACTGTGCCATACATGAGCCGTATAAGCAGAATTACCGGGGTGTTTAAGAGACATCATTTCATGTCAATGACCGCGTACGAAGAGGATGTTTGTCATATTCCTCGAATCATTCGAGAATGTGTCATCGACTCATCCCTGGAAAAAGACTAGTTAGCCATTTTCTAGCGGTCCATTCTTTCCCTCTTTTCTTCTTTTTTTTCTCTTTTTCCCCTCCGGCTTTCTCCTTTCTACGACATGCTACGACAGTACTCCGTACACTTGAGAGGTATCCACTCATATTGTGCTATAACCAATAATAGTATCTCTGCTCAAACTGCGGCGTAGCCATATGCGACACTACAAGTAGGGCAAATGGGAATCCAATTTACCTCGTCGCTAATACTACTGATATTAATACGAACGAGTTTGCCACAAGTTGACTTTCGGCCCTGCACTGTTGAAGTTACTCTAGGCGAGACATTCTTCCTGCATGACCCCTAAATACCACCCCCTAACATTTGCTTATGATATTGTTAATAATGTCAAGATCCTCCTAAAGTCTATCTCGATATTGCCCTTACTCAATCTGTTCTAGTCGAGTGGATCTCAGTAGGAGGCCTACCGGACAGTGCGAAGTGGGTCAAACGATGCCTGATAGTAATCAGATGGGAGATTTTCGAGGGACACCGGTATGTGAATGTTGGTTGACATGTACGTAGACGCATATGGAAGTTTGGTACGGAGTACTCCACCGATGAGACGCTCCTAGAAAAGCACAGAGACATAAACAGAATCTGATAACGTCCAGGTTCTGTTCAATTGATGGAGTCGGCAGCGCGGCAGTAAAAAGAGCCGATTTGATTTGTTTGACTTTTTCCCAGGCCCACTCGCCAAGGACGCCCAAAGAGGCTTAGGGCCATAATCTACAGTATGGGCAGCAACCTGGTGGCATGATCCTATGCGCCTCTGTTCTGCTCATCCCTGACCCTGAAGCGGATACAGCGCCCACAATCCTCGGGAGTCGACTCTGCTGTCATGCAAATAAGCTGGCAAACAATAGGGATCAGCATGGGGCTCCGGTGTCTAGAATCTCTCCGTGTGAGACCATGGTAGTATGACTATGGTGCCACTGGTCCGGAGAATTCTGACTCGAGTCGTGGACACATTGCGGTCAGGACTCAGCTGTGCCTCCCACCGATCTACACGTTCATGGAGCTTCTCCACTCGCACGATCCGAACGTGCCAAGGGTTATCTGACAGTTCATAGGGAGAGCAGCACAGACGTAACCGAGATAGTAACATGCACAAAAAGGGCGTCAACGAATCACAACGCAATCAACCAGCATGATGGCGGAATATCCGAGTGGCTGAGTTAAGTGATTTAGGCTACGGTACCGAGGAATGATACTCCGAGATACCTCATACGTCCTCCGTACGGAGTACTAATCGCGTCAAACCCTAGCAGAGTCATTAGTGGGTCCACTGTCTGGAGCCTGCCTTCTCGGTGTGCGTATCCTATCATCTCAACTCTCCAGGGATCGGGCGTAGCTGAACTCTGGAGTCTGGCCCAGCTCCGTGGGATTCCAAGGTGGGGGCGGCCATTTGTCTACTTAATATATTTTAATCTATCGTTCCACCAAACGGCAGGTCATTGGCGCTGTGCCACCTCGGATCGTGTTCGGTATCGCACCAGTGGTGCTGACCATGCAGGTACATCCGCTTGGAACCTAACGCCCTCTACGTATAAGATCCTAGATCGGAGAAAATCTTTCTGCGGGGTCTCCCTACGCGTGCTCGCTTGCACTTTAGGCTGGCGTACTCGTCGGGTCATAATTGTGGACCGCACTGTCAAAGGCCGGGAGAGACCCTGTGTGCGCGGATTTATTCGAAAACTCTTGCAAGCCATATGAAGCTTGTTTCATAAACAGCATGGATGTCGAAGGAGCTGTCAGTTAAATGGCCCGTCTGCCAAAGTCAGATTAGCCCCTGGTCAACTTCACTTGGCGCACTCCGCAGGAGACGGAAAGACCCGGTTACTGACCTAAAATCCTTCAAAAGATCACATGGGTCTAATAAATATAAGCTCTGTCTCCAGCAGGGAGACCATACAAGTAACATATGTGTCCCCTGTTACTGTCTCTCTCAATACCCCCTTAGGATTGTGTATAAACTGCTCTCGACGGACGCATACCATACATTTCACGGATAAAACCCTTAGTGCACAACGGCTTCTAACCAGTCTACTTTAAACAATACATCTCACATCGATCTAAACATGGATCCGGTTGCCCCTGTGCAGGAAGATATCAGGAGGGTCGGGCGGAAGGAGCTATACACGGATTTTGGAAAACGCATGGAGTATATAAAGACGTTCCTGGATTTCACAGACGGTACGTTTGGGCAAGCAGCTGCTTTCTATCTTACCAGCAAACACAGACGGCTTATCATTACACACAGACGACGTCGTAATATTTAATAAAGGCTCAAAATACCTGAAAACAGTTATTCCGGAGCTCACCCATCGTCTCTATGAGAAGATGCTGGAATTCGATATCACAGCCCGTGCGCTCCGCACTCGAAGTACTACGTCCGAAGCACAAATCGAGGACTTGTTCACAATCGACAGTCCTCAAGTGCAACGGAGAAAGATTTTCTGGAAATGGTATCTGACCAGATTATGCTCAGACCCCGGCCAGCCTTCGTACTGGGAGTATCTACGAAAAGTTGGGTGAGTTGTTTTCGAACGACCTTTCTAGCCAACAACCCACTAAACCGGTCGAAAATAGGGAAATGCACACAGGAAAAGTCTTGATGCATCCATTAACAATAGAGTACATCCATATGAATGCTTGTCTTGGCTACGTGAAACAGCTACTGTTTGAAACAATCTCACTGCATCCAGAGATGACAGTCAAGTTCAAGTTCGCTCTAATCAGATCTATGAGCAAGGTCTTCTGCATCCAAAACGATCTAATCTCCAAGTGCTACATAAATGAAGGCCAGGAGTTCGCAGACGAAGCATTAAACACGACCAATACAGACAATGCACCAGCCAAAGGCAACGCGGACAATGCATCAACCACCACAGGCACCACAGATAATGCGTCAATCGCTACGGGCACCACGGATAATGCGTCAATCGCTACGGGCACCACGGATAATGCATCAATCGCCACGGGCATCACGGACACAGCCTCGACCACAACCACAACCACAGACACAGCCTCAATCACCAACAGCGAGGTATCCTCAATGCCCCAGGACAGACAAAGCCACCCCCATTGCCTAATCCCCGGATTCAACACCTCGAGACCCAACTCAGCAGGGGATACACAGAGCTCAATCTCGCGAGACAGAAACGGAAGCGTCGATCTGGACCGAGTGATCTCGACAGCCGAAACGGCAGTGTCCTCTGACCGCCCATCCACCTCCAGCAGTCATCTAGTCACTCCCAGCGTTGTTCCAAATCCATCAGCATTCGCGTCACCATTTGCGGTCGGGCATATACATAACTTCGAGACGAAAATATGGTCTTCTGGGATGAAACAGAAAGGGTCCGGGTACAAGTAAAGTTACCAAGCTGAACATCTTGATTACATCCCGAAAATCCTTCGGGATACCGAATGATACGAGCGTGGATCTGCGAATTCAAATCCTGAGACCCAAAAGCAGTTACCGGATGATGATTTCAATGAGTGTCTTGAAAGTGCATCGATAGGCTCGTTTTGGAGTTTGTGTTTGGCCATTATCTTATCACCCATGTTGGTTGTTGCATATTTCCCTGTTAGCACTGTTTTTTAGTTATATACCTCTGTTCGTGTTCTCTCTTTGGTTTAAAACAGGCCCTCTCTACCCCATATGTTTCTTATTGTTTTAGCGAGAAAAAAGCTAGGTCCTATTGCTTACTTGAGTTCTGTTTGAATCTTTTATATACCCCACATCTAGCGCGTACTTACCGTAGCAATGGACTCCCCTTAGTACAACATTTATGGTATGCTTCCACATGGCATGATTCTATGTTTTAAAAGACCAAATACAATGCCTACAGTTACGTGGAGAAGGAACATCTAAAGATATGTGAGAGGAATCAATTTTGTTCTTCCAATGTGAGTAGCGCCATGGATATGGCGGAGGTATAATGCTCTATTCTCAACAGGTATCACGTGAATCATATGTGTACATGTTAGTTCTATTCATTTATTTATACTTGGCCATAAATTCGGAGTGGAACTTGACGATCCGATCAGCCCAGTCAGTACCAGGGGCCAGGAAAGTTGTGCGGAAGTGCAGAGTGTTCTCCTTCTGGCCGAAGCCGGAGCCGGGGACAACACAGACACCGGTAGCGTCGAGAAGACGCAGGCAGTAGAACTCGTCGGCGGCACGGCCTTCGGCCTTGGCAGCCTCAATGGCCTTGGGCGGGAGGGTGATGGTGGGGAAGAGATACATGGCACCCTAGATATGAGCCACGTTAGTTATGTTCATAGGGTGGAGTATCGTGAATAACATACCTGAGGTTCCTGGCACTCGACGCCCTCCATCTGTTGGAAGGCCTTGTACAAAGCAAGGGCGCGCTTGTGTAGTCCCTCGCGGATTCCATTGTACTCCTTCTGGTACAGCTCATAGCTGCCCTCGCCCTCCTTGGGTGGGTTCACCATGAGCTCAAGCAGACATTGTCCAATGACTGGTGGGCAAAGTCCAATGCTCACAAGCTTGTAGATCTGAGCCTGGACCTCAGGGTCAAATCCAACCAACTCAAAGTAGCCACCACGCTGGCCACACTCGCCCACCATGCCCTTGGACACACTGTGAAGAGAGACCAACTCCACATAGTCATACTTGCCCGGTGTCTCCTGTTGCAGCTGACGAAGCCTCTTCTTGAACGAGACGAACTCGCCCTGGAAGACGTTCGTCTGGTAGACCTCGTCCGCGATAACCACAAGCTTCTCCTCCGCAGCAAGGTCAAGAACATTCTTGATATCCTGGGGGCTCAAAGAGGCACCAGTAGGATTACCAGGGTTGATGACTACAATCGAACGAACGTCAGTGCCGGCAGACCGGGCCTGCGCCAACGAGCTACGAATGGCAGCCACATCGGTACCCCAAGCCTTTTGCTCTTCGAGGAGGTAGGGTACACATTGCGCGTTCAGGAGAGAAAGGGTGGCAGTATAAAGAGGGTATTGCGGAATAGGGACGAGGACACCAGCCTGGGGGCTGTTGCAAATAACGTTGAGGATGGTGCTGACGCCAGACGAGGCACCAGCGCAGCAGAACAGATCCTGAGGATTGGCCGGGAATCCATCACGCTCCTCAATGAACTTAGCGACACTCTGGCGGATCACGGGCGCTCCCTGGCTGTGACTGTAAGCACCAACGCTTTGGACATCTGCCAGGAGCCTCTTCGCCCGGTCAACGACATCTTGTTCATAACCAAAGGATGTGCGAAGTGCTTCCACGTTGTTCAACAGATGGGGGTTCTCGAGGAGACTAAGTACTTGGCGGAAGAAGGTGATGGGTTTTTGGTCGAGCTGTTGGGGATTGCCAATGTTGGCAAAGATGACACTGTCGAAAGGCAATGATTTGTCTCCATTGGCCAGTTTCACACGGTACTCCTCGGCCTTGACGGCAAGCTCACCACGGACGGCATACTTGGCCTCCTTGACGTGGGGGTTGATGTTATCAGGGTTCAGGCAACGACCTGGGGTGGACAAGGTGCGCGTAGTGCTGTAGGACACTGTAGTCTGAGTCGTCATCGCGGAATCTGAGGGTATTCGTAAAGGGTCAGTTGTCTTGTTGGATTGAGTCGAGCGCTCGCCCGGATGGAGCATCCATTGGACATTTATATGGCGACCCCTATGAGGGGAAGGAATGACCATGCATGTGACGAGGTGAGGGGAGTCCTTTGCTTCTGAGCGGGTGACAGTTCAAAAATACAGGCAGGAAAGTAACTAAACCGATGTGGCATCCAATGAACAGGTGCAGAAAGGATCGACCCCGTGGGACCGAGCGATAGATTTCCGAAACACATACCTGAAGAAGGCCTGAAAGCCCCGGCGGGGAACCTTGTGCTACAGCCGTAAGACGCCCGCGGAATATGCCACGGGCCATTCGGCCGGGAAAGTGAGCATCGTAGCGGAGATGCCCGCACGAGTCTTAGCTGCCAGGTCATAATGGTCTTGAGGCAATTTTGTCCCGACGTGATCAATTGCGCGAATTTTGTCTCTCGACCGTGGGGATTCACGGGTCACTCAAGGCGCAATTAGTCAAAGATACCACTTAAGGTCTTGTCCAGCGTTGTAGAGGCCAGAGAGGGTCCAACGGCTTACACAGTGCAGGGGGAAAAAAGAATTCCCAGGGAAATCGGCTATCGCGCGAGAAATTCTGTAGGCGGTGAGTGCCGATCCGCCGCTGACTCATCCATGGAATACGAACTCAATACAACGGTACAAGGCATGGTGGGGTGGATGAGAGTAAGAATGGGGGTTCACTAGTGGAGAGAGACATTGGCATTGTCAATCATAACTGTATGGCTTGATATGGTTTGTCAGTCAACCCACAGTGGAAGAGAAATATACTCTATAGGAACCAAACTATCGGCATGGATATCGGAGTACTGCCCCGTACCTGAAATGCTACCCCACGGGTACTCCGTACTCCGTTGACCCTACCGGTGGTTCCCGTAACCGGGGAAGGACGGAATCTGGCCAGATTCGAATCTCTCTTAATCACCGATTCACGGGCTGATCTTCCGATTTTCCCTTCAGTATACATACACATGCCGGGTATGATAAAGCGCAACTGTGGACATAAAGCTTATTCCGCATTGGCTCTGTTCTCAACAGATCTGGAAAACAATGGCCGTCTGGAGCGCCAAAAGAAATCCTGGAAACTGACGCATTTGATGCCAAGTCTTCCCAAATCTACGTACGCAGCGCTTAAACTCGGTCAGCCCACATACCGTGGAGGTTTCCTAATTGCATGATATCCGATTACGACGTTTCGAGGTCAGAGTTGTCTTCGTTCATTAGACGTATGATACAGCAGCCTCGCTTGCTTTTGCTCTAACAGTAATCATGAGGACAATATTTATTAAATGACTCAAACCATCATAATCCTGAGGGATCCTTTGAAACGTTCATGGGTCACAGGACAATCCAGAATCAGGCCATTCCCTAAGAGTCGTCACCATCCACAGCTTTAGCTCCGCTCACTTCCGCGCAGTCGCACAGCCTGGCCATACTTCTGAAGTTTCGTAATCAGAGCATCTCCATGCTTGACGACGTCGGCATACTGTTTGTTCTTGTCATCTGGGCGGTTTGTTTCGATAATGCCATTTACTCGGTCAATAGTGCATGCGATGCGGTTGCTAGCGATGAACTTGGCCAGATCCCTGCAATTGTTAGTCAATATGATTACTATGCTTGTATCTGGCTGACTAGAACTTACCGGTCCAAAAAGTCCACCGTAACTCCAAAATCGCTGGCCATGCTGTTCAATCCTACCACTCGGTAGCTCTGGAGAAGCTGCTGGTAGGCACGGAGTCTCATCTCACGGACAAACCAAGCGCGGTGTTCATACAAGTACCGGTCCTGAGTTAGGAAATTATCTTCGACGGCCGCCAAGGCCACGAAGAACGACCGGTAGTTGCCATTATATAGACTGCTAACTAAATCGGCAAGAGGCGAGAAGTCCACGGGGACTTCAGCCTCAGCTTGGATCCCGGAGCCAGCCCCCAAGGTGGTCAAATTAACGGCGGTCGTAGCAGCACCTGGAGTAGCTTTAGATGTAGAAGCATCCTTCATTTCTTCGTCCTTTGCACCGGGCCCAGACGACACCTCCCCTGTTAAAGCAGCCACCCGATCCTCCCCGGACCCAAGAATAGCCTTGATCTCAGGTGCATCCACAACTTTAGCTTTGAAATCGACACGCTTCAACGACAGCGAACCTGCGAGAACGGAGTAGATGACCAATGCAGAATAGCTGCATAGTTCGTAGCTCGTGAAAGTAGACAGACTGTCAAGAAGTAAGGGAGCAGCGCCGCTGTAGGATCGAATTGTAAGCAGGTGTAGGCCTTTATACGCCTTGAGACGATTCCTCCGATCCCAGTCACCGCCGCTCTCAATAAGCGTGTTTGCCCGTTCAATGTTCTTTCTCACCGACAGGGTGTCGCCAAAGAAGAGTCCAATACGGATCATAGCCAGCACCAAGTCAATCTTGGTTCCTAGGAATGTCGTCTTTTCGAGGAGTGCTTCATGAGATTCGATAGCTTTGTCCTGTCCGACATGAGCGGTGTCAGAAAGTATAAGTGTTGGTATCCAATGTAACATCGCCACTGACCTTATCTCCTACGCGGGCCCAGAATTCAGCACGCTTCCCCCGGGCCGCAAGCACCTCGGTGTCTCCGGCTGCTTCTTCCGCCTCGTCCTCTTCCTTTTGGAAAGCATCCAACTCCTTCTTATTATCCTCGACTAGCGACTGGTATAAGGATTCATCCCATGGAAAGTCGCTCTTTTGGGGTGACTTTCGAGATGCCAGCATATTCGAGGTGATCAGTGACTTGGTTGAGCTGGCCTGGTGCTGGGGAACGCCTTCACCAGAATGGTTGAGGATACCCTCAACAGGGTGGGCAAGATGCCTGTAGAAAGGCGCCATTTTATTCTCGGAGATAGCATCCTGGACTTTTTTCAACGACGTTTGCCGCACTGTCTGCGGACACGATGGGTTGGAAAGGTTGAAGACATGTTGGGCGAGGGTAAGATCGGGGAACTTGATGTACTGCGGGTCAGACCCCATGCTGGCGACGGGCGATGAGAACTCGACGGTAAAAAACGGTTATGTAAAGGCGATATGAAAGAAAGGATGGGTGGTGAAGAGTTGACAGATGCGTTTCCAGTTTGCTTATGAATGAGATACCGGAAGAGGCAGATACATCACATAGCCAACCTACGTAGCTGACCCGAGCTCAGCTGGCGGAATGTTTTTCCGGCCCCGACACTGTTCACACTGTTATCACGTGATCTGGGCCATGCTCTCTGGGCATTATGTATCACTACCAGTAATAAATACCTATTAGCTACATCGGAACAGGAGGGACTTTACTCGCAAAAAAATATGCCAGCACTAGGCATTCACTGTTTATTAATTATTCTATACGAGGAACATTAAAAGTAAAGTGCAAGAAGTCAAGCCCTAACTCGAAGAAGCTCTTGCTATTCTTGCCTAGATAATAGTGCATGTTGACCTCGAATTTGACTTGGGAAATCTGAGCTTCCAAGAGATGAATTCTCATGGGGAGCATCAAGTGCCGTCTTATTGTTCGATTATGGAGGGGGAGTATTATCAGATAGTCTAGCAAACGCTAGTCACTATATCCGAGCCGTGGACGGAGACAATGATGTGGCCTCGCTTGCTACCTTTTCGGTATTCTTTACTCGGGTCTTAAATTAAATGGCCCCATGTCCCTATTTCTTTGTTTCTGGGATCTAAAAAGTTGGAGGGGAGATACTTAGTATACAGTACAGGGGTGTGTACTCAGCTGATCTATCGGTCTTGCTTTGTCCTGGCTTCGATGCAGCAAACAAGGTGGGCAAGACCATACTGTGTAAAAAAAAGAAAAGTGGTAAATCCAGGCACGTGCCATGGGGCCAAAAGAGCGTAGTGTAACATAGTAGCCGTGCCAGGTGAAGGAGAGCACCTTCTTTGTAGGGCTTGGTCCGCCTTTCGATAGGATTCGACTCGAGAAGTGGATCCATTCTAAGAATCAAATAACGAGAATTTCTCCAATAGCATATCAGCTCGAAATCTTAGGAAAGCTTAGTGCATTTCTTGACAGAGTATTCTAACAAGTTCCTCGAGAGATAAGAGCTCCACTCTTTATACACCTGTCCAGTGAGCTGGCGGCATTAATTAATTAAGGTATGTTAGTCCTACTATTGTATGGAGCAGAGGGCCTGGTAACTTGAAGTCGGTGGTGATGTTGGCTACTAAGGAGGCACGAGCCGAGGGCTGTAGGGTGGGAATACCAATGGTACCTAGTAAACCAGTTATAGTTGCATTTACTAAATGAAATGACCTGAGCGTTCACGTTTCGCAGGGTTTCCATCAGGTGCTCTGGTCTTTCTTTCAATTTTTTCTCACTTCTAATCCTTGGTTGTTTTTCTTCCACTTTTCAGCCTTCTATCATCTCTCCAATATTCGTGTAACTCACGGTGATCGCTGACGATTTCTGTGGTGTAACTTATCTCAATATATCTCCTGAATAATCTTGTTTGTTCCCTTGATTCTTAGCTCCGACTTTTCGCAACGTCGAAGACTAGAATATCAGGTGGCTGCAGCGTTCTCATGGATCCACAAAAACACCCCGAAGAACCGCCTGAGAAGGCTATTGCTTCTCCTGGTGCTATCGATGTTGCGCCGTTAGAAAATACTATACAAAAGGGCCGCTGGGAACGTAGTTGGCCTACCATTGCTTGCGGTGCAGGTCTCTTCTCAGATGGTTATCTCAATGGCGTATGTCTGACGCTCCCCGGAATATTTTGTCGGGTATGATTGAGAAACATCATTCTGAACTAAAAATTCAATTAGGTGATCGGATCTGTCAATACAATCCTTGGTAAAATCTACCCGGACTCATACACCAACTCGCCCGCCAGTCAGAACGTTTCTTCCATCACATTTGCAGGCACCGTACTCGGTCAGCTTGTTTTTGGCTATGTCAGCGATCATTGGTCGCGCAAATGGTCCCTGATGATCTCAACGATAATTCTGATTATATTCAGTGCCCTGTGTGCTGGAGCGTACGGATTAAATGGCAGTCAATACGGCTTGTTCGCTGCCTTGACGGCTTATCGTTTCTTCCTGGGAATTGGAATTGGTGGAGAATATCCAGCCGGATCAGTTGCAGCTGCGGAAAATACAGGCGAACTCAAGAAAGGACATCGGAATCGGTGGTTCATCATGTTCACCAACTTTCAAATTGACTTTGCATATGTTGTGTCCGCCTTGGTTCCTATGATTTTGGTCTTGATATGTACCGAGAACCATCTGCGCGCTGTCTGGCGCATAGCCCTAGGATTAGGCGTGATCCCACCCCTTAGTTTGTTTTATCTGCGATTGAAACTGGAAGAGCCAGAGGAGTTCAACAGGGAACGTATGCATAAGTTCCCTGTCTGGCTGATTATCCGGTAAGCCATCACTATTATCTATGTCGGGTGCATGTACTAAAGCGTCCGTTATAGATTTTACTGGAAGCGCCTGGTATGCCCCCAGCGATATCACTTTCACATAAGCGTCATAAACTAACCCCAGACAGACGGTGGTGTCCCTGATATGGTTTATCTACGATTTCTCGGCGTACTCCTTCAACATCTACTCCTCCAAGTGGGTGGGTATCATCCTGGGAGATAGCGCCCCTCTCTGGAAGACCTTCGGCTGGACCACTGTAACCAATGCTTTCTACATTCCGGGCTCCTTCTTGGGTGCTCTTGTGAGTGACTGGATTGGGCCTCGCAACACGTTAGCCATCGGGGTTGGCCTTCAAGGAGTTATCGGTTTCGTTATGTCAGGTTGTTATGAGTATCTCAGTATCCCAAAGAATGTTGCGGGATTTGTCGTAGTATTTGGGTAAGATAACCGGTCATTTGTTATACGCGCATCATTTGCGTCCCCTAACTCATGGCTATAGTATTTTTTCGGCTCTCGGTGAGTTCGGACCAGGAGACAATATCGGGCTTTGTGCTGCAAAGTCCAGCGCGACTGCAATCCGAGGTCAATATTACGCCATAGCTGCGGCTGCTGGCAAGATTGGAGCGTTTGTCGGCACTTATGTCATTCCTATCATCCAGAACAACGCGCCCAACGAGGTCCGTTCCGGTCAGGATCCTTTCTTTGTCTCCAGCTCGTTGTGCCTTTTGAGTGCTGCATTGGCCTACTTTCTGCTGCCACATATTGGACAGGTATGGATAACACCCTCTCATACCACTTCTCCCAATGGAAAGGCGCGACTTATATCGTCGATTAGGACACTATTACCGAAGAGGATGAAAAGTTCCGTGCTTTTCTCGAGGCCAACGGATATGACACCTCGACGATGGGCAACAGAGAAGCACAGTAGCCGACTTTCACCATTTGCATCTCTTCCTGCAAATCCGTATGTTCGCAGCCCGACCCCTACTTATCAAGTGCCAGCTCCCTTGTTATTCCTTGCGACATGTTCCACAAAGAGACGGCCCCTGCAACATCCGTGACCAATAGGCCCCAGAAGCAGTATGTATGACACGACCGGACGAGAATTTCCCTAGCCCATGTTAGGCCATATCAATGCCCTACTGCATCGCGTGACAGTACCCCCCGTGCGACCCGCGACGGAAGATGGTTCGAGTGCCCAGAAGCGAGATATATAGAAGCCCCCATTGCAGCGAAGGCTCGGGTTGATGATATATAACCTTCATTGTCATGCCCTTGATGTATTATAACTGTGACCCATGGTCATCATGGAGAACGTTAATGACGATTACTATATTTTCCTCTGCCAACGCAACACACCCTACCCGCTATTATACTTGTAGTAATTGTGTCTGATCGCTCTTCAAGTATGCATTTATCAAGACAAGCAAGATATGAGAAACTTTTATCCACGAGGGCTGGGGGTTTTGTTTGACCCTGTATCGTGTCACACTTTGATATGGGAGAAAGACAGGCTAAGAAGAGAGGAAGAACGGTGATAAGAGGGAAACAAATGAAAAAGGACAAAGAAAGAAAAGAGAAAGAGAAAAGAGAATCTAGAAAGATCGGTGAGGAGTCTGCTCTAGACTTAATAAATTAGAAATCAGTAAACAGGAAGCAAGAAACCCAGTAGAAGTTCGTAGGAGTTGTCGCCATAGTAGTACTACCTATTGCAGAGATACTACCTAGAAAGGCAATCGAAAGCGGCAAGTAAAGACCGTGAAATCTCCGAGATTGTGACTTTCCTCGTCTGCACGAGCAGCCGAGGTTGAGGGTCAATGCCCGACGCCAGTTCCTCCAGCCGCTTTCCCCGGAGATTCAATTACCGACCACCTTCCATTAAACTCTCCCATATCACGCCAACGCCGCGGCTGCCATCCCTTTTCCTTCTCCTTCTTCTGCATCCTGGCTGTGAAGTGCCGTTTCCTGTCTCTCGACATTTATAAAGCTACCAGCTGGTCTGTGGTTATCGCTGCCGTCATACCCCTCTCTTCCACATCCACAACACACCGGAACACATCTTCCGGCTTTTAACGATACCAAAGACACCATCCGTGCGATCGTTTTAATATATAAAATTCTCTGCCAATATGGTCGCTGACGCTTTGGCTTATCATCCTACCTTGGCGCACTACTTGCGCTTTGTTGCTACGACTGGTATGTGGTGCTCTTCTCCCTCTTCCAAGTTCCTTTGTGCGGTTAGCGACCGAGGCCCATTCATGTCGTTGCTGCGTCTACTCGACCGCCCACCGAATTATGGGAAGCTAGAAAATGAAATCGTCACTGAAAATGTTTTCTTGCGATATATGCATATGAGCTAGTTCTGATGAGCATACAGTGGGTCGTGACAAAATCCTTCGTACGCTGCAATACTTCTCACGCTTTTATGCCTGGTACCTGTATCGCACAAACCGCCCGCAGTCTTCTATCGACCCCTACAATGCAATTAAGAAGCAGTTCGGTACGACAAGAAAGATTCTGAGGATCGGAAAGTTTGCCGAGCACCTCAAGGCAGCAGCTGTCGCTGCAGACAACAAGAGCCCCATCGACCCTGTTCTCCGCTATCTAGCTGTCGGTCGCCAGCTCGGTTACGCCGGATATCTGACTTTGGATACTATCACCGTTGTTGACGTTATCGGCTTCCGGAAACTTGCTGCGGCTAAGCGCCTGCAGGATACCGCCTATCGGTCATGGTTGGCTGGATTAATTTGCAGCGCTATTGCTAGTGCCTACTCCCTTTGGAGACTGCGGGAGAAGGAGAGGACCCTTGACCGCACCGAAGGCGAAGGCGTCGTGGAGGCAAAGAAGCTTGAGAAGTTTGTGCACCTTGAACGTCTTGGCATCCTATATTCAGTAGCTAACCTAGACTTTCCAGGGAACGTTCCGCTGCCCGCACCCAGCTCTTCTCGGACCTATGCGACTTGACCATTCCTGTTTCCGGTCTGGGCCTCGCCAACCTCGACGACGGAATTGTTGGTATCGGAGGTACAGTCAGCAGTTTGCTAGGCGTGGTATCTCAGTGGCGGAAGACCGCATGAGCGGATAAAGTCAGGGGATTTCTGATTGAATTCCATGAGGCTGACAGCATATGGCATTGATCTATCCGTTGATGTCTACGTTGAGGGGGCGTTGTGTATTTCTTACACTTCATCGAACCCCAGCCTCAGAATAAGAGTTATGGTGTATAGGTCTAAGTGGATCAAGATTTAGGCGAACGCTTGTGTGGAAGGATTCGACAAGGGAGACGCGATCTAGTAGTCTTCGGTTTTCATGAACATATTATGTACCTTAAGAGTTTATTATATCTGTTTAACATGGTTTTTTTTTTCAGTAGTTCTTCCTACTGTGAGTAGCATATTTCAATCTTTAGGAAATATGTGTTTATATTTATGAATTCATATAAAATTTTGAATTAATGAATGCACTCGTACATCTTCGCCAATTCTTCTCACTCGCCCTTGTAGCATGTGATCTTTTTTGTTTCACATGAACTTCACATGATTCTGCCAGGAATTGTTGCAGCCTGAAGGTTAAGGCAATGTAGCTGGGTCTCGACGTAGGAACTGAGTTCAGTCACCAAGCAAACAACAGGATAATGCTTATATGGCAAGTAACCGGCAGTTTATAATCCACCTCAATGCTTCAAGTACACAACAGACGTGTTCGAATTCCTAGTCCGCGATAATGCATGCTCAGCAATAATTAGCCGACATGGAGAAAGTGGCTGTTTACAGCACATATTTCTCTGCTTTTATAATAGATGATGTTGATCACAGATACATATGAAGGTCATGAAATGCGACAGGGCGCATTTTCCTAAACAACTTAAAATGCGTACAAGAGCTAATTATCAACAGGGGCATCTGGCATTCCACTGAATCAGATCCTAGGGAGCATTTGACAGTGGATTTCAAGAAACGATGCACAACATGTTACGGCTCATCATGTCTACAGACCAGAGGCAGAAGCCTCTAAGAAATGATGAGAGCGAGTAAGCTTGGTCTAGGATGGCTTATTCTACCACTAGAATAATTTGACAAGAACGGGAGAATTCGCAACCCGATACCTAGGCCAAAAGCCCTGCTAGAGAATTGGATCGAGAGTTTAGCCGGTGATGACAAGGCACAGTTCATAATGTTTTTGAAAGGAATGATGAAAATAGACCCCCACAATCGCCTAACGCCAAAAAAATTACTGGCTGAGCCTTGGCTTCAAGATGGTAGCTGTGGTGATTGGTTAGCAGACTAGAAAAAAAGAGGAAACGGACACGATCCTGAAGGAAATAGTTCAAGATGTGGCCCCTGTACACAGCAACCACACCTACGTTTCTTATTGAACATCATGGTGCTAATATCATTCTACGCACAGTTGCATACTCAACTTGAAGTGTCTCAAAGATATCTGACACATCGATTGATGCGGGTCTTGCATAAGGAAATGGGGATGGCGAGGAACATTTATGATATAGCTAATTCGGCCTAACCTACAGAGTCTACTCCGTACCTAGAATAAGAATATGTGTCGTCCCCTTAGCCGATGCCAGATGATAAAAAGTATAACTCACCATCAATACTTCATACCTCTGATAGACGGATCACCCCTTTTTCAAAGAGCCCGAAACCTCTTGAGCTTCCACTGAGAGCTATCCACAGAGGCCAGCCAATAATTATCCTTTGGTCATTTGACACTCGTTCAATGTCCAGACCGGCTGACCCTCGAATTCCACATAAGAAAACGCCATTTCTAGTCATCAGCCCCATCGATTGGACAGGCGACCTCATGGAAGCGGACATCAATCGAATCCTCATTATTTCGGTTCTGGAGGTAGTCGTTCTGGATCGTCAAGCCCTTGAAGTTTGGGATCCCATTAGGAGGCTCGACTTTAGCAATTTCCAATGTAACGGGGTACCGAGTCCCCATCGTATTCAGTACATTTTCGCTCTGCGACATAGCCTCCAATGCGTGGTCATCATCGCGACGGCCCTTGAAACGGAGATAGTAGTAGTAACTGTAAAATCCAGGATACGTGTTGCCGCCGAGGTTGGTTGCAATCCAACTTCCGCCGTTGGTCACGGTGCTTCCTTTCGGATCCCACAGGTAGAATTTCCCACCGTCTGGCACCCATTGATGTTTGCTTCCGTCTTTCAAGGGAAAGCCTCTGGAATACCACACTTGGAAGATTTTCTTGGAGCCTCCAAACTTGTAGTAGCTGTATACGCCACCGTCCGAGCCCAGAGTGTCACCGCGTCGGTTCTCGATGTAGTAGCAGCTTCCATAGCGCAGGCCCAGTGCGCCCGACAAGGATTCCTCTTTTGAAGAAGGCTGGGTCACTTGGGAGATCAGGTCATTAAGATTGGGCCAGTATGGACTGAGGCTGGCAGGTTCGGGGACACTGATTTGGTCAACCTGCGGGCGATACGGACTGGCGGAGACTTGGCCGGCCAAGTTGGAAGCCAGGAGAGCATTTAAAATGAGGCAAACAGATGTATGCATCTTGAAAAATCAACGGATACGTGGACTAACAGCTCTTAGTCGATTGATCGTAGGCGAGTGGGATGTATACCCTACGGTAAGAATACCAAAAGGACGGATGACTGCGGGCTTAAATATTGCAGACAACAGCATAAACCTCAAGAATTTCTACTCACCAAAGAAACCGAAAACTACAGTTTACCCATGGTAATTGTTCTTGTTGCGATACAGACAGCGAATATCATTGTTGGGTCAACGACGTCATGTGTTTCCCTATAGGGCTCGACTCCTTCCGTCTTCAGCTCAAAGTTATCTCAATCAACTGTTTGCGTATGATTTCTTCGTTAAATAACATCATGATATTGAGATGAGATATACCTGACGTGAACGAAATGTGAGAGGTAAAAATGAGGCTACTACAAAGAGTGTGAAATCGTCATTGAAAACCTTTCTTGCGATATCGACATTCCGCTGGAGTCCAGGCCTCGCCCGGGTCTGGACAGGCTATTGCACAAAAATTTGACGCACTTCCTAGGAAGAGTGGTGTTCCACAGAATTCGCAGCGCGTATGTTCACATCTTGCCTTTCAGTTGTGGCCGAATGCTTAGAGCTGGGATGGGCGCGTATTGCTTCCATAGGAATATGCGGTATTAAAGGGTCGTTATACTACTTTTCTGTTCACTCTAACGACAGTCTCTATTGCGTATATAGTCCCAAATGGCTGGTTCTTTGTGTATTTGTACTGAAAAACCGGACACTAATGGCAAATATGTAAGTTTATCAAATGAAGATATTCATTTTCACCGACTTGGGGGAAATTACAAGTACTAATGGGTTTATTAGGGCTATAGCTTATGGGGTTTATGCCGCCAGGGTAAAGAAGAGATACTCTCTACCTTGTCACCTTGTGGGAATCATTCGTGGTGATATGTCATGCGATTATTGCGATTATAAGTATTATTCCCAAAACATTGATCTTTTGAGAAGATATAAATGCACAGAGCTGTCGTACTCTCAATGCAGTATGCACTAGTCCTAATAAGGTTCAGGTTATGATGAACCTGCGACTGTTATAAATTTTTGTGTCTGTAGTAACTGGCTATATATCCACATTAACCTTGCTGTCTAATAGCCCAGTAACAAGAGATAGGCTAGTTGACCCAACCAATATTCTTTGACAGTGGTATGTAGAGCTACCTTCGACAGTGCGAGCGTTACAGAGCCATCCTGTACTGACCTTCGCGATCGCTTGTCCAATGGCTTGATATCTCCAGTGAAAGATATAGGACGGAGCAGTTCCAGTCCCGCCCTTGCTAGTGGCATAGAGAAGAGAGCGCCTCCAAGGGAATAGTTGATCCACGATCGGATGCACACAGCAAAGCCACGGCATGACACCAGAGCATATGCCTGTGAATGGCACCATGCCACCGGTTACGATCGTTGCCCGTGCCAGGCCTATCGTATGGAATTTACTGGGGCGAATGCTACAGGCAGTAGATAATGTAGTGCGTTTCATTCGATGCGCGAGTCATCATTTGGCGCTCCATGACCGTCAAATGCACATATGTAGATCACTCTACCGAGATATGCAGGCTAGCCCTAAGTATTCGTATGAACCTAATTTACTGCCTTCCATCTTGAGTGGGAAAACTGCTTGAATCAACTTATCAACATGATTGCAGAAGAAGGAAATCTCTAGAGATAAATCACAACATCACTCATCGATGTGCTATTTCTCTTCTTTCTCCGACCGTTTCTATCTGGCTCCTAAGGTAGCAACAGCGTGTAGAAGCCCCTCCCTCTATTTTACACACATATAAATAGCCATTTCAACATCGGAGCAAGGCAATGCAAGATCCAATCTATATTCAACCCATCTTATAACTGGTTGAATATCCAGATAAGGAGTAATATCTTCCAATTATACGCGACATCTATTGTTTTGTTGTGCTGCAATGTGATACATCCAAGGTGGCTGGGTGGCTAATCCCAAATTTGTGTCCGCCTATTGCAGCAATATTGAAACATGTCTGGTATGGCGCTATCGGTGTAACACCATTGGACAATCCCCTGACTCTAGACGGTGAGCTCTTTACCCCTGTTGCCGATCACAAGTCAGATCACGTCGATCACTATCAATATGTCTAGCCAAGCTTTCTCGCGCCGCGATGCCCCCCTGCAAGGGTGCGTGTAACAGGTCCACTCGGGTACGCAAGCCCCTGAGTTGTATGTTTCGAGACACTTGCAGAAGGATGAATGGCGGCTAGAACAGATAACACAATACGCGCGGGTGATTGTTGATCATTCTTGATCTAACTTTATATCGTACCCCGAAGATGGAAGCGCTTCCACAAAACTGTTGGTTTTTCCTTTCACGTAAAAGGAAATACAGTCGTGATCAACCTACGTGCTTAGTGACATTCATTATCAACCTGAGTCAATGAAAGCTCCCAGCAGGCTAGGGATCTCCAGGGGTGTCCTACGCTCAACTCAAGAGCCTTACGAATTATACCTTGGCCGCAACTGTCAATTGAGACAACTCATATCATTGCTTGGGTTGGAACAGAATGTTACACCCAATCCTTGATGTTAGCAATTTTAACATTGTACTTACCGTCTTGAGTATGTCCATAATGTTTTGAGAGAGGTAGCTTGATAAAAGACAGCTCACATTCTACTAAGGTCTCTATATCCTTCTTTACGGCTATATATCTCTGCAATTCAAGCAAAGATGGTATCTAGGTGAAGCTCGTATGTAGCACTACTCCTATAGTATCGGCGATAGCTAATCTTGCGCAGTGCCTGCATTTCTTGTCGGCATCTCTTTTGGACCTTTTGGCGCCAAGTTTCTAAATATCTCACAATGGGGAGGAGAGGAAGCTGAAGAGCGCAGCGAAATCACCTATGTAGAGTCTACCTTGTAGCGTTATGAAGAATATGACTGATAAAAACAGGCATTGACACGCTTGGTTATCGGGATCCAATTGGTTAAAGTCGGATACCAATTGCCAAAGCGATACATAAAGCAGCGCTCCATCGAACTTATCATCTGTCTACTTCCCCTCATGGGAATAGGGTGGGTTATAACATCTTCATGCATTATGCTCATGGTTCCTAACCTCTCATTTGTAAGTGCCGTCGCTGTCAACGCCCTTTTCACGTTATAAACGCCAGTACTGATAAACAATGCTCTGATACAGGTTGCTGCGCTGATCATCGGCTCATGCGTGACATGCACTGATCCCGTTTTATCACAAGCAATTGCCAAGGGTCCGTTTGCTGACAAGTACGTCCGCCGGAATCTCCGTGAATTCATTTCTTCCGAGGCGGGTGGAAATGACGGGCTTGGGTTTACCTTTCTATTGCTGGCCGTCTCGCTCCTGCGGTACGCTGAGACTCCTACAAATACCGAAAGTTTAGACGAATTTGATCTGGTTCGGGGAATCCCGGACGTACTTAGCACCTCTGATGTCGGTCGCTTCGGCGGAGGTGTCGGTAAAGCTTTGAAGCATTGGTTTGTAGAAGGCGTCTTATACATGATCGTCGTAGGAGCTACGTATGGTGCTCTGATAGGGTTTGTATCTCGCAAACTATTGGTCCTAGCCCTGAAGAGGTATGTGAGCTTTGGTGATTGTAGGGAAATTTTGCTGACTTTCACACTAGGAAATGGATTGAGAACGAAAGCCTCTCCCTTGTACCGACGGCTATTGGGGTGAGTTCTATCTAGGTGACCGCAAACCAGGCCTAACTTTCTGTAGATGTTAGTCGTCGGCACATGCGGTTGCGTCGGCTCAGACGAGACCCTCGCATGCTTCATGGCCGGGTGTTTCTTGAATTGGGATGGCTTGTACAATTCCGAGATGCAGGCTCGTCATGACACTTTTAACCCTACACTCGAAACCCTCCTAAACTTCGGCACCTTCATGTACCTCGGTGCCGTTATGCCATGGGAACAATTTCATATGCCCCACGACACTGGAATCACACTCCCGCGCCTACTTGGGTTGGGCTGTTTGATTCTACTTCTTCGTCGAATCCCAGCAATCCTACTTGGATACCGCTTCATGCCGGCCGTCTGTAATGACTGGGCTGAAGCTTTGTTCATGGGTTACTTTGGCCCGATAGGTTAGTATTTCCCTGTTTTTGCCTCCAGTGCAGATCCTAGAAACTAACCATTCTTTTAATCACAAGGTATTGGCGCAATCTCATATGTCGAATATGCACGTCGACTCTTTCCCGAGCCCGGCGAAAGCGACAATGAGATCAATAACTTAACCGCAGCCATGACTCCCAGTGAGTAAATCGAACTCTGTGAGAGTGAAAAACAGCCGCTGATCAAGAAGCAAGTCGTATACTGGCTCGTCTTCTTCTCGATCCTCGTTCACGGTTTATCCGTCCCTATCCTTAACACATGCTACAAACTCTGCAACGTGCCATACATCTGCGACCACCCCGTGGAAGTCCTCCTTCTCTCGAACAACGAGCCCCTCCCCAACAACAGCACGGCAAATCGCGGACGACACTCAGTGATGGTCAACAACCGCTTCTCACGACCTCCAGATAGTGACAACGAGACGGACGATGGTCAAGCAGAAGACACAGCAGCGATACTGAGAAGAAGCGAAGACAGCGGCGGCATAAACGATGGCCGACTAGAATCACGGAACTCAATACAAATGATACACCGGGCAGTCGACACAAGAGATATGGTGTAGAATAGCATTGCATAGCATGGCATAGCACAACACAGTCTACGCAAAAATTGGCCTACGCACGATCATTCAAAACAGTGCGTTGAAACTAAACCCACAATATCATTCACTCATCAACGCATTTGTATATCATCATCGTATCATCAGGTATTCCCTAATCCATCCCAGCAAACCGAACTCCACCAACAACACTCCACCTCATAACACCCGAAATAACACCCTTAAACAGGGCAAGTCTAAACACCACCACCTATCAGCATCTACCTCACACCCCAACCCCAAGCACAGGAAACAACCATACCTTTCCACAAGAGCTGCAAGTCTTGGTCTCATCAGGGATGGGAGCGTTGCAGGAGGGGCAAGCAGAGTGGGCCATTTTGTTTATAGATCGAAGCAACTCGAGAAGATAGAGAACTACAGCACGGATCTCACATTAGCGTCTCTCTCCCCAAACAAAAGCCCATTAATTAACACAACCCAGAAGTATGATAAGTCTTACCGAGCTAGGTTGCTGTTGGGGACCTTGAGTGAAAAATAAAATCAGGGAATGAGTACTAGTAGTAGAGTGAAGAAAGTGAGAAAAGTGAGTAATGAGAAATAGACGAGTGGTGATTTGAACCTGAATTACCCCGCCGTGCGTTGGGTTGTGCTTTTTTTTGCCCCGCTTTTGGGTGGTGTGAGCCTATCACGAGATTGACAACACATAGACTCCGTTATTATTTGTTGGGATTAGGTGTGAACCTTTGGAGGGGTATCTGGGATCTGGGAGATTGGTTTAATCTCCTGGGTGGCTTTTGTTGTAGAGGGTTCTTGGTGTTTTGTGGTGATTTGGATGTAGTAGCTGAGTTGACCCGATATATAATTTCATAGTGGTGTTAGAGGGTTCCTTGTCATGTCGCTTCATTAAACAGAGGATTCTTGTATTTCTAAAAGCGAAAATAATTAATTAAATAATCAATAGTATTGTACCCTATATTACTAAGTATACAATGTGCTATATTGCCTTTTCTTTCTCCGGCCAAAATATGTTCACTCAGCATCGGATAAAATTGACATATAGTTCAGGGTGTAAACAGATTACTTATCCAGGAAATCCACCTAACCCACCTGGGCACCTCAATCTAAACCAAACACAGAATAAACACAACAATAAATGAAACAGTCCCTCTCATGTCACCGGCTACTCGGAACGAATAGACCTGCCTATATGACAGGTTACATTCGCTGCCAGGCGCCCGTCGGGACTCCGATCCGGATATATATTTTGTATCTTGAACACTCCTATCGGGAGGATTAGGATCGAACATGGACAATGAACCCGATCCCTGTTTTCGGGTCGGGGTAGGTATCCTTCGGGATGTGTGTATCGGAAAATTCTCGTTGAAATACAGTGGTATTGAAGGGGATCTTATTGGGGTAACATGATAAAAACTCTTCTTCCGTTTACTAATAATGGATGGTAGCATCCGTTTCATAGGATTCATTTGGTGCATTGGAGAATGCATGTGACAATACATGAAGCAAAGAGTCGAAGATACATGTCTTAGAGAACGTCGAGAGTCATAAAACAAGTCATTAGTGGGCCATGCAAGATGTGTAAGCTTGGACCCCGGTCAAGTGGCGTTCTTCATAGAACCGTGCGTGGATGTATATCAAAATAATCAAGAACGAAAGAATACATATATCATTACTCATTACACAGACCGTAAAGTCCACAATAGCACTGCTGGGTATCCGGACATCTAATTTCAAGTCAGCACCGTGCTCATTCCTAGTAATACCAAGCACGGATGATGCTCACGAAACTGGGTCCTCTAAGAATACCATATGCCAGAGCATTTCAAATACAGACCCAACGGTAAAGTTATCTAGACTCGTAGAGAGAGCCCAATCTCGCATGTGGACATAGTCTTCTCGTGGTCGCTGATGAATCCGTTCTCTAGTGAGAGCGAACTGACCGCAGCACACTCCCCCAATCTCCTTTGGTACCGTTTCGATTGATGTGTTGAAGAGTTCAGTGTAGATGGTGGTGAAATTACGGTATACAATGCTTGAGCTTGAAACTAGCTCGGGATCGAAAGGGCGGACTGCGGTTGGACAGCCCGGACGATGATGGCAACGAAGGTTCGCATATCCTGTCTGCTTTACCGCCTCGAGGCGCAGCATAGACAGGACAGTAGACGAATTCGTGTCACCAACATCATTATGCCATTGTGTAGCTGATGCGTGCATGAAAACTGTGATATCAGTCAAGGTATCGTACTGGTCAATAATGTGCGTCAAGTACACCATGCCCTCGCGCCCTTTGTTCTCCGGAACCGGAAAGTACCCAGGCTCATTATCAACAGTGTAGATATATGGTGTCCATCTGTTTCAAAAACTATCAGTTCAGGTTCCGACAATAGGAAATAGCTAACGCTAACTGAGGCTGAAGATCGTCCACCCAGGATACATTCTCTTCTCGTATTTTAGCCAAAACCAGTGCTTTGGATAGTGTCAATGGTAGCGGGTTATAAGGGCTATGAATCTTTTCTAGATCGGCGTTAGTCACGTTACACAGGCCCGATAGCAGTGGATCGTACCTCGCACTGATACACGGTTTTCCCCATTCAGCTTTGACACAAGGGTTAGAAGCACTACACCCAGCAATATTATGTAGAGTACAAGAAAATGCCATATGTACCGACGCCAAACCTGAATGGAAGGACTTCTTGGTCGCCACAAGGCATCCAAGAGCGTGCCCATTGTTCCGCCGCGGGTCATGGATGTCCGTGAGAAAAAGATCAACCGCTAGTGTCCTGAGCGGAGTTCAGTTCAGATCGGATCGAGATACAGTGGGGCTAACGGTTGGAACAGGAATTCTTTATGAAGCACCTCGTAAAGAATATTGTCTATGTTGTCCAGTCGATTATAATTGAGCATTACTGGTTATGTTCTTTCCCTCTGAATTCGATACTGGGTAAAACTGTAGATATCATAAGTGTTGATTTTTTGGTGAAGTTGAACATGTAATGTGACCAATGATCGCTCCTCGATATTTTTAAACGGGTCCATCCGCAATTGCGTTCCAGGCATTCAAGAGAATCCTCTGCGTCCACGTGATGCAGAGTGAAATATTTGCCTCAGGCACCTATCACCACCGTTACAATTCGGATAGGGGATGCTTCACACTACATTTGATTGTTGACTTTGGGACTGATCTCACCGCCGATTATACCCTCTTCATCCGACTGATTCTGGCCAAGTCTGACGAATGACCACAAGTAGGTGCTGCGTGACATGAAGAACCCAGCAGCAACTACTATCTATGTTCAGGCATCAGCGAGTAGGTAGCCTCATTGGTGGTAAGCCTGCAATCGTTATCATATTCCATCCTATCGCAGGGATGAATGTTTACAAAGTCGGTGACAGCATGTCCCTTTTTTACTTAAGTTGTATCTGTGGCTGTTCAGATTCTGTCTAGACCACTCCTGAATGGAGTACTATGAGGCATTTTCCACTTTTTTTAGTAATTACCCCTAGAAGTATGTAAGAGGTGTCGATTTTTGCGTCTTCACGGCGAACTCCTTCCTAAATCTTCCGTAATAGGAACCCTTACCGTACCCACTTCCCGACCCAACTCTAGAGCCTGGGCCGAAATGTGATAGAGCCTTATTTTAGGAATAGTTGATGTTCCTAACTTACCCGATTTGTGGATCTCCACAATACTGAAGCCTGGTAGTCCTGGCCATGGCCTTTTTACACGAATTGAAAGAATCAATATCCGTCAATTCTGAACATTAATCTGGTCGTGTGCATTGTTGCCTGGGTTCGTTGTAGGCGAGAATGTTGTCCATTTCCAGGGGAGGATTAGCGCCCGGAAGAGATCCGTTGTGGCCCAGGCGTTTCGGATGCGGGGTACAGACGAAGGTAAGATACCAAAAGGAACCTAGTGGTAGGGAGGCGGTAGTGTACTATCGATTACCGGCATGTGTCCTTCGTAGGCCTACATCATCATTGGGTCGACACTGGTAAATTCTTGGCCGAAGAGCGCTTATCACTTGACATCGCGTGGGAAATGACCAGGGGCGCCTGACCAGTACGTAGTGTCTCGGAATATTTTGGGGAGAGCTCGGAAGTTCCTGGGCGATCAGGTTTTCATGTGCTTTTTGCGTGGATACTATCCTTATTACGCAGAGCCTCGTCCAGGAACTCATTCCTGGCATATGGGTCCGAGATAAGTTTTGAATCCTGCAAAGTTCATATCGGATAATAGTTTGCAAAGGGGTAATATCGTCATGCTAGGGGCAAGTATTTTTACTATGGTATTCAAACGAATCTTCACCTAGAACAAGGAACAATGAATGCCTTCCTTCTCCTTCTGAGCGAAAACCGCGGCAATATCTTCTGCCCACTTTGTGACGTTGGATTGAAAATCAGACAGAGAGGGGGGCTCTGATTGGTCGGCAACGGTTAGCCTCGGGAGCCGAATGACTAACAGTATGCCTAAAGGAGGAAAGCGTCATTTAAAATGATGAACGGGAACCCGAGAATTCAGCCGGGATTTCGTCATGAGCACGTCTCGTTTGGTTAGGATGAAGTGATTATTGGTTTCTATTGATTGTTACCCTGAAGAGGGGCTAAAGATAGTCACTCGTTTGGGGGCGATACTGCGCCACTGGGCATTTCGACATCGTCGTTACTCTTCTAGAGCGTTTGTTTTCACCCATGTGGTCTTGAGCTCCCCCGGTCCGGCAGTAAAGGTCTAGCCGAAAATGTTCTCCCCGCAATTTGGGTCTTGGCCGCTTGACCCAAACAGAAGAGAGCAGAAAGAGAAGACTGAGATCATTCAACGTCACCACTTTGCAGACTTTTCCATCTGCCCGCATAAACCCTCGGGGCTGATTGATTGAATTCTATGAAGAAAAGGTAAAATACAGCTCGAATAGACTTTGCGCATTGTGTAATAGCAAACGATTGTAAGACATAAATAATTGGGTAGTCAAGCTGTCATTTGCAGCGGTACTTTCAGCCTGTCCTAAGCATAGTTTGCATTCCTGCGCCTGGGCACCCACACCCACCGCACTAAATTTATTCCACCTGCATCTTTCTCCTGCATGAGACATTTCTTGACTGGATACCATCCGCGCGTTATCATCGGCCAGAGACACCCCTTTACTTTTATTCCGAAAGTCGCATTTTCTTGCCTCTAGTTGGTGCACCCGACCCGTCTTCCCGGAACCACTTCGTGCCTACATCTGGGGTTCGGAACAACTCGGAAAACCCTTGGAGGCATTTTACACACTCCACGGTTACCAACGCTGCCTCAGCCCGGTCCTCAGCCCCGATATCTCCCGTCAAACTGTGGAGAAGCATATCGGAGTCGAAGACTGAAACGCATTCTGGACTTACTTTGCTGTGATTATGGCTTCTGCTGAAAACATTAATATACCCCGTGCTTCCCCAGCAGAAAAAGGTCCTCTCTACACAGATTTCTTCCAACAACAAGTCGCAAAGCAGCGCAACAATAACTATCATTCTACATCATTAAGAAACATGGTTGCCACATCTGTGAATCGCACTGCTCTGCACCCTGGTGGTGTCCAGTACGTCTCCTCTCCTTTCCTTAGTTCATCGTCCTTTTATCTTGGCTAGGTTGGACTGGCCTACCTCAGGCCTCTGACCTCCCTCCGTCAACCACTCTTGTTAGTACGAGAGTCATGGCTAACATCTATCAACTAGGCCTGGCAAGGGTCACACCGAGCTGGAGGAAGAGCTTCACGAGCACGCTCACATCGATTACGAGCGTGTCGCTATTGTATGATTTCCTAGTCGATGTAGATAACCAGAAGGGTCTGTCGCTAACGTTCATTAGATCGCTAACCCTGCCGTCCCTGCTCTCTACGAAGATGCTCTTGTTTACGAGACTGGTACTGCCATCACATCCTCAGGTGCCCTGACTGCCTACTCTGGTGCCAAAACTGGCCGTTCCCCTTCAGATAAGCGTATTGTGAAGGAGGAATCTTCTGAGCAAGATATCTGGTGGGGCCCTGTTAACAAGCCTATGACTCCTGATGTAAGTTGCACTCGCATTAATCGCGCATTTTGCCCCTTGCTTTGCTCTAGTGCAGATCGCTGGCGTTTTGCGCGGCCGAGAGGCCAAGCTTTCCTGGGATGTGGAGATAGGAATGCTACGAGACATACAAAAATACCTCAATATTCCTATGAGGCATTTTTTTGTACATGTCCTGTGGCAGTCTAATACTCCGGCCCTTGCTTGTGTCACTTGTGCGCGCTTTTTTGCGCTGGCTACATGCATCTGCCTCGACGCCGTGTTACTATATGATGTCATCTATATAGGGCTGATTAGCTAATCCGATTGACAGGTCTGGCGTATCAACCGTGAGCGTGCTGTCGACTACCTCAACACCCGCAACCGTATCTATGTCATCGATGGTTTCGCTGGCTGGGATGAGAGATACCGCATCAGTGTCCGTGTTGTCTGCGCTCGTGCCTACCATGCCCTCTTCATGAGGAACATGCTTATCCGCCCTTCCCAAGAGGAGCTCAAGCACTTCCACCCCGACTATGTCATCTACAACGCCGGTTCTTTCCCTGCCAACCGTTTCACTGAGGGTATGACCTCTGCTACCTCTGTTGCCATCAACTTTGCGGAGAAGGAGATGGTTATCCTGGGTACCGAGTATGCTGGAGAGATGAAGAAGGGTGTTTTCACTGTCCTGTTCTACGAGATGCCCGTCAAGCACAACGTCCTGACCCTCCACTCTTCTGCCAACCAGGGTAAGGATGGTGATGTTACCGTCTTCTTCGGTCTTTCTGGAACTGGCAAGACCACTCTTTCTGCCGACCCTAACCGTGCCCTGATTGGTGACGACGAGCACTGCTGGACCGACAGTGGCGTCTTCAACATTGAGGGCGGTTGCTACGCCAAGTGCATTGGCCTCTCTGCTGAGAAGGAGCCCGATATTTTCAACGCCATCCGCTTCGGATCCGTCCTCGAGAACGTTGTTTTCGACCCCATCAGCCGTGTCGTCAACTACGATGATTCGACTTTGACCGAGAACACCCGCTGTGCTTACCCAATTGAGTACATCGATAACGCCAAGATTCCTTGCATCTCTGACAACCACCCTACCAACATCATTCTCCTTACTTGTGATGCTCGCGGTGTTCTGCCTCCGATCTCTAAGCTCACCACCGAGCAGACTATGTTCCACTTCATCTCTGGTTACACCTCCAAGATGGCCGGTACTGAGGACGGTGTGACCGAGCCCCAGGCCACTTTCTCCTCTTGCTTCGCCCAGCCTTTCTTGGCTCTCCACCCCATGCGCTATGCTACCATGCTGGCTGAGAAGATCTCGAAGCACAAGGCCAATGCTTGGTTGCTCAACACCGGCTGGGTTGGCGCTGGCGCCACCACTGGCGGTAAGCGTTGCCCTCTGAAGTACACCCGTGCCATCTTGGACGCCATCCACAGCGGCGAGTTGGCCAACGCCGAGTACGAGGTCTACGATGTTTTCAACCTCCACGTGCCCAAGAGCTGCCCCAATGTTCCCTCGGAGCTCCTGAACCCCAAGAACAGCTGGACCGCATCCACCAGCTTCAAGGACGAGGTCAACAAGCTCGGCAAGCTGTTCAACGAGAACTTCACCAAGTACGCCGACCAGGCAACCAAGGAAGTCATTGAGGCTGGCCCAGTACTGGCATAGAATGTTTGCGATTTTTTGCTCGATTTCCTTTGTCAACTGATTCCCTTTTGCTTTTCTATATTGCATGGCGTGTCGCGTTCTATTCTTTGGGTCATTAAAAAAAGCTTGGCAAGACAAGCTGGGTCATACCATTTCGCATTCCGTTCGGTAATATCTTTTCTTTATGATCGAATATGGACATTGCTGTTCAGACTGGTCAATAGTACCTGTGAGATAACATGAAATGAATTTTTATTAGACTTATCATGAACATCTGTATGCCTTTCCTCGTAGTGCTTTTCTACCGTCATTCCCCTTAGCCGCTTTGAAGAAAAGTTATCAACGGTCAGATTAATCACCCAAGTGAGCCTCCCAAAATTAAAAATCAAATAAATATTACTCAGGTTTTTGTCTAGAATTGCCTCGCCAATCCTTCTTCCCTCTTTTCTTTTCTCCCTCCCTTCCACTATTGGTTTGCACCCAGCTATAAGGATACTAGTATTTGCAATAAGCAACCAAGGAGTAACTGTAGTTGGATTGATCTATGATCGCCCGAATATTGAATGCCGCTGGGCACACCAGCAAGTATGTCAAGGCGAATACATGATAGTTCTTAAGTCTCTACACGCATTCCCCGATGCAGAATACTACACTCTGAACACAAGGAATCACATCATTGCTGGACTTCGGCAATTAGAGTCATGTGCTAATGCTTGTGCTAGTACTCACTATATGGAGCAATCAAGCAATGAATACATCTAGTTGATATTTCACGTATGTACAAGAGCGTTGCCTGCTTGCCTCTTATGTCGACATGCGCAGCGCAAATCAAGCTCTAAACATGCCGTGAAGCTTCGTTTCCATTGCGTAGGACCGGGTCAGTGAAGTGTCTGGGTATGTTGGGGCAACTAGTCAATGTCTCGCTGACTGAAATGAACGGAGTTCTCGCGGCATTTGGTAAACGGAGCGACTTATAGGCATAAGTGAGGAGAATTGAGGAACTAGACATAATACCGGATCCCTTTCGTGATGATAGCTGTTTGGCCAAGCTTATTTGTTGTCTAGAGTCAAACGGTAGAGCTAGATAACAGTCTCAAGATGTTTAAACGATCCTCGAATAATTCAGTTGGGGTTTCAAGTCTGCATACAACGTCAGTGGAGACGTGGCTAGCCATTAGATGTCCACTAATCGCCTGGGCCACGACAGTGTCCTACGCCGACTGGCCGTCATTCTTGTACCTTCCTTTGGTCAATTTGATAGTAGGCCTCGCACTAGCACTCATGACTATGTGGCTTGTCGTTACAGATGGTATTTGATTGTAGATGACCAAATTCTAATATGCGTGCACCAAGTACTGGTGGTACTGGAGGATGAAATGCACGTTAGCTAACCGGAGACAAGTGACCTCCGGATTGTAGATTCATACAGCTTGAAGAGAATAATATCTGGTAGTAACAGATCCTTCAACTGAAGTAAGATCCTCGAATACTGATAGGTGATTCTAAAACAGGGTCATACTAACATGATTTATAGTTGAAAAGCTAGAGACTCGGGCTATATTTTGCGAAAGATATCGAGATATAGCAAACACAAGTCCCAATCGGCGGCATGTCTTCCACGGTGGTCAAGGTTCCTATCGACCAGTGAATTATTGTAGTTGACTTCCACAATCCCTGAAATAGGGATACATCCTCCACAGGAAGCGTATATATATCTTGCTTGGCAATAGCATCACTCATACAGAGCCATGAAAGTATGTAACTGAGATTGTGATAGCTCTGGAGAGACTGGTTGATCTCTGTTGGCGGTTTTGAGGGCACTGTGACGGACTTCTCATGTACCCTCCTTCACCTTAGGGCTTTACCATGAGGCTTAGGACCCAATCCATCTTCAACCCACTCCCAACGCCGCATTTGCATGGCGGCCAACTCTACGATCGCAATACAAGTTCTAGAAAAGACTGGCGTGCAGCCTCAACATAAGGCCCACAAATACCCACAACCATAATTACTAACCAACGATGGCTTCATGGTAACCAACGTGATAAAACTTCCGATAACAACAGCGAGAATCGGCAATTCTATGATTTGCTACAGCCTCTAGCTCCCCACAAGGTTCAGTTGACAGTTCGATAGGCCCCACGGCAAGAGCGCCGGATACTCTATCGGCATACTGACCGCGTAGCTAAGCGGGTGGAAACCATTCATTACCGACTTCCCACATTTTCCTTCCCGCTTCCCGTCCAGCTTCCGCATGGGACTCCCGCCTCTGGCCCGAGTAAGAACTAAGAGGACCCTGACCATGATGAATCGTGCTTGGCAGTCCGATGACCTATGCCGCTGGGCATCTCTTTGCCGGGATGTTTTCCGCGGCTATGGCTCCGAGGGCTTGTTGGGGGTTGATCATTTAGAATTAGACTCGGTAACTGTATCTAGGCCTGCCGAGATTTGTATGCAATTTTCTATTAGTGTTTTCTGATAGGATGTGTCGACTTGTATCCGCACAGCTTAGCCACGTAAACGATATTTTCTGAACTCGTACAGCCCAAAATACAGAAGTCGATCCTTTGTCATTTGGCGGTTTAGTAACGGTTGGCTAATAGAAAGTGGGCCTCATCCCCAGTCATATATGATGCCAAAGGAAATAATCCGCTTCAATATTGGCAGTTAAACATAACACTACACTTTCTTTTCGGGGAATACCAATCTATCTAGACAGGCAGTGTAGGTAGAGTTACAGATCGCACATTGGGAACACTTATTGTATACATCGGTGAGGATCTTTTGAGAAAGCTGGGATGCCCGTACTGTGTGGTATGAAACGTAGTAATCACTAACCCCGAATAAGTATACCATCTATACCGGAGAACAGTTGTCCGGATTCTTGTGCCATACAATATATTGCCTTTCGGCTGACCCGTAAAAGGGTCTAATCCTATGTAGTCAATTTCTTTTCTGTTTGTCTGAGACTGTATAGCAAGTGCCGGTTATCGGGTCCCGGGTATCCCTCGGAGGAAAGGACTGCTGTGGGCGAAAGGAGATACGGCTATGTTTTTAGCGGTCGTTGCGCTGTATACTACTGAAATTGAGTAGTGGAATGGAATAACTATATGCAAAGTTAGGTAGTCCTTGAACCATATCACAACAAGGCCTATCATTAGAGGTCGGTGTGAAGACATGTGCCGCCTCTAGAACCCGCGAGTAGACGCTCCCATCATAGGTAGATTTAGGCCTCAGTAATTGCTATCCTCCGATTGGATCCTGGGTGGTCACCCGAGCCAGCACAGCGGAATAAAATTACTGAGTCATACAGTTGATCTTACCACCTGAGTATCTCTATCCTCGGGTACCGCCTGGCTCGGGTGGATGGACTGGTATTTGTTGGAAGATCGCCTGTACATGTACGCATACGTATATGAATTGAATGTCCATTTGACTTGTTCAATTTATATGTGACTGTCCGGAAGTATAGTTAAGTAACTGTATCCTTTATATAACTAGCATCATATTGGAAACTGCTCTCTGGTCTTGGTGCAAATAAATAGTATTTTCATGGATTCATCAGCATCGGAAAATAGGTCGGGTTATCGTGGAACCACAAACGGACTAAGCAGTTCTTCCCCGGGTAGTGCATTGATACGGTAATATTACGACCCCCACTCCCATAGAATGTGACATGCAGTGGAGCTGGTACTAGTATTCAATGATTTTGACTACCTTGAATATACTTTCCCTAAGAAAGAGGGGAATTGTCATTATTTCTATTGACCAGATCACGATCTCAAGATCAAAATTCCATGCCAGTATATCTGGTTAAACAGAGCATACAATTCAGCGGCGAGCTCGTTTCCCCAGAGGGTTCCCCGCATTCGTGGCGGCATGTTGCAGTAGTACCACAGTTTCAGGTTAATCCTTAGTCTAGAGCTTTGCTGAGCACTATGACGTTGTATGGAGAGGTACCAGAGGAACCGGAGACATGCTTAGATTGTGGGGACCTCCTTAAGTGCTATCTAGCGAAGATCGCTACATGAGAAACTACTACTATTTACTTGCTAGTCAAGTTTTGTTTCCACTCTCTGATGTGTCGCCATTCATCTTAGCCATGTCTCGTCATTTCGACCAGAAAACTTTATAACCCAACAAGTCTCCTCTGGGACTGAACCAAACTTCTTGACTGACTGACTGTACATGTGCTGTCCAATCCCCCGCAGCGTCACGCTTTATCATCTGACTGGCTACCAGAACTCACTTCACTGTTTCCTTCTATTTCAGTCGATCTCTTCTCTTTCCCCTCACTTACTCTCCCTGCTTTTTCTCGTCCACATCGGATTCTATTTTCGTATCTGCTCCTGTTACTCCTCTTCCCCTCTTTTCGTGTCTCTCGTGTAGTATCCGCTATATACTACCGTATCCTTCGCTGGTAAGCTCCATCGATCTTTTTTCTCCTCCCCGTCATACGTCTCCAGTCGCACTTGCGTAACGTCTCCTGATTACTGCTGCCATCGGTTAGTGGATGGTCACACATGCTCTGCTCTCACTACTATTGCCGTCATCTGTTCAAATGCCCGCTCGGTACTACAACCGTGTGCTGACTTTTCCAGGCTTGTTGTAATTCCTCTTTGTGATCAAGATGGCTTCTCCAACTGCCAAAGAATCTCAGGCCGCAATGGACTTTCTACACCACCCCTACACCCGTGCGGCCCTTCCTTTCATTAATGGTGGCCTAGCGGGAATGACAGCAACCACCGTCATTCAGCCAATTGACATGATTAAGGTGCGCCTTCAGCTGGCAGGGGAAGGTGTACGAACTGGCCCTCGCCCGACCGCTTTCGGCGTTGCCCGCGACATCATTGCCGGCGGAAAGATCCTTGATCTCTACACTGGTCTATCGGCAGGCTTACTCCGTCAGGCCGTCTACACTACTGCCCGCTTAGGTTTCTTCGACACTTTCAGTAAAACACTCAATAAGCGCGCCGAAGCCGCAAATAGAAAGGTTACTTTCGCGGAGCGCGCCGGTGCGGGCCTTACCGCTGGTGGAATTGCTGCTATGATTGGTAATCCGGCTGATCTGGCCCTTGTGCGCATGCAGTCAGACGGTCTGAAGCCCCCAGAGGCGCGAGCAAACTACCGTTCGGTGGTGGATGCACTCTTCCGCATCTCGAAGATTGAGGGCGTCCCAGCCTTGTGGGCAGGAGCTTTGCCGACCGTTGTACGGGCGATGGCTCTTAATGTCGGTCAATTGACCTTCTTCGCTGAATCTAAGGCTCAACTGAAGGCCCACACGTCCCTATCGGCTCAAAACCAGACCTTTGCTGCTTCCGCTATCGCTGGTTTCTTTGCCAGTTTCCTTTCTTTACCCTTCGACTTCATCAAGACTCGTCTGCAGAAGCAGCAGAAAAACCCTAAAACCGGTCAGTTGCCGTACAAGGGTTTGCTTGATTGCGCTCGCAAGGTTGCCAAGGATGAGGGTTGGTTGAGGTTTTACCGCGGATTCGGGACATACTATGTGCGGATCGCACCCCATGCGTTAGTCTCCCCACTCTCCACGCCGTTTTTTTTCTTAAGTGCTTATCGCTAACTCCACGGACCCACTTTAGGATGGTCACGCTTATCGTGGCTGATTATCTCAACCTCATTACGAAGTAAACGAGTCAACCTTCATTAATCGGACGACAGTTCAAAAGTCCCTTGATGTAGAGAAAAACGCGTTGAGTTGTGATCGAATGTGTTGCCTGCTAATGATTGAATTGCCGATCTTCTTGCGCTATCGAGCCATGGAAGTTTGTTTTCTTTTCACTCTCTGGGAAATGCGGCGTCCGGAGACGATGCGACCGCAGCAGAATCATCCAGTTCTAGTCGCTCTAGAGCTCCGTGTTAATAGAATACCCCACGAATTGTTGTTCAGCTGGAAGCCTTTTAGCGAACTGTCTATCGGACACCATCGAGGATATCAACACGTTGGGAACAAATCTGTGTGCCCCATGACGACTCAAGGCAGAACAATCGTCCCTTGGAAAATACCCCTGTTAGTGCGGTCCTGATTTTTTTTCTTCGTAACCTTCCTTCTTCTTCTGGTGTTTGTATTGTTTACTGGGGGCGCACGGGGAGTTTACTTAGTTTTCTGTTATTTCATGTCAACTTTCGTGGCACATACCGGGATCATGGCTCATGCTCCAGCTTTCACGACGGGCGTTGTATGTAATCTAGGAAGCAGTTCCCGTGTCCCGATTGAGAGGCATGGTTAATCACGGATCAATCAATAATATTGATTTTCAGAAGAGATGGGTTGCCTAACAAGCTAGAATAATCTTGTTTGAAGCCCGAGCAACGCCGTCAGGTATCTATTGAACTTACAGAGATATAATTCGAAATGCTCATCAACTAATCATCATCGACAGGAGCTGTACTCATCTCCTGTTTGATCCGTACATGATCTTGGCTGCGGAAACTTTCTGCATCCTGCCTATCATCCGAGTCCGAATCATCCACATCCATCTCTTTACCGTCCTCCGTCCCATCATCGTCAACGAGAGTGATCCCGCTTTTCCTAGCCCCAGACTGTCTTCTCCGCGCCCCATCGGATAACTCATCATCTTCCGCTTCCCGTCTCAACGCCGCTTCATAGCGGCGCAGCCTCCTAAGCAAAACAGGATCCGTCCGGAGATCAGCCGCAGTCAAGACAACTGAGCACACCGGACACTTGACCGAGCGAACACGACGCGCGCTACGGCCGGCGGCTCCCGCCGGCTGGGGCGCGGGAACAGTCGTCGAACTATGCGCAATCATATCTTCAATCGCTTCGCGTTCAAAGCTATGCGGACATTTGGTACTTGTCACAGGTTCCCGGAAGTAAAGTAGAGTTAGAGGGCATTTGAGCGATATGCGCTCGCTCTCGATGGCGATCTCATCTGAGTCCGCCGGAGAAGGAGATCTCCGACGACGCGTCCGCCGGGCCGAAGAATCGGGCGCTTGCGCCGAAGCCGTAGCTGGATCTTCCAGATGTGAGAACCACGTTGATGCGTGCGGTAGTGGAGGGATATCTTCGCCGGGGTGTTTCGCTTCGTGAATAATTCGATAGAACCCAATGTAGGCATTGTTGGTCGAGTACCTGGTACAAACATCCCATCCCAATTAGCCTCATCATCAACCAAGTCACCAAGGAAACCAACAACAGTAAAACCAAATACATACCGTTCCGTCAACGAAAGCCTATCCCACCCTGCATAATTCTCCCCAAGTAGCTCATCCAACCTCCTCGTCGGCGGCACACTTTCCCTACCCCTCTCCTCCGCCTCCTCATAATCCTCATCCTCATCGTTATCCTCCTCCTCCTCCTCCTCCTCCCCACCCCGACGTCTAGTCCTCCTCCTCATATTCCTCCCAGCATTATTCTCCTGCTCAACCTCCCTCTCAACCGTCCCAAGCACCCCAATCAACCTATCAACCCTAACCTCCCCATCAATCGTGCCGCGCATCCGCGCCTCCAACCGCTCCGTAACACCCCCGACCTTCTCCTCCAGCTCCCTCAAATTTTCCTCCCATTCCTCATCATCCTGCTGCTGTGCCCCATCCTCCTCACCTTCATTAAAATTCTCCCTCTCCCCCCTCCGCTCCTTCAACCGCTGCAGCCGCACCCGTGCATCAGTAAGCCGCTCATTAACCTCCCCAGCAGAATCGGTGAGCTTCTCCTCCGCGTGCTGGAGATGCGTCTTCAACGGTCGCAGCGACTGCGATTTAAGGAGAGATAGGAGCTTGATTTGTGCTGCGCTGTGGAGGGGTGCGATGGGCGCTTCGTAGTCTGGGAGTGGGGGTGTTGAGGCTCGGGGCCTTTGGCTTAGGCGCTGGACGCTGCTGCTTGCATGGCGGGATCGGTGTCGCGAGGAGCTTGGGGTTGGGGTTGGGGTTGTCATTTTAATTTTCTTTTGAAGGGTGATCTCGGAGGCGGGGGCGGGGGTATTGGTAGGTGCGGGTTTCTCGTTGAAGTTTGTTTGCGCACTTGGTTTTGGGTTCTGGGCGATGTGCGACTTGGTATTTTGGAGAGCGAGGACGTTTTGTCCTGCTGTTTTGGTGGAGAGGAATTTGATATTGGAGTGATGGGTTGCTTGCTTGATAAGAGATCATACGCGACGCGACGGCGCTAGGCCTGTTTAGGTTATACTTCTTTCTTGGACTCCATACGATGATCCACCATCCTGGAGCTTGGAGGTGTATGTCTTGGAGATAACGTGGAGAGATTGGAGCCTGGTTACTGGATGGTGGGTATAGTATAATCGAATTTATTATTATATATGCTATTGTCTCGGTCTAGGCTTACTGTGGAATGTAGTGGTACATAGTCAGTTCTTGATTGACATGTACAATATGCGCCCAAGAGCTTTGAGAAAGATTGAGTTGATAGAAGATCAAAAAGTATACATGTCTAGAGAAGCTAGACCTTGTAGAAGCAGAATGCGTGATAGAAACCTGTCCATGTTAGCAAGCGGGTCTTTTCTGAGCGTGACCTATACTCACTGGCTGCCTCCTTCTCTTCTTCGGTCATGAGCAGGGCGCCGGTGTTTCGATCCCTAACGCCCATGCGTTCACTCAGAGGGCCCAACTCTTGATCGTCTTTCTCGTCTTCCCAGACTTCCAGGAACGGTTTCCGATACTGGAGCTCGAGGTTGTAATCCTCCGTTAATCTAAGACAGTCAGTCTCCTGTACAGTGATGGCTGGACCGGCAGATAAAACTTACGCTCGAAAGGCTTCCCATGGCACAACATACTCCGGAACTTCCTCTACCGCCTCTTCCATGAAATAGCTATACTTCCATCCAAAAGGAGGCCGGAAGATCCCATCTTCGGGGGTATCACCCGAGAATCGAACTCTGTAGATTGAGTTGCCCCATTCAATCTTGTTATCGTCTTCTTCAACCTCTCCATCCTCAGGCTCTGCCTCCTCCTTTTTCGCCGCAGTCTCGCGTTCCTTTCGCTTCGCATTCAACTCTGCCACTCGTGCGCTGATGATGTCCGAATTAGGGCAGACTCCCAAGAATCGGCCACCCTTCTTCAGACACCCAGCCACATTGCGCAGCATCTGTCTTGTTTTCTCCTCACTTTCAAAGGCGTAATGAATTGTGAACATAGACGCTACCACATCGAAGCCACCGCCGCCCCAGCGTGAACTCATCACCGATCCACCTGGGCCGGCATTAGGGTCAATGCCTACTTGTTGAACAATAGGGACATCTCCCAAATACTCTCCAAAGCAATCCTTAGGAGCGAACTCGGCATGGAAGAGAGGCCCACGGGGGCGACGTGGGCCGCGCCCAGTCCGCATACCGTTGTAACGCTCGCGCGCTTGGACAATAGAGACATCGGCTGGATCGAGTCCAACATAGAGGTCTACGGGTTGAGGAGCTAGTTGCCACTTGCCCAAGTCACCCCCTTTGCCACACCCGAGATCTACAACCAAAAGACGTTTATCTTCCATAGGGGGTGGGGCGTTGTCATCCGCCCAGTCCTTGGTACCAATGGACCTAGACACAAACTCCTCATCCGGCGAGAACTTCTGAATGAGAGTACTTTTGATCCAGTTATTGAAGCTTCGTAAGCCTTTAATCTTACTCTCGGTCTTCCGCCACTCTCTTCCGCGCTGGGGAACAGCATTGTAGTGGTGGCGGACAATGTCGGTCACCCCACGGTTCTGAGAGAATCGCATAGCTTCCTCTTGTTGAGAGCGCTCTCTTTCTTCCTGCCTCCGACGCAGAGTTTCGCGGTCTACCAAGCCCATCCTGGCACCACCGCCGGGACGCTTGCGCTTGCGCGCCTGCGCGTCGGGCGATGGAGAACGCGGTGGAGCGAGGGGTGAGGGAGATCTGTTTGACGACTCATTGCGATTGGGCTGCTGCGCCGTCTCATTCATGTCGCGACGAGAGTAAGCTGATGGGGGTGTTCTGCCGCGCTTTCGTAGTTGTTGGTGCCGCTCTTGGAGACGCCTGCGTTTGGAATACCCAGGTCTTGGTTCCTCCTGTACAGCCTGCTACCCCATCAGTTTCTGCTTCGTTATTGGATATCTGTTGTGTTCAGGCTAGTTACCGTAGGGGACGTAAGAGCTCCGTTGTGAGCCTCGGTAGACTCTGGGGGGGCTGGGCTGGCAGCTTGTGGGCTAGACATTTTGGAGGTTCTAGGTGATATATATGCGTTTAAAGATCGCGATGGTGTTTGCCCTGTTTTGTTGAATTCTATTAAAGGTGGAAGTGGATCGCGAGAAAATTGTTCTTGATGAGCGGACGTTTTGCTTCGCACCGCGGACTGCGTCGTCGGGGAAGATCCGCCGAGAACCTAATGATAATGCCGGCCTTATTAGCAAGAAGAGGTAAAGTTTATATTGAGCCAGTCGCAAAAGCTCGGCAGAGTGAATTAATTTTTTGTCTGGGAAAAAAATCCGAAGTTGAAATCATGCATCAGCACACAAATGCACTGCAGACAGGCATAAACTGTACTGACATTGAGGAATTCCAGAAGTGCAAAGAATGGCCCTCACAGTAAAAAGCAAGACACACTTACCGAGGGCAAAATCTCTTGCGCCGGTGGATTATTTAGAGCTGAAATGGACTGAGAAGGTTGGAGTTGTGTTAGCGGTACTGCCGATGATTCCTGAGCCTCCCAAGAGTCCCGTGCAGGATCGTACATACTGCTGCTCCTGGCCTTACTCGTACTGCCTCCGCCTTCCGCACTTTGCGCTTCCGGGTTCTCATTAGCCATGACGCGCGGTTCTGGTAGCTGTTATTTCTCGACTCTTTGGAAAACTCATGGCTTATGTATGAAACTTCTCTGAAGGGAGAGTGAAAGGAACAGCTTGCGACGATGCGCTCTTTCCTGACCTACGTATGGTTAAACCTGCGTTGCGCAAACCAGGTTCCCATTTACCGCATCTGGGAGTCGATCATCTTGAGCGCATCATTGTCTTCTTTGTTCACTGTGGCAGTGTCACTATGAAATCTTCATAAAAGGTGACGCGTTGAAGAAACGATAGCGCTATATTTGCATTGTATATTGACACGTTCTTGCCCTGCATCCAGTACGAAACAGGAGCTGGCGAAACCCTATGATCATGTTTACGGAAATAAAGCGACAAAAGATATCGTTCTAGTGTTTGAACTGACCCAGATCATGGAGTAGTAGGGTTAATGGTGTAACCATCAACTCTCCTCCATTCCTTCCTTCCTTTCGACTTTGTATGACTTATGTCGAACTAGCAGTATACACCGCTCTAAGCAAGAGTATCAGGACACAGAAAAGAGTCAAGACCAGTACAATGGTTTAGCGCATTGTTATGCAAGATGTAATTGAGCAATAGAATAACTCGCTCTATGATATATTCAGGTACTGTACAAATAGACATTAACACGTGAAAACCAATGCCCGTAACGCCACGCTCGCATAGCCAAAACAACCCGAGAAACAATGAAGAACAATATTATGGCGCGATTGGCTTCTTTGGAGACTTGACATTCAGTACTTGTCTCATCCGCCGCAGCTTTGCCCACCATTCGCGGTCGCTAGCCTTTTTGGCCTCACTGTTTGCTTCGTCAGCCGTCAGACCATCCGCGGAGGGGGTTTCGGAAACGGCACGGCTATCGACAGACACCGTGGATCGAATATGTCGGCGGTGCTTCACTTTGAGCGCTTGAGCCAAGAGTTCCCATCCACTGCGTAGCTCTGCTGACTTCTCAGATGACTTTCCGGTACCGCTTTGAGCCTTGCCGCTGACCCATGGGCAGTAATCCATGTGCTCAGTAGCAACATCAAGTGCGTCGTAAACAGACGTATCGCCGCTGTCCTTCGGTTTGTACATCCAGAGTCCCAAGCGCCGGAAGCAGGCACCACAGCCTGCCAAGCCTGCTGCACCATCTGCGACGGAGTCCCACCCAAAGAAGGCGAGCGCAAAAGCCGTCCTATTAATCGCGATTTCCTGCGTAGGCGGACTTTGAACAGAAGCCAGTTGGTTTTCATCGACGCGTTGAGGAGTTTGAGGTACAGCTATCTCAGTATGTTCCTCAATCCTCTCGAAATCATCAGGAAGTATCTTGATTATGGTCTCGAGGTCAAATGGCTCAGGGGTCTGAATAGTTTCCGGAGATGGTAACTGGTCGGCCATCTTAGCGATATTCAAATAGCGTGTCCGGAGACCAGAGATTGCTGTATCAGGGTTGGATAAGGCCAAACGATGGATTGTACCTATCAGGCAAGTCAGTGGGGAGTATTGCAGTTTGTATCGTGAGGACAAACCATCGCAACCCTTGTTTCGCCATGGACAATTCTCGCCATGACCTTGAACTAGGAGACTAGCATATTCTTCAACGAGTTTGGCGCCTATGCCGCAATTAGTTCAATATCTTGACCATGAATACAAGACTCTATAACACGGTTACAACTTACGAACTTCCTTCCTCTCTTGCACCTTCTCGCTGTCGTACCCATCTAATTCATCGAGCTCATCTGGTAGTTTGACGACAACGGAACCGCCACACCCTCCGACGCATGCCACTCGCGACACATCTGAACAGATCCACCCGCGCTTAGCCCACTCCAATTCGTTTATAGCTGATGGTTTTGGTGACCATCGATCAACCCGGCGAAATGTCTCCAGTCTTTCAAGGAAACGCTCGCGATCCCAAGGGACGTAACTCGGCCGCGAGGAGGACACTGACGAATCTCGAGAGCTTGAACGAGCAACCCTCAAGACCGTTTTTCGCACAGATGCAAGATCAGTTCCATCCTGACGATCACTCAATCGAGCCTTTTTCGCTGCCAAGTCCGCGGAAATTCGTTCGTTTGTTGTTGCTGTTGCTGTAGTTGCCGCGGGGGTGGGTTTGTTGGAGGATTCGGCATTCGAAGGTTTCGTCAATGATTCCAGAACTCGATGAAACTTGCGCTTCTTGGTTTCCACGGCATACGACATATTCTTAGACGTACGGGAGACGTCCTTCGCGGGTAAACAGAGAATAAACTTGAAGCTGTTGTGTCGGTTGGCGATCCCATTCTAAGAGATGATCGGAGCTGACGGCGCTAAACCTGGATAGGCACTTATCTACTTAAGGTGTACTGCCTCAGGACAACAACCTGATATAGAGTAACTGTGCTGTGGCAGAATTTTCGACTCATTCTCTGCTGCATTCAATTCTCTTTATATATTGGATGTACGATAGTAGTGGTTAGTTCCCACCGATAACCTTTGATATGGTACTCCGGATGTAGTTGAAGGACTTGATGGTTCGATTCAGACATTTTTCCTATAGTTAAGGCACATCTTCGGATAGAGCCCCTTTGCTGAACCAATTCGCTCAAGCTGTGTATGTTGAACTACAATTACAGCTACAGGATTGTAGAATGTATGTATTATGCAAACCATGAAATATCGATGTTCATTAGGGTATGCGAAATTGTCGGAAACCCGCTGAATGTCAACAGACGATGAAATCATGCCACCACGATTGGTTCGCGCCCCTCGGGGTCTCGGCCTCTCGTCTGTCCGCTCCTTCCCGCAATTTATTTGTCTTACAAGATCAAAGCAATTTCTCCAAACATCAATTGCTGCCATATCCCACATTATGGCTTCCTTGGGGAGCTCCGTGTCCTTCATGCGGAGTTTTACTCCTCGGCTGTCCAAGGAATTCTTCACCTGCCGTCAATGTCTAGGGCGAAGCCAGAATTATGCGACGAAATCCGCTTTCCGAAAGAATTTCGCTGTGTCGCCCTTTCCTCAGAATACCAGCAAGCTCAACTCGCCTGCTTCATTCTCAAGAACGAAAAACGCAATTTCCAACATCTTCAGAAGATCGGCCTCAGGTTCCGCAATAGCGAATGCTGTCGAGGAGGGTGCTTCCAATGCGAAATCTAGCTTTCCTAAAGTCAGCGACAAGACAGTGGCATACTGGTTGCTAGGCAGTGCAGCTAGCGTTTTTGGTATTGTGGTTTTTGGTGGCCTCACCAGATTGACAGAATCTGGGTGCGCCTTCCCCCAAAGAAGTATCCTAGTAATAATATAATACTGACAACCAACTGGTATAGCCTGAGCATCACAGAATGGCGCCCCGTTACCGGATCTCTTCCCCCTATGAATGCAGAAGACTGGGAGTCAGAGTTCGCAAAGTATCGCGCATCTCCTGAATTTCAATTGTTGAACCCGCACATGACCCTTTCTGAATTTAAGTCGATCTACTACATGGAATGGATTCACCGTCTTTGGGGTCGGTTTGTTGGTCTGTCGTTCGTTCTTCCGGCTCTCTATTTCGTAGCTCGCAAGAAGGTTAGCAAGCCGATGGCATTGCGGCTTGGTGGTATCGCTGGCTTGATTGGTTTCCAAGGGTTTATCGGTTGGTGGATGGTCAAGTCCGGACTCAAGGATGATCTCTTTGCACCAGGCAGCCACCCCCGGGTGAGCCAGTACCGTTTGACGGCGCACCTTGGAGCCGCATTCGTCTGCTACGTTGCGATGCTTTGGAACGGTCTTGCTATACTCCGCTCACACCGCCTGCTGGCTGATCCTGAGGCTGGCACCAAGTTGCTGGACACGCTCCGTGACCCCAAACTCAAGATCTTCCGTCGCTCGGTTGCCGGTTTGGCTGCTCTTGTCTTCGTGACGGCCATGTCTGGTGCTCTGGTTGCTGGTCTGGATGCTGGCCTCATCTACAATGAGTTCCCCACTATGGGCACAGGACTGGCTCCGCCCAAGTCGGAGCTCTTCGACGAAAGGTATTCACGCCATGAGGACAGGTCTGACCTATGGTGGCGAAACATGCTTGAAAATCCGTCTCTTGTTCAACTGGATCATCGTATCTTGGCTATGACTACCTTCACTACCATTATGGCTTTGTGGGCATACACTCGTCGGTCCCCTACCATGAAGCGACTCCTCCCACCTGCTGCTAAGAAGGGTGTGCACGGAGTTGTTGCATTTGCGTTCTGCCAGGTTGGCCTTGGTATCTCCACATTGCTCTATCTTGTTCCCACTCCTCTTGCGTCTGCCCATCAAGCTGGAAGCTTGTTCCTTCTGACTTGGGTTCTGGTTCTGGGAAGCCGGGTCTGGCACCCGTCGAGGACTGCCAAGCTACTGCAGATGGCAGTCAAGGCCCGTGGCCAGGCAGTGTCCAGTGCAGCTGCTCATGGTCCTCGCAAGCTTTGAGTGTGTTTTCACACCACTGAAAAATGGGGCAGGTCAGTACTGGCCTAGCTAGCCTGTCTGAAACACCATGCTATACTAACGAATGTTTGGATCATTCTTGAATGTGTTATACTCTCTACTTTTATATTGTACAATAGGAAAACTTGCATTGTATCTTGAACAGGCTGGTCTATATGTATTCCGGTTAATAACATCACTTATCCTTGCAGCGAGATCGCCCATTAGCTGTCGCATGGAGCCTGTTTGACATTAAATATCAACCAACAAAGGAATCTGCAGAGCGGCTAGGAGCCTTAGCTAGGGCCTGTTATTTTGCATTGTTTGCTTGATGGCAGTGGTACCTGACTCACCTATCGTCACGTGCAGCTCTCCGAAGAAAAACCTCCGTAGTTATCGCGAGCGGAATGACAAGCTATTGTTGTCGGTTTCGCGACTCTCATTTTTGCGGCAAGAAGACCAAGGCTAACTGCGGCAATTTTCCATACGGTCCTTTTGCGGTTTTTTCTTGATCACCGAAGCCATTCCGAGACGCCTTCTCCGAGCCGCACCGGCCGAATTTATTCCAACTCTTTCACCCCACCATTGCCCGCGGGGCTCAAAGACATAATGGTGCACTCAACGCCAGTACCAAGCAGTGGCTTCCAAGCTCTGATCCTCTGTGGTCCCGGCGAGAGCTTGAATACAATTTCCTCCAATCCGGAGGAAAATCCAAAATGTCTAATTCCCATAGCAGTACGTGTTGGCGAATCTCAGAGCCGGCTCCAGTAGCAAGTCACTAACATCAATTGATGTTCAGCTAAGGCCAATGGTGTACTACCCGCTAGATTGGTGCAAGCGCGCAGGAATAACTGGTGAGTAATGGCTACGCGCCTCCTTCAGGGTGTTGTGTTCTGCGGTTTTGGGATAATTTCTAACTTGTTCAGATATCGTACTGATTACACCTCCCTCCGCTCTCACTCCTCTTAAGGCCGCTCTACAACAAAACCCTTATCTTACATCGCTCCCTTCGCCCTCACCTACCGTTATAGCCCCGAAGGATCTCAAGATGACGACAGGAACAGCGGAACTCCTCCGACTACCAGAGGTACAAGCTTGTATTCGATCTAATTTCTTGCTCCTAAGCTGCGATCTACTATGCGATATCCCCGGCGAACATTTACTTGAGGCATGGTTAGTCTCACAAGGTGAATTGGGCCCAGCTTCCCAAGGTGGCTTGTCCGTGTTCTATCCCGCAAAAGGCATTAAGGACGAGGTCAAGAAAGAGCCGACAGACTTCATGGCAATCACCTCTCTCGAGCAAGATGAGGTTCCAGCCCTCTCGCGATATAAACTCTCAAAACTGGTTTTATCGATGCCGATGGATACATTGAAAGAGCAGATAGAGGAAGATAAGAGCTTCTTACTCCGTCATACTTTAGTTGAGAAGCATGCCTCGGTCAAAATGCTAACCAGCTATCGTGATGCACACTTATACATTCTGCCTAAGTGGATCCAATCGCTTGCCCAGTACCAGGAGCGGTTTGAATCCGTGAGTGAAGACTTGATCGGATACTGGGCGAAAGCGGAGTGGCAGCGCGGGCTGAGTGAAAAGCTCGGGATTAATAAGATATTGGGCGGGCAGAATGAGAATCAAGAGGATCACGGAAGCAATGACGGCGATTTATTGGAGGAAGAAATCGATCTTCGTGGCATGACCACTACCCACGCCCAGGGTTCCGAGGCCCAGTCTACAAAATCCACCCTCAATGACCAGTCTTCGGTGGAAGTGCCATCGATCCTAGCATACATGACCAAGTCGTCTGAGCAACTCGTTCGGCGCGTTGACAGTTCCGCTTTGGTGTTAGCGATGTCACTGCGTCTCGCCAAGCTCGATTCTGTTGAAGACGTTGGCCGTGTTGCTGCTTCGCCATTCAGCCATGCCTCGAAGATTGCTACCCCTGAAGGAATTGCCTCTAAATCTATTGTCACAAAAGGCGACTGCTTACTAGGATCCAACGTGACGGTAACACACCCAGTCTTTCATTTTTTGAACGGTTCAACTAACGCCTTGAAAGGTGGAAGAAAAATGTGTTATAAAAGAATCGTGCATTTCGCCTAATGCAAAGATTTGCAGCGGCGCTCGCTTGACGAGGTAGGCATTCTAAACTCTACCTACATCCTAACGCCGCATAACCTCTAATCTAAATTAGATGTGTGATTATGGACAACGCGGTCATCGGACCAAAGTGTGTGCTCACAGGATGCATCGGTAAGTCAGCCACAATTCAGAAACACAAAGTATGTTAGTTCGTGAACTAATAATGTTACAGTGGGTAGATACAGTCAAGTCGGACGAGAGTCTGTTCTTAAGGTGCGTACGAACTATACCCAAAAGTCGGATCTACTACTAACCAAATTTCCCAGGACTGTGAGGTCCAAGATGGCGTTGTGGTTGAGGAAGAGACCGACGCCAAGAATGAACAATTCATGAGCTTCGAGGGTCTTGATGAGGACGACGAGGATGATATGGATGTCGAGGACGACCAAGATAATGATGACGAGGCTGTTTTCTAGATGAATACGATACCAAAAATAAATACCAGCGTCTTAGACATCTTAGAGTTAGGATTTAATGCTCTTACTCAGTCCTCTTCACTACCTTCAAGCCATTTGCCGATCAAGCCTTCCATCTTCACCAGATCCCTCCCTCTAAACATAATTCCCGGTTAACGCTCGCCGGTCTATGAGGTAGCAAGAGCCTACTAGCTGTTCTGAGAGTGATATCCAGCCGGTCGTTCGCTGCAATACCAGCCCTGCTACCTCCACTGGAGCTCTAAACAGGTTGATACATATCCATCCGCTCTCAGATTGTGCTGCATGGGAAATCCACAGAGTTTAAGTGACAGGAAAACCTGCTCTCCACATCTATCCTCATATGGGTTGAGAAATACCAAGAATGAGTAAAAGTATTATATAATGCAAGTTTCAATCGTATGATATGTTTAACACCATCCCCCGGAAATTCTCTAGCTTAAAGAACCGTACTGTCCTCAACTATCCAAATTTTGTTTACTGCACGGCGGCAAGGAGCGGAAATCTCAATTACGCAGCTTGGATATCAAACAGGACTAGCAGAGTGATTACCCTATTGAATGGGTCTGCGTTATGTTTCGGATGTTCAAGACGTCTCTCCAGGCCCGACATGGAAAACAAACGCTGATTCGTGAAAAGATGTACAAACAGATAAACAAGTTACATGGCTTATCAGGAACGGGATATTGCTGTTAATATGAAACAAACAAACGCTTAATACCACAGGATAAGGTCAGGAAGAGTAAGTGTAGTAGTCCAGTGTAATAGGGCATAGGATAAAGGTATCCCAGATTATCACAATAACTAACCATTTCTACGTCCGGTTATAATAGCCATTTTGGCCCATTGTGATCATCAGGTTGTCCTTAACTCATCAAGATCAGTAACTGTAGACCACAGTCAAAAGCAACAATCCTGGAGTGAGGAATAAGCGAGATTGGGGTATGCTAACGTGTTTGTGCTGAGTTGTCAGCCCATGGTGAATCCATTCTTTATTGACTATCGTTTCAACTTGATACCCAATCACAAACGAGAGTATCTTCCTGGCTGCTTCCGACAGTAAGCCTGGGCTTTAGTCTGCTGCCCCGAGGCTTTCGATTTAGTCGTAGTCGTGTCATCATCAGCCTCCTTCGTAGTTCCAACTTTTCTGCCACTGAACTTGTTCAAGTGTCGTGCTTCATGTCCTCGTTGGACTTGCCGGAGATCCAGACTGTGCAGACTACCCTGACTCAAAGGGACATTCAAAGGACTCCAACTATCAGTCTCTTCCTCCTCGAACTGGTCTTTCTCCGGCAGATACTCTGTGGCGTCATCATCAAGAATAGAATCTACGTCCCATACATCCTCATTGCATCGTTTCTTACGGTCTGATCTGAGGGTCAGTATAACAGATCTTCTTACTCTAGCCACAAGCAAGATTTAACGCACTTTCGGAACCACTAACCTCCTCTGCAGAAACCTCCTGGTCAGGATCTGCTTTGTTAGGCACAAGTGAGGACTTCGAAGGCGTTCTCGGAGTTTTCTTCGGAGTTTTATTCTTAGTCGGACGACCTTTCTTGGATTTTCTGGTATTCCTAGAGCCTTTCTTCTTCTTAGGCGAACTGCTCTTCTTCTTCGTTTTCAAGATTTCCTCAGCAGCAGCATCTAGATTGTCCTGGCTAGTGGGACCAGTGTGAATATTGCCGTTGACGTGGTGAGTGCGAAAATAACCACGAGCAATTGTGCACGGGTTGCAAGTCTGCCAGCCGCAGGTCAGACAGCGAGACATTCCGGAAGAATTGCGCTTGTTGCAAATGTCACATTTCGCCGTATGGATGGCTAACTCCTCGAACTCACATAGCATTACTTCCTTCCCAATTACAGGCATAGGAAACTGGGGCATGTCGCCCGGCTCATTGGTGGTCTCTGGGACGGTTGTCTCTTCAGGGGGACTCTGCTCGCGAGGGCCACCAAAATCCATAATAGTGTCCTCACGGGCACTTTCTGGTCTGGATACTATCTTAGGGTTCTCAACTGTGACAGGTTCCAGCTCAGAATTCCTCATGTTGTGTAGGATCGCTGCATGCTCTATCACGGTGCGATCTGGCCGTGGACACAACAAGAAAGACGGGGAGAGATCCCGACGACGCTCATAGGACTCAACAATTTCAGTATCGGGCACTAAGATGTGATGCTGCTCAGGACGAGGACTGTTCACGACGCGAGGCGTCACAGTGACTCTCCAGCCTAAGGGAATGGGGTCTCCGAAACGCCAATTCACATACTCGTTTGGAAAGCGAGGCGCAGGTCTATGAAGATACTGGCCCTCGATAGTGGTGAAGTGTCTACCGCCGGGGCTCAACTCTGTCTGTCCGAACAAGCTTTCGTGAAGGGAGAAAGAATCTATTGCTCCATTGGGGTCTGTGCTCTGCCTCTATCAAATTGTCAGAATGTTACAGTCATGAGAGTACCAACCGCTGTTGTTGAAGAATGACATACCAAACAAGCTGGGCCAACAGCAGGTCTTATAGGTTGGGGGTGGAATAGATGCTGGCTGGTCTGATGATACTGGTTTGTCTGAGGAGGGGGGAGATAGCGGAGTTGTCTGAAAAGATCATTGTTGTCACCCGTCTCGTCTCTATCCATCATGCTGATAAATGTATCAGAGACAGCTGTCTAATCACACGTCGTCAGTCCCGTCAAGAAGCCTCAGAAGGTCAAAACAAATAAGGGATAAAGATAAAATTACCTGAGACACAGGAAGTACAACTAGTGGAGCAACACAGATGAACAAACTAGGATTTACAACTTTGTAAGCACAATTACATATAGGATCTGTAGATACTTGATGTATTGGGAAAGAAAAGAAGGTGTAGATATTGATGCTAATAGAGATACTGAAATGTAAAGATTGAGCAGAAATGTTTTGCATCAGATGAAAGACCCCGTGAGTTCTTGTATGCTCTGGTTGCTAGCAATTCACTCTGAGTGACGTCTTATCTTTTCACGCACTTGGCCGTTTCCCATCTCGACATACAATACTCCTATGAAAACACAGTCACAATTGATTCTACAGTATACAGATCGCTGTATGATATGAAACAAGGTATGTAGTGGTTTGAGTGCTGGTATCTGGTCATGGCTATATGTACCTCTGTCCAGATGTCCTTGATTATCCTTTTCTGAATGGGTCAATGAATGGTAGGCGTGGCTATGATGTCACTGGGCATATGAGAAAATTCACTGTAATATAACAAAGGATAAGAACAAAAGACGTGTTGGAGCCTATGAACGATTAAGCTAAACTGCTTCCTGATATCGGTGGATGATTCTCGTATGAACCGGGATGGAGATAAGAACAAGTTTTTGAAGAGTTTGAAATGTATTATATTTGAGAGTTAGAAGAATTGATATGTGATGTTTGTAGTTTCTTATGATTATTTGATCTTCTCCTTCTTTGCTTGTTGGAAGATGGCAGAAGTCGACTTGACGATTGTTATAGAGTATAGTGGTTTGGCTGAACAAGAACCACTCAGAAGGCATGGGTCTATCTGCAAAGGGTTTACTTGGAGAGCAGTGAAGAATTGTGATCAGGCGGGTTTGTATGTTTTGAGTGGTGTAAGAGTAGTCCGAATGCTCCGATATGTCTCAATCTACTGGGAAGCAAATGAGGTCCAGTATGTGTCCACTGTATGTCTTATGTTGAACTACAAGAGAAGCGAAACGCTCAAGTTACTCATACTCTTCTTTCTATTCTGAGGTATTGGTTATCCTGATCTTATGCATCCCTTCATTGACATTGAATTAAACGTGCAGAACAAAAAGTCGTCAACAAACCATCATCCCATATAGTTCATAAATTTATTTGTGGGCTAGACATAACATGAAATGTTAGTACTCTTTCAATTAGAAGTAGCATTTCAATGGAGCAAAGACTTACGAATTCCTTCCTCCGGCTGGGGCTCAATACCAACCACCTCGGCGGCGGTCTTGGTCTCGGCTGCCGACTTGTCTTCCTTCATGAAGGGGAAAGCAAGGACTTCCTTGATACTATAGTTGTCGGTGAGGAACATGACCAAACGGTCGATACCCATACCCCAACCACCAGTGGGGGGCAGACCATATTCCAAGCTAGTACAGAAGTTCTCGTCGATGAGCTGAGCCTCGTCGTCACCCTGGTCCTTCTGGCGGGCCTGTTCCTCGAAACGGAGACGCTGATCGAAGGGGTCGTTCAACTCAGTGTATGCGTTGACGATCTCCTTCTTGCAGACGAAGGCCTCAAAACGCTCGCAGAGACCCACGTTCTGGCGGTGGTACTTGGCAAGAGGCGACATCATCTGGGGGTGGCCGGTAATGAAGGTTGGGTTGACGCAGGTCTCCTCGATGAACTCGCCGACCAGTTTGTCAAGCATACGAGCGTTGGTCAATGGGGGAGAGCACTCAACGCCGGTCTTCTTCAGCACCTTCTTGAGGAATTCGCCCGTCTCAGCGGTGTGCAGCTGGTCACCTGACGGGAACTTCTCACCAGTGGCCTCCTCGAGGGCTGGGATCATCTCCACGCGGCGCCAGGGAGCCTTCCAGTTGACGTTGTATTCCTCGCCAGACTGGGTATGGAAAACGGTCTCGTAACCGCCGGTGACGTGCTTCACCAGGCCGGAGACCAGCTCTTCAGTCAGGTTCATGACATCGTAGACATCGGCGTAAGCCCAGTAGAACTCGCAAGTCGTGAATTCGGGGTTGTGGGTAAGGTCAATGCCTTCGTTACGGAATTGACGACCCATTTCATACACACGCTCAAGGCCTCCAACGATGAGCATCTTCAGGTACAACTCGGGAGCCACACGCATGAACAGGTTCATGTCGAGGTCGTTGTGGTGAGTGACGAAGGGCTTGGCGGTCGCACCACCGGCGATGGCATTCATCATAGGGGTTTCGACCTCGACGAAGTCGCGGGTGTCAAAGAAGTTGCGGATATATGAGACAATCTTGGAGCGGGTGACGAAGACATTGCGCGAGCGGTCGTTCATGATCAAGTCAAGGTAACGTTGACGGAAGCGCTGCTCCTTGTCCTGGAAACCATAGTGCTCGGAGGGGATAGCGTGCAAGCAAGGAGCCAAAAGCACGATCTCAGAAGCGAAGATAGACAGCTCACCATCGGGGCGGTTCTTGGGGTTACTGCGACCAGGGAAGCCGACAATACCAACAACATCACCTCTCCGGAGATGCTCATGCTGAGCCTCGAAGGAGACATCGCCGGCAGCGTTCTGAGCTTGGCACACTACTTGCACCTTCACACCCTCTGCGCGGATGTCGTAGAAAATCAACTTGGCGCCGGAGGAACGCTTGGTGTAGATTCTACCGGCGATACGAACAGTCTTGTCGGGCAGCTGGTCACCCTTTCCGAGATGCTCGTAGTCCTTGAGGAACTGGCGCAAGTCATCGGTGACTTGGAACTTGTGAGGGTAGGGGTCGGGTTGCTTGGTCTCGCGCAACTTGTTGATTCTCTTGCTGCGGATTTCGAAGTATTGCTAAAGAGAAGTTAAAAGCCCAGGGTTAGCGGTCGACAAATTCGGCGTGTCACTACACAGTCATTCATATAGCAGGAGCAAAAAACCTACGTTGGGAGTCAAGTTGGCCTCGTCCTCTTCAGCAGAGGTCTTCTTCGCGGGCTTCGGAGGGGCAGCAGCCTCCTTCTCCTTCTTCTTGGCTTCCTTCTCACGGAGCTTCTGGCGGCGCTTCAATTCGGACTTAGAAACCTTCTCGCCAGTGACTTCGTCGAGCAAGAGGTTGGCCATGGAGGCCTCAGCCTCCTTAACTGCATTGGGTTCCGACATGGTGGATTAAATGGCCTGTCGCTCTGAGATCTTCCAACGGAGAAGAGTGAGGATAAAAGAGACGACGGAGGTTCGGTGGGTGAGCCAAAGAATTTTGGGCGGGAATCACAACTTTTTTTCATTGGGTCATTAACTACCCCACGTTAAGAATCAATGACATCCTACAATTCCTATGAGTCATAATATTCTTTACACCTGGGCTTCTTATAAAATACTCTTAGTATACATATATAATTGACGGCTTTCTACCTGAACTGTCTCCTGAAACTAAAGCCATCATCTCGTAGTCATTTATGATTACCATATTGACTCGAGGGCTTAGGGCTTAGGGCACCCAGGTGGGGTTTTCTTTGCCCCTCCATAGATAGAGGGGGAGCGCAAGATATCTCTAAAAGGAGAATACTGTTGCAAAGAAGGGACAGAAAAGTAAAAAAGAGGAATCAAAATAAATATCACTATTACTTGGCATTGAATCTCTGGTATGAGTGCTTTTACTGTTTTATTCAAAATGTAGTCGTGACCTGAAATATATTGTAATTATTTATATAGTCTATATTAAGCGGGACATACAACTACTACCTAGTATCAGGTTTTTGTATGTCTTTGACAATGCTTGCATTGTATAGGGAAGTCAAACAAGCATAGGTAGGATGGCATGTTTGAAAAAATATTTCAATAGGCTCTACTGGTTTAGTTGTTGATACATAGGCCTAGCTTCAACATGGCTACAGGTGCATCTCAGTTAACAAAGCGACTTCAAACACTATTTGTAGTATTGGAGGCAATAAATCTCAGAATAGCAGTTAGTAGCATTGGATAGGTTTGTGTAAATGTTTATTGGATAATGTCTACAGAACCTAAGAAGACCTGAATAAAAGGAGATACTGAGAGCAGTGGAATGAAGCAGAAACAAGATACAAAGCCTAGGCAAGTTGATGGTACAAAGCCTACTATCCTAGGACCTCAGATGGCTCTTGTAAAGCTTATAATTCCATGATTCCACGGTTTTCAATGTAGAGTATGTCTACGTTCCCCTGGTGACTTACTCCTTCTGCCTTCACCTGACCCCTTGTGTTGTATGAAACATTCACTTTACCTGGTTGACCCCCTCCTTTGTTATTTCTCACTTCTCATGTCTACTTACACCTGGCTATCCCCTGTTTATCGAGTGTTACTCTTGTCACCACCTTATCTTGATCTCTCAGCACGAGAAAGTAGCCTTAGGGACGTCGAAGATGTCGCAGCTGGGAACTCCTAGCTACTCTACGACAGATAGTATATCAGCATCCCTCTACTTGTGGATATACAGGCTAACAAATTCATTAGCTATCCTTCAGGACTCTCCATCCAAAATGAGGTCATTAGAGAATAAGGCGATCCAGGTGATCGCACGGGACATGAAGGCTCTGGTCCGGAAGATACAAGATCTCCGCCATATTGGCATAGAGGATAACCGAATTGCTCTACCCAAGATCTGTGTGATAGGAGACCAAAGTACGGGCAAGAGTTCACTCATAGAAGGAATGTCTGAGATAAAGGTTCCCAGAAGCGCTGGTACTTGTACTAGGTGTCCAATGGAAATAAATCTCTCTGAGAGCGAGCCCGGCCAGCCTTGGGCATGTCAGATCTATCTATCACGAAGGTATATGTACGATGGATCGCGAAAGTTTAGAACTCCCAGAAAAGCTCAGCCACTTGGTCCATGGATCGAACAAGATCAGGAGGATGAACACTTCATCACCCTGTCCGACAAGGACCAAGTTCAGGAAGCCATTAAGTGGGCCCAACTTGCGATTCTGAATCCAGGACAGTCTTCCAGAGAATATATTCCAGGAGAGAATGCAGGAACCAATACGCATTACCAAGTCAAGTTCTCGCCTAACATTGTGCGTCTTGACATCTCAGCACCCGACTTTCCCAATTTATCTTTCTATGATCTCCCTGGCGTCATTAGCCAGGCCGAGTTGGACGAAGAGAGATACCTTATCTCGCTCATTGAGAACCTAGTCAAGGAGTACATCTCACAGCAAAACTGTATCGTTTTATTGACTTTGCCCATGACGGATGACGCCACAAACTCCAGCGCAGCACGCATCATGCGAAACGTGCGCGGTGCTCACCAACGCACCTTAGGTGTACTGACAAAGCCGGATAGAATACAGGCAGGCGAATCATATTCACAATGGGTAGATATCTTAGAGGGCTACAAATTCAAACTTGGACATGGCTACTACATTGTTCGCAATAACCCGGACCCATCGATCGAACATTCCCAAGCCCGAGAAGAGGAGGACGACTTCTTTGCTTCACATCCCTGGACAGCTGAAGAGCTATCACCCTACCAAGATAGGTTTGGAACGCGCCGCCTTCAAACATCGCTTTCAAGTCTTCTTCTAGAGCAGATACAGGGTTGCCTTCCAGGGATAATTGAACAAATTGACACTAAGGCCACTCGTATCAATGAAGAGCTTAAAGAGATCCCTGATCCACCTTCTGCAAATGTTCTATACATCTTATGCAGGCTTCTTTATGATCTGGGAGACAGAATTCGCGCTAATTTTGAAGGGGGTTCTTCGGAATACCCTCTGCTGAAGATCTGGGGGCATATAGCGCAGGACTTTAGAGCGATATTGATCCGAACACGCCCAACAGTGTCGCTTTTGTCACAGTCGGATCGAACATCTTTTCCAATACAACCCGACGGAGATTCGGACTGTGAAATGACATCAGCACCACGATCAGTGAAGCGCAAGTCGCCCAGTGCCCCTCCAGATCCGCAGGTGCCGAAACCGGGACCTTCTGGATACTTTACCAATCACTTCAATCAGTTCGTCCAACCTGCTCGAATTTTTACCTGGGAAAACATCCGTGAAATTAATGAGGACTCATGCCGTGCTGGAATTCCCGACCAAGCAGATCCAAAGGCCCTCGAGATGCTCCGGCAGCTGAGTGTCCAGCATTGGGATGGGCCAATGCTAGTTTTTCTCAAGGCGACGCATAATCTAGTCAAAGAAATGCTGCTGAAGCAGCTCAGGGAAGTATTTTCTCAGTACTATCAGACGACTCTGTTCAGGGAATTGAAAAAGATTATCGAGAAATACCTTGGAGAACTCCAGGAGAAGCATACAAAATACGCTGTTGATAATTACAATATCGAATATCACAAACCGTTTACTATGGCTACAGCACAGCTTGAACATGCCACCAGGGATGCGCATCACTTTCTAAGTACTCGGCGCCACCTGGCTAGAGCCGATTTATACCTCGAACTTCAGGGAAAGTGTCCAGAAAATGACACGAGAAAGGCAGCGGAGCTCAAAAAGCTGACAACAGCTGAACTTGGACCGGACAAGTTTTTCCAAGAAGTAAAGATGATGGCGGTAAGCTTGTTGTCACTCTTAACACTCTGCACAGACATTGACTTCATAGTCCACTCGGGGTTACTATGAGGTAGCCTGTTCACGATTCGTCGATTCCACCTGTCAGGGTATTCATACCAGGCTTTTTTCAAAGTGCCGAGAGGAGCTCATCTCAGTTATCGAAAAGAGCTACATATTTCAGATACAGATGGTATGTCACTGGAAAGATGCCAAGAGCTCATGGCTCCAGACCTTGAACGCCAACGTCGACGCCAATACCTAATCAAGGAAAAGAAAAAGATCACACAAGCGCAAGAGTGGCTCTCGGCGATCAAAAAAGAGGAAGACGATGAAAAGTTCACGGTACCTTTGGTCTTCAGATCCCAAACTCCGGAAAAGCCTCCCAGAGGCATATAGTTGAACATACACTAGGTCATTAATCTGGTAGGACACCTGATTCGTAGCTTTTCTTGTGTATCCTGCTTCTTGTATGCTTGGAAAAGACTGCTGAGAAGGATTTTGTGAAATATGTGCGGTTGCCCGTTCGTTCGAATCAAACGATGTAGTTTAGTTGAATACACTACTGAAGATATAGCTGGATCACGATGGAGGTGAAAATACAGCGGGAGTAACTTGATAGGGCTGCAGCGTCGCATAATACAGTCGCATATGCTAATGGAGATGAGGGTACTTTCTGCAGACGCCTTACTCTATGGTCGCTTATCATCCTTGGATGTCAATGTATTTACCTAGATCAATTTCTCTCACGTTAGAATGATAGCAAGCCTATGTACTAACACTTTTTCAAACATACCCACACCTGCTGAGGCTTACCATGGATTATCCGAATGTCACTGGCTTACTGTAGTGGTGAGGGAAACCCTCACTGGTTCAATTTCGGCAGTACATTCACCACTATATTCACGAAAGAGCTTAAGACCAGTTATTACCTACTCTCCTCATCACTGCAGAGCTGCAGATCACAATTGGAGTATACACTTTGACTAATCAAACACAGACCTAGGTAATAATGTCCTAAAAAGGAATGAAGCTATCCAGCGGACGAAAGCGGTGAATTTTTACTGCCAAGTTATTTATGGAATATCCGCTTTTAGGCTCTCTTTCTCCTGACGGGACCCCGTACATCATTAGTATTCAGGCCCAAGAAAGTTCCGGCCCTGAGAAACCTTTCTACTGTATCCTTATCCTTACTCACCTTCCTTTTTGCATGTTCAGTATCACTTGCTATCCTCACAGCCTTCTACATTGCGACATCACCAAACTTACCTTTTGATACCCACTACATCCCCCACCCCACCTGTTGTTTTCCCAATGCTTCAAGTACCAATGCGGGAACATACCAACGTGGCCTCCACCAAGGCTATTATCTTAGTATGTACTGCAGAAAGCCGGTCGCCAAATGGCTGTAATTGACATGACTTACTGCTAGGTCGGCGGTCCATCCAGAGGAACCCGTTTCAGACCTCTGTCCCTCGATGTGCCCAAGGTTAGTGGCCCCTCCGTTGATCTCCCATGACCCCTGAATAATCTCCGAGCATGTGCTAACGAGTGATGTGATCTACCATTAGCCTCTTTTCGAAGTTGCCGGACATCCTATCATCTATCACGGCCTCAAAGCCCTCGCCAAAATCCCCGATATCCGAGATGTGTACCTCGTCGGCTACTACGATGAAACAGTCTTTCGCGACTTCATCAAAGACTCCGCCAAGGAGTTCCCCCAATTCCGCATTCAATATCTGCGAGAATACACATCTCTAGGCACCGCTGGCGGTCTCTACCACTTCCGTGATGCCATCCTCAAGGGCAAACCGGAGCGCATCTTCGTACTTAATGCCGACGTCTGTTGCTCTTTCCCGCTTGGGGAGATGCTGAGGCTGTTTGAGGAGAAGGATGCAGAGGCTGTCATTCTTGGAACCAGGGTGAACAATGATGCCGCCACCAACTTCGGATGTATAGTTTCCGATTCGCATACCAAGCGAGTGCTTCACTATGTCGAGAAACCCGAATCGCATATCTCCAACCTGATTAACTGCGGTGTATATCTGTTTGCGACCGAGTGCATTTTCCCTTCCATCCGCAGTGCCATCAAACGCCGCACAACCAGGCCCCGTCTGGTATCCTACCCATCCTCTGAGAATCTAGAATCGTCATTCATCGCTGCCGAGGAAGACACGGAGAAGAGCGAAGTCCTCCGCCTGGAGCAGGACATTTTGTCAGACCTTGCCGACAGCAATCGCTTTTTCGTCCACGAAACGAAAGACTTCTGGCGCCAGATTAAGACTGCCGGCTCAGCCGTCCCTGCCAACGCTCTCTACCTCCAGAAGGCCTTCCAGGCCCAATCCGACGAACTTACCCCTCCTTCCGCGACCATTGTTCCCCCAGTCTTCATCCACCCCTCCGCAACAGTGGATCCCACAGCGAAGCTGGGACCCAATGTTTCGATTGGTCCCCGTGCGATTGTGGGTGCGGGAGCCCGTGTCAAGGACTCGATTGTGCTCGAGGATGCTGAGATCAAGCATGACGCTTGTGTGATGCACTCGATCATAGGATGGAGCAGCCGTGTCGGTGCCTGGGCCCGTGTCGAGGGTACCCCTATTGCGAATGGAACGCATTCCACCAGCATCGTGAAGCACGGCGTCAAGGTACAGAGCATCACCATCCTGGGTAAGGAATGTGCCGTTGGTGACGAAGTACGGGTGCAAAACTGTGTTTGCCTGCCGTACAAGGAACTCAAGCGTGTAAGTGCCTCTTCTATCTGTGAAATATTCTCTTAACGCAACTGACCACATATACAGGATGTCGCCAACGAGGTCATTATGTAAACTTACGTGGAATCGGGTAACGTTGGGTGGTCTCGTGAACATACATTGTGGTCCATACTTTTCCTCCTATATGTTGAATTTAATATAATTTCCTACATTAGCCTGACTCGTTATGAACTATACCTCTGGCAAGCCATGGACTTTGTTTGCCCTCATTAGTATTGACTACGTGGTTCATATGGTCAAGCCCAATATTGTGCTCTAGACTACGGTTGCTTCTCCGAGAAAAAAAAAATATTTAGAGAAATAGTACAATGATTATCCAATCCGGCATGATTCATGACCACTAAGGTTGATAAAAAGGACATCTTGAACATAAATAGTACACCTATTACGCCCTGACAAAAACAAGTATGACCCCTTCACTGCAAGATCGTAACACATCAGATCAAGTTGAGTATAATCGACACATACTATGTCGGTCGTAAGCAGACAGCCCCAATACTGTACAATTCCATCTGGATAAGGGTGTAAACCACAAGAGTTCATCTATAAGCCGCAGGATCATAATGCGTCTGTTCCGATGGATGGCCGTACCCGTCATGCCCATAAGTGCTGAATCGGACACGGGGACGAGTAGGCGTCGGTTGATAATAATCCTGCGCCTCACCACCATGATGCTGCTCAAGATTGGAACTGGCGCCATATACAGGCGGGGGCATCGTCTGACCGGAATAATTACCCGGAGCAGGGATGTCACTGTAGACTTCATCCGGGTGATTATTCGAGCGAAAAGCGGGATGCTGTTCATCGAGTCCACCATAAGGGCCCATGCCTCCCGACAAAGCACTGCTGCTGCGATCGTGCATCTTGTAATCGTTCAAGGCCACGTTGCTGGCCATGGGGTCGTACTCACCCAGACGAGTCTGGCGTCTGCGTACGATAACATCGAGGGCGATAGCGGCGATATAAGAAATATTTGCCAGGACTGTAAAGGCGAACAATGCCTTGTATATCCGGCAAACGGTGATACCGGTAGAAGTAGCCCAGTATGTGGCATTGCAGGTGGTCAGGATCGTTTGGGACATGCTCCAACTCAAGAGGCCGAGGGAAATGAGCCAGAGAAGGAGACAGATCGTATTCGATAGGAGTGATAGGCGCGGTGAGAGGCCATAGCAGCAGTGGGTTATGGTAGTTAGGACGTAGTTAAGAAGGGAAAGGATAACGGCGATTAGTAGCTAGAATGTGCTTATATTAGTTACATCTCTTGAGGCTGTGGGTTGCCATGCGAGACTTACAACCAGGAATGCCCAAGGAAGTTTGAAGCCACCTTGATGGAGGTTGTAGATGAAGACGGCTAGAATGATGCCGACGACCAGAGTAGAGATAAAGCCCACAGCGCGGATGGCATGAAATGGTATTGCAGGGTACGCCGATGGTTTCACGGATGTGGGTTTGGATCGCATCTTGATATCTGTTCAAGTCGGGGTGGTGATGCGCTTGGATCAAGAAGTAATCGATCGATATTAATTAATTCTTTGGCTCGTGTGGGGGATGATATGTATGGATGTTGATATGATAAACAAAACGGAGATCCACTTGTCGTCAATCAGTGCCACCACACGTGAGGGATGGTGGTTGAATAAATTTTTTCTTGATATTTCTTGAACCCGCAAGAAGGAATATTAATGGGAGTAAATAAGAAAGTGAAAATGCAAATCAACAAGGGAGAAAAACAGAAAATGCCCAACAAGCGAAAGGCTGTGGGTTGTTGATCCGGACAGGCGTCGCAATGCAAAGCCTCGTCTGTGGCCGATCTTTTGGCTCCACTGCGGGTGTTGCTAAAGAAAGAAGCCAACCACAAGGTTGGAGTCCACTAGTGGCATAGTCAAATACGATGACGACTGTTGCTGAGGTGGTTTTTGCCCCTAGTCTTTCAAACGGTCATTCAAAAACAAGTACCGATTTGACCGTTCTGAGGAATGTGCCAGCTTGGGCTGAGTTTTCTGGATCAAATGCAAACATGCGAATCCTGAACTGAACAATCGCCATTGTCCTCTCTACTCCAGGTCCACAATCACATGACATCTCAGGAACCTCTTAGGCATCCCATTGCGGTCCAACTGCCACACTGCGGTCAAACAGAGCAAACTTCTTCCCCGCCTGCCCAGCCGTCGGTATTTGGAGACGATTATTCATCTCTTTTGAAGTTGATGAAAATGATGCCATCCAGTCTTTTGTTTAGTTATGTCACACTCGTACTAAACTAACTAGTTATTCATTAGTCAATGGTCTAGTATCAGATGCTGACCAATCCAGTCAGGCTCGTCAATATCAATTAGTACAAAAGCTCTCGTGTCTCCACGGTATCTCTGACATTGTCACATTGGTGTCAATGATCTATATTTCATCATGAGAATTCTGTTCTTCTTTCTATAACATCAACACATCAATCAATGGCATCCCTCCTAACTAATACCCTTCCCTGGCATGATGGCGAGATACGAATGCGCAATTTGTTTCATATCCCTCCTCTCAGTAACCCCACAGTGCCTGCTCTAAGTTATGGGGCATCTTATATGCTCTTAAACTCGCCTTTGCTTGCTATTGGTGCCGTTGATCGAGAGGGACGACCTTGGACAACGCTTTGGGGTGGTGAAGTAGGCTTCGCCAAGCCAACTTCCCAATCGAAGATTGAGGTTAAGACTCCTGTTGACATCAGACATGACCCTCTAGCAGATATACTGCTACATGACAACTCAGGGGAGTCCGGGCAGTTGGTTTCCGGCTTAGTTGTCGATCTAGCGACCCGCAAAAGAGCAAAGCTTTTTGGGAGGAAAATCAGTGGATCGATACAACTGGGCGAAAAGAGCCAGGCTGACTCCAGCGGGGTAGGGATTGCGCAATTACTTGTGCAAATAGAAGCAAGTCTTGGTAAGGATTGAATCTAGAAGACTATAGCCATGAGGTGCTTACAACTGCAGGCAATTGCCCCAAGTATATAAATATTAGAAACATTACTCCAACTCTGCCTACTCCAAGGCTCATCTCCGAGTCCGCACAACTTCCTTCCAGTGCTTTGAAGCTCCTTGACCGTGCAGACACGCTGTTCATATCCTCACGACATGGAGATGTGGATATGGATACCAACATCCGTGGCGGACCTGCAGGCTTTGTCCGTGTTATATCCAATGAACCCAATGGAGCCGTATTTGCTTACCCAGAATATTCCGGGAATCGCCTGTACCAAACCTTAGGCAATCTTCAAACAACGCCTTTAGCAGGTTTTGTCTTTCCGGATTTTGAAACAGGAAATGCATTATACCTCACCGGACAAACTGAGATCTTCGTGGGGAAAGAGGCCGCCGCTCTCCTTCCACGATCAAACCTGGCCGTGAGAGTGACTGTCACCGCAGCGCGGTATGTAGAGAAATCATTAGCATTTCGAGGCGTTGCAGGAGCAAAATCTCCATACAATCCAAGTGTACGATATTTAGCCACAGAAAAGGCTAGCCCTGCTGCTATAGGAGATGAAAAGTCATCTGTTACAGCTATGTTGGTAAAGAAAGAATTACTTACCCCGACAATATGCCGGTTCCGTTTCCAAATATCAGATCCGTCTAAGATTGGGGCATGGGTGCCTGGGCAATATGCTACCCTTTCATTCCAAGAAGAGTTGGACATGGGGTATAGCCACATGAAAGATGACGATCCATCGAGTATCAACGATGACTATGTCCGAACTTTCACAATCTCATCGTATCCAGTACATAACCGCTCTACAGAGTTTGAGATAACTGCTCGGAAGCACGGTAATGTAACCAATTACCTTTTCAGAACCAACGAGCGAGCGGGTTTGGAGGTACCTTTGAAAGGCTTCGGCGGTGACTTCTATTTGAAAGCACCAAGCGAGCATGACAAACTTCCTTTTATCGCCGGGGGTATCGGAATTACGCCACTTCTCGCACAACTCCCAGGTATTGGTATATGTCACTTACGTTTACTATGGTCTATTTCCATTCGCGACCTCGGTCTGGTTTTGGATACGTTCAATCGATTCCCTCGACTACCGCACGTCACAAGCCTTTTCATAACTGGGCCTGAGCAACAGGATGAGAAGGCTACTGAGCAACTGGCGTCATTAGACGCATCTGAAGCACGAGTTGAACGTCGCCGAATGGAAGCCAAAGATCTAGATTTGTCCTGGGCAGATGTGTGGTACTTCTGTGGTGGTCCTTCCTTGAAGAGTTCAGTGTTGAATTGGCTTGTCGGGAAAGACATAGTATATGAAGATTTCAATTATTGATAGCTATAGTGAAATTTTGTTGAAGGATCTCGCATTTCCGTATATCTTAGGACACATACATGCCGGATTTTCTACACCCGTGACAGCTCGAAGGCTTTCCCTTTCCGTTGAAGTACCCACCCCTCGCCACCTTTTGTAGACCTGGGCACGCCTGAGCGTCCTGAGCTGATCACTGAGTAGGGGCTTGTAGCCTGAGTACGCTAACCTCAATAAAACATGCCATGCTAGCCTGAGTTGCACTAAGTCTATTTTTTCCTGTAGCGCTTTTGACCGTCATTGGCTTTTTGTCCACTCAAAGATATTATCATCAAACCTCTAGGCAGACAATTCCTGGCTAACCTACTGAGAGCATGCGTTTCACTTGGAACGTATTCAGGGTCGGTGGTGCTCAAGCAACAAATCTCCTCAATAGATGAACTAAACAAATCTAATTACTAAAATCCCTCAGTGCTTGAATCTCACCTGACTTGGTTCCGCTTGCAAGGATAGTACCTGTCCTACTTTTGCCCACCCTGTTATCTGTTTTGTCAGACTCTGGCTGAATTGACTGGCTCAAACTCAATTCATTCTTGAGCACTGTTTCTGCCGCCTCAGTCAGGTGTTCAACCGCGATCTATACTACTATTTGTTGGGAGAATTAGCTCCCCATCATCTACTCTGATATATTTAATATTTTGCTACAATAGTATTAATCTAGAACCCTCTGCTCTTAGCCCCACCTTCCCCCCAACCAGATACATATTATCCAACACTTGCCCTATTGCGGCGAGACTTCAATCACTAAGCCACCACAAAAGCAAAAACGAGCTATGACATCCCGATTCCATCCCCTGCAGCCTATAGGCCAGGATATCTACTTGTATCAACCGTCAAATCCCCATCCCAATCACAATCTGACGGCCTCTCCTTCCCTGATAACACTCTGTACGTGGCTCGGAGGCGCAACACCCCAGCGCATCCAAAAATACATCAATGGCTATCGATCCCTCTACCCCGACTCGGCCATTCTACTTATCACTACGCGCATACTGGAAATTAGTGCTCTTCCATTCAGTGTTCTCCACGCGCGATTAGGCCCCGCCCGCGACGTGATTCGGCAATTGAACAGCTCCACAGCAAAGGGAAATCCCCCTTCTATTCTCCTGCACATCTTCTCTCATGGCGGGTGTAACACTGCTCTCCAGCTAGCGATATCGCTATGCACGGATTGGAACCACCCTTCCTTCGAGATCGGAAAATATCTCGGCGTTGTTATCTTCGATTGCTGTCCCGGAGATACATCCTTTGACCGGGCTTATCAGGCTGCGGCGCTTTCTCTTTTGAGCTCTTTGCCAGGCCAAATGGTAGGAAAATTGTTACTGTACCCTGTTATGGGTCTTATCAATGGCCTTCAGATGGCTGGATGGATGAGCTCTGTGCGGGACTTGCGGAAACAGCTGAATGATCCTCAAGTTTTTGGGGCCTCGGCTGCTAGGTTATACTTGTATTCTACAGCTGATCGAATAGTTAGGTGGGAGGATGTTGAGTCTCATCAGAGGGAGGCTAAATCTCTCCTGGGATGTGCGGTGGAGGGTATTGCATTTACGGATAGTCCGCACTGTGCCTTGGTGAGGGATCATGCTGATCAATATTGGGCGGAGATAAAGACGTTTTGGACAAAAAGGAGAAGCAAGGAACCTAATTTGATGAGCTCTGTACTAAGCGAGCGGCTTCGCAGCCGACTTTAATGCAGGGGGAAGATCGCTTAATATTATCGCAGATTCTTCTTACTCTATCGCGCAGGGTTAGAACTATACGTCATACGCAAACATATTCTGGTGGGCGTAGGCGAAAGTTCATGAATGACAAAAATCTAAAGAAACATATCATTCTAAGGCGTCAATTACTGATTATCCAGCTTGTTGTTGGTTGCAGGGTTGTGTACTGTATGTACGACTCCCTGTTCCGTCTCGTGGCTCTAATTCATATCGAATTCTTTCATAAAGATGCTCAATATAAGATTGAGACCTGCGAAGCTACACATTACCACCCAGATGACCTGGTTTGAGTTAACTAGTGCTTGTCAGATCTCAGTTGCCTCAGACGAGCCAGTTGGTAGTCTCTTCAATAACTCGCCCAAAGTGACCAAGTTCATTGCTTGATCTTGTAACTGATTGGTGGCCTCTTTCGACACTGCGGCAGAGAGATGCTTTGGGAGTTGATTGTCAATAATAGCACCGCCAATTGCAACCCCAGTTGTCTGCCAAATTGACCTGAGCAATAAGGCTAATGTGGCGGCCATGCTAACTTCGCGCTGTGGGACGAATGAGTAGTTAAATGTGTTTTCCTATTGCTTGATCTGGACTTCTGTCTTCCCCTAAAGACCATTTTCTCGGATACACTACAGGTGAGGCCCTGTTCAGCATAAAGTTTTAGACTATGGTGTTCATCAATAAATATCAATCTTTTAACCTCACCAGTTGACCGCAAACCATTTCGAGTACAGTTTAATTAGCTTCTTGTCTACCGGTCAAACAGAATCAAGAATATTGAATGGGGTCTAAAAGATAGATAGATATATGTATGTATGTTTATGCTACCAGTACGTCATGTGGTACCTTTAATCCCATTGTGACCATGGACCATACCTGAATAGAATTTCGACCTCCGCACCGAACCACCAAAACGCGTTATCGGCTGCTGCCTCCGCATAACCTCACCGAACAACCAGCATTATAACAACTCCAGACCCCATTGCAATTCACTCTCTTTTCCTCCTTCGCCCGACACTACCCACACAAAACCAAAACCCATCTCCCCAAACGAAGACTCCAAAGCGCCAGGGAACCCGGGCCTGACCCCGCACCCCTCGTCAGCTCAAACCCTCCCCTCGAACCGAAGTGCAATACCAACAACCAAAATGTCCACCTACGAAGGTACGACCCCGCCTCCCCTTAACCTAATAAAAAGGCAACCCTAACAAAAGAAAAAAAAAACAGTCGAACACAATACAACAGACCCAGGCACAGCAACGCCCTCAACCCACCGCCGCCGCCCCGACCTCTCCACATTCTTCGCGGCCCTCTCCGAAATCAGCCCCGACGAAGCTCGCACAAGAGAACATGCCGTCCCCGTCCCGCGCGACGTGAGCGCAGCCTTCTACTCCCTCGCCGAAGCCTTCGACCTGATGCGCCGCGATGGCGAGCACAGCGTACCCACCGGCGAAGGTGACAGTGACCTCCTGACGCAGATGATTCAGAGCTTGCTGAGCTCGGCCGAGACGCCCCCGCGGGAGGTCGAGGGTGTTAGCGAGGAGTTTTGCGATGGTATGTGTTCTTCTCTCTAGTTTTGTTTTGAAGTTGGGGTTGGGTTAGTGCTGATGTTTGGTTAGTTCTGGACCGCGTGCCTAAGGCGTCATTAAAGCCGTCGCAGAGTTGTCCGATTTGCGGAAATGCGTTTTTGGAGGACCAGTATCCGCTTGTTGTGCGATTGCCGTGCCATCCGACGCATCTTTTTGATTTGGAGTGTGTGCGGCCGTGGTTGAGGTTGAGGGGGACGTGTCCGCTGGATCGGACGGATTTTGCGAAGCAGGAGAGGGAGAAGGCTGAGGCTAGGAGAAAGAAGCCAGTCGAGGATGATGAGGAAGAGTGGGATGGTATGTATGGTTAGATGGGGCGTGTGGTGGCTTGTCATGTTAGTAGGCTGCGGAGTTTCGGGGTGAGGAAGGAGGTTGTGTGTGTGTGATATTGGGAGAATATTATCAGGATATGTTTGATGATTCATGAGGCCATTATCATTGCATGATACTTCTATCTATGCTAATACTCGATATGTGAAAGAAAGGACTGAAGTCACTGTCTACAGATTATCTCCTTTCTCCGTTCCCGTCCTTGGGTCGGATTGCCAGCTTGCCAGTCTTGTCGATCACGGCTTCGAACCCGCTCCTCTCAAGTAGTCCATTCTCGTCTTTTACTACTTCACGCGCCTCTAGCTCCTCTACAAGCTTCTGGTTCTCGCGGTTGCCCTCCAACAAGAACTTCAAGCACATGACCGCATGCTCCTTGATGTAGGGGTTGTGCGCGTCAAAGTTGGTGCAAGACAGGATGGTCTCGACGCCGCCATGCCGACGGATTTGGTCTTGGACCTCCGGGCACTTCCACACAAGAGACGAGAGCACGAGTACGACAAGCTTCTTAAGGTTCCTCCATTCGAATTCGGATGGGTCTTCCGTTATCGGGGGCGACTCAGCTCTAGAAGGGGCACCGCCATCAACCGGGTCTGGATCACTGGGGTCATAGGGTCGTTCAACTGCAACTGGTCCAGGAACTGTGCTTGGTTGGGACTCCTTTGAAGGGCTACGGGGCCCGAGGGATAATTGGCTCAATTGCCCCTTAGGAATGCTTGCTTCAAGTTCTTTGATCAAGGTAACCAAATCGTAGACAATCTCCCATTTGACTAGAAGGTTCTTCCAGTCGTTGTTTTCGGTGAGGACGGCGAAAAATTCCAGGAATTGGTAGACGCCTTCGTAAACCCGTTCCATATCCCACAGATTTAGCGGAAAGTCCTCGGGGAGCGCCCGTCCAGCACGGATCTGGCCTTGAAGGTAGATCAATGCGCAGGTTTCCGGGATGATGTTACCGCGGAAGATGGTGAATATGTAGCGGACTGTGAGAATATCGACTCTAGAGAGCGGTGCTGGGTTCTTCGTTGTGTTGGCCTGCGTTGATCCTGTGACAGAAGCGGGAGAGTATTTAGCTCTAAATATATGTGTGAGAATCTTGACGACGACTGCCTGAGCCGGAGAGATGATGTCCTTTGGTTGGCCGAAGTCAGAGTAGGCATGAGACATGAGGCCGTTCCTTAAAACTGCGTCCATAATCTGCACCATCATTTTGAAGTAGAGTTCATCGTCGGGCAAATCCCATGCGGCGATGAAGATCAAGAGTTCCCGAAGAAGGTTCCGTCCTGTCTCTTGTGTGAGCAGGATATGGCATCTAAGTGCCTGCATATTCCTTGAGCCAGTTCTCTCTCCTCCCTTCAGTCCAAAGCTATCGACGATACCAGCCTGAATGATCATTGGAAGCGCCTCTATCTCCGCGGGGCCCAGGACTAGAGGGATGTCTGTCAATAGACCACGTTGTTGATCGCCTGGGCGGCCTCGATAATCATCATCATCCTCATCATCTTCCTCTTCTTCCTCCTCCATGCTTCCATCTGCCACGGCCTCAAGGCTACGTGAATCGTCGTCGCCAACTGTTCCTGCATCGCCGGTGTCATAATCCTGATCACCATCGCCCCCGATTTGAGATGACTCTTGAAGTCGTGCCATCAGCTCATCCTTCGCTTCTTGGAGCGTTTCCGCAGCAGATTGAGCAGACCGCGGCATGCTTGTATCTTCCTCCATAATAGTCGCATCTCCTGCAGCAAGTGCACCATAGGCGTTAAGGTCAGGCAGGTCAGCCCAGCAGATACGCGGGAATCCGGCCGTCGTGCTTCGATCTATTGTAAGTATGGCCTTCTTGCGCGGCGGCTCGTCTTCGGGAAGGGCTGGTGGCAGATCTTTAGCTCTGTCTTGGAGGTCCGAGAATCCATCAACCTTTGCACCTAGTATTGCCGTAAGAGCAGCACGAATCTCTTTGACTTGCTCTGGATCCTTGCCCATTTCTTGGATAGCTGTCAAGTCGCGCCCAAGAAGCTTCTCCATGTGGTCTTTGATATTTGCGAGAAGTAACATTGCTGCTTCCTCTTTGATCGTCGCTGGCTCTCTCGGGAAGTTAGAGATAGTCTCCAGGAGCAAGTCTTCTGCCGTTTGGTCGTAAAGAGCCCTGATAGGGGGGTTCACGATTCTCTCACCAGTCTTGACGATGGGCGCCGCTCCCTCAGGCTGACCACTGGCCGGGTCTAGCGGCTCTCTCGGTTGAATGATATTCGAATCTCCAGTGGAGTGGTATCCGAAAAGGTCCAACCAGAGTACCATTTTCCGCTGTTCATTGTGCATGATAAAGTTGTGCAGGAACTGGAGGCATGTGATCAACAGGCGCTTGTAGAGGTTGACTACTTTCTGCCAACGCTCTTCATTCCTTGCATTCGTTTCACCGTCAAACCCGCGGGCAGTTACTCTAACACATGTGTCTACCAATGCTAGAATCCTTTGATCAAAGCCTTTTTCAGCCGCCATATTCTGCGCTTTCTTTGTTGTCGCAAGGAGGTTGCGGGCGATTGTGCACAGATCATTTAGACGTTCGATATCCTTGACAAGTGAAAAATAATTGTAGGCTATCAAGTTCGATGAGGAATGGTCGTAATTCGCAGTCGGGGGGCATTTCCACGCAAATGACTGTGATTCTAGAACGGGGATCGCTTTTGTCAAAACATCCGTAAAGCCCTGCCAAATGTCTGGTGACAGGCCTAAATTATGTCTGTCGTGATAACAAAGTCAGTATAGAAATAGTGAAGCGATCAAAGTGACGAGAAAATGGAAGGAACATTACCTAACATCGCTCTCCTGGTGTGTCTTATACAAGATCTGTTTCCCGGCAGATAACATATGCTCGAGGCGTTTATCGTCAATCATCCCACGAGTCTCATAGTGACTTAAGGTTCCCGTCAGGATAACCTTTAGCATGAGCTCGGCCGGGGTACATTTTGGCTTCATGTCCGCAGCAGTCCGGTCAGCCATATTTGACAGGATCTGTGAGGAAGCTCACAAATACTATGCGACAAAAGTTGTTGACTTAGAATAACAATTTAGGCGGGGAAGACAGAAACGCCGCATTGAAAAGTAAATTTTTCCGGCTCCGGTCCCGCCGACTCCCCCAAGTATGCCGAACAACATGATTGGCCAACTGCCTCTACTGTAAAGGAACATGGATCCGTAGGTACTAGAATAGCAGTACTAGTAATGCTCAAAGGATTTAGTCCAACTACTAAGTACTAATAGTTAAAGGTATCCATATATTCAAGTGTGTTGTGCATGTAGAATCTTAGGACATCTTCCGCCGAGCAGGTAATCCAAAGGAGTGGCGTAGATTATCCCATAACCCAAGATCATAGATATTGTCAATCTCCCTCATACTGCGTACTAATGTCCACTTATGATCAATAGGTGCCTCCCCGCCATTGGGTTGCCTAATCTCATTGGAATCGGGTGAGAACACGAAGCCCATTCTCGGTGGCTCACCTTCCGTAACTACAAGCACCTGGTCACTACTTGCCGGCCAGTATGATTGCGGGTTCTGATATTCGCGCAGCAAAGGCGAGTTTCCGTAGGCCTCCGCCTTGGTAGATTTAAATACCATACCATCAGCGACATCCTCTTTCCAATCGGACCACTTCGCGCTCTCATTTGTCGTCATGCCAGCCCAGATAAGGTAGGTGTGGTAAACAAGAAAAGCCATCGCCAACGGTGCTGTCATGAACATCAATGATGTGACGCCTCCAATACGGAGATCTGACGAAATCACAATAGTCCATACGTTAAAGAACATTGTCCAACTCTGTCTTGTTGTTCGCAGCGGTGAGTCTAGCGGGATCAACTTCTCCCATGACTGAGACAAAAGGGAGAAGCCAATGCATGAACCGTATATCAGCATTAAAGAGAGAGACAAAATCAAGGCCAGAAAATAGCGATAGTTATTCAATCCGACGCAATTCATCAGCCACACGCAATGATGGTCGTGCCGAGAAACGCATGCCCTGCAAAAGCTGCAATGCTTACTCCGTGCCGGCTTAACCATCTCACATGTGGTGCAGTAGCGACCTGGGTGAAAGATGACTCTATCATAAGGATAGCGTTCCATTTCTTGCGCGTGATTTTTGGGGGTAATGAAAGACTTTGTAACAATGCTCTTATATAGAAAGAAATAGGGTAACGTGGCAGCAATAGGCATGCAGAGCCTATGGGGCGTGGAGACCCTGGGCCATGCACTTGGAATGAACATGCACTGCCCTGCTATGAGGAGCGACGCAAAGAATATCTGTTGGGGATATTAGCAAGGCGTGGGGGAGGGATCCACTATTTAAGAAACTTACAAGGACAAGTGGATGATTCTCGTGAAATATATAGCTACCGGTTGTATTCCAGCAGTACACAAGCCGACCGTCTAAGAGGCGAGAATCAAGTGACGATATTGCACTTGGGATGTGTATGCAAACAACCCTATGCAGTAAGCCAATAGGGGTTTTGCTTTGTAAAATATTCATCAGTCATTGCACTCGAACTAGGCCTTATCACCTTACCGGAATGCAGGCAATTTCCCAAAAAGCGCGACAAATGTGAAGCCAGAAATGCCTAGAATAACGAAGGCGATGGTCCTCAGGAGCCCCATTGTTGTTAACCGACCTACGTGAAGGGAATGAGTCTAAGCCTCGGCACTGTGGACAGACATGATAGTGGGAAAATATTGAAGAAACAATATTTATGGAGTAGTCAAAGAAAGAATAAGCCTAACAAGGATGCACTCTCTATACACGAGCTATCTACTATCTACACGTGACAGCCGTTTGGGCGAATTCCTTGGCTTTATTTTCAGTAAACTGCTCCGATATAGTACAAGAGACAGAGAAGCTAACTAGATTTTAGAATGTAGTATGAAGCATGCATGTATTATTTTCTTACGCCGTACACTCTAAGTGTATCTATCTATCTATCTATCTCTAATTGATAAAGATCAGTAGTATATTGAGCAAAAAGAAATGAGGGACGGGCCGGGTTCGAACCGGCGACCTAAAGATAGGTTGCAATATTTGGTTAACCAATCAGGTCATTGCAATCTTCCACTCTACCACTGAGCTACCGCCCCAGGACTGTGGCAATATTAGTCTCGTAGAGAGATATAAGCCTAAATTATAAACATATTACTTCGTCACGCACAATCCATAGTTCTTCCTATACTGAGACAGCCACACTTCTCTATAGCTTTCAAGGCACCCGGTTCAGGTTTTGGAACAACTACGCTACACACAGGCGCCCTTTGAAACCGACGGAGTAACATATCATATTTACCGTCCCCTTGGCCCATATAGCAGCCTTCTCTGCCATATCTACACGTGATCACGCGTACCACGAACGCGGTTGGAAGCCCGTGCCTTCAATCAGGAGGGGACAATTGGACTCCTGTATCAGGCATAATATATCCGTCCTGGAACGAAAGTTAGGGGACAGCCCTATGGGGGATAAGAGCTTTATGCCTTTTACTGGGCCACTTTTCCAAGGGAAACAATTCTGGTTATCACACAATATTCCCCAACGAAGTAGATTCAAAGACCTCATCCAGGTAATTACCTTCGGTTGCGATTGTATGGTGTCTTGCATCTGACGGGTATATATAGCAACATGGTGGTGTCATAAGGCTCCATGAGAAGGATGCGGATGTCAAGTTGGTTGACCATGCCAGAAAGAATCTCCCACCGGACACGTATGTTGACTATATATATCTCGAGTTTCTTCTATTCTAACATTTTTCCCCATTGAATTCCTTTTACTCCTGCTGACAATTTGACAGGTATTCGTATCGGTACGTTGAGCGGTCTGTCCGTAACGGAAAGCTGGAGGATCTTGAAAGTCACAGAGCTGGCCCATCCCCAGCTCGCGCTGTCGGGGCCACAAATATCCCAAGCAGAAGACATCTGATTCCATACACTTTAGAAGATGACCAGTGGCTATGGGACCGGATGGAACCGTACGAGAAAGATCCCAACGCCTTCATAGGAGGCAACAAAATATATGAGGAACTAGCTATGCAGGTAAGTTACCTCTGATACCAGATTCATTTGTATCCCATCTTTAAAGTCTTACGTTTCATTCTGTACAGAACCCCCGCCACACCTATCAGTCATATCGTGACCGGTATCTAAAAAGGCTTCGTGGGCGCCCGCGTCCGGGGGGTATGTCGAAACCAGATCTTCCTGCATCCGCTGAGAAGGACAGCCGCCAGAAAGCCACACAGAGAGAGAAATCCTCACCGAGGTCACATAGAGAGCAACCCCAAGACGATATTCCAGTTATTCATGAGCTAGGCGATAAGAAACGAAAACATACGCCAGAACACAACTCTGATATCGAATTAAATGGAGTGCACCTTGCGAGTCAAAAGAGGAGAGCGATCGACAAGATACCCAAAGGCTTAGTTCCCACTATGATACATGCACAACAGAACAAATCCCCACACATTGAAACGACTTCAACACCCGCAACTTCAGTTGGTAATGAGACACATATAACTCACGACCCTACAACGAACATATCCGAACCTGTACAACCCCAAAAAGCAAAGTCCCCAGACCATGATCCAGAAATCACCCTTGATCCCTTGTTTTTAGAACTGCCTTTCTTGCCGTCAAGTCCAGACCCCGAGCCTGAAGAGCCGCCAGAGCAAGACATCGACGCGTGGATTGATCATCGTCTGCAAACAGGGAGAGCACAGAATGAGGAGCAAATACTTCAGGCTTTACGCTGCACTAGCATGGACCCGTATCTTGCCGACAAGGTCCTTGACTATCTGACTGCAGGAGAAGGCATTCCCAACAATATGCCTGGGGTGTGGACGGCTGAAGACGACAGATGTTTCGAGGCTCAAGAGACCCGAACCATCGAACAAGTCCTGAAGAAGCATGGCTCGGATGCATTTAACCACCGGTGGGAATATCTTGGAATGGCAAAAGCTGCTGGCCTCGATGGGTCAGATAGCTGAAATTCTGACAGCATACATACATCGAGCAGGCTTAAAGTACAATAATCAACAGTAAATTACACTGTTGTTAGTTCAGAACGGTGTGAGGGTATGGGAGAAGCTTGAATTGTTATGTTGATGAAGTTTTTTTGTTTTCTTTTTTCCTTTTGTTTCCCTACTTGTTGTTTCCCATTTCTCAGAGATACCAATTGCCATTAGAGTTCATAGATAAATCAAAAACACCAGCGGAACACCCATTTATGCACTGTGATCAAACAGTACTATCTAGAAAAGATACTGCCTCTCACTTCCCAACGAAATTAGACAGGAATCTTGAGTTAAACCAATTTACACACCAGGCTAGAAAAGGACAAGAAAAAGGAAGTTGCCAAAGAATGTTGGTGTAGAATCAACTCAACCTTCCTTAAAAACCCTAATAACGGTTAGAATCAGGTGGAATTTGTCATTTTCTGGATTAGACGACTCACAAATGCTCCTCGTAAAATTTAAGCATCTTTTAAACATTAGTATTTCAAAGCATACATGGGATCAGTAAACTTACCTTTCGGGGGCATCTATCATAACAGGTCTCAAGGGAGACCTTGCACTTCTTTCCATTCTTCCACTGGAGATATGCAATTAAAGTCGATGTTTCCGCATCACGCAGGATTGTGTCAACATTTTGCACTTCGTTCTCCCAGCTACCGGTCCGGGGAACCCAAGGAGGTAAATCTGCATCATCTTCATCTGGAGTTTCGGTGGCAGCTTCCGCGCGGGACTTTCTACGCCTTTTAGGTTCACTTTTCTCTGGCGTCTGCTTTGGCCCAGTCATGGACTTGCGCTTCCCCCGCTGGGGTTTCTCAGGCCGACCACCATGAACACGGTAGTATTCTTCAACCAGGTCTTTTGCGCCCTCCCTAATAGCAATCAATTGGCATATGAGTCGGGTTTCCAAAATCACGCAGAAACATACAGCAGGTTCTCCTCCGGCTCCATGGTCTCATCTGCAGGGTCATCGTATCCTTTCCATTTCACTTGCAGGAGGAGAGTTCCCTATCTCAACATTAGCCATGGCAATTCCATCTGCGACAATGTGATGCGAGAAGGTATGATCATGCGCACATTCTTCGCAAAGTCGTGACCGAGAATCTTTTCAACGACATAGCTGCTCCTGTCAGCACTGATCGTCATTGGTCACTGCGCATCGCAACTCACACGCCCTCCTCATCCTCCTCATCCTCTTCATCATCATTGTCTTCTTGGTTTTCGGCATCTGAGTCATGGTCTTCTTTCGCGTCGTTATAAGGTATAGATTCTCCGGTTGACTCGTCGTCAGAAGGGTTCTCCACGGGTGCTATGCGATTGTCAACTCCTCGGGGTATCTCGAGTGCGACCAGGTCAATTTATCACTTACGCGGCATTGTCCGGCGAAAAGAAGCGAAAATTCGAGAAAACAGCTTGGCAATTTGATTCAAGGCGTACTAGAATAGATTGCTATGCCACCCCTATAGAGACTGGAGCTCAAGAGTAATTGATGATAATAGTTGCTTTCAGTGCTACTTAGAACAGCGAATCGCGCAGTCGCGTGAATGCGAATTGGCGCTATACCCGATATGGAAAGCAGCTCACTAGCCCGACTGGGACATCAGAACATCTCCAGAATTTCTAAAAAAGACCCCGTCCAGTGTGACAGAGTGTCCAGGCCCCTGAACTCCCCACATCGCTTTGATAACGTGCTTTGGGGAACCCTTCTTATATTATCGTTGTGTTCCTTGCGTTCTCCACATACAAAAGTTTGGACTTGTGTCACACGGCAGACCGACAAAATGGCGATGCGTATGTCTTCCGTGCCCCTCATTTGAAGTCGATGTACTAATGTTTTCAATCTCCTCTATATAGAGCTTGATTTGTCTCAAGGTAGAATTTTACCGTTATATCAATGATCATATGCATTCGGAGTCTCCACTGACAATCCGACAGCTTCTGTGATGAAAGATGAGCAGGGCCGGCCGTTCATCGTTGTTCGAGAGTACGTTGCGGATCAACACTTTTAATATGCGGGGGAGGGTTCACGATCCTCTCGGGGCAAATTACTGATATGATGGATTTTGACAGCCAGGGAAAGAAGAAGAGGCAACACGGCAACGATGCTGTGAAATCACATATTGTTGCGGCCAAAACTGTTGCCAACATTGTTAAGACGTCTCTGGTATGATTTGGACGTGGAATTACATTTTGACAGCATCTAAGAATGATCTAGGGTCCTCGTGGTCTCGACAAGATTCTTATTTCTCCAGATGGCGATATCACCGTGACTAACGACGGCGCAACCATTTTGTCCCAGGTTCGTCCGCAGTGCCGCCGCCGTTCACTGGAAGATGGCTAACTTGGAGGTTTTTGAAGATGGAAATCACAAACAATGTTGCTAAGCTGCTAGTGGAACTTTCGAAGTCTCAAGACGAAGAAATCGGTGATGGAACAACGGGTGTTGTCGTCCTGGCGGCCGCTATGCTGGAGCAGGCGTCTGACCTGATCGATAAGGGCATCCACCCAATTCGGATCGCAGATGGTTATGATCAAGCCTGTGAGATCGCTGTTGCACAGCTCGATAAGATTAGTGACGAGATCCTTTTTACCAAGGAAGACACTTCCAACCTACTGAAGGTCGCTAAGACTAGTCTGGGTAGCAAAATGTACGACGGTGATCCCAGCTTTGTTATATTGCTCGTCTCCGGTACTAATGCTTTTTAGTGTTTCCAAATCTCACGATCAGTTCGCCAAGATCGCCATCGATGCCGTCCTCTCTGTTGCAGATCTCGAACGTAAAGACGTCGATTTCGAGTTGATCAAGGTCGACGGCAAAGTGGGCGGTGCCCTCGAAGATTCTCTGCTTGTCAAGGGTGTCATTGTCGATAAGGACTTCTCCCACCCTCAGATGCCCGATGAAGTTAAGGATGCCAAATTGGCAATCTTGACCTGCCCATTCGAGCCCCCCAAGCCGAAGACGAAGCATAAGCTTGACATTACGTCCGTCGAGGAGTTCAAGAAGCTACAAGATTATGAAAGAGAGAAGTTCACAGAGATGATCCAACACCTGAAAGACTCGGGTGCTAATTTGGTCATCTGTCAATGGGGTTTCGATGACGAAGCAAACCATCTCCTTCTCCAGAACAATCTTCCTGCCGTCCGCTGGGTTGGTGGTCCTGAAATTGAGCTCATTGCTATTGCAACGAATGGTCGTATCGTTCCTCGCTTTGAGGACTTGAATGCAGAGAAGCTAGGAACAGCAGGCAGTGTCCGGGAGATGACTTTCGGCACCACCCGTGAGAAGATGCTTGTCATTGAAGATTGCGCCAACAGCCGTGCTGTCACCGTCTTCGTGCGTGGCAGCAACAAGATGGTCAGTTCGCTGTACTAATGATTACACTTACATTTACTAACGTTCTCTCAGATCATTGATGAAGCTAAGCGATCACTACATGATGCCCTCTGCGTTGTGAGGAACCTAGTGCGAGACAACCGCGTTGTATATGGTGGTGGTGCCGCTGAAATTGCCTGCTCTATTGCCGTGGAAGATGCCGCCGTCAAGGTATGTCAAACATTGGCTTGGGTTATGTTTAGACTAATAAATTCTACAGAGCCCTGGAATCGAGCAGTATGCCATGCGCGCTTTCGCAGATGCGCTGGATGCCGTGCCATTGGCACTGGCCGAGAACTCCGGTCTGAGCCCGATTGAGACGCTTGCCTCGATCAAATCTCGCCAGGTTAAGGAGAACAACTCGCGGTTGGGAGTCGACTGCATGATGACCGGCAACAACGGTACGCTTTACGATCATTTAGAAGTAGGAATGATACTAATGCCCTGGTTTTAGATATGCGGGAGCACTTTGCTATTGATCCTCTGATTGGAAAGAGGCAACAACTTTTGCTCGCAACTCAGCTCTGCCGTATGGTTCTTAAGGTGAGTTCCGCGTCTCTATACCAATTACGACAGAACCAGAGCTAACAGAAAGTAGATTAACAACGTCATCATTTCCGGTGATGATGAGCAGGAGTTCTAGATTTCTTGTATACAATTCGATTTTGATGGCCAAAAGTGAGACTTTCGGTTGTGGTTGTTGATATCACACAATTCATGCCATGGGTAATTAGTTGATTGGTGTCTAAAACATGGCGAATACATAGAGGTCCGTTGCAACGGATGAAAGAAATGAACTTGAATGATGCTCCTCCTTGTCTGTGCTCTATACCGTGCGTGTATCGGATCTTGCCGACTTCACAATATGCACTTGCCATCCAGTGCTCTTCACTTTTTCCGAGAAGGAAGGCCACCCATCTCATCGTACCCTACTCACTGCACAGTCTTAGAAGTGAAGCACTCGAAATCACCTGTCCCCCATTCGGATGCCACAGCCACCGCGAGCCATGGCCAACTCAAGTCAATAACCCTATTAAGGTTCCAATATCTATCACCTGAACCTTTCCAGATGCCTAACAACAGTCCAGCAGCCTTCACAGCATCACCAATAACGGTCATTGATACTCTTATCAAACCCATCAGATAATAACAAAACCTCCCGAACACCTCCCCCCACGCACTGACGATCGACCGAGAGTGCTTGTCACCGCCTATCGATCTCAATGACATGCAATAAAGTAAGATAGATGAAAGACATTCTTGGCCCTAGCAGAGTCATCCGACTCCCCTACGCCCCACACTACGGTACTTCACTCGCGTCCCAGCAACTCGGGCACCGTCGCATCGGGGAATTAACTAGGACTCCCGTCCCTTTTTTCTTTTTTTGGCAATACAGGAGTCAGATGACGATGGTACAGTAGTAGTTTTCTCTGTAGTCAATACCGTGCAGTACGACGCGCCGACGCAGGGGGACCAGGTCTCTGTGCTGAGGTAATAGCTCATGTTCATTGTCGATCGGGGATCTCCGATGCTCAGATTTCAAGTAGCATCTAGGTACAGGGTACATCTACCTTTCTTCTATTGTATGCGACGTCATACTCCGATGCGGCAAATTCCGGGTCGGGCGCCTGGGTTTTAGATACCTTAGTATGGATGAGGGCTTTAAATTTACTGCTGAATGGGGAAGGACGGGGCGGGCCGGGATGGAAGTCTTTTCTTGTCACGGTATACTATGATAGCATAATCCACAACCCCAACTACTATGAAGCGATGACTCCTAAAAAAAAACATAATCATGAGGCAACGTGATTCAGGGGCAGTTTCTTAGTAGCAGGTCACATGGAGTGCTTTTTTCTTTCATTCCGCTTGTCTCGGCTTTTCCGGTCTGAGGGCAGAAAAAGTACTTTTTCTCGCTTTTGTATTTTATATTTTTTTTTTTTTGGTTCTTTGGATCAGGTTGGTATCTACCGTTTAGCTTGTCCCGCCATCGAGGCTTTGCATCGCGTGGAATTGTAAACCCTATCCCGCGGACTCGTGGTCTTGATCCACTAGGGACATGTGAGGTGGTGATACAATATGTGGAGGGAAGAGAAAGACCCCTTCTTGGGGAGAAAGGGGGGAAGGCAATACGATGTTGCATACAAATTAGTAGTAGGATCATCTGTCACGATGGACAGATCCACTGTACCATATCCTCGGATAGGGTGTCAGTCGATTCGCTTTAGCGAGAGCAAAAAGAGTTGACAGCTCATAGTCCCAGTAAAGTCATTTGAGGAGTTTGTTGTCCGAAGTGTCGTTCAAAGCATTATGGCGGATAATGGATGATTATGCAGGAGAGAGTTGTGTAACAGAACTGATGACTGTATATACGAGTTGTGCTATTCTAATCTTCTGACTACGAATACTCCGTATGCTCAGCGGATAACAAAGAACTGTTACTAACGAACACAGACATCAATCTATTTACCTTTAATCTAGACCACCCAATCAAACCCACATGGTCAATCAGGACGGACGGATTTCATTTCCTGGTCCGAATCCTGAGCCTAAGATAAGCCTATTATTAGTCTAGTCCAGGGAGATTGGAGAGGAAAAGTGGTACTAACCATGATCATCATCCATGAAACAGCGAGTGAGAACGGCCCCTAGGAACAAAGTCAAAGATTCAGATGACCCGATGTTGGCTGATGCGGCAGCTTACCATGTGGTGAGAACAACAACAATTTGACACCTCTCAACTCATTCAACGACTCGCCCCCTCCCCATCCCCACCGCCTGACTGGACTTGCATGATACCTAGACGCCAATTTTCATCTAGACCCAGCCGATCCACAATAAACGCAGCTGATTGATGTCCTTCCCCCATCACAGTGCCGAAATCTCCACCCGATCAGCGCGGTTCCTTTTCTCCCCCAGATGTCCTGCGCCTGCCTGCTGGTAAGCCTCGCTCCATCGCTGCCTATCTGGCGCCGCCTTTTCCCCCTTGAAAATAGTCCTCCATGATTTATTTTTCGCTCTCCCATATCACATGGATTGGGGAGAAGCATTGACGTGGCCCGCATCTGTTCGCGGTGCTTCTGGCCTGATCCCGTCCCGCGGCACAATAAAGAAAACCTTTGCGCTTTCTCGTGACAACGAAAAGACAAAGGTGTCAAACGACGCTCTGCGCAGGGCAATTGACAGGCGAAACAGTCGGGCATATTTTTTTTTATCAATGCTGGTTCCATTCTATACCGCTACTTCTCATGTTGGTTGATCGCTGTTATCACACGACTGCGGTGAGGTATTCGATCGCATTCTTTTTTTCCTTTTATTTTGTATGGTGCCTGCAATCGTAGTTTACTCGGTATTAAATGTTTGGTATATAGAATACAGCTTTCTAGGTTTTTCTTGTGTCTTGTATATTTTGTTTCTGGCCAAAAGTACGTGGAAAGATTGATATGTTCTCGTTCTCGTGGTCAACGTTTAGTATCTCGATGGAGACGCATGAGCTCATACATGCATTTCTAGATATAGGCCTGAACGTTAGATACAATGGATCAGTATCAGCAGATAATGACTAGGCAAGAGGGGTTCAAAGTCGTGGCTAATCAACACTCTTTTCTCGAGGCATGTTGTATGGCGGTACGAGATATTTATTGGATCTCTACGGCCAAGACCAATTTGTAGCATCAAAACAATCCAAGCTCTACGGGGCAATCCATATCCATGATTGGCGAACCTAGCCTCCATACTCGTAGACAAGCGCTTATAGAGTAAACTGGGAATCAAATTTGGCCGATACTATTGGTCCTTCATTTCCCTCCATTATATCTACCTATCCAATAAAGCACTAAAATACCGAATCAGGTTATAGTATCTGATCCAACCAGGACACCTCCTAGCTTTTGACCTGGATACCATGCACTGGCATTCATGCCGTTTGATAATGGATGACGTTTTCAGTGAACAAATGCATAGGTAGATATACACTTTGGGAAAGCAGCGTACCAGGGAAAACTCCCATACCGTCATTCGTGCATTAGTGAGTGCAAGACATCGTCAAATAACGAAAAAAAAAAAGAAGGGTTCGGCCACAGTATCCACTCGATCTAATGCTTATTGAACCACGCTCAGCCCAATGCTTATAAAACTAAATGCCGAGTCATCTCCACATGATACCAACGAACAAGGACCTGACTCATCGGCAGTACCATTCGTGCAACGTAAAGAACTTATAGACCCTGGTCATCGAATATTCCAGGCCTATTAAATGGCAGGTAAATCTACGACTCTGACAATGAAAGCCGACGCTACCCAAGCATAAGCTCTACGGACAGGGACTAGGTATCTCTGAGGTTGGAATACGTGGTATACTACCGAGTCATTCGTACAACCTTGAAGGTATGTTTAGTCCAATAATCGACGGTACTCCCTGCATCCCACACGCATCTCAAACAGATCATTACCCACCGATACCACAGATTCACCCGGCAACACTGTAGTATAACTATAAACCCGGAAATGACTCTTGAACCTGCATATAATATATTGAATTAAATGCAGACGAAGCCCCTTGCCATTCGATTCCATAAGCGTACAGATGATCGACACGGCGGGTCCATCAAACCGACCAGCAAATCGGCAGGTACTCGGGAGGGAACAGAGCATTCCTGTGTTCCCAAAGACCAGGACACGGTTCAATGCAGCGAAGTTGAGTTCGTCGTTCGGACAAATGAGCCTCCAATGAGGCGTCCGACATTACATCGGTGGCATGTATGTATGGTTGCACGTATCGATGTATGGATACACAACCGTCGTTTTATTCTCTGCTTTGGTGTCCGTTCCTGATCCCACGAAAAGATCGAATGAATCAAGGGATTTCCCCCATCCCGCCATACCTACGCTGATATTTGATTTACTCGCCGACCAACCAGCCAAACTTCCCATGAACCAGGACGAGGACTTGTCCTACATGCGCCATTTACGGGATGCATGCTCGTGCATTCGACGTCCGTTTTCTCCAGACTCTGTAGGTCGTAAGCGGTGAGGCTATCGTGGGATCCATTCCACTCCATCTAAGAAAACCTGGGGTAATAAGTTAAAATTATCCGTGAACGTGCAGCACCTATACAATTACACCAACCAACAGCTCTTGCCTAATTTACAAACCTATGCATTACCAGCTGATAGACCGATAATTGAGAAAATAAATAATCCTTGCGGTCACCAATGTCCGTGCCATTCATCAAGGAGGGAATGAGATACGATACATTCGCAAGGGCAAACAGACGACGAATCCGGCATGGCAAAATGAGGACACGGCCCTCGATAGGTGTGCAAGGAGTAGAGCACGACGAAATACTACGTCGTACCTAACCTTACTGTTGCGGGATATCAAACAGTCGTCCCGAGAATTTCTTCCCCTCCATTTTCACAAACCTCGCCCTGTTTCAAGGATCATAGAAGTTACAGACCAACGGCTCCCCTGACTAAGATCGTCCTTTGTTCGGGGTTTAGCGATCCGCGCAACCCTTGCATCCGCCTTAGGGGAGGAGACGAGGGTTCGAGCGAACCTGCAAGATCGCATAATCGTCCACTAGTCCCATTTTCTCGAACAAAGGACAGGTTTCCAATCGGTTTATTTGCTATGTGCTAAGACCTTTCGGGCTACATAGTTGATGTTGATCATCGCAAAAAAAGTTGGCCGGGGATGCGGGCCCGAGAGCAAATATGTGGAATGTGACTGCTCCAAGGTACACAGCTACCTTTGTTGTTTTTGTTCGGTCCTATTTTGACTTTGGACGTTACGCTTGTGTGTATCTGAAGGGATCCAGAACATTTGAAAATTGGGCGAAACATATCTAGCGTTTTGAATAATGGAGATCTACGTACACAGCCCTTTATTGTTGTTGTTGAATATCTTATAATTGGGGGTACCTGACACAAGTATCCTGCTCCTTGTCACACTTCCGCATCCCTTCGGCCCTGAAAATGGTTAGACCTCTTCAAGCTGACTACTACCTGTGCGCCAATTCAAGCTTTAAGCTATGCATATCAGGAATTCGAAGAGAAGGGGCTTCTGAAACCTCTTTTATATATATGTAGGGCTGGGCTGGCCGAGATTACCATGAGAATGGATGTGCGTACGCGCATTCATGCCTTCTTCTGCTTTCGGTCCCCCCAATGCTACCTCGTCGATCAAGGACACATCAGTTGGTTTATCGTCTCAAAACAGAGCAATGGTGGCTACTAAGCTCCTTTGTTCAAGTCCCGAGTCCTCCCCAGCCACAATAACACCAAACTGGCCGGCGCGGTCCAGGCAATTCTCTGACCGACCTGTTGAGAGCACCTGATGCTGCAGCTGTATATAGGTACTCTGCACGGAATACCTTGTTTAGTATACCGCGTTCTCGAGACGCACTATGTATGTAATATGCAAGTGTGCACACGAGTTCGTAAGAAGGTCGGACTGAAGTCCTCCGTTATCTATACGGATACTACTATTGTCCATTCCTCCGCTGCAATTTCATTCGGGATTGCTATTGAGAATACCGGTGAACACATCTGGACTATCATCTGTTTGAACAATGGTCTACATCGGTCTCCTTACTCGCCGTACAACTTCAGCATCAAGGCATCCTGGAACACCTGACTCATGAGCAAAACAGAGGGAGATACTCCATTCCCTCAACCGCGCCGCGGTTATGATGAAAGGGGGGTGAAAAAATATTGACGTCTTGTCAACAGGGATAATGCACCTTTCTTCAAAAGCAAACGTCATCAATTCCCTCCCGTCGCCATAAGTCTAATTGATCATCTACCGCCCCGATGACAGGCGCTTTTGCCTCCTTCTCTCTCGTAATGCCGCGGACCGACCCCACATCATGTGACAGGGACCTGTTCTTGTGACTTTCTTAAATTTTTCGCCACTAAGCCTCTTCAATCCTTTGACCTTTGCCCCCACGTTAAAGGGGCAGGCAATAGACGAAGAAAGTAGGATCGCGGACACAAAATGTCGTACGGGTTACGCGGTACTAATGTACCTGTACCGAGTAGTTACAGTCTGGTGAAGAGGTAACCCATGTATGTATACCTACTCTGTAGTCTACTCCGTACATGACCCGTTGTCAACTGCCGGTTTATCTCTCCCCGATATTGACTCCGCCCTTCGCCACATCGATAGTCATCTCAATTCGGACCAGACTTTCACTCAATATCCCTCGATGAGGCTGGGTTTGGTTGAGGTTAAATGGTATAACTAAGTTTGGAGACCGTTTCTCATACGGAGCAAATCGAAGAGCATTTCGATTTTCTATTATCAAATTAAGAGAAAAAATACCTCTAACCGTGAGTTTTCGGCAACTTTCCTCGGGTCAATGGTAGATGAAGCATTCAGTAGAACCTATGCAAGCGATTACTCTATTTAATTATTATTACCTCGATCTAAGACAAATTATAAACATTCAGCTGTACCATGAAAACCCACCCCATCGGGCGCAACTTTGGCAGTCAACGGGTAGAATTTATTCCCTCAGCCTGGAGGACGAAATAACCTTCTACATAGACTTCTACACCGGACACATGGAAAAAGCCCATGTCATGGAAGGGTCACCTGGAGCCCGAAGAGTGGTTGGTTGAAGAAGCCCGACTCTGTTTTGGTCACCGAGTTCCAATTGTATTCTCGAAGGTTGCCTTTTCCCCTTTGTCCAGGACCTATCATGGGGGGGACTTGTCCGGTCGGCGGTTTCATCACCTTTTGGTTGTGATAGAAGTTAAATTGCGGGAACTTTGCCTTTAATTTCACACCCTCTCTTTCGCTTGTTAAACGAAGAGTATACCTACACTTTCGAGGAGTTGAAACATAAAGTACGGATTCAAGAAATACGGGATCGCCGAGCATCCCCATACTTCCCCCATCTAAGCTTAACTAGGTTCTATAGTACTCATCATGACTACTGCTATCTGGACCATTTTAGTCCATTCATCAATTAGTCAAACGTAAGAGATAATTTCCCCAAAAGGACTAAATGAAAAAAAAAATAAAAATAAAAAAGCTAGATAGACGAAGAAGCAAAAGACAAAAAGCTCAACCGAAGTACCTAGAAACGCACCAGGAATGTCAAATGTAACCATCATACGTATCCCAATTCTTCTGGAAGAGAGGGAAAATCAAGAAAATGGAGAATCTTGCTTGATTCTCCCCTTCCTGGTAGACCCTGCAGCAAGCACTACACCTGATACCCTTTGGACCTGTTCAGCGGGTTAAGGCGCAGCTACGTGGCTCGCTCTCTCTCGTCACCGTGGAACGATTACGTGCATGGATGATGGGCAGCTGAACAGCTTTTCCCGACCTCATCATCTTCATCATTCATTCATCTGTCGACTGTCTCACGAGTCTGGTTGCATCTATGTAAACAGTTTGAAGAGGCGAATTTCCACAGAACGGGAAGTTTAAGATCCTGCCCTTGGTTGAAGCTGATACCGAGGTAAATTCTAATTTATTTTATTTGACTTTATTTTTTTTTTCTGAGGGTTATTCTCTTTGGATTTGCTAACGGCAAGGTTTGAAGTCTAGCGATGCCGACGCTATTTTGGCAAGTATTGTGTGCATGGGATATGCATGACAGACGTGGAGATTTCAATGTGGATTCAGTAGTTAGCACTAGTAGTTGGAGGTAGGTACTACCGTCGATTACCTAGATAGTAATACTGGAGGTAGTGCCAACTATCAAGCTTCGAAGCAGGACAATGTGTATGTATGTACCGTCCCCGTAGCTACTGTACATACTCACTGCCCTATAATATTCGACGGATCCCGACTATTGATTCTATTTCCGGTAATGGCCAGAGAGTAGGGCGTACTATACGAAATGCGGCATTAATATGAGCCCATTAGCATCGTATAATGTCCTTTGGGCCCATCTAGCGAAATTTCCGTCAACTGGGATGAATGGGGGAGAAAAAAAAAAAAGGGCGCTGGATGAGATGGTTACAGGGCTTTAGAAAGGTGACAATAAGCCGAGCCACCGGCCCTCCTACCCCGTCAATCATGTCTTCCACTCCAGTTTCTGTTTTCTGACTCTTGTCACTGTTTCTTTCTTCGCGGAAATTACACATACGAATCCGGTGCATTTCTTATGGTGAAGCTCAACCGAGACAGCATCGCACCGCCAATATGATCCGATAGGCAAGAATCATGGGCAAGACTTTGCTGAGATGAAACAGAATCTTACAACTCATCAATCAGGTGTTCCTCGGTGCTGGTGCCCTTGACGTGGATCATCACATGATTGACAAAACGTGCGAATTGTGTTACTCTGAGGCTGACGGAAAGATGAAAGAAGAAAAAAGGGTAAAAAAAATGAAGGGAAGAGAAAGAGGAGGCGTGAAGGTGACGGACGGTACGAAAGGGTTTTGAGTGATAGGTGGATCGGGGAGATCTCCTTCATCCCAGTGCCCCGAACCACTTATCTGGGGAACTGGGGTTATAGATCAAACTGTGGCGTTCTCGTTCCAGTATTGTGAGACAGGGGATGAGGGAAGGAAAAGGAAAAAGTTTTTAGAGCCCCGTGACACTCAGAAGTAAAATAATAATTATAATATTAATTATAATAATTAATAAAAGAAAGCTAAAGGTAAAAGCGCGGCTAAAAGCTAAAGTACCAGGAAAAAGAAAACATGGAGTATGGGCCAGCGGGTTTTATGGATAAGCCTTCAATATGTATGTTGTATGTACGTACTCTATGATCATTCCAGAGTCGTTCCGAATCCTTGGGTTATATTGATCTCATTTGACTCTGCTCTACTGGTGACAGCTGGCAGCCTTCACACCTTGTGACTGTTGTTAGGGAGGAGCTGTGACAGTGCCCTTTGACAGCCCCTTCGTGTTGCTATTTACTTCTGGGAGCCAATACGACATCTCGTTAGGGATATACGTGGAAGTGATGACTTGTAGCACTGAGCAATGCTTCATACTCTAGGTGGAAAGGGCCCGCATGATAGGTGAAGGGGAACTGGGAGATTGAACACTGGACTGTGCTCGCTAGGATAGGTACATAGCAACAGAGATCAATCAAGGCACCGATAAGACCCATGCATAATTGAACACCCATAGTTGAAATGATCAGCAAGATCGGAAACTGAGTAGCGGTTCCCCGGTATGCGACTCAATCTGGGGGGAAGTTGAGGGTACATACCACCGGTTAATAGCCACACAGGCAAGCATTGTTTGGGCCATTTTCGGCCGGGATGTGTCAACCAAAAATGCCAACGTGTCAGAAGGATGGAAGTACAGCTAGAATTCGCAAGGGTAGGGTGATGACGACGGATAAACTTCAAATTAAATTCAACGGCCGGGAAAAATGGCCTTGCGCTAATGAAATCATCTGGCAAGCAAAAAAGAAAGCAAAAAATGTGGCTTGGGAAGTAGTCCAGAACATGGACCCGGGGCAATTAATGTATCAAATATGACCGAAAACATGTCCGTGGCGAACGCAATTGCATCAAGACAGCTCCAGCAGGAAGTCAGCAGGACTCTTGAAGTAATGCTAGACAATTTAATGGGGTGGCGCTTGGGGAAATGGACTGACACCAAACAAGCCGGTTTGAAAGCTTGCAGAAGTACTGTATGAAGGTACCTAAGGTATGAACTAGACCTGTACGTCAGTATACCGAGAATCAACATGGATAACGGCACCAGCATTCAGAGGGGTCTGCGTTCAATCATTATGGAAAGACTCCTCAAGACATAGTGGAGTGATATCAACAGCAACCACTCTGCGCCAATCATTACGGCCCCGTTTTTGAGGAGTCAAGTGACCCCGTGACCGATGAAGTGAACTGCAAAGGGAATCCATCTTCCTCTTAGTCAGCAAGAACAGAGGTCACAGGACAGTCGATCTTTGTCTGAATGTTTGTCTAGAACCAGTTGCTTCCTTTTTCCTCTTTGCAGGTCTATTTGTTATGTATCTGGATATTTTTAGGTCCTGATGCCCATTCACTACCATTCAGTATCAATGTTCATTCAATCTCTATATCGAGGGAATGGTCAGCAAGCAGCTTTGTGCACTACAGTACATCTACATTTATACTGAAGTCATACTGCCATGTAAAACCCGCAAGATGGTTGCGGTAAAGTGGATCAATTCGTACAGGAAAGGAAAGCCTGTCGGCTTCCTTTGGGGTAATAGTACAACCACCAATGTGTGATGATTACCCCCAAGTTCCGTACTTTTTTCTTGGGTGGAACTCCGGAAACAGGCCGGTAATCTTACTGAGCGTTATGACAATGTATGAAATACCAACCGACCCACGGGGGTACTCCGGAAGTAACACACTAAAAAAAATAAAATTGAATATTATTAAATAAAAACTAAATTTTATTTTTCATTTTATTTTTTTTTCTATTTTCTGAAAATCCAGGTCCGGACCATGGAGAAGACGAAGGCGCGACTAGGATCCATCCTTTTACTTACCGCCATCCCATCCCCATACCTTAGAACCTGTCCCTCGGTACCCTCGTTGGGCTTTTACTGTGGGTGGCCACCCTCGATATCCTTTTTCTTTGCGCTCCTCCCCTGGTACCGTTACCACTCTCATACGCCTTCCCTTCCCACCATCTCCACCGACCCGTCATTCACTACGATCTATGCTATTCTCTCTTTTCCTCCCTTCTTAGTTCGCTCCACCTACTAAGTCTCTCCTCCCCCATATTCCTCGTTTCAATTTTTTCACTTCTCACTTTTCCTCTTTCCTCCTCCTCACCCCAATTCTCCCAGCCAGAAACGACAATCATCCCGGACCTTCTATACTTCCCTCGGTCTCGGCCCATATACATCCCTCGACTACTAACTCATCATACCTCGACTTTTGCTTCCGACCGTCGTTCGCTTTTGGCCGATCTCTTCCGCACTGTAATTTGTTTAGTGCGGGTCTAAAGGATTGAATACCGTTACGACCTGTTCAAACCTGGGACATCACTGTCATTGCTGGTTAAACCTCAGGGCATACTGTACCGGAGGTCCAAGTTCAACCCGTTGCATTTGATAGCTAGGGCGCCATTTTCACTCAACCGGACAATTGCAAGACGTTGCAAAACCAAAAACTTCAGTCGGTGTCTTCTGGGTGGATCCTGAAGGGCTAGAGAGATTTCCCACTTCATCACCTTCGCGCCGTACGACCACGATCGGGGGAGACGGCGACCCCGAACTGAATTTCTGCGAGGAGAGAGTTGCTAGGAACATCATTGTAAAGCTCGGGTTGAATTTTATACGAAATGCCTTCACGTTTAACTACTCCTGTCGTCACTGTGGACACAGCAAAGATCCACAAAGTGGACACGGCCAATGCGCAAAGCCTTCATGGCATGTGGATGGGTGAGTTATATTTTTTTGCAGGTTAGTTGCGATTTGGAATTTAAATTGACCGTGTGTTCCAGTCTTTTCGAAATGTGCAGATTACATGGAAGAGGGCCGTCGTCTTGAAAACCTAAGTTGGAGACTATGGACACGTGAGACTTTTTGCGTGGAGCCGGCGGCGTCGAGCGAAGCCTCGGTTTTGCCACTCCGTCAGGAGTCCGCTGACATGCCAGAACTTTCTGCCAGTGTTGAATCTGCTGCGTCTGAGCAAGCGGAGAGAATTGAGCACCATATCAAGCGCCCTAAGTGTGATATCAAGCCTGCCGTTGTCCGTGACGATTCTATGGCAAGTCTCGGCCGTGGAAAAGAAAAGCATATTACATCACTAGGTCTGGAACGCATGGTATTGAACATTAAAGAGAAGAAGAACCTCGAACCTATCTCGTCCGTAATGGCTACAGTCTCGCCCCCTGTCATTGATATTACGCCTCGGCCATCTACTCCAACCCCTACCCCTCCCTCTGAGTCAACTGCGAGGCGGACACCCTCGCCATCTCCGTCATTTCCTGTCATTCAACAGCCGAATCATTCTACCGAGTCTTGTTCGACCACTGCACCAGATTGTAACGACAGTGATGCTGCTAATGCTAATGCCTCCGATACTAGCGTGTCTTCCTCAGGAATCCTTCCATCTCGATGCGAGTTGATCAAATCTCCCAGCATTATCCGTGGATTTTCTCCTTCCCTGATCTCGTCGTCTTATCGGTCGCAGCCTAGAATGGCTGCTGAACCCAGCCCCGCAAAGGCTTCCGCCCAACTAAAGCCAACGCCCTTTAAGAAGAAGGGTGGGATGTTTACATTGGGTGGTTCTTCAGGTGACGACGACGAGAGCTCCTTCGAGGACCGTATGGCTTTGCGTGGTCCCCATCGCAGTTCTCTGTCTGACGAATTATCTAAGTCGGGGACTATGCAGCCTAGTCCTAAAAAGAAAGTTACTTCTTTCAAGGAACAAGATGGCACGATAAAGCCTGTTAAGGAACCCTCTGGAAGCAATGATGAGGATGCTGTTGAGAGCGAGGACGAGGTTGACGAGAGTGCTATTGAAGATGAGGATTCTGACTGGGAGGACTCTATCACTGAGAGTGGACGTTCGAGCCTCGACGAGAGAGACATGTTCCAGCGGGTTGATTCAAGGCCCAACCTTGTCTCGCGACGCTCCCTCTTGACAATGATGATGCACCAGCCAACTAAAATGGGAGCCCCTACTCGCTCCAGTCCAGCCTTGCAACGGTCGCGCTTGACATCACCAAACGGCCCATCCATCCCCGCCTCACCGCCAGAAGACGATGAGGATAACTTGACGATGCGTGGCCCCGGTGTCCCTCGATCGAAACCGATAGTAATGAAGCCTGCTCCGCAGTCAGTCGCTCACTCCCCGAGGACCACGCGACGGAACATGCTTGCTACCGAACTCACGGAGTCGCTTCGACGTCATTTACTTTGGGAGCGGCAGCAGAAGAGTGCGACTGCCAATGCCTTCCTCAAGCGACGACACACTGCACATGACATGGCGAACTTGCAGGAATATCCCAATCCTAAGGGCGCACAAAAGGGACAGGGTGTTGGCGTGTCCAACCCTGGTGCAGCCAATCAGAACAAGGACAAGGATATGGCGAAGACAGCTTCTTTCAATCAGTATACTGACTTTGGTCCGTGGGAGTACCACGCCAAGGGTTGGTAAACGACTACACCGATCGCATTTCGGAGCGACCCGACCAGTCACCCTCGATAACACCGAAAACAACCTGTTTTCTATATTTTTCTACTTATCACCTTTTGTTATCTGTGTCATGACATATCCTTCCTCGGATGGGTAATGTTTATTGGCTATGATACCCAGACTTTCAACACGTTTCTTTTTCATCTATGTAAAGCCGCCGATTGAATATCCTTGTGACACGTACGATCACGACTCTGCATTGCATTTTGGCGCAACTATGGATTTTATGGTTACTTTCGACCTAATTTTTTTTTCGGGTCTTTGATTATTTTCTCAGCTCCTTTTTTCTACTATTTCTTCTCAGGGCATTGTGTGGCTATTCGTTATATTGATATTATACGAGCCATATTGAGGACAAAACCTCAAGCGCGATTAATCATGTACAGATGAACTCCTTTTACCTTCCATGGCAGACGGAACTGTTGCGATTCGATTTTGGCATGGGTTCTTATGGTTTTCTCTTTCCAGTACGGGTTGGGTGGGATTCTAAAAGAGGCCTTTTATGGATGTCATTGCTGCGTCTCGTGACTGCGTTTTAGCAGAAAACGTCATTGGTATCATTCGATGCATCTGATGCCCTTGGCTTTTCTTTTCTTTTCTTTTTTTTTACCCTTTCATTTCTTGTTTTGTTCTGATACCAGATACCATACATGCTTTTGATTTTGATCCGCACCTTTCTACTGGGTCCCCATTTGGGGGGGTTAGCCCAGTCTGCACATGCCATGTACGCTAAATTGTGATTTACGAAAAAAAAGTGAAGATTACTCGAATAGAGTCCAATGACCAAAACTTATCTGAAATATACCTTATGGATTGCATAGTAGCTAAACTTATATACTAGAATAGAGACTTCGAACCTTCTGGCCGGGACCAGGATGATGTGCACTGACACGTATGCGCACAAGCCGTGTATTAATTAAGCGTCCGCCACCAATATTATGAGCAGGGATCGAACTGACCACCTAGGGCTGGGGCAGGTGGCTTTCTGAATGGTTGGAAAAACATCCGCGGCACCGGCGATATCTTCAGAATTCGTACGTCTTGAGATCTAGACTCATCGCATTGATCCCTTCACATGCACTGGGCTATACCTCTTAATTATGGTGATGATTTCATCGATTTTCCCCTATGACGGACGGGGATGTGTGGTCGGAGGGTTTCCCACACCATCTCATCTCGTTTTCTTTATTGATTAAGTTTTTCCTGTTTGTTTTCCAGACCCCTACATGAACTTTTATTTTTCTAAATTTGTCTCACCTGTCATACAAAATGGGATGAAATGCCCTCGTCTTGAGGTATGACGGGAACGAGGCGGCGGAACCTTTCGGGTTGAATGAGGTAACCTGAGAAAAACTGTAACATCATCTGCCACATCAAGTTGAGATATTCCTTCTCTCCTGGGAAAGGAAGGATAAGATCGTTGGAGCTATGATCTATCGGTGATGCTTGACGCCCCTCCTCAAAAGAAGGGTCGAATGTCGGGTTCTAGTCCGTATTGCAATCGTGATTCACGTCGCATTGAGTTTCCGGGTGACTACATTATGATATTATGATGGGAGACGTTGAGTGGAAGCTTTTTGCATCCATGAGTTTGGATCTGGCATAATTTGTCATTTGGGTTGGATTTCCATGGGGAACTGTAACCTTGACCTAGTATATCCTTTTCGTCTGGTAGTTGGCCTGGGCACAATTAGTTTCTCTTCCCTCGATTTAGGCCCAGGGGTAAGTGGTAGAGACAATCTGAATATCTACGCTAATCTGGAACCTAATGGTCCATGATGTCTTGGTGGTTAGGGCTAGGATGAAATCTCTCCAGGACACAGGGTAACAGCACTTACTCCGTACGGTCTCCACAATCTCCCTGCTTGTGCTTGAGACTAGAATGAGGCGTGTGCCACATACAGGATGATTGAGGACAGATTATCATCTTATCAAGGCGAATGCTGCAGATCATATGCTGTCCGGTACATGTGCAGGATTTCTCAACGGAGAGTAAATTCATCTCTTGGCGGTTGATCTACAGGGAAAATGCCTGCGATTGGAAGCATAATTCTCCGCGTGTTGGAGATTCTCTTCTTTTCTTCTATCTGTCATATCTATTCAAGTGATGACCGGAAAGTTTTTATTCATTTGGTACCTTCATGGAATCAAAAAAATTTATAATTAAACTACCAGTCATAGTATCAATGGAATTGTTTGGTTGATTTTGTATCCGGTGCGCAGTGCTCCGTAGGCCTCCAGCGGTATGATGTAACCAATATGTTGCATTGGACTGAACAAGATCAACGACAATACTACAATGGGGCTGCAGAATGAGCCAACCCACTTGAAATGCAATCTCCAACACAGTAGTCCGTAGTCCGTAATACTAAACTAGTAATGTGCAAAAAACCGATACTACATGACTATACATCCCACTAAGGTGCACAATCCAGACCTTAGACCCATCATCCTAATGCAGAGCCTCCCCACAAGCGAAACACACGCATTCCTGAATTTCCCGATTCTTTCCCAAACAGGCTAAGCAGGGGAAAATTTTGACATCCGGTTGTGCCCGAGAAAACGTGGAGCAAGACGTGGCTGGTAGTCTGGTACGTATCAACCAGGCCTTGTCAGTGGAGCCGACTGGGGTTAGATTGGGGGTAGTCTTTGCCTAGAAAAGTCTACTGTGTGGTCAGGTGGACAGAGATGACCATATAAGTTTTATGGTTCTCATTTCTGCCTGAGTCATCTTCAGCTTAGAGAGATGCGTGGTTGCGGGTCGTGTGTGGGTCAATTAAAAGGTCGGGCAGATGACTGATTCGCTGAGTGGAGTGTTGCTCTTTAGAAGTTCACCGGTACTGATGTTATACTGTGACCATGTATGGGAATGACGGGTATCTGGTACTCCGGCCTGTTTTTGGTGAATAGCTGGAGATGGGGGTTTCGACTCAACTTAACTCTATACTAATAATTATGGTCCTCTTCTGTGCCTTGTTTTTAATGGATTAAATAGGGTTGATGTGTGGAGAAGGGGTTGCAATTGGTATACAATTATGACGATCTAGACATTATCCGCCGGATGCGGTTTGGGATGATTTTGAACCTGTTATCGCTTCTATAACTGCAAGCTACTAAGGTTTACCTTGTGGCTCTGTATATGGAAATGTCAAGGTGGCCCCGGTCGATATCATATCTTCAGCTCGGCATGCCGATGGTCTCGGGATATGGTGGAAGACTGTCCTCCGGCTCCCGATTATGCTTTTGCATCAGCTAAGCTGCTAACCACCTACCATGACTCTGGAATCTCGTGGGGATGTCTTAGACTGTATGTATGCCACCCAGAATTTAATACAACAAAGCAGTGGCTGTAGGGAATTGAGTCTCATGACTCTGGTCTGTTGAGATCTAGAACATCTATCCAACAATAGCAAAACGTCTGTTTATTGGACAGACTTTAGCCAATGTCTATAACCACCGCACGAGTCAAGGTTAGTATCAGGGCCTAATAATATATTTCTTTATCTGTATGCTTACTAGTTCTTTATAGCTCAACCTTTGTTACCTCTCGGACCATGTTTCACATTATCTTAGACCATCCCGACAACTCGGGATGAAGCCGAGCTTGGGCACCGCCAGACAACGGTCGGGTCTAGACACGATACTTTCAAAAATCTTTAGTGCTAACTATTATGGAGACTCGTATGATGGGCGAACATTGGGAAATATCGACGACTGAGCGGTGTGAAGCGGTAAAGCTTCTTGAGACTCTTATTCCATAGCAGCTCATTTGATAGTATTGCTGACTTGGTTATCAATGTGGAGATACACGGCTGTGAAAAAAACAAGTCAGGCACCCCATTGCATATATTAAATCTACCGAACTAAACTATGCACAGGAACCCGCGCAATACATCCAAAACCCACTTAGGCATATCTAATGCTGCCGTTCTAATTGGCGCCGTAATACACTTAAATATCACCTCCAGTAAGCACTCTCTTCACTTCCCATATATGGCTATACACCCGATGCGGCCAGGATTCCGAACAGGGGCAATGCCAATATGAAGTAACAGCTTGCCATGGAGGCATACAAATTCACCCTTGGTTTGGTCACATGTCACACCCACGGTCTTTCACGAGGAAAAACAAGGTTTTAAGGACGTGGCTTCGAGAAGTGTTCTAGAAGAGAGAAATGCATGAGCGTGGGATGGCAGCAATCGTGAGCTAGTACTATGTAGGATTAGTGTAGTATTTTATCCAGTACCGGAGAAAAAAAAATTCTTCTCACTTGTTTACATACACACATTGGATGGCGGTTCTCGCGGGTTCTGAGTGTATCCGTGTATTTGGTAATAATATCCACTCTATAGGTATTTGAAGGGTAGTTTATGATTGTAGCGTGAAGAATAACCAATGGTGCCCGAGAATTGGGACCTGGTCGATGCCCAATTGTAATTCATTAAATCTATTATTATCATTGTACTTTTTGATTTTGATTTTATGTGTTTTTATTTTGTCTTCGGCTCCGTTGTTCTCGTGGGGGATACTTTACCAATGGTATCTCTGTGTCTTGAATTGGCGCTAGTGAGGTGATGAGCAGTGCTATTGGCCTTGAAGCGGCTCGTGATCATGGCTCTGGAGGGTCAGGTACCTTAGGGCATGCATATAGGTGCATATTACTTTGTGTCTTTCTAATTGCTTTTTCTTTTCTCCCGTGGTTACTCTTTTTCCCGCGTCTCTCGATTGTCATGTCATATTGATAGATTGGTATGTATGAGAACACGAACCACAAGTCAAAGATATCCCCGATATTACCCCGTCAAAAAACAAGACCAAATAACGAAGACATTATATAACAGCGACAGTAACAGCAACAATAACAACAACAGATGATTCTTATGGCCACATCGCGACCGCAAAACGGCTGACACTTGTTTATTTTTTTATTTATTAGTTACCCGGCTACTCCGCAGAAGCGGAGTATATCGCAAAGCGGCGCTCGTCAATCAACGGTAGCCGCCGCTTACAGGGGTCTAAACTAGTCTACTAGTAGTTACATAGATCACTCGGAGGACTTTGCTCCGTTAGACACGGGCGGAATTGACTCCGTACTCATCTGTGTATGTATGTATAGAACATTGCTAGACTTTCGATGGAAAACTCATAAACCTTGAAAGGCAAAAATTCAATTGCTTGCTGAGTTCTTTAATTTTTTTTTTTGAAGTATTCGGGGATATTATTCGGAAAGTACCTGCCTAGGTAGGGATGCACATGTTAGTAGGTTTACCGTTTATTTGGTTGGGCGGGACGGTTACTGTCTCTGGAATCTGAAATTTCTCAGGTTTCTTTTTGACTTTGGGGACGGAGTAATCGCGGAGAAACTTGTCCTACTCTATGGTATTTTTTTTTTTAAATAATAATTTTGGTTCCTGTGTTGGTGCTTTTGGGTTGTATGGTAGAACGCGTGTGCTTCGTGTAGGTATAGTATTAGGAACTATGGCTATTTCCTCTTGTATTTTCTATAATACCTGATTGTTCAAGGAATCCAAAAAGGTCTACTTGGTGTACTTTGTAATGTACATCTTATATTCTGATCTGAATTTAGTTTCTCCTGTATGGTGTAATATAAGCGAGCCTTCTGTAATTGGATTACACATCTCTGTTTTCAAGTCGCTTTTCGATACATGTATTTCATCACTGAGATGGACAACTGCCCCAAATGAAATCGAATATGCATCACATGACCCTACTAATCACGATATCGTTTTATCCTAAATGATAAGTTAGACGGTGGGCTAAGGTATGCTCAATAGAGCTTATCTTGATTCTGAGATGATGCGTAGGGAATTTGTCTCTGATATGTTTTGGCGTCCCAGGCATCACTTATGTCAACTCATGCCAACTCATGATCTTGCTCAACTTGCTCTCATGTCTCTATCTCTGGTAAATGCCTCGGCAGTTCCTTTCTGCCTATACATTCAGTATATTCAAAGCCGTGAATTCCCTGTTCCCAGACTACCCGAGTGGACATTCTATGATTTGATCTACACATCGCCCCCAGAGCAGATGAGCCTAGAACTCTGGGCATTTCTCCTTGTGGCAATATGTCTACCCCTGCCTTCATAAGATCTTCTCAATAAATGCTAGTTCTAAAAGTTTATCTTCTGAGGTTCATGCGGATATGCATACATTAGAGTTCAGTACTGTTTGATGTAGCTCGAAGGAGTGCCAAAGAAGCAATAGCAATTAACGGGGAAATGGAAAGGAATGGCAGCAGCTTTATCCACTCGATTAGGTTTTTTTCGGTTGAAGCAATCTGTGTAACACATATTAAGTTAGTGGTATAGCAATGGTTAGGGCTGATTTCTTCTGAAACAATTGCGTCTTTCTATAAACCCAATATTGAGATGCACCAAACTCTGGGATTACCATTGCAGTATGACGACCATTGCTCAATGGAAAATAGTGAATTGGAGATATAAAGTAGATTATGTAGCTCTCCGTGCCAACCAGAATAGGGATCATGCTATTTAGACAGGTAGTCTAAGCTTCAAGCTCTTTTAACCATACGAAGAACAACAAGCTTATAGAAGAGGTGCCTCATCGATGACATAGACAATGACGGGTAAACAAGGGAAAGCTTATATCGATTCGAACACACCCGCCTTCAGTCGGTATATAGCGGATAAATTACCCCCCTACCACTCGCAGCCAATACGGTCCTGATTGAATGAACCTTGATCTGCCTCATTCTCCAATTGGAACGCAGCCGTGCCCTCGTATCCTGTTCTAGTGCAGACGCCAGAAGTTTCCTGATCTGAACTTCCCTGAAAAACGCAGATCTGCACAATAGCTTCGTTCCTTGGTTCCAATCATTATCCGCTCAACGTTGCATATATGGAAGATTCGCCTCTAGCCTACGCTCGACCGGTCTGCGGTCATGATATTAACAAAGTTATTGAGAACGCCTGCAACTTTCTGTGAACAGGGATTTTTTTTGGGATGAATCTCATGGGTACTTGAGGTGACCCATTTGGGTTTGAAAAGTTGTAGAGCCAAAAGCCGATAGTCTCACGATGACGCCAAAAATCGAGGACCTGTTTGAAGATTGGTGCACAACCTAAATAAATGCTTCTATGGAAGGGAGCAGTTCCTGATAGTTTTCGTGTGGTGGATCGAGGTTGCATCCCGGGTCTCTTCGGCCTCTTGACCCGTGCATTGGGACTGCCAGCGGCCCGAGTTAGAGATTGAGAATCATGGCGGAGTTTTTGCTGCGTTCAGCTCGTGAGGGGTTGCGGGGAGGAAAGGAGGAGAAACTCGGTTCTGGTGGGTCAAATTTGGTGGGGAAATGTTGGAGAGCGGGAAAGAGAAACGCCATCCCTCTGTTTCCTCGTGCATTCCCGATTTGCGAGCACTCAAGGGTTGAGGGTTTCAAATGAGTAATTCTTATTTACTAAAGGGCTTGATTGTAGGTTTGTGGCTGTTCTTTTTAGGAGCGGATTTTTTGGCGGAAACTTTAGCAGCTTGGAGGGTTGTCGGGAAGTATAATAGAGTGGTTTGCGTGAAGGATCTAGATCGGCGTATTCTCGATGCGTATTTTCGTTGGAGCCGTATCGGGATTACATACGGGGGGTACTTATGATGTATGTACAGGAGAGTGTCTCTGCAAGTACTTTGTTTCTACTTCCACTTACCTATTAGTTTATGTTATGTCTGTTGTTCTTTGAGGCAACGGTAGCTCCGACGTACTGTGCTATAATGGACACGGCTAATTCTCCTAAGACGACATGGACCAGGGTGATGACCGCACTTTGAAAATAGTCAGCCAAAAATTCCACTGCAGGTGCAGACCGGAGCTGCCGATACCCAGCTGCATGTCATGGTGAGATGCATACTGCTATCAGTAAACGATTATGAAATCCTGATCCCACTCTATGCGGCTGGCGTATAGTTGAGGAAATAGAGGTCCAACCGTCAGATACGTTGAACGCCGATCTAGGATAACTTTTGTCTATAACATTGAATAAGGTGGAACAACCTGCTTTGGGAGGGCGGAAACACTCAACCATTCCCAACCAGGTGTTCACGGTTGGTCAAGTCATACATATTCTCCCAATGTACAGTATCCACGCTGTTAAGGCAAAATTATCCGGCTTTGTGTTCGGTATCTATTGGTGTCTCCGAAAATTTGTTGGATCTCGTGAAACTCATACTGTAAAATGAATGGCGTTGGTCTGGAGTCAACTAAAGGATCTGGGCAATTCGTTCAAATTAATCGTAGGGAGATAAGCTTGCCGAATGTATGTACTGTACGACTCGGGAACGTCAAGTAGTCATGAGTCAGGCATTAGAAATTCCCAAGGGTTCTTCTGGAGACCTGAAGCATCCCTGATGTTTGGCCCTGCCGGTGATATCATGAGGCGCTGATCGACTCTCAAATTGACATCTAGACCATGCCAGTGACAAGAGAAAAATCTGCATCACATCTGACAATTAAGTGATCCAATTATAGAAGAACTGATTTATGCTGTCGTTGACCGCACCGTATCACGTGGCGACGGGGTACACATAGCAGCACAAGCGATGTGATTGTTCTGCCCAATCTGCTACACATATCTTGATTCAAACCAAGCCAAAACAAAGAAAAGTACCGGTTTTTGTTAGCAAGCGGTCATCATTCCCAGCCCAGTCTCTTGCTAACTTTGCCCCGACCGGTTCGCCTGTTTTCCGTTTCCCATTCCGCAGATGCAGGTCAGGGAACTGGCCTTGTCGCTTACGTTGGTCGTTCAATATCATTGGGCAGGACCTGAGCACTGTCGATCTCAAGGTCACCAGGTCTATGAGTTGGCAATTTCATCACACTTCGAATTCTTCCCCTGCCCCAGAATCCGGAATAATCCACTGACAAGTCACCCGTGTCTCTTGGTGAACCTCGCTTTGTTGCTTAACGGAAATGCCGCCGATCGATGTAGTTGACGGGCAGGTAAGGACTCCAGCGACGTACCACCCTCGCATGATCCCCGGCTTTCGACCTTACATGGAGCGCCTTACAGTGGGCATGGCTGACGGCTTCAACAGGTCCTGACCCCACCTGGCGAACGGGACGCTTGACGTTCTCTCGACTGTAGAATCGTATTCGAAGGTCAGATCACTCCACCAGGTCCACCACGGTGCCACGAACCTCACCCCGTAATGGCTGGCACTTCATCTATGGGGTATATTTTCTGTACTCCGTATTCCAGACCCCGGTCCATGTCGATCAGCGCCTCAAAACTGCTGATGGTGTGTTATGATTATTCCGGATGCTTGCACGCGCAGAGGTTTTGCTTTTTCTTCTTCATTCCCCCTGAAGCTGACCCAACGGCCCGTAAATTTTCTTGATCACACGCTCACCATTATCCTTATTCTGACATAAATCAATATCCGCTGCTGAGTTGGCAAGCCCTCAGCCTCAACATGTTGGCTTGCGCCACCGATCAATGACCCGTGGGACAGCATATCCCGCCTACTCAACTGCCAAATGGGTACGTATTTGACCTTGTTATACGTATTCCAATCCTGCTATAGGCGTTGAGCTCTGTATTACCCTTAATGGTAGACTAAAAGATGGTATCTTACATACACGGTTTACTGGTTACGCTGATTTGGTATCGACGCAGGTACTTACTCTTTTGGGGTTTTGCTACCATCCAACTTGGACTCGGGAGGCTCCTGTCTTTCACGCATTCAGAAATAGCCATGTGACAATATGATCTCTTCTTGTCTTAATCTCCCATTATTGACTGCTCTTTGCTGACATCTCTACTGGGGTGCTTGGTCACCATGCCGTGGACATAATATTATTAATAAAATCTAATGCTATCAATATACATATCCTTTCCAGGGTGCGATACCAACTATGGTTGATACAAGATAGTGAAGATGGCCATGTTGCATAGCGATAAAAAAGCCACGACAGCGACTGCATTGCTCGAACATATGGGCTTCGCAAAGGAAGACTTTGATCTAGGCTCATGACTTTTCTGGGAAACGTCGCTCCCAACCAATAATCGCTGGTTTCGAGGGACCGGAGAACATGGACGAGTAGTCTGTGGCAGGAACCCCTTTCTTGCCGTCTACATTGAACAGCTTCATGTGTCGCGCCATTGTCGCCACGATTACTCCCAGGTTAACATAGGCAAACTTCTCTCCAATGCAGCGATGGCGGCCAGCACCAAAGGGCAAATAAGGACTGGATGTCCCTTTGGACACGGTACCATAGCCGTAGTCGACCATATCCCCTTCATCCTCCTTCTCAACTCGGTTCTCCCAGCGATGGGGGTCCCAGCGGCTTGCGTTGGGGAAGTACTCATCACTAAGAGCGGTCACGCCGGGAGATGCTAGCAGAACGTGGTCTGCGGGGACGATGTAGGGTGTGCCAGGAACCGGCATTGGGTTCTTGACCTTGCGCATGAGAGAGTGAATGGAAAGGTGCAAACGCAGAGTTTCCTTGATGAGATTCTGGTGAAGGGGCAAAAGATCTAGATCGCGGTACTGCAGGGGCGGAAGGCTACTTCCATCCGGGCTGAGCTTCATGATTTGCTCCTGATAGAGCTCTTCCAAGACTGCTGGTTCAGAGGCTAGTCGTAGCATGATCCAAGAGCTGATAGATGACGATGAGTGCTGACCTGCCATTAGTAAAGTGATCATCATATGGGCGATTTCTTTGTCTGGCACAGGCTGTCCATTCTTGTAAGTGCAATGCATGAGGTTCCAGATCATGTCGGAAGTCTCCCGGTCCGGGTTCTTGCGGCGCTCGTTGATGATGTCCATATAGATCTCTCTCATGCGCACATGGGCTGCATCCCGCTTCCGGTTACGCGGCAGCGGTGCCCACGGAAGCATAAAGTTGATAGGAGTGAACCCCCGATCAAGGTCATGATACAAATCTGCGAACTCCGCAGTGAGCTTTTTGCGAACCTCCTCGCCTTGCAGTGCTCGGCCGGCAGTGAAGATAGTGATTTCAGCCATGGCACCCGTGATTTCCACCCGGCCGGATGGCCCCTTGAAGTTGGGCGATGTCTTGAGATAATCAAGAACTTCTTTTTCAATCAGTGGTACATGCGACTCCAGTGCAGCCTGTGTGAGTCCAAACTTGATGAATTTCTTCTGCTCCATAAGCTTTGAATTCGGGCAATCATACACAATGTCGGAGCCAAAGACTGGCGTGGTGAGTGGGCTATAGATCTCCTCGGCATTGACATCCTTCAGCTTGCCATTAAGAATGAATTCGTTGCCTTGAATGCCCAGATATACTGTGATCTTTCGACCCAGTAATATGAAGGTAAAGATGTCACCATACTGCCAAATGTGTTAGCAGCGGGCTCCGGACAGAATTGTGAAATAAACATCACGGCGGCCGACTAACCTTTTGTCTGCAAGAAAAGAAAAATGCATAAGGGTCCATCCCATAAGTAACGGTACTACCGACGAAAGGGACCCAGTGGAAAACAAGAGGTGGGTCACTCTTATTACGAAAGAAGAGTTGGCGCAAGACATTTAGGATGATGATTGCCAGCACGCCAGCAGCCGCGTAGGCGCAGACGAGAGTGAAGGATACCATGCTGCGAGGAGAAGACAGGGAAGAAGAGGAAAAGGAGTGTGAGGAGCCAGAAGAATGCCGACTCTAATAAGGAAATTAGATAGGCCATTTGGATCTACCTTTCAATGTGTATGCCTAATCTGGATGGAACCCTAATCCGTAACCTTGAGGAATCAAGGAGAGCCAGACCATTACTAAACAGAAGCACTGCCACTTTAGCAATCGGAACCACCTCAATTCTGCTGACACCACCCGGATATACAATGCGATGTACCAGACAGTGGGCCCCCATATTGGGGTACTTGGCATCAGCCGGGCGGGTGGGTTGACATCCGAATCGGACCACTCCAGATGCCCTAATTGATCAGCAACCCCTTGCAGCTTTAACGACGGAGAAACCTAGCCTCGGTGAACCTAACATAATATGCACGGAGTACACGGCAATGGCTTAAATGGAACTACGTTTTCATTTCTTTTGAGAGTTGCCAGGTGTTATGTTCACTAGGTTGTTTTTGTCTTAGTCTAATCTTCAGGACTCAAAGCTTGGAAGTCTGCGAGGTACTGCGTCCACTGCTGATTGTGTATTGAGCCATAAAGCTGGGAGTGTTATACATTATATCGTTAATAAAGTGCTGACACGCACTGCTTCATGAAGCTTACTGTGGATATAGTGGCTAAGATTGAGCGCCTTGTCTTCCCTCTGTTCAGACTGTTCTAAAACCACAGAAACTGGAAGAACTATAGTTTGGAGGATGTCCTAGATACCATTTCCGTATATGAATTCTGTAAGACTGACTTGGTTGAATAGATAGCTATTCGGATATAAGGAGACATCCAGTATTGATCGCCCGTCGAGTAATGAACTAAGATACCTTTGCCTGTTGCTAAAAGAGGCTATTTGATAATCGTTCATTTGGGCTTTCACATAAAGATCTTACACAGTGATGCTGGCTCTCTCAATGACCGAGAACATAAACCCACTGCAGCTGCTGGGCATCCAAGTTCAGAATTACTGACCTCTATGATGTATAGAGTTTATGATCTTGTTGTACGGTACAGTACGGTACACGCATATTCTACAATCGTGGTTACTTTCTTCCTGCACGGCCTATCCTTCCACTTATCATGGGATGATCCCTATCAGCCCACGTTTCTACTTCTAGAACTACATGATCGATACTTAGGGAGTGAAAAGTATTCCAGACAGGAAACGGTGGTTAGATACGTCTCGAGATAGCGGCTGAAGACCCCTATACTGTGTAGCATTGGACGGAATCTCCACCTAGAAGCTAACGACATACTTCTTTTCCAGAGTTGGTAGCTAATCTGACCACCATTCTTCGTAATACTGATGGCTTGATATGCTTGAGGTATCCAGAATGTAGACAGAAAGTGGTGTGATCCGGTGGGTGGGTTTATGATAGTAAAATCATATAAGACATCAAGGCACACCTTATGTCCAGTGGGCTCTACAATGGGCGAAAGGTTAGAAGATCCAATTGGAACCCAGTTTGGAGATCCTGACTAGAGGCGAGTAAGACTTGAGAATTCAGTAACGGCCGACTAGGCTAAAAATAGAGTAACTTTGAATAGTAACTGCTTGATGGAGTCAATCAATCCTTTGGGATAAGAGACACACCACATCCAAAGAATCAGTACCAGCGCCGTGGAAACTCGACGGCGTTTAATTGAGAACAGGAGTTCCTGGCCTGGGACTAGTTCGTATCTGCAGCCCATGTGGCACTTGGACACATGGACCTTGAGTCATTTGCACTGAATCATCAGCAGTCACGAAGAGTCATTGTGGCGCCTCTCCGTTTCAGGACTAGCGCACGAGGCCCACCTTCAGCGGCAAAATCAGATGACTAAGCCCATATATCTTCCTTTCGCAAACTATCAATCTAGTACTCGGTTTCTATTGCTATTTAGCCAGACGTAGTGTCCGGGTCTGTAGTTGCTTTAATCCACTGTACTGTCTTTTTTCTGTGATATTTTGGCTGGGCACTAAATTTTGAATGAACGACCCTTCACTGGCAGCCGGCAACATGACTAGCACAAGTTCAACACCCGGCCAGAGGCCCGTCTCGAAAGCCGAAAGCTCAAATCCCCGCGAATTCCAGATAAACCAGCTGAGGCGACGCTTTCGTCCGGCTGAGAGCACGGATGGTGTGGGCACAACGCTGACATTTGGGATGGCTCCTTCGGACCCGGACTTTCCCTTCGAAATGGACAAGCTGCAATGCGTTTTGCATGTGCCTCTATCATATCCTGGTCGTCAGAGACCCACTCTGAAAGTGACCAATTCCGAAATGGGCAGCGCTTTTCAGGATAATGTTGCGCGGGGATTCGACGACATTGTCGACAGCACCCTGAGGAGTGGTGGCCGTGCGACCTTGTTAACCTGGATGAATACGCTAGACCGACACCTTGAGCGTTTACTCACGACTACGGAAAGAGGTCCCACGCTGAAGTTTGTACCAAATGTGGGTGGCAAGCAGAAGCCAGAGAGCCAATCGATTGTGGAAGGGGTGAAATCCTTGGCCGTTTCTACTCCAGCGAGTAAGCAAGACACGGAACCAAAGCCGTTGTCTGTGCCAGAGGTTCCCTCTCGGGTATATACCGCAGAGGAGAAATCACAAGCTGAGAAGAGGAGGACTGTGGAGACTAAACAAATCGAAGCTCGTCTTGGAAGACTACCTTTGTTTCAGAAATCAAAAGATGGGCTTTCGTTTGTGATTCCTATACAGCCTCCCAAACCCGACCGACTACCGATTCCGATCCGTTCTGTGAAAACAGTCAAGTTATCGGTGCCCCCTTTGTACCCACTAGAACAGAGCTCTGTTGAGCTCCAAGGTGTTGATCGTGCAGAAGCGCGGCCTGTCGAAGTGGGGTTTGCGCAGTGGGTTGAAGGAAATTCAAAATTGAATCTCATGTCGCAAATCAATTACCTGACGGCCAATATGCATAACTTCGCCAAAACGCCGCTTGAGATTCCCCAGGAGACTATTCCTGATGCATCACCTGAATCGCATACCGACTCTAAAGCCCCTGAAGATATATCGACGACAACAAATGGCTCGACACTAGAAGACAAACCTCACGTCCATGTCGTTCCACGACCTCCAGAATGGACAGTGGGTGAGCGCAGCAGCGAGAGCGAAGGTACGGACATGACCGAGTCTGAAGATGACTTCACAGGCGAAGATGAAGAAGATGGCGGAGCCCCAGTACCAGCGCTCCCGGAAACCACTGTAGAACGTGGTGTTGCCTTGTCTTTCCCCTTCTTGGAATTATATGGAATTGAACTCTTAGAGCTTGTCGGCCTCTCAATCACGATCAAATGTGATCGATGCAAGGAGCAGATGGACGTAAAGAACGTCCCTCAGGCCAAGGACAAAGCTGATGCATTGTCGCCCAAAGTTGAGTCGTGCAAGAAATGTGCCAACACTATGAGTTTTGGTAAGGACTTCTCCAGCAGTACATAATATGGGAGATTAAACTAATCACGTTCAACTAGGCTTCCGTCGACAGTTAATACATCCTAATTCAAACCGCGCCGGCTATCTTGATTTGGATGGCTGTACTATCGCCGATCTTCTTCCTAGCAGCTTCATTCCAACATGCGCTGAGTGTTCAAGCCCCTTCCCTGCACCCGGTGTTGTCGCAGTACGCGGTGAGAGCGCATCGGCGTCATGCCGCCAATGCCATCGCAAGATGGTATTCAAGGTCCCTGAAGTCAAATTCCTCAGGGTAGGATCAGCCGCATTTACTTCTCGTAACCAAGCACTGCCACGAAAGAAGCCAAAGGAAGCTCTTGGCATTGTTGCTGGTCAAGAACTCCCGCGCCGTGGTCGCTGTTCGCACTATGGCAAGAGCTATCGCTGGTTTCGATTCAGCTGCTGTGCCAAGGTATTTCCTTGCGATAAATGTCACGATGCGGAGACAGACCACCCCAACGAACACGCGAACCGTATGATTTGTGGCTTCTGCTCCAGAGAGCAAATTTACCGGCCTGAAAACTGCGGAGTCTGTCGTGCGGTTCTCATAGGAAAAGCAGGAAGTGGATTCTGGGAAGGCGGGAAAGGCACGAGAAACAAAGCATTGATGAGTCGGAAAGATCCACGGAAGTATAAGCGTCGGCCGGGCTCAACTCCGGGAGGTTCTTCTTCGAAAAAGAAACATTAAAAGTGTCGACTTATGTCGCCATATGTGTGCATTGGGGGCTGAGCCATATCTCGTGCGTCGATACCTTGGTGCACTGGATGGCCTGTGTGCATAGAGATGATGAAATGAACATAATGTCGCTTGATGAAAATAAGATCAGATACTTCGTATGCTTAGAATTTACTGTAACCATGATTTTAGGTAAACAAGCCTTTGAAAACAATCGAAGGCAGCATGTACATACAAGACTACCGCATTCATACAAAAACACTTCTTGATATAGCCATTAGAGACGCTAATCTAACATGCGCAGCAACTTGACAAAAAAAGTACACTTGTTGGAAGAGATGTAGGGTAGGTATCAAGCAGAGACAGCAATACAAAGGCATAAGTCATTCACATCATCATACCCACGTCCTAAACAAGATTTCCACGCAGCTCCTGTTCCCGCTCAATCGCCTCGAACAACGACTTGAAGTTTCCAGCTCCGAAACCCTCGAAGTTATGTCTCTGGATGATCTCGATGAAAACAGTCGGGCGATCCATCAAGTGCTATAACCATTAGCACACGACCAATACATAACAAAACTAATTAACATACCTTAGTGAACAATTGCAGAAGATACCCATTCTCATCAAAGTCAATGAGGATATCCAGCTTCTGGATCGTATCGAAGTCTTCGTGAAGGGTCAGACCGGCCTTCTTCAGGCGGATCTTCACGTCGTCGTAGTAAGTGCTGGGGACCTTGATGAATTCCACACCGCGAGCCTTGAGGTTCGTGATGTCCCGGATGATGTCGTCGGTCATGAGAGCGATGTGCTGGACGCCAGCACCGTTGTAGAAGTCGACGTATTCTTCGATCTGGGATTGCTTCTTGCCCTTGGCTGGTTCGTTGATAGGCATCTTGACGATCTCGTTTGGCGAGGCCATCACGATACTCTTCAGAGCAGAGAATTCACTACTCAACTGTTAGTTGATCGTTCCCCCCAGAGATGATGAGAACAGCTGGACTCACGTGCAGATTTGCTTGTCGTCAACGGACCAGAAACGGTGGAATCCGAGGGCTTTCTCGTAGCTGTGATTGTTTAGCTTTTGGATATAAATGACAAACGAAAACAAAGGACAACTCACTATTCGCAAACCTTGTCCATCTCATCCCAGTCCTGGTTTCCAACACAGTGGTCAATGCGGTTGAGATGCACAGCGGGCAAGAATTTAGAGACGGGGTCCTCTGCGGTCTCAAGACGGTAGCCTGGGAGGAAGCCACCGTGGTAATTGCTCCTCTCAAGCAGCGTGTGTGTGGTTTGGCCATAGGTCTGGATAGTAGCCACTCTGACCTCGCCGCTTTCATCCTTCAGCGTCTGCGGGTTCGATACAGCCTTTGCACCGTTGCTTACTGCCGCGTTGAAGACGGCATCGACGGAGTCGACTTCGAACGCAACATCCTTGACGCCATCACCGTGCTGCTCCAAGTGGTGGTGGATTTCTCTCAGCTGCTCCTGCTCCTCTCCGGAGAAACGGTCGATCTGGTCGAGGGAGCGCAGAGGCGAAGTGAGGATGAAGGTGACGTCTCCGTTGCGGACGACGTGGGAGCAGATGCTTCGGTTGCCAGTTTCGAGACCACGGTAGGCGACGCGCTTAAAGCCCATGCGTGTGATGTAGTACGTAGCGGCTTGTTTGGCATTGCCTACGTACCAGTGCACATGGTCGTAGCCTCTGTAGCTGGCGAGGGAGGTTCGGTCTGTGGGAGGGGGGCTGGTGGAAATAGGAGCCATGGCTGTTGTTTTCTTGGTATTGTTATGACTTGACTTTGATTCTTCTGTCTATAGTAATACAGATCTGATAGAGTCTGAGTAGAGCAGTGTAAATTGAACCAGTCGTTGTGCTGTCTTTATATCAGCCACGACGAATGATAATCATCTTAAATACAATTCGACTCCCAGCCGTGGATCAATCACCGGGTATCTTACTAACCCACCATTTCATCAAACCAACACCTACATCGCCTCTGGATAATGATGATTGCATTATTTCCAATCCTACATTACCCAATTCGGCCAGTGCGATGATGGCAACTTGGGGCTTGCGTCGGCTGTGGACGGGTGTTGCGTGGAAAGGGCCGGCTGGGCGCGGGTATCTCGAAATAGCCGACGTGCAGATGACCCCGGGTAAAACATCCGCCACAATGACGCTGAAGCTTATCACGGCTTACAGTCGCTTTATTTGATGGAACTATAGCTGTTTCAAATCTTCATAGATATACTTAGTCTAGTTGTACATAATATCCGCAATACAACACCTGCTACATACAAGCCCTTACATCAATTCCTCCTACTTACACCTACTCACCACCAAACCCAACCTGTCCCCTCCACATCTATACCTCAAATCACACAAATCAAACACTCCCAGTTCAATAGAACCACAAAGACAAACGAAAATGGCCTCGACAACAATCTCCTCCACAAAACCAAACCTAACAACCAACGACTCAGCCGTCCTACAAGCCCTCTTCGACGCTGAATCCTCCCCCTCAAACGGCATCACAATCAATCTATCTCTACCCCCTTTCCCAACTCACCTAAACATCGACTCCAAGCTCCATGAAACCCTTAAAGCCCGCGAAGTAGCCATCGTCCGCACCCTGGCATCGCCCAACCCGACTCCCGAGACCATCCAATCCGCCATAAACCAGCTTTCCACCCTGATAACAGAACACCCAACCTACCCGCCCGCCTACGTGAACAGAGCCCAAGCCCTCCGCATGCTCATCTCCACCGACCAAGCGGAAGAAGCAGAAACAGAATTGTTCACCCCACAAAACGCTGAGACCGTATCCTCTCTCCTTTCTGATTTGGGCGAGGCGATTGGTCTAGCGACGCCGCGGTCACCGGCGGATCCTGTTTCGGAGGTCCAGGCGCGTTTACTGGCTGATGCGCATACGCACCGCGGGTATTTGTTGCTGAGGTTGGCGAAGGTGAGGAAGAGTGGTGAAGCGTTTGAGGGGCTGGGGAGATGGAGCCAGCTGGATGCGGACAGGCTGGAGGAGATGGCGAGTCGGGACTTCTTCTTTGGGGGTCGATTTGGGAATAAAGTTGCCCAGCAGTTGGCTGTGCAGACGAACCCTTATGCGAAGATGTGTGGGGCTATTGTAAAGGAAGCATTGAGGAAGGAGGTTGAGGGGTGATGTTTCTTTTTCTCTGTATTGTGTATGTGCATATGTGTAGTTTTAGCGTTGTGTGTTCAATGTGGATTGATTTGTTGTATGATGGAATATAAACTAGAGTTATTCCGGGTTCAGCTGGTATAGATGAATTCTAGCGATTAGGGTTTACCAAGGGCATGTAGTTCAATTGCTGGCGCAAAAGTCGTCCATGCGCTAGTACTGCAACATGCAACCATGACACTACGGCGTCGGCCGAATCGAGGAAGTAGATTTAGCTAAGTCTGAGGGTTGGCTTTTATGGTTTCTGGTTTCTGGTTATGAGATTCATATGACGGTTTGAACGTGAACATAGTACGTGAATAGAATATTAAATCAAGTGTCCCATTTAAGTAGACTAGGTATCAGTGCTATGTTGCCAATGAATGTTTACAGAATATGCAGTACATCGTTTTCTCATCACAAGTGCAAATCTCAGGCCTTGTTAGGGTTCTTGAAATGTCTCTTCAATGGCCGCCAGCTATGCTCGTTGTACTCTTCCTGTACCTTCTGGCACGTCTTGAGACCCCATTCGGATACACCGACCATGAGAGAACTAAAGACATTAGTAATTGAACATAAGTATCTCATAGCAAATACGGACCTTTCAAACATGAATGCCATGCTTCCATCGCCGACCTTCTGCGGCTTCAGCTCAGCATTACTGGCCCCCTCGAAAGCATCGGTGTCGGGGCCGTGCGCGCTCATGACATTATGCAGACTAGCTCCGGCTGGCTGGAAGCCGCCGCCGGTTTTCGCATCGTAATTACCCGAGATCAAGCCCATGAACTCGGACATAGTGTTGCGGTGGTACCATGGCGGACGAAAGGTGTTCTCTTGCACCAACCATCGCGGAGGGAAGATGACGAAGTCAGCAATGGCGGTTCCGACATGGTCAGATGGGCCGGTGAGGACAGTGAAAATGGAAGGATCGGGGTGATCAAAGGAGATAGAGCCGATAGTGTTAAAGCGACCTAGGTCATACTTGTAAGGGTAGTAGTTGCCGTGCCAGGCGACAATATCAAATGGAGTGTGATCCTGGCGAGCGGAGAAAAGGGTGTTGTTGAATTTGCTGTACAGGCGATACTCGGATGGTTCCTCTTCATCATCGAAAGAAGCCACAGGCGCTTGGAAGTCACGCGCGTTGGCAAGGCAGTTCGAACCAATGGGGCCAAGTTCTGGGAGTTGATAGTGACCCTGGTAAAGCTCGCAGATGTACCCTCTTACCGGACCAGCTGGGAGAGTTACGCGGTATCTTGCAATCGAAGAAGTCAGATTACTGGTGGAACCATAGCGTAGGAGGGCTTACCTGACACCACGGGGGATGACGCAAATCTCATTCGGGCGAACGACAAGTCTTCCCAATTCTGTCTGAATGTCTAGCACACCGTGCTGTGGGACAATCAGGAAATCACCGTCCGCGGAATAGAAGGCCTCCTTTCCCATGTCTTTTCCAGCCGCATACATCAGAATTCCCAGTCCCTGTTTCAGGGTGGGATCGCCGGAGCCTGCGATGAGATGCAGTCCATGCACCCAGTCTACAGTCTCATCCAGATCGAACGGGTTCCATCGGAGCTGATTGGGAATGTGGTGGAGCTTGGTGGTCTCGGTGGTCATATGAGTGTGATAGGAGTCTCCATTTTCGACCTTGAAATTCTCGTGGGCGGCCGCGGGGATGATCCTGTAAACCCAAGTTTGTTTGTTCTCATGTCGAGGAGCAGTGAAGGCTGTTCCAGACAGCTTTTCGGCATATAGACCATATGGAGCCTTCTGGGGAGAGTTCTGGCCGACGGGGAGGGCTCCTTCGATGGCTTCCGATCTGCGAAAGAGTTAATTCCGCCACCCCTCATTCCGCACTCTTAGAAGCTTACTCATGATAAGAATCGAATCCAGTCTGGTAGGAGTAAGGGTCTGGGTGTGAGAAATTGGTGACTGGCATGATGTCAATGCCTGTTGTCTGTTGTATATGCTTTGTTTTTTGCGTTCAACGAATGAGTAGTAGTACAAGAGGTGGGGTTTGGACCTGATAGAAAATCGCAACCCTAAAGGTGCGGCGTGTGCCTCGTTTTATGAGAGTATTGGCGGTCGCGACCTGCCGGTAGTCACGGACATGATCGCGGGGATTCAGAATATTGCGTAGCCTTGACAATGCATCATAGCCAAGTATGGAGTTGCGGGAGGCACCGCGGAATTAGAGGTAACAGAGCTGGAAGGGAAACAGCCGGGGATAAGCGGCATTGCGGCTTGGTTCCGCGACCACCCATCGGAAATCGTCCCTCATATGCCAAACACGCAGTTGTCGCAATCAAGAGATGAGGGGCAGACTAAGTCGGTAGCGATTTGTTTTTAATGTCGCTTTCTTCGCGGTCAGAGCCTTTCACATGAACACGTCTCTGTGACTACCTTCTTTAAGCATTCGAGGTTTCTCATATCTTCCACTATAACCGGAACAATGGCATCGTGGCTCCAGATCCCTAAGAACTCGCCATTTTCGCTGGCGAATATTCCCTTTGGAATTATCTCCTCGACTAAGAGTACCTCTCGCGTGGCTGCGATTGCGATCGGTGAATATGCGCTGAACCTGAGCACTTTTGCCTCATCGGGGGGGTTCGCACAACTACCTGACTTCCAACCACATCTCAATGTTTTTAGCCAGCCAACCTTGAACGCATTCGCAGCTCTGGGTCGCCCTGTGCACCGCCAAGTTCGCGAGTATATTCAGAATGTCTTCCGCGCAGACACGCCATTTCCTCAGGTTCTCAAGGATAATGCCTCCTTGCAGAAGGAAGCCCTCTTGCCGTTGTCAGAGGTGACAAACCATGTGCCGATGCAAATCGGCGACTACACTGATTTCTACGCCGGTCTGAACCACGCTTACAATGTCGGTGTACTGTTCCGTGGACCAGAGAATGCCTTGCAACCCAACTACAAGCATCTGCCCGTCGCATACCACAGCCGTGCCTCGTCTGTCGTGACATCAGGCACGCCTATCCACCGTCCCAACGGCCAGATCCTGGCCAACCCAGCCGCTACACCCAAACTCCCCACCTTCTCCCCATGCAAGAGATTGGACATCGAACTGGAGCTGGCTGCATTCGTCAGCAAACCCAACGATCTCGGAAAGCCAGTTAACATCAGCGAAGCCGAGGATCATATCTTCGGATTGGTTCTCATGAACGACTGGTCAGCCCGTGACATTCAAGCCTGGGAATATATTCCTCTTGGACCGTTCAACGCAAAGAACTTTGCCACTACAATTACTCCTTGGGTGGTTTTGTTGGATGCATTGGAGCCCTTCCGCGCCACGGGTCTGGAACCTGGCGACCGGGACTCTCTGCTTCCTTACCTGCGTGAAAAGCGTGCAGCCAACGTTTATGATATCCCTCTCGAAGTCGAAATCACCAATGAAGGCGGAAAGCCAACTATTGTCTCCAACTCAAACGCAAAGAACCTCCTGTACTCGTTCCCACAGATGTTGGCCCACCATACCATCACAGGCTGCAACATGAACCCCGGTGACCTTCTCGGAAGCGGAACGATCTCTGGCACAGAACCCAAAACCGAGGGCAGTCTCCTTGAGCAGACTAATGGAAAGAACCCGCTCAAGCTGGCTGATGGATCTGAACGCCTGTTCCTGGAGGATGGTGACACTATTGTCCTGCGTGGTAAGGCCGGCACAGAAGGTAACTATGTTGGGTTCGGAGACTGCACAGGAACCATTCTTCCCGCTATCAAGCTGGACTACTAAGTTCCAGTTCTTATACTTTTTTTCTTTTATGTAACGTTTCAAAATAAGTGAGATTGTTTGTGATGAGATAGCTATGAATAAGTATCCAAGAACATATGGAATCCATATACATTCTGTCGTTATACACCCGTAGAATCCTTCCAGTTTCCCCATTCTCAACCAGGATAATACAACCTACGAAGATTCCTTCAGCCGGAACTCTTCAGGTGTATCACTTTGCGTCCTCCAATGCGCCTTCTTCACCGCATCCTCCAACTCCAAACGCTCCGCAATCCGCTGTACAGTAGGGTACTCGGCCAAGTTCACACCAGAGCGCTGTGCCCCCCACACAGCAGGAAGCAAACACACATCAGCCATAGTAACAGCATCACCAACACTGAATACTCCCGCCGTCCGCGAAACAATGGTCTCATAAGCGCGGAACCCGTCGTCAATAAGCTCCTTCGACCAAGTCTCCCGGTCGAATCCCAACGGGCCAACCCGCTTCAGGATCTTCAGGTTCGTGACTGGCTGCACATCGCAGCCAATAATCTCGCAGAGGGTGCGGACGACCGCACGGGACTCTGGGTCCGAGGTCGGTGGGAGGAGAGCATGGGATGATGCCGGTGTGATTTCTTCTAAGTATTCGAGCGCGGCAAGCGATTGCGTGATGGTCACCGTTGCGCCTTGGGATGCTGGGCGCTCGACTACAAGGGTCGGGACGGTGCCAGACGGGTTGAGGGCACGGTTGGTGGAGGATGACTGCTCGCCTTTCAGAAGATTTACGGGGACGGGGGTGTAGGGGATTGATTTGAGGTTGAGAGCGATACGCAGACGGGCTGCGGAAGTGGAGCGGAAGTATGTGTATAGGGTGATTTTGGGAGTTTGGTCGGTCATTCTGGGTGTTGTTGTCTGTTAAGTGGATTCTGGGTGTAGGCTTTATTGTATCTTGTAGGTGTTGTAAAGAAGGTTGGTTTCTTAAGAGGGGTATGTTATGGCAATGTGGGAGAGATGGGCTACCCAAGTGGTAGAATTTCTATGCTACAGCAATTTTAATACCCGTGAACTCTTTGGGAAATATACATAAATGGAACAAATTAATACTGGGTTTAGCCTTCCGTTACTGTGTCTCATCCATGACTACGGTTGTTTTTATTATTCTCGACAGTCTTGTCCAAGGCAGGCGGAACAGTTCCGCCAAGGTGATAACCGGTTCTGAGCGCAGGATTTTCCGCTATTTTCCGAGTTCAAGGATCGTCTTTTGAAACTTCGGAAGATCGCGTTTTTATATCGCTGTGGGGCAGTGCCTGGCCATCTGGAAAATCCTTGAGTACTGTGTAAAATATGATGTTCTTTATTGTTGCGGGAGTAGAATGCAGTGACGTCATGTGCTGTCAACTGCGGATAACTAGTTATACAGTCATGGTTAATATTAAGCACACACAATCCGGGGAAAATATTGTGAAAATTAAGACCATTTCCTTATTTTATCTAGTGGGATCACTTTTCTTCTAGCCATAGGTACACTTTTCAAGCTTCAACGCATTTAAAGTTTACCCAAGTAAGTATGTACTAGCAAAAATATATATATCTTAGAGTTTATGGGTACATCTTGTTAGTAAACCTTTTTATTAGTTAGTAGTTACATAGTGATATCAAAGTACCTAACCCTAATGCAAATATTTTACGCCTGATGCATCAACCCTATAGACGTTTATGCCCTCTACACGAGATCCTAAATCTAAAAGTGGAACGATGTCACTGTTGAGGTGAAGCTAAAGTAGGGGCGGGTATTTCTACCCTCTTTCTCGGCAACCGACGGCTATTTCTCCAACCACACTCAAACATCCGCAATATCTCGAAAAACCAAAAACCCGGACCACTCAGCCATTTGCCTTTGGCTCCTGCATCCGGCCCTTTGTTACCTCATACTAGTAACTATAATCAATAACTATCATGTGATTGGTTGATTTGCTCCCTGTGAGAATGGAGGTCAGGAGACAGTCCGGCAATGGACATGCCACATACCAGCGTACCTACAAGGCATGTCTTGCCTGCCGGCAGCGAAAGGCGAAATGTGAGTTAGGGACAGGGCCAGATGGCCTTCCATTAGGGCCGCCGTGCGCGAAGTGCAGGAGGGAACAAAGGGAATGTGTCTTCAGTGAGAAAAAGGCATGGGAGAGACAGAAGAAACGAGGTGAATTACCCGTCCTCCTTCTCTAGGCTAGACCATGTCTAACACCGCATAAGGACAATCGGAAGAACATATACCACTGTCTGCAAGGACACGTCCCAGACTATCCAGCAATCCCGGGATCAGTAGGGACGAGTCACACCACGTTTTAGGCCACGGCCCGAGTCCACTTAGCTATGCGGAGCAAGACCAGGATAACGCTGATAGTACTACACTTCAGTCGTCCCCAGCAGAGGGTAGCCAAAGACGGCGGCAATCCACCTCTACTCTGGCAAATTCTATGATGCGCACTGTGGTGTCTAGTGGAAATGATGCTCTCAATATCCTTTTTGAGGCGGCGGCCGCCCATAGTAAGGAGCATGGTAATGGTTTAAGCGAGTCGAGTACGCCGTCGCGAAATGCGCGAAGCTCTACTGGTCGCTCTAATAACTATGACAACTCATTAAACCAATCCATTGTCCCTCCAGAAGTCCTAGCGAAAGCAGCGCAGCCCGTAGAAATCTCCCAAGCGTCCAAAGATGTCCTTAGTGTCTGGGGAGCATGCCGCTTTGTCCGGATGGGATGGTTCACTGCGAGAGAGGCTGTCACATTTATCGACCTGTTAGTATAGCCGGTTGTTCTAGTACTAAAGTGCTAAAGCTGACTGACTGCTCAGTTTCTTTAAGAATATGTCGGACCTGTCCCCGATATTAACTGATTTCTATGCAGATCATAAGAATCATCGCTGGCTTGTCTCGCACGATCCGGTTTTATGTTGTACTATCTTGATGATCTCCTCTCGTTATCACCTGTTGCCTGGTGCAGGTGGTGGGTCGAGGAACTTTTTCATTCACCATCGGCTTTGGCAGCATTGTCAGCAACTGGTCATGCGACTTATGTTTGGACAGGAGAAATCTTCGCAGTCTAAGGTTCGAAACATAGGGACAATCGAGGCACTCATGTTAATGTCAGAATGGCACCCTCGATCCCTTCACTTCCCTCCAGAAAGTGATGGTTGGGACTTCGATCTCACGTCGGTTCCCCCGGATCCGCAAGAGCTAGAGGACTCTTCTTCTACAAATCGATGGCTGGAGGATATGATCGAGCCAGCACGAAGATCAGACCAGATGTCATGGATGCTGCTGGGATCAGCTTTGTCTCTCGCGCACGAATTGGGTATTTTCGAGCTTGATGAAAAGAAACTGGGTTATGCGTCTGGTTACGAGGGATTTATATCTGGCGAACAGATCAAACTCCGCAGGCAACGGGTGCAGCGCTTGTTATACGTATATATCAACCAACTCGCATGGCGAATAGGTTGTGTATCGCTTATGCCACAAAGCCTAAACCATGCTATTCTTGGACGGCGGGCGACGAAAGAGCTAAACCAAACCGGTGATGAATGGCTGACTTTTATGGATTCCTGGATGGATCTGACAAAATTGGCAAAATCGGTTACTGATATGTTCTTTCCGACCGTCTCTTTTGCCAGGCAGCAACTGCATAGTGGGCGGTACATTGAATTGCTGGATCATTTTCGTCCGATACTGGACAAATGGAAGGAAGAACATCTCCAAGTACGATGTAGGTGAATCTGGTCATACCTAGAGTATAACCTATGACCGTAATATTTCCTGCGCGTATGAAACTAACGTAATATACAGCACGCAAGAAACAGTACTTTGATATTCTCTTCCTTGAATATCATTTTGTTCGAGTCTATACGCATTCCGTCGGAATGCAAGCAGTGGTGGAACGGGTGCTCGCGGACAGCGATCCTCACGCGGAAGAGGTCCGCGCACTGAATATCGACCCAATTGACTACGAATACATTCAAGAAGTCATTGATGGATGCTGCCAGATACTACAGAAGGTAATTCAACTGGCTGAGAATGGGGTATTACGATTCTGCCCCGTCCGGATATTCCTCCGTATCACGAGCTCGTCCATCTTTCTCATGAAAGCCCTTAGTTTGGGAACACGCCAATCGACGCTGCGAGAGTCACTCGATGTTCTCGAGCGAAGTATACAAGCGCTAAGGTCGAACGCCTTGGATGATATCCATTTGAGCACCCGCTATGCTGCGCTGTTGGACATGCATGTCGCGCGTTTGCGACGGAACTTACTGGCATCATCAAAGACAGTCAAGAGTAACCAGGGAACAACATCAAAACCATCCATGGGTGTCCCATCGAGCACAAATCAGGGTAACAATACACCTATGATGGATATTCCAATATCACAAAATATGTCTGATATGGGGTACATCCCGTCCCTCAATGATATCGCGGCTGACGATTGGCTTTCTTTACCATTCGACCCATCGATGGCACCGTTTGGTATCAGTAGTGCAGGACAATTCCCTGCATATGAAGGAGGAGCTCTGAACTTTATCTGGAATTTGCCATCTTGAAATCCTCTCAAGATAACGTTTGCCACATGACGTGGAACACATGTACATACATAGATGTAAACATCCTTCTGTGAGTTTGAAAACATTTGTAAACCATGGGCTGTCTAGCATAACACCCAATCAAGAACAAAAGACAACAAGGTTTTCATTTCCCATTTGCTTTGCCACAGAATATCGAGGCTACGGGAAAAGTCGTAGTTCTTCCATGCACTGCGAGAAAAGTTTGTTTTGATACGAGCGGAAATCGGGGTGCTATCTACACGTGACCGCATCCCCGGCCCGAAGTCACGTTTTACGGGCGAAAAAACGCCATCTAAAAAGATTGCTGCGATCCCGCCAACTTTGCTCCATCGCCGACCTCATTGTCCCCACAACAGACATCTCCTCCCGCAGTTTGACGATTAGAAGACGTTACTTGACGACGCTAAATCATTGTCAATACATACGCCTTCGACCCCATCCTTCCTCGAACGAGTCACAACCTACCCAGGTCATCAGCAACCGCTCGATCCATTGACACTTCGCATCTCACAAACCGTGTAGCCTGTCAGGACAGTAGCTACTCGTGCTTACGGACATACCGCCCGTTTAATATCATCTACTCGTCCCTTTATCTCTCTTCACATTCGCCATGGATCACTCCAGAGATCCCTGCCCCTGGGTTGCCCTGAGCGACTTCGGTGGTGCTTTCTGTATGGGTGTATGTATTCGAGTCGAGGTCCAATCGTGCTCATTTGCAGGACTACCGGGCTAATAAGATGAAAACTGTAGGCAATTGGTGGTGCAGTATGGCACGGTATCAAGGGTTTCAGAAACAGCCCCTACGGAGAGCGTCGGATAGGAGCCCTCACAGCCATCAAGGCCCGCGCGCCCGTCCTCGGTGGTAACTTCGGTGTGTGGGGTGGTATGTTCTCGACATTCGACTGTGCGATCAAGGGAATCCGGAAGAAGGAGGACCCTTACAATGCTAGTATGTGTACCCTATCTCTCAATTTACTGGGACATTTGGGGTGTCCGGTTCGTGGAGAGCGTCCGACTAATTGATGTTCTTTGTTTCAGTTATCGCTGGTTTCTTCACTGGTGGTGCTTTGGCTGTCCGTGGTGGTGTCAAGGCTGCCAGAAACTCTGCCATCATGTGCGCTGTTTTCCTGGCTGTCATTGAGGGTGTCGGTATTGGTTTCCAGAGAATGATGGCAGACAACACAAAACTAGAGGTGAGCTTCATCTAGCGTCTTCTTTCGGGAGCAGCTTGGGCTTCCGACCGACCGCTTGTATGAGTTTTAAGCTAACTTGGTGTGCTTCAGCTCCCTCCTGCTCCCCCATCTGGCGACAAGGTCGCTGCATAAATCAACACCCAGCTACGATGCCTCCTTCCCGAATCCGATCTATATGCTATATTATTATCACGTATCTCTCTTCTCAGGTGTTGGGTGTGGTCATCATTTCTGGGGGCAAACTATAGAGGTTGCTATTTCTATTGTGCTTCTATCCCTGCTCTTAATCCTCTTGTATTGTTTTAGCCTGGTTTGTTGGAGTGCACAGCATTGCATTCGCATGTTCATTATGTTGATGGAGGGAAAAGAATCTTCGACGCCGGCCTTGGGGTTTCCAAGGCTGGACTTTCTTGTATATTAACTTCCGATAAATGGTATAATGTGATATCAGTCTCCCACACACTCCAGTCTACCAATGGCGATGCCCGGGTAATTGCCTTCAGAGTCAGATGAATGCATCACCATAAATGAGGAAGAACAGCCAGAAAAAGGAAATATATACCAGCGCCATGCTTATCTCTCTGATTATCGGCGGGTAAGTCATTCCTTCCAGCCCCAGATTATTCCAAGATAAGAAGCAAGAAACAATAAGACTCCATTCTATAAATCACCTCCGAAGAATCAATTACTCATTATCTGATAGTACAGTCAACATCCATCCCTATCCCTCAAAGCCAACAGGACCAACCAAACTCTAACCCCAAACCCTGTCTCCAAGCCGCCCAAAACCTGCATATAAGAACCCGCTTCCCCGCAGCCAACTCACAGTGCTCCATCACACACACAACGCACCAACATCAACACAATGGATAAATCCAAACCCTACCCCCAACAAAGAAAACCACTCTTCAAACCAACCCTAATAATCCACGGCGGCGCGGGCGCCCTAAAAAGATCCACCCTCCCTCCATCCCTCTACGCTCAATACCAAACCTCCCTGCTCACTTATCTCCGCTCCACACACTCCCTCCTCAAGTCCGGCTCCACAGCCCTCGACGCCGCAGTCCACGCCGTAACCCTCCTCGAAGACGATGAGCTCTTTAACTGCGGCCGCGGAAGCGTCTTCACCTCCGCCGGCACCATTGAGATGGAAGCCTCTGTCATGGTGACATCCCTCGTGTCCGATGATTCTTCGGATTACCCAGGGTCGACCAAGAGAGGCGCAGGTGTCATGGGATTGAGGAATGTTCGACACCCAATCCTGGCGGCTAAGGAGTCACTTTTACGGACCGGATATGGAGGTGAGGATGGGGGCAGTATGCATTCGCAGCTTGTGGCGCCGTATGTGGAGGAGAAGGCCAGGGAGTGGGGACTGGAGTTCATGCATGATGAGTGGTTCTGGACACAACGACGGTGGGACGAGCATCTACGGGGTCTCCGCGGGGAGCCTGAGCCGATCAGTTTTAGCCAGGGGACGGTCGGGTGTGTTTGTCTTGATATGTGGGGTGGGATGGCTGTTGCGACAAGTACTGGGGGGTTGACGAATAAGTGGCCTGGGCGGATTGGGGATACGCCAACTTTGGGAGGTGGGTTTTGGGCGGAGGGTTGGGATGTTCAGTCTAATACAGTAGTCGATGGTGAGGAGCGTGAAGGGCGAGGAGGGCTTTTGGATGGGATGTTGGGGGATTGTTTATCGTTCTTTAATAGCAGAGGAGAGGGTTATGTGTCTTTGCCCATGGAGGTCCCTATGGAGAGGAGACTAGGGGAGAAGATGGTAATGTGTTCTAGTCCGGAAAATAGGGTCAAGAGACGGGCTGCAGCTGTTTCGGGTACTGGGAATGGGGACTCCTTTCTGAGGGTTGCGGCGGCGAGGACGGCTTGTGCTATGGTTCGTTTTTCGGAGCGGACGCCCACACTGGCTGATGCTGTTGCTGCGGTTTCTGGGCCGGGTGGTGAGTTACAGCGTTCGGCTGGAAGGCGCTGGGGAGTTACCAGAGAGGGTGAAGGGGGCATTATTGGAATTGAGGCAGAGGTGGAAGTGGATGAGGATACGGGAGTGCCTGTGCCTGGGATGCAGCTGGGACGGGGGCAGGTGGTGTTTGATTTCAATTGCGGAGGGATGTGGAGGGCGTGGGTGGAAGAGGATGGCGATGGGAACGATCTGGAGAATGTGATGGTTTTTAGAGAGCCGTATTAGAGAGGACTCGTAGACCAGACTTTTGTTGTGGATATGTGGTGTTATTTTATATTATTCTTGTTCGATACCGCGTAGCCCGATAGAGTTAACTTCAAGACAGATTGAACGACGAGAAATACAGGAAGTGATATCATGATAGAAACAAATGCTGGAACCACCCAACGAACACTATCCACTGTCATAGCCAGCTCAGTTGCCACGGCTAGATCGCTGATTCGTAGATATCCAAGTAGGAAGTAGATCGACATTAATGAAATGTACAAAACATGAATTCAACCGATCGTTTCTTCACCACCCCTCTATAGTGGTAAATTTAGCAAGCACCCCGTCCTTAGGGCAAACTGTCGCTTGTTGTCGTACTTCGAGTGGAGCATTGGGATTCTTCAGCTCCATTTGGTACTTGCCCACAACGACCGCTACCATGCAGGCCAGCTCTGCTTTGGCGAATCCCTGGCCAATGCAACTCCGTGGTCCGTGTAGGAACGTAAGGTTGGCAAAATTGCTGTCGGCACCACCATTGTTAGCCCGGCCAGGGCCTAGCCAGCGTTCTGGGTCGAACTTGTCGGCGTCGGGGCCCCAAAGCTCTTTGCTCTTATTGATGATTTCGGGGGCAATCAGAAACAAGGTGCCCTTCGGAATGGGCTCGCCAATGATCGTTGTGTCTCGACTGGCACAGCGGATAGTAGCAGGTACAGACGGGTGGAAGCGAAGGACTTCATTACAGAATGCGTTGAGATACGGAAGATTATCGATATCGGCAGCAGCAGGCTGCTCCGGGTTCTCTGTCGAGATAGGTGGGAGGTTTGCACGAATCTCTTCGCGGAGTCGGGTCTGTATATCGGGGTGCTTGCATAAGACGTACACACACCACTGTAAGGCAGTTGACGTGGTTTCATGTCCGGCTCCTAAGAAGGTCATCATTTGGTCTACCAGTTCCTCCTCGGTGAATTTCCCGCTCCGCAGGGCAACCGAGACAATATCAATATCCTCTGAGGTGGAGGATCTGCTTTCCCATTTTGCTCTCTTCTGCCGGATCATCTGCCGTGCTACATCTCGGATGGTTTCAGAACTTCGCTCAATACTCCTGTTCCTCTCGAGTGGCAGGTCATGGACGAAGGCAGGGTCGCCCAGAAGTAGCGCCAGGAGGAAAATAATCTTCATGTACAATGGCGGTTCACTCATAAGGTTTTGATACGTCCTCACGAGTTTGTTGTTAGGGTCACGAAGAGATTGAAAGTCATGATCCATTCCAGCAACGCCAACTATATCGAGCGCCGTCCTACTGGCGTATGCTCCCATCCGGAGGACATTATCCGTTGGGTCAGCCTTTTTCCGCAGGTCTTCGTCCATTACCCTGACCATTTCGATACTCTTTGACCAGAAAATTGGATACATCTCTTTAACATGGCGATAAGCGAATGCTGGAAGAAGGTTCTTTTTTGATTTCTATTGCAAGTTAGCCACAGCAGGAGAGATAGTAAGTGGTGGTCTGTGCCCGGACCTTATGATCGTCCCCTTCCACAAGTAGTAAGCCATGCTCCCCAGCTAAACGTTTGAGACTTGCTCTGATGAATTCAGGTTTCGGGAAGTCGTACGACTTGGTGACCAGAATCTCTTTCAAAGCTCGCGGGCCCACTGGTAAGATGCGCTCTAGGTTAATGGAGACGTAGTAGCGGATCAACCCGTCATTTGGCACATTTTCCAGCCATCTATGCATATGCTCATAAGGCGCCTCCAAAAAAACTGTGTCGGAGTTGCCCGTGAGCCATGATCGACCCTGCGGCACTGTTCATTAGAAATCTCACAGCCACCGGCGTCGGTGATCGAATAGCAGACTTACGGCAGGCGATGGAATTTTCTTGATAGGCGTGAAGAAGTCTGGGTACAGCACCCAATTATAGAAAACTTTGAGTAGAGAGACTAGGATTGATAGAATGATGAAATTGCCGAAGGTCGATTTGGCGATTGCATACCCGGCGATTGCGATATAGACCGTCGCCCAGGTAAGTCCCATCATTGTGAGCAGAGGCTGCGGTCACTCGAGAGCCCAAATCAGATCAAAGAGAGATTTAGATTGTCGTAGAGAGAGGTCACGAGGCGACTTCATGGGGCTTTAAATAGTTCGGGATGGAACAATGGGTTACAGCCGTTAAGGAGAGGATTCAGTCACCCATTGAAATCGATATTCACGATGTCTTTGTTGCTGACAGACGATCTGCAGCCCGGCCACTGGTCAGTGCGGCTGGAAGTTACCTAGGTGCAGAGTACACGACAATGAAAAGCCAACCTGGTCTGTCTCCACCGTGGTGCCGAACTAAATCAATCGGGTTCAAAGCGACGCGATGTGTTGCGGATCTTTTTTAACCTCCTTTAGTTTTGGGGAACAATTTGGCAATTTCAGAACAAGACCCATTGCGGCTCCTTCAAAAAAAAACTCAACTCAATCTGAGGCCACCCTCCCGAGATGTTTTATGATTATCGACATGACCTTTCCGCTGGTTGTGGCCTGCTGGATGGGACTGGAAAACTAAATCTTAAAGCAAATACCGCCATTGGTTCCTCAGGAAGGGATCTTCTTTCTCTAAGTGCTCGGTAGGCCAATAAGATCTTTCTTCGTCGGGTCCACCTCCATGGAAAAGGCATCGAAAAAAAAAAAACGCGGCAAGCCTCAAATTTAGTTCAAGATACCCATTCTATAGAACGGGCCTCAATGCTCGCGAGGTTTCACTGCTGCTGCACATGGCCGGTCGCGGGTATGAGATTCTTAAAGAATCCGAAATAGTGCCGAATGAACGGATTCTGCGGGATCTCGAGTTTCACTAAGATCCAATAGCTTTCCCTTTGACACTCATGTTGATTTCGTCAACTTTGAAGGCGACTACGGAGCAGCTGTCTTCGAGTCATACATGAGCAGCGGGCTCCAAATTGGAAGCATTGCCGAATGAATGGAGCTCTCAGCTTTAGGCTTTTCAGTTCTGCCTGAGGTCACTTGCATACAGTCTCAGCTTTCGCGTGAACAGCTTCCTATATTAATAACGGAGTGATTTGGAATACATACAGAAGAGATAGTATTACCTAAATTTACTTTCCCCTTTTCCGTTATGTATTTTTATTTCCCCATCTCTTTCCATTCTCATTGTTCAACATGAGCCTCGGATGTCCCCAAGTGTACGCAATCCGCCAAGCATTGAACAATAGGTTAAACGTCCAATGACCATTCCGGGTCTTTCTATTGTACAGATCATGTCGCACTAAGCCCCGGACGGTAGCAAGAGATGCCATTTTCAGAAACCATATCGCCTTTACATTGAGTCTTGAATGTCTTATAAGTTATGGGTTAGCTGGATCTCCCCTTGATCTGCGACACCTAATGGAAGCACCCCTCTCAGCGCGCGAACACACGTTCCATCACGATTAAAGCGCGGTGATCAGTCGTCAAGTACCACCTGGGCAAATGATACTACGAGCGAACCACTATGCAGCTATGCGTGTCGCTAGTACCAACAGGAGCGGGCTTCTTCCAAACCACCACGTTTCCGCCTAAATAACTGAATCACGGGGCATGTCTATGTTCAATGCAGAGACCATCGCTAAGACTCGCGATATCGGTTATGGTGTCTTGGAGATAGTACGAGCCGTCGATCTTCACCAGCAATTGTCGTTTCATATATTAGCGGTTTATTTCGTGATTTGGAATATGGTCGGACCTTTTTCACTGCATGCCGAGGTGAAGATGATGATATAATCATTATACGCAGGGGATCAGAATCGGTCGATTGTGTCAGGTGACATCATCATTCCATCGCAACTCCTCTGGATGCATTATTAATGCAGAGACCCAATTAGACTTTTATTAACTCGAAGGTAGAGTCGAGATGCCATCTCGACTACTTCTCCATTCTCGATCGCAACGGTACCCTCATCCATCAAACCTTTCTTCATTGAGTCGAATATCATGACCTCACGAGAACTTCCGGATATTGTAAACAAAGCTGCGCCCAGCATATCCTACTTCACACCCGCCCAAGAACCTCCCGCGGGAACAGCAGCCGACCCGCAGTCAGATGGGACGGCCCCTCCGAAGCTGTTCCAATCCCTCTCTGTGCGGGGTCTGACCTTTCATAATCGCATCGGAGTAGAGCACCATCATCCCCCAGTTGCCAAACAATAATGCTGACAAGATTTGAAATGTAAAGCTTTCGCCGTTGTGTCAGTACTCCGGTGACGATGGCCATATGACAGACTGGCATATGGCCCATCTCGGGGGAATTGCCCAGCGTGGACCCGGGTTTCTCATGGTTGAGGCAACTGCGGTTGAACCCGAAGGTCGCATCACCCCCGAGGATCTGGGTTTATGGAAAGATTCGCAGATCGAACCTTTGAGTCGCATCATTGAGTTCGTTCACAGCCAAAACCAGCTGATCGGGGTCCAAATCGCCCACGCCGGCCGCAAGGCAAGCACAGTTGCCCCATGGCTATCCATGAATGACACTGCCTCCAAAAAAGTAGGCGGCTGGCCAGATCATGTTAAAGGCCCTACTGATGCTCCTTTCAATGATCGGAACCCCACGCCCAAGGAGATGACAAAGCAGGATATCGAAGACTTGAAGGTCGCATGGGTGAGCGCAGTTAAACGAGCTGTCAAGGCGGGCGCGGACTTTGTCGAAATCCATAACGCCCATGGGTATCTACTCATGTCATTCCTTTCCCCTGCCGTGAACAAGAGAACGGATGAGTATGGTGGAAGTTTTGAAAATCGCATTCGCCTCAGTATGGAAATTGCTAAGCTGACCAGAGAGGCGGTTCCCGAGGATAAGCCTGTGTTTCTGCGCGTATCCGCAACCGACTGGTTAGAAGAGTCGAGGCCGTCAGAGCCCAGCTGGAAAGTAGAGGACACCGCCAAGTTTGCCCAAGTGCTCGCCGAGAGCGGTTACATTGACTTGATTGACATCAGCAGCGGTGGCACCCATCAGGCGCAACATATTCATGCGAAACCAGGCTTCCAAGCTCCTTTCGCCATTGCCGTCAAACGGGCGGTTGGGGATAAGTTGAAGGTAGGGGCAGTGGGCATGATTGACTCGGCCCAGCTGGCCAACTCCTTGTTGGAGAAGGAGGGTCTGGATTTTGTCATGGTCGGACGTGGTTTCCAAAAGAATCCGGGGTTAGTTTGGGCTTGGGCTGATGATCTGAATGTGGAGATCTCAATGGCTAACCAGATTCGATGGGGGTTCTCTCGCCGCGGCGCTGGACCATTCCTGAGGAAGAGACAGGCAAAGATCTAGAGTTAGACAGTATATGGTTCGTGAGATTTATACATAAATATATGACCAAAGAAAAGATATATCATGAATAGGGCACGAAGCACAAACTCGAGCCATTAATCTGGGTATAACTACGTCAGCTCTCGTCCAAATGTTGTGTGTCTCGTTGATAGCACTGAATGATTTTGATCTATAACCGTAAACTCAACCAAATCCCGACCATATTTACATAGATCCGGTCCCCAAAGTAGGAACAGCAAGAGAAATCTCGGTATATACATGAGACGAGCGCTGTACAAACATGAAACGAATCGCTTGATACATGCGGAAGTAGACTCTTGTTCACTTAGAATATGATGTTGTACGGCGCACGTGCGCCAAACTATCCGACCACTACGTTGAAAGAACCCCACTACAGGTGATGACGCGGTTCAAGCACATTCTCATCGCGTATTTCTGCAGAAGATATAACTTAGTTTTGTCAATGACACAGGAAGAGATCGAAGTGGACTACTTTGGGAATCTTACCATTCCAGGCCTCCAGGGCCGCTTTCTCGGCATCCCATCCCCATAAGAAAGTCTGCGTCTCACGATCTGCCCATCGATCGGGATTAGACCCGCCGGTCATCGATCGACGGAACTGCTCGTCTCGAGCCTGCTGTTCAGGACCGTCAGGAAGATGCAGCGTGATACGGTTTGCCGAACCGGACTGCTGAACTGTCTCCGCGCGTTGCTTCCGGGACTTTTCGTACGCCCGTAGGGCTACGGGGATTTCATGCTTGGATGAAATTGTTGATAGGAGAACACCTAGGGCGGCAGCGTCTTCGACAGCCTGCGCGGCACCTTGAGCGACGTATGGCCTGAATGAGACGTTAATTTCGTAGATCTCTCGTAAAGAAGGCAAAGGGGGACTGACAGCATAGGATGACAAGCGTCACCGATTAACGCCACACTATCTTTAATCCAAGTCTTCAAGGGAGAATGCAGACAGAGCTTCCACTCAAGAACCTCATCTTCCGCAACCAATTTAATGAGCTTTTGCACCCTTCGATCCCAGCCGCGATAGTTGTCAACCATCTCCTGCTTCGATCCTTTGGTAGTCCACGATTCCTCCACGCCATGTCCATCCGGATGAAGCAGTACCACGTTGAAGAGCTCGTGTTTGCGGACGGGATAGGCAATGATGTGACGATCAGGACCGATCCAACGAGTTGCTTGTGGCTCGTCCAATAGCTCTTTTAGTTCGGGATCCTTTTCCATCGTGCTCCGTGGCAACATGATGCGATAGGCTGCATCGCCTGTTGGAATGGCCTTTGAGGGCGAGTCTTCGCCAAGTAGATGACCACGGATGGTGGATTTGATGCCGTCGGCCGCTATCACAACATCCCCTCGGACAACAGTGTCATCAGCTAACGTCACAGATGCCGGGCCAAATTGAACATCGGTGACGGTCGAATTTACTCGAAGTTCCACATTTGGCAGCGCCAGCGCTTGCTCAATCAAGGCGTTGTGGAGATCTGCACGATGAATAACTACCTGTTGGCCGTATGTTTTGTTTACAGGCATTGTGCCTAAAAGACTACCGTCTTGCCACCGGCGGACATGGATATGCTCCAGGGCAACGTCTTTTGAGTGAATCAAAGGGGATACGCCCCAGCCTTGTTTTGGATCAGCAACATCTTCAATTCGAGAGTAACGGGAAAAGCTCACGGTCAAAAATCCGCAACATATTCGGGGAAACTTGAATACCGGCACCGACCTCCAGGAGCTATGCATGGGTCTGATTAGCAGATGTTCTGACAACAGAGGCACCCTTGGCTGCGTACCTTTGGAGCGGATTCCAAAATTGTGACATGGTGTCCTTTTGACCCCAAAGTCAAGGCTGCTGCCATGCCACCAATTCCTATACCCGTTAGTGTCCAAACCTTCTTCCCATACCCAGAGAAAGCGGAAGCATACCTGCCCTATATGAAGATTAGCATGATCATTTCGAGTGGCCCACACAATGGATGTCAGATTCTCAACCTACCCAACAATAATCACCTCAAGGGGTGTCTTCGCCTGTATTACCATGATGACAAGAAGCCCGTGGAACGCCAAGTCACCAAATCTAAAGGATCAACTCTGGGGAGTGGGGAGAGATGCCAGGCTCTTGACGAATGACCTACTCAGAGAAAGCCGGTTTAATGTTGCGTGAAGATACAGGTCACACTATGGATTTGCCACTCCGACTTGACCAACATCGACTATGGACGATGGATTATGGACAATGGACTAAATAAGAATGATGGATGATGGGGACAAAGATATTATTTAGTCCCACGGACACCCCGATCTGTTCTACCGGAACTAACAGGAGGCTACTAAAACTAGAACTATCTCCACTATGGGGAGCACCGAAAGAAAGCGGCTGCAAGCCATTGATACCCTCCCAGGGGTTTCAATGTACAGTACGTATTGCCATCCCTGCCTCGTGCCAGCAATGCAGGGCGAAGGCGCCACCTCCCGCCTTCCTAAAAATCCTTGTTTCCTTTTACAACGAAGGGTAGCCGGTCGACATATAGACGCCAATTCTAAATCAGAACGCTATAGTCCGGACTGTAGGACAGAGGGAACAAGAGGGAAAAAAAAAATAGTATGAGCCGGTGGGTGGCGCCGCTCGGTAAAGGCGGGTGGAAAACGAGTCAGCGGCGGCGACGGGGAAGAACTTCCCTCACCAACGCTTCTACTGTACCGGCTTTCCAGCGACCGTCCATCTGCCGAGGGTTCGTCTACTACCCCAGGGCATGCGCAAGAGGACGTTGTCTCTAACCCCAAAATCAGTCTGTCTCCGACCCACATCGCTGCACTGTTGACGCAGACGTCAAAATCCGGTGTTTAGCACAATCGCATCTCCGGCAAAAATCTGGAGAGCACATTGCCGATATCGCTGTATACCCACAATTTTTGCGAGTCACTTTTGTTATATTTCCAGGTCAGTGAGTACAATGCCTTGCAGGAGATTTGTCGGCCGAACCCGCCCACTGCTTTTAGTTATTTGAAATGGATTGTTTGATTCATTTCCCGTCATTCGAGTCGCTTTATCATTTCTTTTCCGTTTTTGGTTTTCCTTCAGTTAAACCTGGATTTATTATGAACGCCTTCAGCTTACAATGCAGCAGTGTTGTTTTCATAGTCCTGTCATGATAATGGAGTAAGGGCACAATATGCAAGGAGTTGAGAAAGCTCCTCAAATGCCAACCAATGGGGGTTTTGCTGATCTGCTGAAGATTGCTGTGGTTGGCTCACTGCAGATCCTGAACCCTCGAATCAATCCCCTTCCGCCGTACAGTCTCCACATCAATACGGCCTCGATTCCATGAATTATGCACCATCGGCCCGGGCTTCTCTGGCTGCTGCCCTTCTGGGAAGGTAGTATTAATTAGTACCTTCATGCTGCCTCCTTGTCTGACCACCACCCAGCCAACAGCACTCTAGGCCCTTGTTACACGGTTCGAAAGAGCACCTGTTCGTCATACCGTTAATCATGGGACCTTGCATTCTCGTTCTTGCCTGCATAACAGCCAATGATGCCATTCATGACTATTAATCGAGGATCCCCGTTCTGCGACCTACAGCATTAGAACCGTTTGTTGCTGCGACAATGGCTGTAATATTGTCATTTTAGCTCCAAAGAAATTCTCGACTCAATGGCAACGCTACGAAGGTTCATTGAAATGATTCTCACATACTGAACCTGTATTAGGCGATTGATGTGACTGGAATGAGTAGTATCGATGTTTACCATCTAAACGGAAAAGTGTGACAGGGATCTATTAATCATCAGTAGATGTATTGACAACTATTGCTCGTGTTCAATGCGAAGAAACGCCACTGTGCATCTTATAAGCAGCAAGGTCTTTATAATGCTATGAATATACAATTACGGCAAGGTATCCTTGCTGTCAGCATGGAGGGGTATTGTTTGACCGGTTTCCCGGTTTTGGTGGGCGGTTATCGCGTGAGTGTGGGATTTCTTAGTACCCTTGGATTATCGGTTGAGGATGTCTTGTTTCCTGGGTTCGTGGTGGTGGAGGCTTAGGCACTGCAGTATGTCGTCATTTAGTGAGCACATGCGTCTTACTACGGTCAATTAAGGTTGTGTACAGGGATCTTATCTTCGATATCAAATGAGTCACGAATTCGCCTGGGACCAGTTGTCCCAAATCGAGCGAGATAAGGAAACCCCATCGATGAGACCAGAGTCTGAGTAATTGATTGTGGCCTTCTATCCAGCAGTGGGTTGTTAAAAGAAGAATCCAAGAACATGACATGAGGGGGTAATCCATTGTTGATGACCTGAATCAACCATTATCTACAGCTTACGCGAGTCTTATGAAGCCTGTGCTGTCGTCCTTGTATATAGCAGAGAAACCATGATCTGTCATATGGAATCTAGAATTAATGGGCAGCAGGAAGCTCAGCGCTCCGTATCCATCGATCCCGCATCAATCCAAGGGTCATTGTTCGTCTGTTCAGTACGTTAACAGCTCAAATAACTATAACGAGTAGTGAAGGCACGTTATTGTACGTGACTTTTCGGAATCACCATATAATTCCTTGTAAAGCTCCTCTTCATCTGAAAAGCTTACAAAATCCTCTGGAAGTAAGCAATAACGACGATGGGAGGGCATGTTGAAATGTCATCCGGTTTTATAGGATTACGTGGACAACCCTCACCCATTGATTTTACATGTGTGAGATACAGCATACCTTAATATATTGAGCAGTGATCTCATATGACCAAACACGCTCTCAGTACGGGTTCCCTGAAAGTGAATTAGCGTGAGGCGCTCAGGCTGCAAACGAGGGCCGCCGGAGTATAAACCCCCCTTCCCTTCCTCTTTCTTTCGTTCCTCACAAGGAGCGTGGTATTCGATTGTGAGAGAATGTGGATTTCCCACGTAGTCGTCTGGGATGTGTGCGGGGCCTTGATTGTTTGTGTCATGCATGCCGTCTTTAGATGAGAGTCCATGGTGGGTGGAGACGATTGTTCTACCTGTTGGAAAAAGCTAGGCTCTCGTGAGTTTCTCCTGCTAACGAGTATGGCGTGGTTGAGAGCTTGCTGTGACATTATCATCAACTTTGTGCGCTTTCCGGCTCTCTATGGGACAGGTATACCGGTATATACTAGTCCGGTAAACAGCTTCGGTGTGGTTCTGGCCTCAGAGGAAGATTGAGTCTAACTGCCTTCTTGGAGAAGTCCTAATGTCCTTAACAGTATAACGATACATTACCATCCCAGCCACCTAACCCAGACATCAACTATCTTTGTGGAATCAGGGTCACTACTCGAGTCAACCACCAAGTACCACCCGTACATCGCACCCGTTATGCACGCATGGTTGGGATAAATCTTGACAGTCTGGCCAACACTCAGGGGGATCTTCTTTACAACATCCTCCGACTCCCACCTCAGAATACTGTGCTCCTGACTGATCCGATCAATGAACAAACGATCCCCCTGCTGGGTGGCTGGCAAGCCCCAAGGTCCAACAACACCCCATCCTTTATAATTCGGACAAGGCTCCCGCCCCATCCCCAAAGTGCCCACGGCAACCAACGCCTCTGGATACTCACGCTCCCCATCATTATACACACTGCAAGTCTCGGCCACCACACAAACACCCACCTCATCAAAGAACTTTTCCCGCACACCCCCCGCATTCGTACTCATCTGCTGCATATCCAGCAACGGGTAATTGCCTGCATGCAACTCAACTCTGACCCGTCCCTTAAACGCCCCTGTATCCGGCTCCTTCAGAAACTTCCTCAGCTTCTCAAACTCAGCATCATCCCCCTCGGCCACAGACTCCGCAGCAACAACCTGCGGTGTCGCACCAACACTAACAACCAACTCCCTATCCACGGGCAAGACCCCCGCATAGGAATCCAACGCAAGCAAACAAGCCTCAACCTCCCCCCTCAAATGCCCGAGCGCATCCCCCCTACTCCGTCCCCCATAACTCAAACTACTATGCGAGTAAATCCCGACTAATCTCCCCACTCCCGTCTTCTCCATCTCCCCCAGTTTCGACAATAAACCCCCCTTGTCCATCGCCCTCGGCGGCAACCCAGCCCGATGGTACCCACAATCAATCTTAAGAAACACACCCGCCGCGAACCCCGCAATCCGGGCAAAGGTGTCCAGAAACCTGATTTGGTCGGGGTGATCAATCATCACCGAGACGCTGTCCGGCCCAAGTTCTGCCGCTGCAAGGGCCAGCCGGGAAACCTGGGATGGGACGAGGGGGATCCCATACAGGACGTTCACCCTGTGGCCTTGGGACTGGAACTCTTTCAACAAGGGAACCAGATTCTCGATTTCCAGGGGTGTGGAGGCCACGAAGTTGATTTCGGGTGATGAGGTCCCGACTTGGAGACGGGACAGTTCGGTTGTCTTGTTTTTGTTATCATTATCATTCGTTGGTCCGGGGTTTCTACGGTGGCCTTTTTTTTTTTTTTTTTTTTTTTTTTTTTTTTTTTTTTTTTTTTTTTTTTTTTTTTTTTTTTTTTTTTTTTTTTTTTTTCGAGGGTGGTAGAGGATGGACTGGTTACGGGGAGTTCGGACTATGATTATAGAACTTACTTTATGACTTTTGACATGGGCACGAAAGCCTACACCTAGGGTTTGGATTGTCTGGAGCATTGAGTTGCAGTGGCGTTTGATGATGGCTAGGTCAAGGACGGCGGCGGGCTTGGGGATTTCAGCGAGGGTTTTACGCAGGTAGAATTGTTTGAGGGCATCTTTTGATGGGAGGGGGCGTTGTGGGATCATGGTGTCCACTTGTGTGGTTAAAAATTGATTTATGGTATGTAAGGAAACTAGGAAGGGATTGAAGGGAGGTCGATGTACATCGATATGGGGTTTTATAGATATATACTGTGGAGGGGTGGTTGTTTTAGTTTATGGATGGTGTGGGGATTTATTTTGTTTGTTCTGTTTGGTTACTTGTATAGGGATTGGGCGGATGATAGTTTTACCTGATCTTTGTGCCTGGTTTATGTTTCGTTGTCTTGTGTTGAATAGTGATGTACGAAGTAATGAGATATACCCATTTTGCATCCTTTATTTGAACTATCTCAAAACACTTTTGGTGATGTATTGACATGAAATCTGTGTATGTCTAAATGGAGGAGAATCTATCGAAGATAAACAAATAACCCTCCGATCTAGAGTATATGTGAACTTATAGAATAGTTAGCATTCCAACGCCGTATTATGCAATCACTAGATAACAAGTAGCTCCGGAATTGGTCCGGGATAAGAGAGCTAGGGGAAATAGAGAATAAATGATAAGAAAGAAAAGATCGATCCTGAAGCAACTTCGTACTGGTATCCGTCGGTCATGCGCTGGTCATTGCTAGTGACGTGTGATAGGGGCATCAAAAAATATGTACAGTAGCGTATACAATAGCGGCCATATGCTGTCGTTGAGAGATGAAGAATGGGAGATTTCAAGATCAAGCTGTAAACATAAGTCGCAATCTGCTGGATCGCTTCTTCTTCTCTTTGGGTTGTGCGTCCCGGTCTGAGTGATGTGAATGGTGGGAATCTGCCTTCGATGGAGCCCTGGAAGGAGCCCTAGAAGGAGCCCGGGAGGGTGCCTTCGATGGAGCCTTGCTTGGGGCTCTCGACGGCGCCTTAGATGGCGCTTTCGATGAAATACCGAAAAAGGACTTAGTCGGTGCCTTGGAAGCCACGTATGACTCTGGCCGTTCGTTCACGCGGGTAGGTGCGCGAGATCTTGGGGGGCGTGAACGATGAGACCGGTGAGATGATGCCCGCGATTCCTCGTCATCGAACTTGAAACGAGGATCCCGCATCATGCGTGCAGTGGTCACATCGATGCCGGACATCATCGCAGCAGTGGGGGTAATGAATTCACCATCAACAGAGGTGCCGATGCTTCCATCAGCTGCATCAGCAACACCTCGTCGCCACATCTCAACACCGCTGAGACATTCGGTGTTGATCTCTACCATGTCATCCATACCGACGGGTTCACCCGGTCTAGGCCCGGGGCCGCGGTCTGGTCCTCGACTGACTTCGTTACCGTTACCGGACATCTGCTTGATGATTTTGTAACCGCCAAACATGACAATCGTCGCAGTGAGACCAACACCGGCGGCGATGAGAAACTGAGGGCTGGCAAGCAGTGCGAAAACGGCAGGGGAAGCCGATTTCAGTGTTGATAGTGCGGCCGGGGCCATCTTCGAGGCAATGTTACTGATCTCAGCCAGGGTGAGCGCAACTGCGGCCATGGCATCGGGATTCTTTTGAAGATGAGCAATCGTGGCTGTGGCACTGTGGTGCACACAGTTGGCTTCCTCCATAAGCCACTGTGCGCGGTTTACTAGACCACTCAGTTCCGGGTCCTCGATCTTCTGTAGCTGGTTTTGTTGTGGCGGAGCCTTGGCCAACGCGCGAGGATTGTAGTCACCGTACGCCAGGTCCATATCGATGTGCGCATCAGACTTTGAGCGACTGGTTGTCGGCCGAGCACCGGGCCCCCGTATGGCGATATCATGATGGGTGTGTCGACGGACCATGTCCTGCGGACGGTCATAGTAAGAGTCCGGGCGTGACGCAACGGAACCGCGGTCCTGCTCATATTCATAGTTGTCATCGTAGTAGTGCCGGGCATGGTGACTGCGGCCTGAGTGATGTCGCGAACGACTTCTCCGCGAAGAGGCGACGGAGGGCGCATCGTCAATCGTATAATTCTGTAATGCCTTGAGAGCTTCTCTTTCGGCGATGATAGCATTCCGCTCGGATTGGAACTGGGCCTTGCGGGAGCTATATGCATCCCTGGCATGGCTGAAAACACCAAACAGTTGTTTACTCTGCCAGACAAAGCTGTTAGCAAATGTTGCGTGAACTGCGGGGGGCATGACACCTACCGTACTCACTACCTTGCCGGATTTATCAATCACGGCAACGGTTTCGCCGAAGGGGGCCATTATAATTGATTAGCAGTACAGCACTGCTTAGTTCTTGGAATGATGATCAATGCCGAGGTCACGACCGACTTCCTAGTCAATCGTACATTAAAGTCCAAAAGGGTGCCGATAAGCATTCGCTTATAAAGTGATAAGCGAACAGCCCCGAGACGAGCGGTGTAAGGTAATCGAGTATATAAATATCGAAACTAAGCCCACTGGGTGGAGAATCAACCCGATCTCCTAAACTTTGTGAAAGAAAGTTATCGTTCTAGGCCCGAGAAGGAAATAAACGAAAAGTAGCAGGGCTGAACGAGCCCATATAATAAATGATGCGATGGCGAATTTGTATGCACGAAAAGCTGGTGCCTGATGGAAACAATTTCCGCCCAGCTGTGGTCAGGGATATATACAATCAGACGGCGATTTCCGGAGGGTTATCGAGTATGTTGGAAAGTCAAACGACCACACGACACGAAACTGCTTTGCATCGGAGAAAAAGGCCACGAAGGAGGTCCTCTGACAAGTCATATAATTGGAAGGGGAAAAAAATTGCAGAGGGGGAAAATGAGGGGGCTGGGTGGGTTGAAAAAGGATGAGATCCAGCGACTCAAGCGCCTAAAATGGGCACGAAGCAACGAACAGGATTAAACACCGCCAAAAGCGTTTACGGTTGGGTGTCGATGACGCTCAGTAGCAAGGCAGCCGATTTTGGTGAAAAATGCTTTGGGAAATAGAGCCGTGAATGGCTGTTCGTATAGACTATGCCGCGACCAATCGGTGGGGTAAGTGTTTGCTGTCACCGCACACCTTGACAGCCCTATTGGTGTTTTTGTGGGGTGCCAATCGCCTCATTGAAGATCCGTTGGGTAGAAGGAGGGGGAATACAATATTTTCGTTGTCTGTACCTGATAATGAGGCAAATAGTCCGGCATCCGAGTGTTTTCTCGGCGATGACGCACCCTATTTCTCCTTCGGAAAGAATCCAGGACATCCAATTCATTCTGCTTGAATAGAAACGAGTCTAGTCAGGGGAAGAGGAAAACCCCATGACATGGAAGGCACATGTTCAAAGGAATGGCGGTGATGCTGGTTGGTGTGATTGGTCAAGGCCATCACCGCCACTGTGGCTGGTGCAGTGCCGCCACATCCGCAAAGGAGATACCATACCATACGCTCAGCACCATACGCAGGTCTACAATTCTAGGCTGTCCCGGAGTGACGCATGATGAGTTTTATATAGAGCACCAAATCGGAGTCAAGGAGAAAGGCTGTGCAATATGACTCCAGCAAGATCACTCGTGTTACCGATAAAAAGACCATTCAATAGGTCGTACGGAGTACAGGCAACCCGCAATATGCAGCGTAACCCGATCAGTGCTGCACAATGATGATCAGGGGCTCGAATCAGACTCATTCTTAGTCGAATTCTGTGGACCACATTGACGGATCGATTCCATGTCGTTGGGGGTTAATCTGCAGCTTCCCACTGATCGCAACCGTGCCCGGTTTCAAAGGGACTCCGTTATCTCACATATAGGGCCAGTATGCCACCTTTCCAACTTCCTTGACCATTAATTTTCTTTGTACCCTGTACCACACAACTCGCTGATGTTTTTCGAACCATGTCTCCAAGCAAGAATGACGCGCTAATAGCTCGTTTACTTTGGGAGCCCAGGTCAGTTATTTCTCGTATAAACCATGCATTTGTTAGGATGCATGTAGGGTTTGGAGGTAAAAATAGAGAGGAATGATGGATCAGAGAATTAAAGAAGATTTTCAACATGTTGACCAACCGCAGGCAGGAGTGTTGTGGCAGATATCCATTCCACGAAAGAAAAGGTAGGTAATAGGCTGTTGACGGTGTTGTTGTTCCCCGTGCACCGCCACACTTCTGTGCATTTGCCATACATCACCGCCATTGAAATCACGACATTTGGTCCAGTCGCAAGACCTTACCGTTTTGGGATAATTGACTCAACTTCCACCTTTTTGCCTGCTTCATTCAATAATCTTTTCCACTTTGATGTACTAAAAACCTCCAATTTTTGTATATCCGGTTCTCTCTTTGACATATATCCTCCAATAGTACTGGCCTATACAAAGGAAGAGTGGTTGCAAAGGTGTCACGTGGAGCCACACCGTTGTTCAATTGATATCCGAATAGAATACATTGGCTGAGACTTCTTCGGCCATTGCGTGCCAGTGATGGACCACACAGTACTACATGAATCGGATGGCACATCCGATATTGATGAACAGACCAAGACCTGGGAATCTGATCCGCGTTCAATAACTACGCACCTCACCGACGATGACGCGAATGATTCCAATGCGATGATCGAATGTGGCATCGGCCACCGTGTTCAGGCCAGTCGGTCTGTCCTAGCACTAGTCTTAGATGATGACTACGTGTTTGCTGGTCTCCAGGGCGGAGACATTGTAGTATGTGATGGAGCGATGTTTCTTAGTTCATTGCAACTCTAATTGGCTTACCTCCGATAGGCATGGTCCCTCCAGACATACGAGCTCGTGCTCTCGGTGCATGCTCATCAGGAAAGCGTTCTAGATCTTCATCTCTCTGAGGACAAAGAGTTGCTCTTTTCTAGCGGCGGAGATTCAGTCGTTAATGTAATCCTACCCTCTAACGTGATTCGTGCAGAGTAAGTTTAACATGTATAGGTGTGGTCGACGAGGACCTTCGATCGCCTATACTCGATTCACTCCCACCATGATGTAGGCGATATTTTCGCAGTCGCCTACTCGTCAACTTTGAAGACTATCTACTGCGCTGGTCAGAACACCAGCATCCAGGTAAGTTCTAATCCGACTTCGCTTGAAAAAGCCTTCTGACGTGGCACAGTGGTGTGATATCTCACAAGCTGATGCGGCTGCCACACAATTGTCAGCGGCTCACTTGTCGAGGAGGACCCATCGGTTCTTTGATTCTCGCGGTCCCGATGGCACTCGTGCTCCCAGACCAGATGCGGGAGCGGACGGAAGCCATTCGATCACACAGGGTGGTCAAGTTCTCACCTTCAAACGTGATCACCATAGGATATTTTCCCACCATGGCTATGTATACACGATGCTCCTGGTCCGAGGGCTGGTTGAGTCGGTACCTTCTGAGGAAGTACTCATCACCGGTGCTGGGGATGGCGTCGTCAAACTTTGGCGTCTGAACCAGGACAATACCAATGCGGCGCCGTCCCAGATGGCAAAGCTGCAAAATGGCGACCCAGTACTCTCCATCGCGGTTGATGGGTCATTTCTCTACTGTGGCCTCGCAGGTGGCGCATTAAATATCTGGAACCTAGATTCCCATCAGCTTGTTAAACGCATCACTAGGCACACCGGCGATCTGTGGGCGGTAGATATTATCCATGGAGTAGCTGTGTGCGGCGACTCAAACGGAATTGTTAAGGTAGTACTGCTCTATCCAATATTCCAGAGGACCTATCTAACCTGCTCCGGAATTAGAAATTCAATTCTCGATTTGAAGAGGTTGGCAGCTGGACCGCTCATGAGGGAACAATGCTCGCGTCGGCCGCTGGTCGGCATAGAGACCGATTTATTTACGCTTCAGGAGGAAACGACAACACTGTTGGTATCTGGGATTTGACAGACGTGTCCCTAAAGCAGAACGAGCTACCTCCTATCAATAATGGTAAGGGATGATGCGATCCTGAAGAAGCATTGTTGCTAACGACATACAGATGAAATGGTTAACTGCCTTGCCAAGTTTGTCGCTTTCAAGACAGTTTCAGCTAGCCCCAAATTCGCGGGCGAATGCAATCAAGGTGCAGCGTTTTTGCGAAGACACTGCGTTTACCTGGGGGCCAAAACGAAGCTTCTGACCACCGGGAAAGACACGAACCCAATTGTTTATGCACGGTTCAATGCAACATCCTCGGAGAAAATTGACAAAACTATTCTGTTCTACGGGCACTACGATGTCGTTGGGGCCGATGCCAACCTTACCAAGTGGAAAACGGATCCCTACCAGCTTACTTCAATGGATGGTTTCCTATACGGCCGTGGTGTATCTGACAACAAGGGCCCCATCCTAGCTGCTTTATACGCGGCTGCGGATCTTGCACGCCAAAAAGCGCTCCGATGCAATGTTGCTTTCCTCATCGAAGGTGAGGAAGAATCGGGCTCCCAGGGCTTCCATGAAACTGTTCGTCAACACAAGGAGCAGATTGGTTCAGTAGACTACATTCTTCTTGCCAACAGTTACTGGCTGGATGACTACAACCCCTGCTTGACCTATGGACAACGTGGTGTCGTCCATGCGAACCTAATTGTGACCAGCGATCACCCCGACCTCCATAGCGGTATTGATGGAAGCGCATTGTTAGATGAACCGCTCAAGGACCTTACCTTGTTGATCGGCACTCTAGTGGGACCTAAGGGCCGCATTAATCTCCCCGACTTCAGGGACCGAGTCTTGCCTCTCCCCGAGGCCGAGAAGCAGCGATACGCGGATATCGCGCAGATTCTTCTGCAACAGCACCCCGAGATTACCGATCGCGATGCTTTGATTGACTCACTTATGCATCGGTGGAGGGAGCCAGCCCTTACCATCCACTCCATCGAGGTACCGGGCAATAGCAAGAGCACGACGACAACTATCTCACGCCGGGCGAAAGCCAGTATATCCATCCGTTTGGTGCCAAACCAGGAGGCAGATGATGTTGCAGCGGGCCTGACGATGTATGCGCAGGAACAATTTGATCTCCTAGAATCGCAAAACGACCTAACGGTTGAGATCACGGGTAAATCCGATCCCTGGTTAGGTGATCCAGACAACGAGATGTTCGAGACTCTTGCGGAGGCTATCACAGCAGCCTGGACGCCAGACACACAGGGCCAGAAACATCAATATCCTCCAGTTCAGCGGAACCTACAAGACCGAACGGTCAGCAAGCTGTCTAAGGAGCCAGGTCCTAGACTCACTCGGAAAGATTCTTCGGACAGTCTTGCTTCCCATATTGATCGTATTATCATGTCGTCGACCACATCTTCAGCAAGGAAGGCGGAAACGCGTCAACGCAGCCTACTCAGCACAGGCGTGCCCACTTCCTCGACACTAACTAGCAAATCCAGCCCGGCACTTGTGTCGGGTGATTCCACCAGAGAAACATCTCCAGCGCCTCAGGGAGAAATGCCTCCCCGTCCCGAACCGGTGCCCGGGCCGTCCGGCGTCCGTCCTATATATATCCGGGAAGGAGGATCTATTCCGACAATCCGCTTCCTGGAGAAGGAATTCTCGGCGCCGGCAGCCAATCTTCCCTGCGGGCAGGCGAGTGATAATGCGCATTTGTACAATGAGAGGCTGCGCGTGCAGAACTTGTACAAGAGCCGGGAGATCTTCAGCTATGTATTTTCGCGTCTGCCGGAGAGGGAGCGCAAGTGATCCACGAAGGGGTGTTCAGGTGGGTTGAGCACAGTTAGAGCATAATATTAATGGAGAGAAATCAGCTTCACTGCTAGCTGCGGGTTCACATAATGATCTTTATATTCATCAACTCCCTTTTGAGGTTGGCGGAAATCTAGTAGATTGAATATTCATTTAATGAGCAAGAATCAATAGATCTCGGGTTATTTTGTTAGATTGGCTATATGAACAATAATCTAAAGTGAAGCGCCCTGCAGTTTATTTTGGAGAACGGAGGTGGTAGACTGATAGAGGATACCATGCGAATGGTCCACCCCACTTCATGTTGACTCAATAACTAAGCACCTGATTCAGGAGTTCAGCTGTTTTGCTAAAAGTTGTTAGATACTGTCTGGCACTAGTTTTTATGTCTTTGAAAGAGTCGTGGACATTGAATATTTACTCAGACATACTGTTGCTTGTCCGTGATGGTAGAGGTGTACAGGGCGTAGAAGGAGAGCGTATATGCTAGAACGTTCAAGTGGTATAGATGGCCCAAAACAAGATGCGTAGTTGGTATGGTGGATCTGTGGAGTGGTGAGAACATATTAGTAATAGTGTAGCGAGATCTGTCATGAAAATATAGGATGTCATGCTGTCTTGTACAAGTGTCGGCATCATGTGATTCAACTATATACACATCACTCAGATACATTATTAACAGCTACATGTATTATTAGCACAGGATGGCACGAGCAGCCAAGGAAAACAACCAAACCTGACCCAGTATGATACGCGTATCGTCGTCACTGCAATGTTCAAAATCAACCCGCTAAAGGCTTCCTTCCAATAACAACATGCAGATTCACCACCGGCAAAACATTCTGGCAGCGACTCTCCAATTCCCCCACCAGCCGCTCGGTCCGTTCTACGGCATCCTTCTCTTCCGTTACCTCTCCAGTCCCTAGCATCGACTTCGGCAGCAATGACCGCAAGACCTGGACCAGCCATGCCCGTGCGGAATCATGCAAATATGGCTTATCAATAGTATTATACGACTGCCGGGATATATCCTCAAAGCCGACCATATTGGCTAGTTTCTCGATGAGTACAGGCGCCGTCGGACACAGCCCCAGGTTCACTGCTGCTGACGCGACAGTCTCTTGCATGCGGAGAATGAACGGATCAGGCGATGATTCTGCGGTAGAGAACGCTGTCGTGTCGCAGTCGTCCCATTGGAGGTAGCCGCCTGGTTCTTCATACTCCCATTAACATGGTTAGGATATAGAAAAGGGAAGGAACGTACTCAGTAGCTCATATATGTTACGCATTGACTGAGGATAATCTTCTTCTTTGAGGGCACCGACTAGGAGCCGGAGGTGTACTAAATCGTATCGGCCTCTATGCTCTGGGGGAAACCGGTTGCGCATGTCATGAGTGGAGAGGTGTAGTTCATGAGTGGGTGCAATATCCTTATAGAATGGGTACTGGGCTGAGGAGATATCGAAGCCGTGGAGATAGAGACGATTGGTAGGATGTGCTTTGAGGGCCGTAACGAGGGACGAGAGCCATATACTTGGGTCCATTAGCACGTTCTTGTACTTTGCTAGAAGACAAAAAAAAAAAGAGAGAGAGAGAGAGAGAGAGAGAACAGGAGACACTCACCCGGTCCCCGTTGCAACGTCTGCTATACTTGTGATATTTTCTATAGGGATGGCAGGATGAATAGATTTACCCCCAATCAAGTCGACGAGGAAGTTATGTTGGGCGTTGAGTCTGTGCTATCAGCTTTTATGGACAAGACGAGGCAGGCAACTGAGCAAAGAACTACCTACCTGGCAGATTCCTTGGGACTGCGATTCAGCAGGTAAACCTCGTCATTTGGGGAGACCGAGGCTGTACGGGATAGGACCTTCTTAACCCGACGCCAAAGCCTTAACAACAAAGTGTGTACGAAGCCCACCATCATGATTTACGAACTAAAATACGAGGGAGAGACTCACACCCGAGATACCGGGGCCAATTCTTACATATAACGTCATGACCATCCTCCACATGTCAAGCCATGGGTGAAGGCAAACAAAAGACGTCAATGGCCATGCACAACCCTCAAGAAGGTAAATGAGTAAAAAAACCCCCTGACTCTCTTAACGAAGCCTAGACCAAGAGGATCCTTACCGAGTGGACTAATACCACTCCAACCGTTGACCCAAGGTCTCGGAATGAGCACTAAGGGAAACACTATTTGGCACGAGGGATCCACTGACAGTAGCGTGGCTTTCCGGCTCGTGGATTGAGTGTCCACACCAACGCTAAAAAAGAGCGAGTGGGGAGAGCCATGCTTGCTGCCAAGGTACTGTCCCGTCTTCGGGCTTCGAAAGTCGGGGATTGAACATGATTCAGACTAGGACAGCGATCAGGCAATACTGCATGGGGTTGCCTTGTGCTTTGATGGGTTTCATGCTTCTTTGTTCATCATGGCTTAGCGCTTCCGTAAGTATGACAAGAAGAAAGGGGAGAGAAAGAGGAAGGAGTATATACCCACTCAGATAGTCCTTCCTGAGAAAAGGCAGTGCTGCACTTTGAGGAACAGAGAGAAGACACAGGTTCGCTAGTTCCAAAGATGGAGTGAGCCACTCACTGGTGGAGTCGTCAACACGGCAGTACTCCGTAAAATTGAAAAATGCGGCAGTAGAAAATTCCCGAAGTTCAGGTTTAAGTGTGACAAGTCTCCACTTCGTCTCGAAGTTTGAGTGACCTTTTCCTTTTTCATGCTGTCGTCCGGCCCAACGGACTGGGGCCACGTGCACTTGCAGACAGACCTGCATACTCCATTACATACTCGCAGTCCAACAACACACACACACACACACTTACTCTACACTATGGTTAGGTATCTACACGTAATCTAAGGTACAAAAGTACAAGGCCATCCTCGAATCACCAGATCCTCTTGGCTACCATCTCATACCGTCGAACATGGTCCATGTTCAATTCCTCCTTGGAATTCTTCTCCTTTTCTTCTTTGGCCTTCAGCCGTCGTAGTCCCTCGGGATCATCCGTGTAGATCCACCGTCGGTGGTCGTCATTGACTTCCACCACTCCCCACCCACCAAAGCGACGACTGCCCTCTACCGCATATTCTCGTGCGCGGGGCGGGCCACCATTCTCATGAGATGCTTGCTCCGTCTCGCGCTGTTTCATCGCTCGGTAGCGGGAGCGGGCATAGGCTAATAACACCATTCCTAGGAGCAGTTTCACGATCAGTAACACCACATATCCCGTCAGAATGAGAACGACGGTGAAGATGTACACGGACTGCGCTGGGGATGGCATGGTATTCGCTAGGAGCTGCCGAAAAAAAGCGTTCATATGTGCCGCAGATGCTGGCACGATCGTCCGCAGCGTCAGCGGCGGTGGAGACGGGATCGGAGCGGGGACGTAGTGGCTATAGATAGAAGATAACGATGTCGACTCCACTGCCGTGGATGAGGGGTGTTGCGGCAGCAAAGCGGCCAGGAACATCTGATACGTCTGGACAGAAACCCGAAAGAAGAGGCAAGACAACGGGATGACCGGCAGTCCCAACCGACGGGTTAGATTCTGATCTCCAAAGGCATTCGTGTAGTAGTCTTTCGTCAGCACGTCCAAGAAACGCTTGTAGATGGCGGGGCGGGTGTTATTGAATTTGCCGATGTATGCATGCTTGAGCCAGTCAACAAGCATCTCGGATCCCAACACAACCAGAAAAGGCCCGAGGACCTGGGCGAGAGTGGGGAGAAACGAATTCACATGACTGAAGGACGCAATGATGGATGAAGGCACAATCGTGAACGATTGCGGTAGGATCGACGACATGGTTCGCGGTGGCGTTGACAACGGTGTGCTATTGGTGCTCGTCGACTGACTGCTGAAACTGGAGCCCAGGTTGCCAATGAAGTTGAATGCGCCCGTCTCGACGATATTGCGCGACGCAATGATGGTGAGCATAAGCCAAAGCTGAAAGCGCTCCACCACATCTGCGCAAGTTAACTGAAACAAGTTTTCTTTCTCAAATTTCTTAAAGACAGTGGACTTAATCTCGACAAACTGATTTGATAGTAGCAAAGAGAGCAAAGCATTTGAGTATGAATTGACAGCCACATTCAGCGTCATGACCTGATAAAAAAGCGCCGTGGCATGTACCACCGTGTAGGCCAACGCCAACAGGAAGAGCCCAAAAGGCCGGAAGACTTTGCTTCGTCCATTCGGCCGACGTTCCAAAGCCTCCCGCGAGAAAAGACACTCCAACACATCCTGTCCGATGGCTGCAAATAGCCGGTCGCTGACTTCCAGCACGTTGTAGATCACGTAAAGTTTGATGGCGGCCTGTCCTCGGATCCAGTGATACATCCGGCTTGCGTCAAAGTACATGAGAACGGCGCATGTGGCAATCATTAGTAGACCCTTGAGAATATCTGCCTTATCGTCTGGAAGCAGTGCGGACGGAATGGACTTTTGTCGGCGGTGTTGATACTTGTGATGTGTATCGGAGCGGCACCGTCTGCGCGCCTCCGCTGCTTTCGCTTTCATATCGCGTTCAGTTCCAGCTGGCTCCTGTCGCGACCGGCCTTCAGCTTCTGAAATCAGGTGCGTTCCATCTCCCGATACCTTGTTGCGCCTTCGCCATACTCTTCCCACGCCTTTAATGATAAAGCCGGAGATAAACCGAAACTCGACACCCAGATTAACCATCCAAGATTCTAGCAAAATATACAAAGCTTTCACAAAGCGAAGAGGAAGTATAGTAAAGGAATAGAGCCATGAGTCTAAGCAGGCCAGTATTCCAAACCAAAAGACCTGCTCTAGCACTGGCGGAAGCATAAAAAAGTTCATGAGCCGCTCAAGCTTCACGCGAGAGGACTCATACGGGAAGTCGCTGGCGGCTGAGGGATGTATGTACAAGGGGGAGGGTCGGCCCGATGCAAGTTCTAATTGTAGGTAAGTCGGAACAGACAAAGGAGGCAGGGGAATAGACGGTGGCATGGGTGAAGGCAGTGCAGAATCGGCCATTTGTGGTGCAGAATTCAGGTTCTTAGAGTCTGATTCCCGACCTATGCTGGGACGATCCTGTTTCGACCGGGATGCCCACGTTTGTGCAAGGCGCTCGTTGCTGGGTAGCGTTTGTCGCCGAGAGGAGGTTGGGGTAGAAACAGCCCGTGAGCTTTGTGAGCGATGTCGAGTTGACGATGTGGGTGGTCTTGCCAAGCCTCCGTCAAAAGTGAATTCTTTGTTTGTTTGGGATTTCGTGGCATGATCGGGTGGTAACTTTATATTGTTTAATAGGGGCGAGGCATCGTCCGTCAAGGTTATTTGTGAGTTTGAAGCATGCGTTTGATCAGAAACAACCCTGTGACTTTGTTCGTTATCTGCCGCGCGATAAGGAATCGACTGAGGTGACGAGGTGAGTTCTTGTATTTTGGCGGGAGATAGTTTCGGAACACGCTCTCGATCCTTGTCCTGGTTCCTGGCTGGAGAGACTTCTCTAGACCACTGGTTTAGAACAGTCGCAACTTCGGATCCATCAATGACATCCACCAAAGAAGTCCTATGTGACTTGCTGCCGTTGACAATGTCAGGTGCCTGAGAATGCTCAAAGACCATGCCAAAAGCCTGATCGGGTGGTAAGGAGTACTGTATGTTTTTCTGGTCGCCGTTCGTAGTTCGCTGACTTGCAGACCGGTGATGGCTAGTGCTGTGTCCATTGACCTGAGGACCATTTTGGTGTGGTTCTACACCCAAAGGTCTTCTCTTCGTAGCATCTGGGGCTTCGGAGACCACCGAAGCTTCGAAGCCTCCATCTAGCAAATTCAAAGGGGACGGTTGGAGCTGTCGGGATTTTCGAGACATTTTCTCCTGACTTCTAGTTTCCGCTATTGCCTCCGTTTGCCTCTGTCCGGGACTCGGTGGTGCCCTCTCTGAACGTGAGGACCCCGCAAAAATGTCCGTGTCCTGCTGCTTGCCGGACCTGTTGTGTAATCCGTCCATCATTCGGGCGATTGCAGAACTTTCCAGTCCAGTTGTCCGAAAGTTGCGAAACTTGCGATCATCATCCGAGGCGACTGAAGCTCGAGGAAACTCGTCTGGTCTAGGGGCGGGAGGTGAGAGAAGGGGAGACACCATTGAAGAGAACGATCAGAGTAGACATGGGATGATTGGCGAGCAGCTGAGCAACGACGCGGTATCTCGTTTCGAGACTCAGGCGGGGTTTGAAGCCATACTGACAGACGCCAGGTTTGCTGTCAGAGTCAAAAATTGAGACGGAGAGAGAGGAAGAAGAAGAAGAAGAAGAAGAAGAAGCGCTGTTAGTTATGCCCTCCGTAGTCGCTCCCGGTGATAGTAACTGGCCGGTGAGGGTGGAGCCAAAAGGCGGTCAGACGGAAGTGGATTCCACTCCATTTATTCTGGGCAGTTGGGGTAAACCCCCCTATACAATTGTTTGCTGAGAGCGAATTTTAACACCTAGTTGCTTCAGTTCATGATTAACATTTCGTTATCGGAAGCTTTAAGATAATTCTTCTTGGCTTAGTACATGCAAGTGTATATGCCCATCCTTCGTCATGACACTGCCCTCCCTCGGGTTACAGTTCTGGTTTACTACCTTGAAGACGTATTCGTGACCATAGCAGTAGGGGAAATGTAGAGGATATTAGGAGAAAGGGAAGAGATGAAGGTGGGATCTCTCAGCTTTGATTTTATTGTCCACCTGGTTCGTCCATCAACGAGCTGCATTCAGCTCAAAGAGGACAAAGAGCAAATTCATGTTATCAAAACCGCGAGAATAATTTAAAAGCGTCCTAAAGTCTGGCCCCTCTACCCTCTTCTCCACATGGCTTCAGGTACAGCATATCGGTGCAAGAGGCCACCCTACGATGTCCTTCAGTTCTATCTGAGCAGCGACAGTTACAAACTATACAAAGCTCCACCCAATAAACCTTTAAACTCCAGTGCAAGGGCTACACCTTTCATCTATCAGCTTCCAGTTGAAATACTCCACTCCATACTTCTCAATCTTGACCTACGCAGCATCCCTATGCTGTGTCGAGTGGACACGCTAGGAAGATAGTTAGTGGAATCACTACCTGCGTACTTCTTATTGAAGACTCATGCTTCGCACACGCTCTCTATCATCGACTCTACCAAATGCTCTTCATATTTCCCATAAAATGGCTTTCTGCAGAGTTCTGTCATCCATGGTCTCGAACATGTCCCGGTTTTGATCCCCTTCTCTACTTGCCCACTTTTACACGCTCATGCTATAAACGTAGTTACCTTCGACCAGAATATGAATTGGCACGAGTAGCTGGTATATGCTTGCACTTTGGACTGAGACAGAAAGATATCAGATCGCTCCCAGTTATTTACAATATTGAACCGCTCCGATGCCGCTTGGCTGATATTACTCAACCAAAAGCCCTGGGGATACAGATTCATGGACGTTGAAAGGAGACGAAACGGGTATATAAGGCTGGCCTAAAGAGACGCGAAGAAAGTTACCAATGTCGTGTTCAGCAATGGAAAAGGAAACAGCGTCAAGGGATCCATGCCGGACGCCCTAGACCGCGGTCTGCTCCTACTTCCCTGGTTGTAGACGAGGGAGTTTCATGGAGGATGCAGGCCACAGTTGCATTTCCATACTGGGATTACCGGACACAGACATTGGAGCCAGGTACCTACTGCACCTATCACTGGGAGGAGGGTAAGGCGGATGATTGGAGACGTATGGAGACGATTTGGGATCTACACTCCCCCAGCAGAGAAGCCTATTATCGAGCATTCTTGGAGGCTGATATACCTCAGTATTTCTTATATTGTCCAGCAGTGAGGGCAGACTATGACTTTCAGAATAAAGAGGCAGGGCTAGGGCAATATAAGAGGGATGGAGCTGATTTCATTGTTCATCCCAAGGTTCCGATGCTGATGTCAACTTTGGGTATTTTCAGACATTCCATGACATTCAGATAGATCTCCAAGTGATGGTATCGTCAAGGTAAGGTCTCAAGGAAGAAATTTGACTTTGAGGATATAACAGAATGAAACGTTGTAGGCAGGGTATGAGCGCAACATTTAATACACCCCGTATCTGTGCAATTAGTGCTAGGATCGTATTTCCATACTTGTGTTAGCAGGGTTTGAAATAACTAACACTTAACTTATCTTACTGCCTCCTTCATACTGTAGTATACTTTAGTGTTCTATTGTTCGACTTGCCAAGGTATATCCACGATGGTTTGTGTAACTTGTTATACCAGTGGATCGAGTACATTTGAAGCTCATTAGTTAGCATCTAATTGCAATAAGGGTATCAAAAACCGGTTGTTTGACCAAAACATCCAATTTTAAGTCACTAATATGTAGTCGTGGGAAGGAAAGCAAAAGATTCGCGACAGGCTTCAGCCCTCAGAGTGGATAAATTCCAGCCCTGGGATAGCCACAGTACAGGGGTAGATCCCGATATCAGTGACAATATTCATACTCACACTCTCCATGCCTTATCTGAGAGGATGGCAACAGTATATTCAATGCGCTGGCTGCCTGGCTTAGCAGCAAGGACGACAAGGTGAAGGTGCATAGCGATGATTTGCCAAAGACAAGCTATATCCTTGGGTGTTTAACGAATAAGGCTTCTCAGGTTTCTCATTCATGAAGGAAGCCAAGGTAAAAATTCGGTTTGCGCGAGGCTCTCATTTACAGAGAAAATAAATCCTCTTGGGTTTTGAGCTTGGGACTTCTTTGTGCATCCAAGGGCACGAGGATACAAAGCCGTCAACGTGTAACAGGGGAGCAACACACATATGGCAGCAAGATAATGAGAAACGACCACATATGAATTTATATTGTAGATCTTTGAATAAAGCTCCATCTTGAGAAAAGTGCTGCGCAAGGTAATGCTCTTTCTGAACTTATTAGCACTCTATAATAATACATCGCGCCTTTCTTGTATGAGCGCAACTTCTCAATTCAGGTTACGATATCTTACCCCGTAGAGCATTGTATACTACAGTCTGTACTATAAGGCAAGCAGACATGCTTTGGAGTCATTGGCCCTCACAATTATGACTAAAAGACAACAAGAGGTAGTTACTAACAATATAGATAATATTCAATGCCCAATAATGTGTGGTTATATCCACAATACAATACTAGATAATCTGAAATCATGCTTAGTCCGATACTTATCAGAAGAATAAGACTATTTCTAATAAATACATTCATCGTAGCTACATATAACCCTGTCCATAATTCTGTGGCTGAGGCGGATACGCTCGGTTGGAGTAGGTTCGTGCAGGTGCAGACCTATTATCGTATTCGGCCAACGGCGCGAACGTACTCGGTCCTGACTGTTGATACACGGGAGAATTTGATGCGAATTCTCTCGCAAAAGGTGCTGGGGAATTTCTGGCAGGCGGATTGAATGGTGCATAACCATCGGGTCCTGGGGGCCGCGGTGCTCCGCGAGGTGCGACATGTGAAACGTTTCTCATCGTTTCCTCATCCATGGGGCTAAAATTGGGCTGGGGTCTAGCTGGAGGTTGACCTGCCGCACCAAACGACCGCGTAGGATAGCCAGCCAGCGAAGGCAGGGTAGGAGTGCCGCTAGGACCGGGAGGCGAAAAAGTTCGAATAGGCCCGTTCTCTTCTGGTGACATACTCCTTCCTGGTGTCAGAGTTCGTGCCGTAGTATCTGTTGGGCTATATGAGTGGTATGGCGCAGCTGATGCGAGATCGTGAGACGGGTATGCCTCATAGGGACTGTGAATGTCGCCGGTGTCTCCCAAAGCATGCGCCGGAGCCATACCACTCACTCCACCCTCTGAGGCGGCGGGTGCGGGTCGTGGCGTGCTGTTGAACCTTGACATCGGTGTTTGAATCCGAGAAGCAGGCGTAGGAATCTGAGTTGGGAGAGGAGGTACTGGCGGCGCTGGAGAGCTTTGGCGATCAAGAGGACTATATCCCGAGACTGCCGTACTTCCCGAGAGCGAAGTGGACGCGGAGTAGGCCGATGATTGAGTCATTGTTCGGCTGAGTGGGGGTTTGTCTTCGAACGCTGCCACACTCGGAAGGGTCGGAGCCCGGTCCGGTGCAGCTTTCCCTGGGCGTGATGGGTGCGACGGCAATGTGGTTTGTGTTGTGCTGCGCGAGAGAGTTGTGACAATCGGCGCCTTATCATTACCACCGACAGTGGGCAAGGTGGGATGCGTATCCAGACCCATGTTGGGTTGGGTTGGTGTTCGCTCCTGTAACGCCATGCCCTTGGCCAAAGCTTTGTTCACCTTCCTGCGCACAATGCGAGTGAGTCGAGTTTTGATCTTTCGTCGACAGTAGGCTTTCAGGGAGCCATCTTGCGAAGGGATATGATGGAACAAAAAGATGAGGTACAAGATGATGGCGAGCGCCAGCTTCAGGATAGATAAAACCCAAATTATCAAGGTGAAAAGCATGCCAAAGAGGACCAGGGCGCGCAGGTTGTTATGTTCGGCCAAGATCTTCACATTATCAAAGAATTGTATGACCGGGGATGAATCATCTGTGTCGGGCGCATTCTCCCCACCGGGAAGCAGGTCCATGCGCATAACCGAATACAACGTGATCGCATTGACGACTTGACGCGGCCCATCGGCGATGAGGACATTCATCCAAGCTAACCATCGAATTAGTATTCATCGGACCGAGAACTGACAATGGCTACACCTACTCTCAAAGGAGAAATATGCAAACAGAGCAACGTACTCGGCCCCTTTTCTGCTTTTGGTGAGCTCGGCAAAAACAAGGAACCGCTTCCATCCATGACCACTGGCCCACAGGCGAATACTTTGAATGCGCACGGCGAGGGAGTCCAAGTAACTCTGGGAGATACTGCCGGACCGAATGGCGCGAATAGCACGGATCCATCGCAGAACCAAGAGAACGAACGAGATGATAATACAGACGGCAAAAATCCACCGAGAAACGGTAAAGGGAATGGCAGGCTCGATTTGTCCGGCCCATTTCGAGAATGCCAGTAGATTAACGGCAGTGAATGTGTCGACCGCGTACACCGCTATTGAAATCACGAGGAAAACCCAAAGAAAGAAGTAAGAGAATGGCGAAAGACAGGACTCTGATTTGAAGTCATTTAGATTCTACGGAGTATATCAATGTTAGCCAAGGAACATCGAACAGGGGGGTTCTCTACCCGAGGGAACGCACGATGTAGTCCCATTGTTCCTCCAGGGATACCGGGCCTTTTTCACGATCGCCGCAGCAAGGCATTCTGTGCGTCCTCGGTCCTGCCGAGAAGCCAAATGAACGACTCTGCGAATGAGTCCAAGGAGGGGCAGCCAGTCACAGACAGGCAGGATGAACTTCGTCGGGCCAGCCGGGCGAAGTGAGAGATTGCAGCAGGCGCGATAACAGCGACCGAGGAAGTTGTATTTCTTTTGTAGGGAGAGCCGATCTCAATAGCGAGTGACAAACAAGAAGTTTCAAGTGGATCGTGTTCGATCGGCGGTTGCGAGAATCAGTGGCGCATCGCCGTTGGACAGTCGCAGGGCTGGAGATCGCAGAGACACGCGTATATCAGCTCCGGCCCGTCATACAAGGGCCATTGAGCTTGTCCAAAAGCGAAAGTAGAGCTCTGAAACGAACGAGAGTGATGTGTGCGACTCTTTGTCCTCTCTGAAAGGGGATGATGGGACTAGCGCCAAGATCAGGGCTTTTGGGCGCGTTTGGAGACCGTCGCAACCGAGATGGAGAATTGCGGGGACTCGGGCAAACACAGGGTGGGATTCTGGATGGTTGACTGGGTCGCAAAGAACGAACGACTGGATTGACAGCGGTTAAAGAGGGTCGATTGAATCGACAGCCACCAACGAAAGAGAACAATGTGAGAAGAATGGAAGCGCAGTTATGCAGGAGCCCCTGCAATGAAACACGAGGAGAATGCGCAAGGAATCCAATCACGTTGGAGGGGCAATCTGACATTGCGCGGTTAAGGTTCAGGAACCATTTCATTTCATTTCGGAGGTCTTTTCCTTTCAGAAACACTATCCGTTCGATCAGCAGAAGAAAGACGACCACCACAACAAAAAAGGGACAGAAAAATTGACAACAGGAACACAAAGACAGTGACACCTCGTTTTTCTTTCAAGGTTCAATAAGCTTTTCTTTGCTTTCACGGGAGTTCTTATTTTCCAAACTTTTTCTTGAATGTGGTTGTCTTCCACAAGCTTCCCCACTCCTGACTTGGCATCATTTCCAAATGGGATGGCGAGGGTCATTGCGGAAAGGAAGTGGGCGCGAAGCGTGTGTCTGTCCCACCGAAGGGGACCCCATAAAATGCCCAACCCACCGACAAACGCACGGGCCAACTTCCGTTGACAAGTAACCCCGGAGGTAAAAAAGGGACGATGTACATATATCATACGCCGTGTGTTTTGTCCCACAAAAGGGGACCCCAAGCCCACCGCCACAACACACAGAAGTGCCACACGATAGCTAATGGCCGACGCAGCGTGTGCCTGTCCCACAGAATGGGACCCCAATCCCGCCACCACAGCACACAGAATGCTACGTCGCCGAGGAGGAATCGGTCATTATATCTAAGCGCACACCATGTTTTCCCAAAAATTGGGAGCCCCACCACGTCCTCGTCCCCACGGGTCGCAAGGAGAGTTATGACGACTAAATCCTCCACCCACTGCGAATGATCACCGAAACTACCAGGCGCACAGGAGAAGCAGTGCCCCATGATCCAGAACTTTGTGCAACACCCCCCGGAGTGGAGCTCACAAGTCCCTATAGGAGATCAGGGGATAGTGGGCAGACGCCTGTTACCCTGACGGCGCACAGCCGTCGATGCTGCCGTCGATGCCGCCGCCGTGTTGGACAGCGAGATGCGGAGCTTTTGGCACTCGTCCTCCAGCTCGCGCGTCTTTTTGCCCCAACGGATGTTATCCTCCGTCCGCGCTCTTTTCTCATTATTCAGAGCCTCCCGCAGCTTTTGAACGCCCTCCTGGGCCACCTGCTCAGAGGTACACATGACCCCTTGGTTGTCTTTGTCAAGCTGGCGGCGGAGGTTGTTGATTTCGGTCTGCTGCTGGGAGACCGTCACCTGGCTCTGCGCGAGCGCAGTGGAGATCGACCCCACGTCTTGGGTGGGACGCTTTGGTATCTCCTGCGAACTGCGCGAAGCTTCCCAACGGGACAGGCGGTGCTCGAGGATCTGGATCGTCCTCTCGGCAGCAGCCGCCTGCTCCTGGCTCCTCTGAGCCTCCCTCATCGCCATGCCGATCTTACCTTGGAGATCATTGACTTCCGCTGTAAGGTCGGAAGCCCGTTTCTGGGCCTGGTCGGCGGCGGCACGTTCCTGCGCGAGAGTCAAGTCGCAGGTGTGCTGGAGGTTCGACATAGATTGCCGAAGAGCCACCTCAGCTTCGTGTGCGCGAGTGAGAGGCACTTGCGCGTGCCGCGCCACGCTGTCTGCCGACGACTGGTTAGTCTCAAGCTCGGCCTCCAGGAGCATGACACGCCTGAGGGCGGCATCCCGTTCCTGTATGGTCACCGAGGAGTCACGGAACTGCAGGTGCAGCCGGTCGTGCTCGGCCTGGAAGGCCTGACACTGGGCCATGAGCTCCTGGTTCTGGGCGATGAGGTCGTTATTGTAAACAACGAGGTTCTGGCGTTCGGTGTCGGTGTGGCCGCGAGATTGCTGTTCTCGGGCCTCTGCAGCGGCCAGGCGTTGCTCGAGAGTTACGAGCTGGTCATTCCAAGCTTGAAGCTCGGCTCTGAGTGACTGGTGCTCACTCAGGAAATCGGCCTCCGCCTGTTCCCTCTCCCGGGCAAGCTGCTCTTCCAGCTAGGCGACCCGTTCGCAGAGGGACCGCTCCTTCGCAGTGGCATCGTCCTTCACCTGCCTCAGTTTCCCCTGGGTATTGCTGAGCTGCCCTTCCTTGACCGCGAGCTCCTGGCGGAGTTCCACGATGACAGTCGTCTCGCGGGGTCGAACTTCCTCAATGGGGTCCGGTTGGGCAGACAGTTTCTTGACAAGCGCCCAGCTGCCCTCCATCCGCTGCTTGACTACCTTAAGCTCCTCAGTTCTGGCAATGAGGAGCCCCTTCTGCTTGGTGATCACGCCTTCGCACTGATCGATAATATTCCACAGGTCAATCTCACGAGGCGTCGGGGGCGTCCCTCGGAGCTGTGTCTCGTGGCCGATGTGGTCCACTCTTAGGGCTGCAGGCTGCAGCTTGTCGGCGCGTCGGGAAGAGACGGCCTTGGCGAGAGCGTACCAGGAAAGCACTGCCAGAATGGCACACGAGACACTGGTAGTGACGAAAGCAATGACGTAAAGGTGATGGATCTCGCCTTCAAATCAGGCGTGGCAGCTGCCAGTCGTCTCGGATTATCGCACGCAACTCTAAGCCGGTCTCTTGGCCGCAGCAAAAGGCTACTTCGAGCCACTCGCGCCGGTTCAACCTCCCTTGTTCGAGCCGTCCGAAGACGTCGAAGCAGTGGTACGAAAGCTCCTCTTCTGACGAGCTCACGGCCATGACGAGACCGGAGACATGCCAAGCTGCAGGGAGCAACAGATCGTACATGACCGTTGTCCCGCAGATAAATGACAGAGACAGTCGACACACTGTTGCCAGGGGGTGATTGAACGGGAAATACCAGTCCACCACGGCGGAGACGAGACGGCTGAGGCGGTTCTCGATAATCCGGCTCTTGACCGCATCCTCGAGAGTGCGCAGGGTAGTGAAAATGTCGGCCAGAGGCCGAACGGCGGCAAGCTGCATGAGGAGCCAGCTTATACCGAGTACCACTGCGCGGATGGGTCGAACGACTGCCGTCAAAAGTGCCGAGATCCAGGAACTGAGGACTTTCCAGTCACTGGCGATGTATGCGAAGATGGTTATGGTCGCGAAGATGATCGCAGACCCCACTGTGAGATCGGCGTAGCCGAACAGCGCCAGACCCGAGACGAGCTCAGGGTCGATAATCCCTCCAAACAAAAGCACCTGCTCAGCTGGAGAAGTCATGTTGGAAATGGTTGTTGTACAAGTTGTTTGTCAAAAAGGGTTGAGAAAGGTTTAGAAGAACCGAAACCTGTATCAGGAGCAATGGCTTCACTGATCTGAGGAGGCCTGGTTTGACCAGGTATGGCTATAGGCAGCCAAAAGTAGTATGAGGATGTGAATATTTCGCTGTCTGCGATAGGCTTCAAGCTCAACGAATGCTTTGGGTTCTCAAGCGCTGGCGATCGGTTTGAAAGAGTTGGTGATCGTGAGAGGGAGGCGAGGAGACAAAGCTGGGGGGTGGCGCAGAAGGAAGAAGGAGCAACACAACACGTCTGTTAGGCAACGACTTCACATCAAACAGTGAATTAATGTCCAGGTGGGAAATCAAGGCATACGGCCTAGAACCAGATAAAAGATGTCACTAGCCTCAGATTGATTGGCTGGACAAGGGGGAGCTTCAGCCGGCTGGATGCCTATGGGCAGTGAAAATGATAGAGACAGACGTGCTTCAAAGGATGTGGGTTGAAAACTTGTCCAGTCTACAGACAATGTACATCGAGCTTAGCAACCCACAGAGACATGTAGCATTTGAAGGACAAGACAACCTCTAACAACATGACAATATAGGAGTTGGCCTCAATTGTAACAATGACTAGAGACAATGGCCTTTGTTCGATACGGAAGATTGCATCGTATATGCTAGTTCCCTGTCTCTGTCTAGGGGGCTTCCGAACTAGAATATCCAATTTGTAGAAGCCACTCTTCTGGTATCTACTACCGAAAACCTGTCGTAGTTGTATGAAGTGTGGTCCTGGTATCCCACCTGGGCTTAGATTCTTGGTGAATAATGTGATGAACTTTGAATATCCCTACCAACGAAAAGACAAACAGACGAAGAAAGATACAAAAAAAGTTGACCTGGCTGTTACTGTTCAGTAGAAAAACAACAACACCAAAGAGCTACTAAATGTTAGTATCATATCGTGAATTATTTCTGTTTCATATGTATACTGTTTTTCAGTGTCATAACAGTGATGAAGATATCTCATGCATTCATATTCATATTACTTCACTTGTATATAAAGTTGGTTCGATGAGCTCGTCCTCCAAACGATTCAAGGAAAACTCTTAGCAAAAGTCTATCCCCGAACTATCCACGGATAATGTATATGGAAATGTTCTATACAACAATACCATCACTACAATCACAACCCAAGACCTATAGACCTCTCAAAGCTCCAGCACCTACAAATCAGTCAGTATTCCAATCCCCAAAAAGTTCCCAAGACCTAGGAAATAATCAGACATACCATATCAACCCACCCCCCACCGGCAAACTGACACCGACTCAGCCCCCGATTCACAAATCCCGCACTCTCATAGAACCGGATCAGATAATCATGACATATCAACACAATTCGATCTGCCTCTATTTCCGCATTCCGGATATACTCCACATACTCCTTAACAAGATAATTTCCCACCCCCGTCCCTTGATACGCAGGTAGAACTGCAACAGAATGAACGGCGATATTAGTACCTCGCGGATCATTGCCAATGACCTCTCCATCTATTACTACAGGGTCGTAGGGGGAGTGAGACTGCCAGTTACTGGGCATCTTCATAGAGCCTTCGGTTATTGTTGTCGAGAGGGATCGAATCCCGATGACGTTGGCAATGAGTTGTTCCGTGTTATCTGTTTTTATAAAGAGGCCGAGGCAGAGTTCCGGGGTTCGGTTGAGCCGGTATAAGAACTGTAGTATGAGTTTAAGTATGTGGTTTTGGTTTTGATTGGGGTTGGAAGGTACCTTTTCTTCTGAGCATCTTTCCTGCTCTACGAATGCACTTTCAACTGTTACGCAAGACTTGAGGTCTGTGGCGGTTAGAGGGCGAGTGAAGGCGTTTAGTCCGGCTAGGGCTGGACATTGTAAGGATTTGGTTGATGCCATTATAAGGGTGGTTTTTGAGTTGGGTTATTTTGGTAGATGTTGTGCTCAGCGTTATATTTGTCTGTTATATACTCCGGAATATGTACAATATCCACTTGCAAAAGAGTCATGCTTCGTATTACTCCCATACGTATGGGTCTATCTGGAGGAGAAGCTCGCCGAGGATCAAAGTTCCCGCGAATCAGAGAAGATTAAATAGAGGGACCGCGCCCTACGCCCACGCCTTGCGCCGCTAAGTGGGTCGTTCTCAATCTACCTTACTACGTAGTAGTATACTTACACAGGGTATGCAGTGGTGTTTATATTGTCGCATTAAGATGGTAGAGAACATAGCATTGGGTTCTCTTGGATCGCATGGCATCTACTGGTCTAGGTACAGGGCATTTTTGTAGAGAGTGGGGTCAACATGCGTGTTCAACCTATCGTCTATGATGTATAAGATGTGTTTCGCGTTATATATATGTGTATGTTCTCCTGTTGATCTCAGGATTTTTAGGCCGAAGTTTTCAATCCCTTATCCATTGAAACAACGTAAGTTGTACCTCCCTACGGAAAAGTTTTAACTAGTGGTCTCTTACTCAACTTGATTCTTTCCTCATTCTATACCTGTTGTACTGCGCATCTAAGTTACGTCTGTATTGAATTCTTGCCCCTGGTATAGAGCATCCGACCCCAGCCATGGAGTGCAACATTATTGCTGAATCATGTTCAAGCAACAATCCATAGAAGTCACCGTAGTAGTCCTCATAATCATCAACTTCACCTATGTCCTTTTTCTCAATGTTAGCCAGGAAGAGATCGAAGCCGGCCCTTTGGCATGCATCCCGGAGTCCTGCAAAGCGACACTGGTCAACCCCTTTCAGCCGAGAAAAGCGAAGCCCCGCACTGGTACACTGGTGCTCAAGAACATAGATGAGTGCTTGTGGGCAAGAGCTATTGATGTCATTATTCCAACCATCTAAATATTGCATGCTGTCGATTTCAGCGGCACATGCCCAAGATTGAAGCAGACGAGTAATATTCTCTTTACTAGCGCCATGAGGTTCCAGTAGAGCGGCTGACGGTCGATGTATCAAGTTGTAAATCAGGACAATCCTATATCCGGATGTAACAGGCTTCACCTCGCGAGTGACATCTGCATACCAAGCAACCCATGACATCCCAAAATCAGCGGTTGGTGCTGTTTGAAACGTGAGGCAATCATCCCTATGAGAGACGATCACATCCACTCCTTCGTGTTTCGATGGGAGACATACAGCGAGCGTGCCGAACATACCATCGGCTTTCTCAGAATCTCGATGTGGTAGAAAGAATGCGCCCTCCCGGTAGATAAGTAATTTGTATAACTCCGCCTTAACCTCCCGCCAATCTGCCGTAAGGCCAAGACCAGTTACAGCTTTGTCCATGAATAGTTCAACCTGGTGTTGCCATCTTGGGTTCTGAAGAGCAAACTGGCTTGCGTCGAGTTGCCAACTTTTCCGTACTGATTCGTCTACCAGGGTCTCAGTACCCTTTCCGTAGGGGCTCAGATGGCAGGACTGGATTATTGCCTTCGCATGTTCAGCTGATATAGGAAGCCCAGTATTCCCCACATCTGGAATGTAGAGGCCAGGATTGATGGCAGTATGAATATTCGCCCTCTTCATAAACGATCCTGAGGACTGAATGTCATCTAGAGCGAGGTTGAGACCCTTTTTAATGTCCTTTAAGATATCTTTAGAAATTACCAGTACCCCATTTTTAGAAGTTAACAGTACGCCGTCTTTAGGGGCCACCGGAACCCTGTCTTTAGAGTCGCAATACTAGATCTTTAGATCCCCTGGGCTCTTAGTATACTACTAGTATCCCGGGAGTAGAAGTAATATAGGGGTGGTAAGACACTGTCTTTAGGGCCCGGTGGTCGATAGATTTGGGCAATATGTGGCGGTCGTGGCTTTATGTAAAAATGCTCAGGTTTTGGTCAGAAATGTCAACTGTCCGGAACTTCGATTTACTATCAACCCTTACCAGGCAGTCTGAAGCAATCCTGGAAGCTATTATGAGGGACTTCCAGCCCCTCTTGTGTCAGGCTGGAAAGACATACCGCATTGAAGGAATCATATGACCTAAGAATAATTCAAGCAGTTCAAATAGTTTAAGCTAAGAATCTATGATCGGTGTAGATTATACTGAATAGGGGTATGTACTGAGGTATAGGAATACTAAGCAGGCCAGTGGTCCGACAGACCACTGCCCAAGACGTGCAGAGTCCAATATTTAAATAAGCTGAAAAAAATATACTAACTATAGTTTAAGCAACTTGATCAATTGCAAAAAAAAAAAAAAAAAAAATTGGCCGGGCTCACTCGTTCCTGTTCTAGAACGAAACTAGAACGAAATGACCCCATGGGACAGCATACAGTTCCTTGTTCAGTCACTATGAGTCGAGGGGTTTGAAGTCGGCAAGAAATGGCCGAAGATAATCCACACGTACCCTTGCATTTGCCTTCTAGAGAAAAGGGACAAGCTAAATGGCTCACCTACTAAATCATCCGCTGGTTGCCCTGCTTGCTCACATTATAGTATCACTAAGCTCACCTACGCCCATCTTGCAGTTTAGCCTTGCTCACCCATAGATCAGCGAGCTTTAGAGGGTGCTTTCATCTCTGACCGAGTTTACACAGCTGCCTTGAGCACGGCTGAGCGGACGGGAAGAAGTGTTTTTCAAACCGTCTGGTCTCATATATCTATGTGGCAATGATTTGGAATCTTGTAGCTCTTTGTACATAGTCTAACACCTAAATATAGTGTGTTTGTAGAGATTGCGAGATCGAGAGGCTATCGAATTGCGATAAAGCTTGCTCCTTGTCCGGATTGCTTGGCTGCTTAATATGTTCACGGCGAAACGCAGCAAGCCACTCTGGATTGTCGAAGATGGTCTGGTCCCATGGATCTTCGGAATCATAGACTAATCTCCTTGACTCTTGCTGGAGCATCTCATCTGTAGGGATGATTCCTTGCGCTAATTTCTGTCGTGTGTAGCGACCTAAGTGTGATGCCAGTACTTCCAGTAATGAATTTAGCGGATTATTAGAAGTCCGAGCTGAAGATGAAGGGTATGCCGGAGCATTTAGAGTGTTGCTTTCGATTGTAGTATTCCGATCCAGTCGCGATGTGATCTGATCCAGCTGATCTTTCGCATGAGCGTTGGTTACTGAAAAAGGAACGAGGCAACGAGAATCATGGCCGATATAATAAGGAGGCAGGCTATTGGTCACATGCTTAGTGATCTCTGGTAGAAAGCCATGTTCACCTCTCCAGCAATCCATAGTTGATCCATTGCGAAAATGGCTGGCTAAATGATCAACGCGCTCCTCCCACGACGACAGTCTCCTGTCACAGAACCCACAGCGCGATGTTACCGTCGGGGCTGGTGTTTTCCAATCATCAATCATAGGTATAACATCGAGGTTGTGTGTGAGGCGCAGATGTTGCACTAGGTGATCTTTGCGACGGAAGGTACGGGTACCACTCAAGCATGCCTGGTAATTGTGCTCGTCTAGATGGTCTGTCCCCGGTTCCAGCATATTGCAGTATGCGCAATGTTGCTGCCCTGTGATTGGAGAGATCACAGATGCACCATGAGGTGTGCACGTCCAGCTCTCAAGGTTAAGATGAAGAGTTTTCTCATGTCGGGCCCAGTCATATTTGGTTCGGAACTGATCACAACAAAAGGTGCAACAAAATTTACGAGTTGGCTTAGCGCTTTTACTTTTAAGAACTCGTCCAGTGGACCGCCTGTGCGATGTTGTCAAGGAGTCGTGCGATCTTCTGGAGGTACTAGATTTGACCGATGCAGTAGACGGAAGTGAAGAGACACTCGGGGCACTACTCTGTGAGCTGACTGTTGATACTGGTCGACGAAAGCCGATAAATGAATCATTTTCTCTAACTGGAGCCGGGTTTCCAAACGCGGAGGCTCCTGGTTGTATGCCTGCGGACGGGAGGTTCTTCAACGTGTTCATAATTGCAGACATGGATGCTGGCTCATCTTCAGGAGGGGATTCTTGCCATCGCTGCATAGGATCAGGAGCGTACAAAGGGTTTGGAATGAATTGGGGCGTGGCCCTTGATTCTGTTCTTTGAAGAGAATACCGGCTTCTTCTTCTTGGAAGACCACGACTGCCATTTGAACCGAGTGGATAGGTAGACTGCCGTGCTGATTGCTGAAGCCAACTATTTCTGTTATCAAGATGTCCATCGTTTATTTCATCTGGAAGAAGTAGAGGCGCCTGCGGGGCAAAGAAAGCCTCATTTAACCAGTGAGATGGTAAGTCATTTGAAGTAGAGCCTGTACACCAATCATTATTTTGAAGCCACGGCACGTCTTGACGACTTGCTGTAGGCCAGGAAATCACCTGCCCTTCTGGTAAGGCGTTGTTATATGGAAGAGCCCTATCAGAGTTGTTGGGATTCAAAACACGATTGCTCCCTAGTTCGTCTAATGTATGAGGTTCAGAAGCGAATGTGGTAAGATGTCCAGTGGGCTGTGGGTCAGTATGATCGAGGCCATAAAGCGAGCACGGATCGATGATAAGGGAATTGTGATCCACTGGATGACCTAGCAGGCCCGCTAGTGAAGTTATCAGCGATCTGCTAATACACAGCTAGAAGCCTTGATATTAAAGGCTGGATCACCTTCATCTACTAATAGCGAATCGTTTGCCATGGCGCCAGTTGAAGTTTGCTAGGATTGAGGAGCCTGGGTCTTGCGCTGCTGCATCCTGCCCAAGACGTAGTACTGGTAGTAGTGTACGGAGTACGGAGTACCGTAAGAGAATATATCACCCAGCGCAACACCAGGATCGTCAACCAGCGCAATGAGTCAAGTGATCGACCCAACACTGGGGTCACGTGTCGATAGCGAAACTTATGAGAGAACTTGCAGCAAGAATTCAAACAAGAGAAGATTGACTGGATGAAACGGCCCAGAGTACTAGTGTTATACGACACCTTTACTGCGTATGCTGCCGGTCCGACCGGATTTCAACCAGTCCTTACCGAAAGGAGAACCTCGTGGAGCCGGTCGATAACATCGGTTCCGAAGTTTAATATGGACATCTTCAAAGCTTGACCAGCGTGAGTTGAAGGTCCAATGACGCTGACTCATGCAGTTGCCACACAGACCAATCAACGATCGACTTGTAGGCAATTGCCTTTTTCGCAGTTGCTGTTGGCCCAAAGAGGACTAGATTGTTCATTCGGAAAAATGTCCATCCCTTTGCAATTTCCTCAATCAGCAAAACATTGTGGCTGAAGAACAAGTCTCGTTGAGTGGGAAGTGATCATCCAACCCGTTTTTCTTCACTCTGCATCATCATATCCATTCAATTGCCCTACAGATTCTTCATCCACTTCGATACGGAACTACCTAGCTTCTATCCACTCAGGGTTCCCCACTCGACGTCACTCTCCAATCGGTGGTCGGAACCGTCCCGATCGTGACTCGGCCTAGTCTCGTCAACTAACGCATGGTCCAATTACCCGAACTGCGCCATCGAAATATGTCCCTCCAGTAGTCCGCTCCCGGTTCTCTTTTTTCTCTTCTTTTGCCCCTCATACTTCACCCACAGGTGATGGCTACACCTTCTGCAGTTCGTCTTTTGGCCATCCGGCCGGTGATATTCGGTTTTGCAAAATTGTTGATGCTTGCTTTGGGCGGCCTTCCCCTAGTCTCTGCCGCTCCCGCGACCTATATTGCTTACTCCGAAGAGAGCCCGAAGGCTCCTAGTGATCCGAACTTATGGCTGTATCTCGGGGTTGCCGCCATCCTCGTTGTGAGCGGTGGTGCATTTGCTGGTTTAACCATTGCGTTGATGGGCCAGGTAAGTCTCGTTTTCTCACTACTGAAATGGAAAAAGCCCAGCGTAAACCACTAACCTAGCATGTGCAATTTATAGGATGAGGTGTATCTACAGGTCATCAAAACCTCCGGTGAAGACTCTGAGCGAAAAAATGCAGAAAGTGTGCTCAGACTGTTAAAGCGAGGGAAGCATTGGGTATTGGTCACTCTTCTGCTCAGTAATGTGATCACAAATGAAACCCTTCCCATTGTCCTAGACCGTTCACTAGGAGGAGGTTGGCCGGCTGTTCTTGGCAGTACAGTCTTGATTGGTACGAAAATCCCTCTTTCTCTTGGCTTATTGAGCTAATCATTCATGATGTCCAGTCATTTTCGGTGAAGTCGTCCCCCAGTCGATATGCGTTCGCTACGGTCTTCCTATCGGTGCTTGGATGGCTCCTTGCGTCCTGGCCCTCATGTACATTATGGCTCCAGTCGCATGGCCTGTAGCGAAACTTCTTGATAGGCTGTTGGGCGAGGATCATGGAACGATCTATAAAAAGGCTGGATTAAAAACACTAGTGACCCTGCATAAAACCCTGGGTGAGGCGGGCGAACAGCTCAACTCCGATGAGGTCACAATCATTAGTGCCGTTCTGGATTTGAAAGATAAGCCGGTTGGTAGCATTATGACTCCAATGGACGACGTTTTCACTATGTCTGCGGACACCGTTCTGGACGAAGACACGATGGATTTGATACTCTCCCAAGGTTATTCCCGCATACCGATTCATGCGCCAGATAATCGTACAAATTTTGTTGGCATGCTTCTGGTTAAGATGCTGATAACATACGACCCCGAGGACTGTAGGCGAGTACGAGAGTTTGCATTGGCAACTCTACCCGAGACTCGCCCGGAAACAAGCTGCTTGGATATCGTCAATTTTTTCCAGGAAGGAAAGTCCCACATGGTCCTGGTGTCCGAATACCCCGGTGAAGACCGCGGTGCCTTGGGTGTTGTTACTCTGGAAGACGTGATTGAGGAGCTTATTGGCGAGTACGTTACCTATCTTCTCGGCATAGTCTTGAATCAGGATTCTGAACTGACTCTGATGACAGGGAAATCGTTGACGAATCGGATGTCTTTATTGATGTTCATAAGGCGATAAGGCGCATGACGCCTGCACCCATTAAATCCCGGGTTCCTAAGGGCCAGATTGTGGAAGAACCTCCTTCTTTGCCCCCTCAGAAGACTGGTACTTTGGTGGATGTAGATGGCGAACCTCAAACCTCCAAACCCCCTGCGAACGTTCGGCGTCGAAGCTCAGTAGAACCACCACTGCCGCGTTTCCAGCTTCGGATGCCACAGTCGGATAGGAACTCAGATTCTACAGATGGCCTAGTGACCAAACGAGGAACCACGGACGAAATCCGTGAACACTTGAAGCATCTCGGGCCTTCGAATTTAGCCAGTCGACCGCGTCAAACCCGGTACCAGAATGTTAAGATAAAGCGGGCTAGCGTCTCGCCGACTCGGTCTGCGCAAACCGACATGGACTCTGGTCATAGTACGTCTGGCTCCCAGGCCCTGCGCCCCATGTCGACCGCCTTACCCGGTGGGATTGGCGAGGGACTAGTCCAGCCGGGGCTAGATGCAAGAGATGGCGCATACGCTGTTCGTGTAGGTTACGGTACCATGACCGGACCTAAGCCCGCCGATGCTGGGACCCAAACAACAGGGAAGGACGTCTCAATCCCAGAAGCGGTTCACGAAGAACAAGACGACCCACCTCGTCCATCTGGCAGTGCTGCAATCAGTGTTAAATCCGAAAGCTCGAACTCGCAGAGGTTTAAACCGACCAGCTACCAGCATCAAGGTCCTGCGCGTAGTGGCAGTATCACGGAGCATGTGGTTGATGTCAACGGGATCCGCAAAGTGGTTCTCCACACAACCAGCACCAGTTCATCTGATCACGAGGGACGTGCATCACCTAAAAGCAAATTTCCAACTCAACGGAATGGTGAGGTTGTCGATCTGAATGGTCATAAGTCCGACGGCACTCAAGGCGATGTGACTAAAAAACGTCGTCGTCGGCGCAAGCGTGGGCAAGCATCAAAGCACTCGGACAACCATGTGGACGAGGCATCGCCACTTCTGCCACAATGACAACGCTTTCGTGCCTCCTCTGCCGGACAGAGATGTTCAAACTGCCCTTTTGTTTTTAAAGAAGCGTCGCGCAGTGTATATTGAACTGCCTGTTACTTTTATTGTATGCTTGTTGGAGAAATAGTAGTTTCTTTCGTGGTGTATCATTTTACCCATTGTCCCTGTCGTACAGAACGGTCTGTGTCACCACAGCTTACAGTTCATCTATCCTTATCTCATGTGTGTAAACTTCAAAAGACTGACTGCAGTATTCAATATGACCACTATAGTTATGAAACACCATTTCCCATCCGCGATCATCAAAGTACAGGGAAAACAGAGCGATCGAAAAGTCTCCTAATTTATCACCATATACAGTCACATAGGCTTTACTAAAAACTCCATTAGCTGAGCCAAGGCTCCTGTCCTACTGATTAAATGGCGGCACCCAGGCGCTCGCTCCGCATGCTGACACAGTGCAGAAAGAGAACCAGATTTTTTGGCACAAGTCGGACAAAGATACTTGTCAAATGCCTGACCGAACATTCTGTGTCCCTGTTTGGTGGAGAATTCCAATGAGATGGCTTTGATCATATCCCCAGTAATGCCGCAAGCACAAGACCCCGATTCCAGGTGAGCAATCATACTGGAGTAGCTCCCAAACATTAAAGAGCACCCGAGACACCGTAAAGCCCGCTCCTGGTGGCTATATTTATGCTGTCGTCAATATTAGCTCTATATCCTCAACAGCACACCCAAATCTCACCAAGAAAAGCCCATAGAATACAACATTCCAAAAGGAGCGGAAAGCTAAATGTAGGGGGGAAAAAGGATGAAAGGGGCATACCATCTCCAAACTGTTACCATCCCCGAAGACCTGACCACAAACATCACAAGATAGATGTGCGCTGCGCACATGGACATCAAGGGCCTCCGTGCCTGCGAATGCGCGTCTACAAGTTAGGCACTCATGATGATCATTTTGCAAATGAGCCTTTAGTTCTTTTTCTGTTATGAAGTCCTTGTGTATGCATCGCTGGCATATGTTATGGGCGGCAGAACGATCTATGTGTGCTGCTTTTGCTGTTTGAGAGGGAAAGGCGCGGGAGCAGCGTGTGCACCATTGGGCATGATTGATGCTGATGGAGGCGTGGAGTTTCAGGGCTTCTCTAGAGGAGAAGGAGCGGTCGCAGTGGGAGCAGTATGAATCCATCTTCTTTGGTTTGGATATATGTAGTCGGGGGGGTAGGGTTTGGAAGGGTGGCGGGTTTGCTGGGAGGGGTGGGAAGAATGTTCCTGTCTTTTAAGGGAAACCTTTTTTTTTGATAGTGGTGGTATAATAACAGGCTATTTGCTATGGTACTGATCTGTTGTGATAGTGCTAGGTTGTCGGAAGTTTGCTATCAGTTCTGTGAGATGTGGTGACTTAAGGTTTGGTTGGATGATTAGATGAAGTACTTGGTTCACCTTCGGTTTGGTACACTTTCAATTTATCATCTCAAGATACAACACAACCTGATTTCATAAAGATGGCAGGAGTCAAGAGTAAGATCATTTATCTTAATATTCACTTTTTATCTTGCCATGAGTATCTACATGTCATTCAGCCGTAACTCCATGATTTTACGAAACAATACCAACATGCACACGAAAAAACCACATGCCGGAATCTACTGCAGGAGAGGATCCTAGAAAGTGTGTTAGCTTGTTCTAAGGTCAATAGAGAGTCTAAACTTACCCTGAAATGCTTCTGGTTATTGGCAGCCCGATTGACCCGAGCTGTGTACCGCTTCTCTTGTCTCTGGGCACGAGTCCGGTCTTTGCGTTCAAGCTCAACAGCAAATTGCTTCTGGCTGTCAGTGGCACCAATCATGCCCATACCACCATTTCCACGGCTAATGACAGCCCGGTTAAGGTTGCGACCCCTGGGCTTCGGTTCCTCTTCCTCAATCTCGCCATTCTCAATAGCCAGCTGACGAGCCGCTCGTTCTTCCGCTGTAGGATAGTTGCGCAAGTTCTGGCGGTAGTATTTGGCGAGCGATCGGTGACCTGCGGTGCGGCCCGAGGGCAAATGCAGCTCAAAGTCTGTCGCATAGACTTGTCCCTTCGTGTCGTCGATCTCATCATCATCTTCGTCCATAGAAGATGCAGAAGTTTCAGTTTCCCATCCCTCGTCATCTTCGCCATCCACCTTGACGCCACCATCCTCCACAATTGAGTCATCCTCATCCTCACCATCCGAGTAAGTGCTGCGGAAGTCATAATACTGTCCGATTTCAACTTGCTCATCCTGACTTTCGAAAGCGATCATGCAGTGACCCTTGTCGCGCATGTGGGTACGAGCACCCTCGGGATTGTTTCGGACGGCGTGGCAGTATAAGCATTCACTGTTCTCGTTGATTTTCCGATAAAGGTAGTGGACAAGTCCCTCCATATCAACAAGATAGTCCTTCTCTGGTATGAACATGCCGTGACTCTTGAACATGTGTTCGGTGTTTTGTTGAATATCTGAAGATCTCTCATTGCAGAAAAGACAATGGGAGGCCGAGAATCCCTGCTCTTGCATTTCCTCATCTTCGTCATCCTCTTCGATGGTAGCGTTCTTGAGACTCTCCGTAACTTTCGACACTTCGGACCGCTCACGAGGCTTGTTGACTGGCTCACCCAGAGAGAAGGTAGAGCTCATGACAGATGATGCGTCATCGGCACTGTCTCTAAGCATCTGCGCCTCGCGGGCCTTGTGCTTGGAGCTCTTCACGTGGTTCTGATACGAGTTCTCGCTGAAGAATGTCTTCTGGCAGGCGGTACATGTCTTTTCAAAGGAAGCTTTGGCGGCAGCGGCACTGGTTGTGGCTTTGGCAGCAAGGACCTTGTCGTTGAAAACTTCCTGGGATACTGGGGGCAGAGACGCGATGCGGCGCTTCATGTTATAGAGACTTGAGCCGACCGAACATTAGTAATGAATTTTAGGTCGCATATTTTCCAACAAACTTACTGCCAGTCTCTGCGCATATGATCCCGCTGAGCATCGCTGCCGCGAAAAGCAACGAGACAGGTGTTGCAGGTATATGGCAACGTAGTCGTTGGTACATTTGGATCGATGGAGGCCATGATTTCCGACAGTTCGAACAAAAAAAAAGGTGGGTATCACAAGAATAAATTTGTTGAAAAGGCGGTCGATTGTGCGAATATATATTGCGCGGGGAAATTCGTTCTTGCGAAAGTAACGAAAAGGCAAAACTGGGCGACGTCGTGACAGAACGTTTTCGACTTGATTAGAAATAAAAGCAGGTAGGAAGTATCTAGCGAGAAAGTTGAAGCGGCGCAATATTGCCCCTCGACAGAAAAGATCGGGCTAATCGATGTCGCCGATAACCCGGACCACACATTGAAAATCATTGCCCATGCCGCTTTTAGAGAGCATGACGTTGATTGCACGTGCACCACCGCTAAACCTGTCTGGGAGGGTACAGTCTATATTAGGCCTAGTGCATGATAAGTCGGACCGTAGTTCTTCCACTTAACGTTAGTCAGCCGACTCGACATGCTTGGCGCCTGAGGCTGTTGTGTCAGTCTGTATGATATCAGCGTGGAAAGGGCAGGCTACAATCACCGAATCCCCTGGATTTCGAAAGATAACGGCAGGCGAAGACGCGAATCTCCCGATAGATCTTCCTGACCGGGGGTTCAGGCATGCCCCTCAGTCTACGAAGATGACTAGGCTCCGCGGAGCTTCTGTGAGCTCGTATGAGGTTTCGCACTGTGGCACCGATAGACCCCAGTTTCATCGGTCGAAGGTTCCGCCAAACGCGCCGGAAGTTATCACGCAGAATACCGTTGATGTGTCGGACCCCGCACAGGTCTTGCTCTGGTATAGAGACGAGCGACGACGACAGTTCAACCTTCTGGTTCGCAGGTTAGTATTTGCGGGGAATGTTTGACTTGGATGGACGGCTGACATAGCTGGCTCCCAAGGTACAAGAATCAACTTCTCTATGGATGTCAGGACCCAAGCTGTTCCACCCCCACCTGCGCGAGCTATCGAAGGAGGGTGACTGAGGAGCCGTTCCGTCGATATACAGAGCTGAGTGCCCGGACACTCGCATGCTACCTAGCCAGCGTGGATAACGCAGAGAGTGGCCTTTGTCGCAACACCCCTCGGATTCCATCAGATTTATCATCGCAAGACTATCACCGTCGATCCAAACGTCGAAGCCGCGCTTCTACAAACGATTCGAGGAAGGACTATAGTGGATCATCGGTAGTGGGCCAAGGTGCCACAGATGGATATTCAGCGACTCAAACCTCGTCGGACAGGCAGGGCGATCTCTGGGATAATGCGGTACAGTCTTCCTCCCCTGGATATACGGTGCAGGCAAGGGCCGAATGTATACCAGCCAACGAAGATCAATCAACCCAACCATTAAAGGATCCAAAGTCGTTCACTCAAAATTTGTTCGATACTTTGTCTTTGAGAATGATTGAATGGTTGCCTTTGAGGCGTTCCCCGAGTACATTCAGCGCAGACTCCGATCATTCATACTCGCGATCAAGTTCTCGATCCCCAAAGCCGAACACCGCTCACGCCAAATCTCATTCTGGGGCAGAGAAGCACCGCCAAGAGAGGGAACGTACATCTCGACACAATGCATCTACTAGGGGCAATCCACTCGCGCCTTCGGCACGTAATATCTCCAATACAACAGCTGCTGTTGAATTGAAAATACCGAACCAGCAAATAAAACGGCTATCGCTTGCTGATATAGATCAACGGCGGCAAAGTCCTCGGTCGAGTATTGACGAGAAGGTTTATCCGGAGCTAAAGCCCGCTAGGAAGCTGTCCATCAACACTCACGCGAATGCAGATGGGCTCGTCAACATACCTTCCCCCCCCGCCTTGAGACATCGTCCGCAGAAACATCGGGGCAGGACTGGAGACGGTGCTTGCCTGCATGAGCAGCGGAAAAAAGAAAGACGTGTTTCTTGGGACGGTGCGAAGCTCTTGAATGGGGTCCACGTTCCTGACGATCAGAATCCCCTTTCCGCTGACGATAACCAGCCTGCCTCAGAGCCCCGATCTCCAAGTGTGCCTAGCTTGAAACAAAATGATATACATCAAGACGAGGATATGCCTACTATACAATCTCTTACTCATCTGACTTCTGAGATCATCGACGAACTAGGAAAAATGATAGTCCTGTCTGACGATGAAGCTCAACGATGGAAAGACGAACTTGCTTATATAGAGTCCATGGGCACATTTGACGACTCAGAGTGGAAGTTTGCAACTTCTCGTCAACGTGAAGCATTTACTTTCGTTTCACAGAGCGTTTTCTTTGCATTGAGCAGCACGAGGCAAATTCTGCGGTCTTTTCGACACAACACGGCTGGCCCGAACGACATGGAGCAGAGTAGTTTTAATACAAAGTTGAACCTCCAGCAGCTTCAGCCATCATTGCGCAAGCTATTTACGATTTGCCCTAGGGAGCTCGTCTTTCATAGTCTCTGGAGTGCGCTTGAATCGCTATTCGTTCCGCCCAGGGAATTATCGACCCCCAGGCAATCCCGCCGTTCATCATACAATTCGACAACAGGAGTGCCTGTCTCTGCGCCTATAATTATTCGTCGGGTATCTGATGCACTAGGCAATGAACATATTACAGATTCATGTGCTGCAGACGTCGCCACTGTGGTCCTTTTCGCATTGGCTAGTTCTCTTCCGAACATAGATGCATCCACCTGGCGCGGAATTCTTCAAATGCGCGCTGCTGGGGCTGTAGCATCGAGCGCGGATATGCAAAAACTTCCACTACGCAATACACGAGCGGTTGTGGACGTAACCGACGCATTGGAACATGACCTTGCCTTGCGCTTAGTAGACCGCTTGGTGCGCGCTCTTACGGCGCGAATGGCCTTCTATGAGATTTCGAAAGTCCGACATCCTTATAGTCACGCTTCACGTAAATCAAAGAACAGCGTCCTGGATTTTCTTATCAACAATCTTAGCGACAACCACCGCCTTGTATCCGCCGATATCGATGACCAAAATAATATGAGGCCGCCGGGTGCTGCTGCGGTCATCGCGGAATGGCTTCGTACTTTATTGCTCAAGGAATGGGACGGGAGTCCTGAATTGTCCAAAGGTAGCACGACCGGAGGCGCTGTGCAGATTTTGTCCCTAATGTATAAGGAACGGGATCGCTTGGGCCTTGTCCCAGAAGACTTTCACACTCCATTCCTTTCGGAGAGGTTGGAGCCCCTAGAGATGCCTGTTGAGTGGATAGGTCGATCGCCGAATAACAAAACTTTGCACTTGCTCTCATACCCCTTCCTCTTCCCTCCCTCTGCTCTGGTCATCTACTTCCGCGCTTTGAATTATGCCGCCATGTCAAGATTTTACGAGGCTGCTATGACTTCCACCAGACACATAACTCAGACAGCATTTGGAGCTATACCAATTCATGATGATGTTGGGATGCTCGCACGGCTGAAGACTTCGATGACTATATATTTGGTTCTTGTGGTCCGACGGGACAATCTCCTCACCGATGCCCTCAATCAGCTGTGGCGGCGCGAGAGGCGAGAGCTAATGAGGCCATTAAAGGTCCAGATGGGAATGGACGAGGGTGAAGAAGGTCTTGATCACGGCGGTGTCCAGCAGGAGTTCTTCAGAGTACTCATGGCAGAAGCCCTGGACCAGTCGTACGGTATGTTTGCGACGGATAGCCGCACTCGAGTTTCCTGGTTTCAACCATGTTCGTTGGAACCGCTCTACAAATATGAACTTCTCGGGTTATTGGTATCCCTGGCGGTTTACAATGGCCTCACTCTGCCCATCAATTTCCCCACTGCCTTCTATCGCAAACTTCTGGGGCTGAAGGTGAAGCATCTCGACCATATCCGTGACGGCTGGCCAGAGCTTACTAAGGGTCTTGAGCAACTTCTAACTTGGGAGGATGGCGATGTGGAAGACGTGTTCATGCGCACGTATGAATTTAGCTTCGAAGCCTTTGGAGCCATTGAGACCGTGGACATGCAAAAAGTCGACAAAGATGCTCCGTGGCCTCTTCCTTCAGCATTGGCGCGATCAGGGGGTGGAAACCGGTCCCTCGGTTCCCCACCTTGGTCGGAAGTTCGCCGTTACACTGACTGTGTGAACTTGAGTCCGCCGTCCTCAATGGGTGCAGAGGCAACTGAATCGTTTGCGGACATGGCGAAATCCCTGGATGGTTCGGTAGTGATGCAATCGCCTACGCCCCCAGCTGAAGAGGCGTCTTTCGTCACAAACCAAAACCGCTCTCAATTTGTTAGAGATTATATATTTTGGCTGACAGATAAGTCAATCCGACCCCAGTTCGAGGCTTTTGTGCAGGGTTTCTACACCTGCTTGGATCGCTCGGCCTTGTCCATATTTACGCCAGAGGCACTGAAGACAGTGGTAGAAGGAATTCAAGAGATTGATGTAGATGAGCTGGAACATCATGCACGTTACGAAGGAGGCTTCGGTCCAAGCCATCGCACAATCCGGGATTTTTGGAGTATCGTTCGGCGGTTCCCTGCGGAGAAAAAGGCGCAGCTGTTGGAGTTTGTGACTGCCAGTGACCGGGTTCCCGTTAACGGGATTGCGAGCATTATGTTTGTTATCCAAAAGAACGGAGTGGGTGATGCTGTAGGTGTACCATTTTTCCTCAACACTTTAATCGGCTGCCATGCTAATCGCTTCTAGCGCCTTCCCACCAGTTTAACCTGTTTTGGTCGGCTTCTTTTGCCAGAATATTCATCGAAAATTGTCTTGGAAGACAAGCTCAATAAAGCCTTGGAGAACGCTCGAGGATTCGGCGTTGCATAATGCGGGACTAATTTTGGGATTGACATGGTACATTGTCCGACATATAAGTACACAATACCCCTACGTTATATTTTTGTATAGTATATATTCAGTCACTATATCTATTACTGAATAAAATGCCAGTGCTGGCATTGTATGAAGATCTATTCTCTTCCCTACTTAGCGGACTAGTGTGAAGCGTTTATCGAAACATGAGCCGGGTCTGGATGTCACTGAGAAGCGGCCTGCGGAGTATAAAACTCATAGTTCTCTAAAGCTTTATTCGTTCTGGCCCGTGATCAAATCCACCTTTAATATCAATGGTTGGTAGTGTCCAAAAGGTTAGAGTTTACTGGGCGCTGTAAAGGATTCCGTCATTTGTCCGAAATAGAAAATTATATGCTTCACCTGATTGCATATTGTGGTTATTATAAATATGACTTGTTTCTTCCGTGAGCTATTAGTAAACTTTACAATTATAGTCTTCGCATAGCCATGGCCCTCATTCCTAAAAATTCTAGCTGCTAATTGTTATGTTAAGCGCAAGGCCTGAAGCATAAACACTCCTACACTGTGTACAGAGTACTACACGTCGAAGAACAAGAGTATATTGAATGCCATGACATTGTCAATCCTATTGCTGAGTAACAGAAACAAGTTTTATGAGTAATTTGGCCTTAGATTGGCCACCATCTCCCTTTGGTCCAACATCAGCACCAGTGCTACCAAGACCAGCGGCACTCATTCTACAGAACCTATTAGCATTGATCCGAAGAGCACGGCATCTTCGAGATGAATGAGCCTTAGTTGATTTTTACGTGATATGTAGAGAGTAAATGAGGCATATTTCTCTTCCTAGTCTTAGTTAGCATATTAAGCAAAATGTCATGGGGATGGATCTTGATGCTCACCCCATTAGTGCATATAATGTCTCTTTGAGACCCCATTGCCAATGAGACTTGTTTCCTGTGAATAGAGACGATATTTAATCTCTAGAAAGTACCTATTTTGACACAAATTTTGATAATTTTACCATATCCCCCCGACTACAACATCACCATAGGGTGAGGGTTCAGCCGATAACTTACTGGCTAAATGTGCCTATCAGGCTGCACATCCATGTGCATGACCTCCTTACCTGGTCTGAATCAATTCAATACTTAGTGCATTTCTTTCCTGTACAGATCATAGACACTGAAGAAATTGTAGTTCAGCTGTTCAACTTTGTTGACTGCTAGTAATTCGACCCTAGATTCAACCCCTTCCCAGGTGCAAGCACTAATGCATAGATCCATGCACGTATCCCCTCATGACGAGAGCATAATAGTGGCTAGGGTTGGTGAATTCGTGGGATCGACTCCATCTCCCTACAGTTACTGTTCGTTCTGTTGGAGTTGGTGGTAGATCGTGGTTGAGGGTTATCAAACTCAATTAATTTCATATTTTCGCTCGCCGAACACATCTGGCATCTCTCTCAGAATTAGGGGGAAATGACCTAGTCGGTGAAAGGTGAGTGCATACAATGGAGAACTACTACTACTATATCAGCCTCCTTCTGTGTACTTTGATGGAAAAGTGAATACGTCCGTGCGACAAAAAATCTATGTCTGGTTCGTTATATCTCATGTCGTAAATAGCTTCCTTTGCAAGTCAAGAGTCATGTCTATTGGAGAACTTTGTAAACCATCTTATTAACCTAACTACTAAGATCATTTGAATTTGATTCTGATTGCAGAAGTGGAGCCCATATTGTAGCCATCCACTGTGCTGTTAAGCAGTAGGGTTAAGCGGATATTTATCGCGCAGCTTCTGAACAGTCTCGATGATGATATTGGCGTCGCAGTGCTTTCCCAGGCCAGAGGGGTCCAAATAGACTTGCGGCTTGATATACTTTTTTACCGCATAGTTTAGGGGTTTGTCAATAATGAACCGCAAGAGTATGGGGTGTCTGTTGAGAAACTCCTCTGTCTCTCTATCCTTCATAATGATGGGTTTGAGGACTTTCAGGAGCTCTTCATACAGTACATCCTTGGGGATACCAGTGATGTTTATCAGATTCTCGGGTGGCGGACTCTTGGTTTGATTTGGGCTAGGTTTTCTGAAACAAGAAGTCCACCCCATCTTCGAAGGATATGAGTAGTTGAAGTGCTAACGAGTAGCAACTGGTTGAGACTCGAGACTTGTAGCGCGAGTGATAAGAAAAGACACATCCCATGTCTAAGCAGAAGAATGGCATTGATCGGCATATAAATCCCTCGGCATTTTATGTTCACTTTTGTTCTACTGGGATTAACCGGCTACTGGTGTTGAACAAAGGCAAAACGAGGATTATGGATAAGGGGGAACCCTCTGAGATGAATGAAGGCAAGGGCGTTCTTTCAAGACTGAAAGGAAAAGGGGTAGTGCCACTGGTCAAAGAAGTAAAGGAGATATGTGATGTTTCATCCACTTTATGGATATATTCCACCACAGCCGAGTGATACACCGGCAGAGCATCGGATCTCGCGATGTGGAGAAGCTTCCACTGACCCAGTGCATGATCGACTCAATATTCAAGTCATTTTTGTCAGCCACTGTGGGAAAGCCTGTGGGCAAGGGCAGGCTGTCCTGGTTAAAACCGATTCAGAAATACATGCTGGATTTCAACCCCTAGTGAGGTCCCGATATTAGTCCTTAAGAAATCCTTATCGATGCTCTAAGAAATTCTACAGCGCTTATAGCTCTAGATATACTTTGACTGGGGCCGATGGCAACAGTTCTCAGCGATGAGAATACTTTCATCCGCTTATTGACCTGTCTTCCTACATCCAACCACGAAGGGCAACGGTTCAACCCTTGGTGGATGTTAGAAGGCACGTAAGTATTATATACACCTACCATCGACTGGCTAGGGGTGACCCTTACATTACCAATTTAGTAATGTTAACGGTTTTTTACCGTGTCTACCAAGTTTGCCGTTGTGGGGGAATCCCGCGGCATGATTGCGGACGCCGACCGTCAAATTTATATAGATAGTGCCCTTCCTTTCTGGCATAAATTCCACTACTAGTTGCTTCGGCAGCTATAAATTACTATCCTAGCATGGACACGTCATTTTGGACATACCGGTGCCGGATGTTATGTCGCGTGATGCTAATATAGCCCAATAAAATAACTGTATCACTAATCCACCTCGGGATGAATTTAATGATTATATGTCCATGTCCGCCAACGTATAATCATAGTGGGCCTTCAGAGATACACCTTTATTTAATTCTATCGCTCTGTAGCCCATGATTTACTTGATGAGCTGAACATGCCGTCTAGGCTAAGAAACGCTTCAGTTCTGGAATCCATCGAGAATCGGGGCATGGTCCAGAAACCAATCAAAGAGCCGTAAGCGATAGGCGAGAGGAGAGAAGAAGAAAATAATAGAAAATGAGAGAAAGAATAGGAGGTGGAAATATTTGCCTTCCTTACATTGTATAATACGCGACGATAATCGAAAATCTCGTTCTTGTCCTTGTTCTATATTTTCCCTTGAGGGCGAACCGGGCTGAGTAGCAGTACTTGAGTCAATGATTCTAAGAGCCAATTGACCTATCCCTCCAAGCTGTACTGGGTGTTCTGATGCGACATCCTTCTCCATTCGCTACTAAGGCTCTTGTCCCATCTCCTAGTGAAATCGCAAAATGAGTGTACAATATGTCGACTTTGATAGTCCCGATGATAGTTCCATACCCTTCAACTGGCCAATGCGAAAAAGGTAAGCCATACACAGCATGACTCGCAGACTCTGGAGCTGTTTATTGACTTTACTGCAGAGTATATATCTCGGTCTTGCTGGGACTTCTTACAATGGTTGTCGCGATGGCAAGTAGTATCTTTACTTCAGCCATACCGACGGTGATCATGATGTATAATATCGACAGGGAGGTAGCAACTCTAGGTGTTTCTCTCTACGTCCTTGGGTTCGCCACTGGTCCCTTATGTTGGGCTCCTTTCTCCGAACTTAAAGGAAGAAAGCTTCCATTGGTTACATCTGCCTTTGGATTTACTGTTTTCTGTTTTGCGACTGCCGTCTCGAAAGACCTTCAATCCCTTATGATACTTAGATACTTCACGGGCTTTTTTGGGGCGGGTCCCTTAACTCTTTCGGGGGCCGTCTATGCTGATATTTTCCAGCCACAGCAACGGGGCATTGCGATGGTCGGATTTTGTCTGATGGTGTTCACCGGCCCTCTTACAGCCCCGTTCATCGGCGGGTTTACCGTAATGAACCATAGTCTCGGTTGGCGCTGGACGGCATATGTACCTGGAATTCTGGGCGGCGGCTTTTTCGTTCTTTTACTTACCACGATGAGCGAAACCTATGCACCGGTACTCCTCTGCTGGAAGGCTGATCGCTTACGTCGCGAGAAGGGTGATTGGGCTATTCATGCGAAGCATGAGGAAATAAGCCTTGACTTGCGCGCCATCGCTGCCGACTATGTCAGTCTTCCGTTGAAAATGTTAGCACTCGACCCGATCGTGCTATGTATGAGCGTCTTCGCCTCGTTCGTATACGGGCTCTTATATCTTTTCTTGACCGCCTATCCTATTATATTTCAACAGATCCATGGTATGAGTCCCGGAGTTGGCGGGCTTCCGTACATTGGAATCATCGTGGGACAGCTATTTGGGGCTTTGGGAGTGTTTGCAATGCAGCCATGGGTCCTTCGACAGATGAAGGCGAATGGAGGCATAGTAATGCCGGAGTGGCGCCTCCCTATTGCGGTTCCAGGAGCAGTCGCCTTCTCAGGAGGTCTATTCTGGCTGGGCTGGTCAGGCTATCGGCGAAGCATATCATGGGTAGCTCCCACAGTATCGGGGCTGCTTACCGGGTTTGGTCTGTTGACAATGTTCCTCCCTTCGATCGCGTATGTGGTAGAGGCACGACCGAAAAAGTAAGTTCCCATTGGGACTTAAACTGATGGAAGACAAATTGATTGACTGCGAACTAGGGCCGCTTCGGCTGTCGCTGCACACACATTTCTTCGGTCATTGGCTGGCGCGATATTTCCACTTTTTGCTTCCTATATGGTGAGTAGCATGCCCCTTCCTAATGGCCTGTTTAATGAGTTGTGTGGTAGTTCGACGCTCTGGGGGTGGAATGGGCCTGCACACTGCTTGGATGTGTCGCAGCACTTCTCATTCCGATACCTTTGCTACTCTACATCTACGGCGCACGAATCAGGAATCGCTCTGGGTTGTCGAACGAGTCTTAGGGCATGGGTTAGATGATATGAGCTTTATATAGACTAATTCTTTCAGTGGTTTACGGATTTACTGGGGAAATCCTACGTACGCGGTCGAGTGTAATATCTTACGGTTGAAATCTGCACAAACAGCAGACAAGCCAAACATACAGGGGAACGCCAGTTGCTATAAGGAGTGGTTGAAAGGGAGCGGAAATTTATTATTCATAATATTATAGCCAAAAGATCAGCAGGTATCTCTCATATTGAATAAACCCTGGCGAAACTCTAGTCCCTCGAGATATGCTGTACGTTGATATGGACTCCAAGAGTGTGAGACTGGGAAACCGCGCGTTAACGGAGCAATCAACCGTCATTTAGGGCTTAGCATTAACCCATTATTAAATGCTGCCACCCTCCTCCACCAGCAATATACAACAAGTTATCATATGCCCTAGCCACCTGATGCCATGACTGCAACTGACCAAAGCCCAGCAGACCATGTGCGCAATATCTGATCAATCTAATCGACCTTTCCCCCGCATTCCTGCAGCAAACCAAAAGTCAATTTAACAATAACACATCAAACTTAAATAAAGAAACCCCTTACATTAAATGTATTTAGCATTGCCCTTCTCTCTCCCCTTTAGCAAAATCCCCATTCCCCATCCTCTACTCTCATCCACTCACCCTGACCAAATACCCCAGAGCCAAAAATGCACCCTCCAACACTCCAAACCCTCCTCCCGACCTTCCTCCTCCTCCTCCTACACTCAACCCCAACCCTCACCACCCAATCCCCTCTCAACCCCGAACGCGCCCCCAAATCCGGCAACCCAGTAATAGAAGGCTGGTATGCGGATCCCGAAGCCCGCATCTTCGACTCCACCTACTGGCTCTACCCGACCTACAGCGCCGCCTACGAAACCCAAACATTCTTCGATGCCTTCTCCTCCCCGGACCTGCTCACCTGGACCAAACACCCAACCATCCTCAACCTAACCGCCATCCCCTGGTCCACCAACCGCGCCGCCTGGGCCCCCTCCGTCACCCGCTCCCCGCTGACGGGGGACTACTTCATGTACTTCTCCGCGGGCGACGGGGCGGGCATTGGCGTTGCGAAGTCCGTCTCGGGGCTACCGCAGGGCCCGTATGAGGACGTGCTGGGCAAGCCGTTGGTCGGCGAGACGGTGTTCGGGGCGGAGCCGATCGACGCGCAGGTGTTTGTTGACGAGGACCTAAGCGTTTGGTTGTATTTCGGGGGCTGGAGCCATGCCGTTGTGGTTGAGTTGGGGAGTGATATGGTTAGTCTCAAGGGCGAGTATCTGGAGATTACGCCCAAGGACTATGTGGAGGGGCCGTGGGTATTGAAGAAGGGTGGGGTTTATTATTTCATGTATAGTGTTGGAGGGTAAGTTTTCTTTTTCTTTTTCTTTTTTTTTTTCCTTTTTGTGCTTTATTCCTTGAGATGGGGGAGTTAGGGCTTAGATTTTTGGGTTGGAGACGGCGGTGTAAGTTCAGTGCTGATTTGATGATTTATTGCAGATGGGGGGATAATTCCTACGGGGTTAGCTATGTTACCGGGCCTTCGCCGACGGGTCCGTTCTCTAGTACGCCGACCAAGATTCTGCAGGGCGATGATATCGTTGGACAGAGTACGGGGCATAATAGTGTGTTTACCCCCGATGGAAAGGATTACTATATCGTTTATCATCGGCGGCCGGTTAATGATACCGAGCGGGATCATCGGGTGACTTGTATTGATCGCATGGAGTTCGATGAGCAGGGGAATATTCTGCCAGTGAAGATTACGTCGGAAGGTGTCGAGGGGAGGCCGTTGGCTTAGGGATGGGAAAGACTATATATGCATAAGACTTTGTATAGATTCGGTTGGATTGCCTTGGTTTATTTCCAGGTTAGAACTGCTTTGAGTCTATGTACATAGCACGTCTTTTCTTTTTCTTTTTCTTTGTTTTCTGTAAACGCCAACGCCATGGGTATCATAACTTCGTTTCTCAATAAGATAAATGATCAGAACATCGAGCTGCGCTTTTTGGCTAGTTTGTTTTCGTCGGAGGATGACCTGCGGAAGCCGAAGAAACTCTTCTTCTGCTGTAATTTTTGTGGCTTTGATCCCGTCGCGGGCTGTGGTTGTGTCGGCAGGAACGCGACTGACTGCCTGTGTGGAACACCTCCAGGAGCCTGGAGGTATGGTGAATGTGCGATATGTGGCACGGACGGTGCGTGGTGGTGAGTGTGATAGTACCGCTGAGCTGGGGCCCCGCGGCCGGCAGCAGTTGGCCGCTCTGTCGGTGGAGGCGATTGCACTGGCCGCGGCGGAAGCGACGGAGTAGAGAAGCGGACTCTCTGCTCTTCCTCACCGTAAAGTATCTGGAGACGACGGGTTTCCTCGTCGATCTCAGCTTGGCGTTTGCGGCGGGCCTTCTCTTCCTCTTCAAGAAGTTGCTTGGTGCGACGTTCCTCTTCTTTCTCTTGTTCCTGCTTGCGTCGTGGGGGGTTCTCAACTCTGGGCTCCTCTGCAATAGGTGGTGTCGTGTTGACGTTGAGCGCCCCAGATCCAGCCGAGACAGGTTGTTTATCTTTGCTAACTGTCGGAGCAGTGTCACGTCCATTGGGCATGTTCGCAGCAGCAGTAGCACTAGGACCCGCGGCAACTGACGTCGCATCAAGTTTGAAAGCATCTCTCATCGCAGTGAAATACGCATCGCGAATAGTTACTGCTCCAAGCAAGAGAACAACCTCCAACCCCTTAAAATCCTCCATCTCCACTCGATATAGGTTTGGTTCGTAGAGCGTCAACTCACGCAGCCCCTGGAAGATCGAAATTGTGATATCCGGCTCCTTGGTCTTTGTTTTGGTTCCCGACAGCGCAGTAGATTTCCCAGACAACAGACATGTCAGGTCCTTCGACAGCTTGCTATCCTTCCGCCAGCTGAAGCGAAGTTTGGGCGTGGTATCTGCCGCTGCTGGGTCTGTTTGTGTCCGGTCTAGAGTCGAGCTCGAGGGTTGTCGGAAGGACTGCTGTGGCATTTCGAATGACCATGTCGCTGGATTATTCCACGTCTTCGGTTTGTATTCCACTGTGACCTGCTGGTCGGGGTTGTAGAGGTGGATGGTAAAGCGGGTGGGGAGGATAGGCTCAGGCGGTGGGGTGACTCCGCCATTCTGACGGATAGCCTCTGCGGAAAGACTTGGTTGCGTCCATTCGGGAATGAGTAGAACCTCGCCGTAGACGATATCCGGAACGTAGGGGTCAACTAGCGCGGCGGCATAGCGGTTCTTCGATGAGGGGGATGCTGGGTCGGGGTGGCGAAGAGTGTACGCAGGCTCGGGCTCAGTACCACGGTGAGAATGTAAGATGGTCCAGAGGAACTTCTGCTGGGTTTTCTTGAGGAAGAACGCTGAATGGTTGTTAGTATTGGGCTTGGCCTGAAGGGATGTACGTGCTACTTCTGCGATTGACTGGTGGACATACTGGGCAGGTTCTCGTCAATCATTTTTTCATGTCAGTAGCTGGTTTAGTGGATTTCAGTGGTTGTTCTCGTCAATTTAAAGCCCTGGATGCCCTGTCAAGCGCCTTGATTATGCCATGGAGCTTGGTATAAGAGGGGGTTGAAGTGGAGATGGTGCGGACACGCGTTCTTGCCTGAGGCAGTCCGGGGCACTGCCTGCGCCACGCGATCGTCGCTAAAAATAGCCCCCATATGCGGGAACCTACAGTAGTAAAGCCCTGGAATGGTAGGCAGCTATATAAACAATGGGGGCCTCTACCCTTGTATATGCGCTGTTTTCAATATTACTCCGTGCTATGTGAGGGCGAAGTATGCAAATATGTACCAGGCATCCATATTATTGAAACAGTCTATATGTTTACACCATACGGTGAGTGAGCGATGGGCAGTGATGACGAATCATAGGCCGATCAGCATCTCATTCAAACACGCTAATAATCTGGTCGCCTGCACTCCGCCGCGACCCATCATTGTCGGTCTGAGTCTGCCTTGAGACAGGTCAATTGAGATCATGAAAAGGTCCTGGATTCAAAGAAAGACTTCACCGACAGTGTTGCTGTGGTGACAACACTGTTCTCGACCTTCGACATAGTCAGAGTCCATGCGATATGCTCACAAAGAGAAGGAATCTATCAATCTTCGCTCATCAGATCAGAGAAACTTAGTTTGACATGATTGATATAAAGGAAATAGCGACTTGTGCGTGGAGCTCCACATACAACATGAGCGATGGGCATATTTTCATATCTGAGCTGAATGGTGCTGAGCCTGAGTTGAGCGTCACTCAAAAGCTAATTGCTGAACGATCTGCCTCAGTGCATTCGGGGACTGTATACCATTGCATTTCTTCGCGTCAAGTTGGGTTGCTCATGGCATAGTGGTTTCATGAGCGACGGCCCTACGCTTCCTCTTCACAAGGTTCAACTTGTGATCGACCCTCAACGTGGGGGTCACCTAATCCAGTAATATCTTACGGTAGCTAGACGAAGGTTAGCATTCGTCATGATCTGACAAATCTAGGTTTGCGTCTCACGGAGATAAAAAAGAGAGATAAAAGCCGTTGGCCACCCACCCGCCCTTCGGAACGGTACATTCTGGCTCTGACTGCTTCAATCAGTGTATACCCCGCACTCAAAGGCTAGAAGACACTTAGGCGGTAGTTTTGATTTTATGGTCAACCCTTGACGGGCCAATTGCACGAAGCCTTCTGGGTAATAGCTTCTAATGGGGCTCTATATGTGTGAGACTCGTTACCAGCCGAGGAGATGCCTGGGGCCATGTTTGACCTTGTACGAGCGAAATTGGGCGCGAATGGCCAGAGTTATCTATTTTCAATCAGTATATGCTCTCTAGGATATGGAGTGCATGTACAACCTATAGATAATGTCACCGGTGTCCAGCCTTGCTAATAACAGCAAAAAGTGCTTTGGGCCAGTCACACTTCCTTTTTTCATTTAGCTGATAGATGCATGTTCCAAAGGCAAGTCAGACTCATCAGGCTAGGGCTATTTACCTACGGTGAGAGCGTATGGTTATGCAGTAGCTATTGAAAGTGCTGAAACAGACAGGGCCTTATATGTATTCCATGATCAAGAGCTTAAGGTGTTGTTTTCTATTGTTCAAATTTCCTTTAGTACGTCACAAGCATTTCATTGCAATGGCCATTATGCTCATTGTTGTATGGGAATAAAAGAGATTTGTTCAATTATGTATTAGATTTTCCAAGTTGTCCTCATAATATCCCAACCGTCTCTTCAGGACTTCTTTCGTCACAGTGACAAAGACGCAGCCGTTCTATATGAAACCATGAACAAAGCATCCAACACTATCTACAAAAAGATATCAAACAGGAGGGGGGATAATCCCAATAGCTCATACACGGACACCATCAACTTCTTTGCCCTCGGGAACCTTGGCCGCTTCACGTTCAGCCGTGCTCAATTGCAAACCCTGGTCATCCCACCCCTGCGTTCCTTTCTTGTACAGAGCCCTCTGAGCTTCCCGGTCCGGTGCCGGGCCTTCTTTGCCACGACGTTCACGCGAAGGGATAGTCTCAACCAGGGTTGCATCCTCGCCCTCAAGCTCATGGCCTTCCACGTCAGTCTTGTGGACCTCAGACGAGAATTCGTAAGTACGGTATTCGGTGTTAACCCAGGCCGTTCCTTGTCCATGGTCAGCCATTTATTTTCTTCAAGTGTCCAAAGAGACAACAACTAACCTTGGTACTGGCTGCTATCCTCCCAATCCTCAGTAAAATAATGCAAGAATCCACCATGAGTCACAACAACGATCTCCTTCTCAGGTCTCTCCTTCAACCACCGTCTAGCCTCGCGAGCTCGCTTTCTAATCGCGGCGTGAGTCGGGGCATACCGACCGGCCTGGTCTCACATTAACATCTATCCCATTGTCCGGGTAGCACCGGGGCCGTCGAAGAAAGATCAACACACCTTGTTGTTCCACCCCTCATGCACCAATGTTAAGTCAACAGGCAATCCGTTTTCCTCCATTTCCTTCCGCAGCACATCCGGGTCACTACCTGTGTCGCAAGGAACATCGCTGGTTTCTTGCACATCCGGGAGCAGAACCAACTTCGTGTCCTTTCGCGCTTCAAAAACAGGCCCGAAACTCTGCAATGCGGTGTAGATGGTACGGCGGAGAGGAGAGGCGGTTACGAGATCGATCTTGTCATGGAAGGGGAATTTTTCAGAGAGTTTGCGGCATTGCTCGTTGCCCAAGTCGGTGAGGAGGGGGTCGCGAATGACATGGTTTTCTGTGCAAAGGTTGTGGAAGCCCTGGTCGGTGCGTTAACGTGAATTCAGAGTGTGTCAAGATTGTCGCGAAAGTACCTGAGCATGGCGCACGCAATGGATCACGGGAGGCATTTTTGTGTCTATAGTCTATGGATGCTAAGGTCGAGCCGGTCAGTTGGGAAACCGAGAATTTAAAAACGTGGGGTAGCGGGGTAGCGATAAGGCGTCGGGCACAGGTATTGGAAAAGGTACCTTTCTAAACGATGGCTTGGAAGGAGAAAGCTGGGTGGAATGTCAATTTATATCCACCAGGCTAAAAAAAAGTGGAAAATCAATCAGTCCACTGTTTGAATCCAATCCCAAGCGGAGGATACACACCGTGCAGCCGAAATTGGACAATTCGTCTTTTCTTGGCCGATGACTCGGTTCTCACGACGGTGGGTCTCTATACTTCTATCGGTATATAATTATGCAGATGGAAATCTATTTGGGGAAAGAGTGACAAATTGCTAGGCAAATCAACGTGAATTGCTTGAGAGATACGCAGAAATTTCAAGAACAGAGGCAAACGTCTTGCGATTGAGTCACTCCCGGAGGAAAGTTCTCCGATCTGGTGGGATCCTGAGGCAGGAACCTTGATCACGAGGCAACTTTGGCGGGTCAGGTGTTCTGTCCATTACTAACCTTGGGGTCCACAGCCTGCATCTATAGGAATTTTAGACATGGGACGCCACGAGTGTGAATATTAGAGCTGTCTCGTACAGTGGACCTATAATATCACAAGCGGTAATTGATGGAGAATTTCTTGCTAGGAAGCACATCCGGAAGCTGCTTAACATGATACTAGAATGTCGCCGCAGTTGCACCTGCACGGCCATGTCATGATCTAAATTTATATGCTAGATTAACAGAAACTCTAACGTATCATTTCTTAGCATGGGCCTTTTGTCGATAATGTTGATTGGATCAGATACTAGAGACCTCCTACATATGTGACCGCTAGTCTTCGGTTGTGATAATGACAGTATTCATTAATTCGTATCTATATCAATCCCACTCGACCAAAAGACCATATGGCACTAAGGTCATGGTTTGCACTCTCTATCCCCAACAGCATATAAGCCTATAGCATCCATTGGCGTAAAGATAAACACTCCATGTGTTCATGGTTCAATCAGCAAGTGTAGTCCAGAAAAGTCCCATTGAACAACCCAAATGGTCCAGCCAAAGAGCGTCTTGCGCGATATAATTGTTATTAATAAGCTGCGCCAGCCCGGAATAAACCCGTAAGGGCGGGATGGGGACCTTTACAAGTCTTTTAGATAGAGCATCCAAGAGACGGAGGGCATTGTCTACTCCATCGAGTAAGAGTTTTGGGGCGTTCAGAATGCCCTCCTGCTGATAGATTTTGATGAGGTCTCCCAGTTGAGTTGCAAGCAACCCCAGGTTGATCTGCGCACGGACAACCTCAGAGCACAATACCAGTGCTTGCTCATAATTGTGGGTGCTCTGGTAGAATCGGGCTTCAGATACGTATCTCGGACACTTAACGAGCTCCATGAAGATGCGCTCCGTGACATCCACAAACACTCTACCTATACCGAGCTTCTGTGAGTCCTCAGCCCTGAGCCTCTCTGCTAACTGCTGCCACTGCTTTCCCTCGAGAAAACACGGCTGATGTTGGTGAAAGGCGTAGGCAATCAGGAACCCGCGAAAGAAGATATAGCAAGAGCGCGCAAACCCATGCGTGAAGCTCTCTGCTCCCAGCTCCTTCATCAACTCCATAACGCCGTGGCAATGTGTTGGCCATTTGTCGTGAGGCTCGGATGGCACACGCATCTCATATATCGAGAGCAAGATGATAGCACCAATAATATCGGACTTGTTCGAGATTTGCTCAAGATTTAGCGCCTGCTGAAGTGCTCCGAGAGCGTGTATGTATGCGATACGGCTTTTGTTCAGCAATGAGACCTCCATGTCTGTCCGGTTTTGAAACACGAGACAAACGCTGTAGGCTGATGTGTCAAGACAGACGCTTTGATCAAACTTGGAGGTAATGTGGTCTGTGAAGTTGGGGTAATTCGTTTCGCGAAATTGATTGTATGCGTGGGATATTGGAAAGGCATTCTCCATGAATACTCTAAACGCCAGCTGCTGTTGTTGCTTGATTTCGCAGTGCTCGTCAGCTGAGGCAACAACTTGCTGTTGGGCCTGCTCCATTGTAGCTATGGTGCTATTCCGAACGGTTGGTGCTACGTCCCACCAGCTAGACTCGCTTGAAATGACAGAAGATGTTGGGCTTCTGGATGTTCGATGGCGACGCTCCAAGGCTGGTCTTTCATCTTGGAAACGGAAAGACCTCGTGTATCCTGGGCAGGGACGACGGTATTTGCGGCATTGCGAGCACTGTGGTTTAGCTTGGTCGCACTTTCTTTATTAGACATTTGATGCCCATTATGAAATGCTTGCCATCAAGTATACACACCTTAATGCGTCGCTCCCGACAGAGTGCACATGCAGTGCTATGAGGAACTCCGACCATTCTCTGTTTGAACAAAATCGTAAACGTAGCTAATATGCTAGTGGGAACCAGCCATGAGAAGCGTTTGGTTCGTGGGGATGGACCGCTCTTTCCATTTATGTCACCGTCCCAGAAATGGACCCATCATATACACTTCTGCAGTCTATACTACTTATGACAATAGCTCGAAATGTCAACCAGCCTATTCTATTCAGTCGGTTCAATGACATTTCACTCAACCTTGCCTAGTATACAACACTACCCGACGGTCTGTTCCTATCGTATTGGACGAGCCCCACTGTTCGCCCTGATTTTCATTCATTCCATACGACACTGACGCGTGAATAACCACATAGAATCTGAGGCTGAAAAAAAAACGGCCCCAGAGGTCCGAGTTAGCGCGTCATGGATCAGCCATAGTTTGGCCTAGATATGTATCTAAACCGCGGGTAAAGGCCAATAACTGTACCCCCCTTGGCAGGCAATCGATGAATACTCGCGAATGCCAGATAGGTACCTAGTATCATGCTAGCAACTACATATATAGTGTAGTCGCTAAAGCCCGCTCAACAATATGGTTGGTGCTTGAAAACTTGGTGATTCTATTTTAAATCTGCTACCTTGTCGATCACCCGGGTTTAGGGTTAGTGGTCAGTTTGGGGGGAAAGATGGCCTCGTGTTTCCCTGCATTAGTGGAAAATTCACGAGATATAGGGAACAAATACGGTATAGTTCGGTTTCTATCTTTGGTTGAGGATTTAGGGTCCGAGGTCGTATTCATGATTAAAGTGGTCCATTGGATACGATACTACACTAGAGTGATGGCAGGAAATATCCCGGAGTTTGGTGGATCTAATTAACCATGTATCATAGTGAAACCGCATATTAATGAGAAGTTTGACTACTACTACAACACTAGAGGGAACGTATAGATAGATCTGTATATCCTCGTTTTACAAATTGTTTAGTGAAGTTATGAATTTTATGAGTAGATTCTATGGTAACAATGTTTTTACCTGGCGGAACGGTCATTTCCACTCTGATATATTTCGTAGCTCTTGATATACATAACATGATTATTCTGTTACGTATCATCGGCTCATCCTATATACTACGTTACCTCTCTGATTCTCTTTTAATTTTATTCTTCCATCTCCCCGCCCTCCATTTCCTTTCCCCTTGGCATAACACATGCCTAAGTGCACAGTAAGATCGCCTAATGTTCCCGTTACCTCCAAGTTTTCAGATATAATATGATTCCCTGATCTGACATCTCTGCATTCTAATAATAGAATCCTTTGAGAAATAACCGAGCAAACAATCGTTTTGTGTGGTCTGAATCTACGGAGATAATGTTGATCAGGCCCCATGTCCCTACAGTTCATGAGCCCGTCATACAGCAAGCCTTCCCCACAAGGCTGTTATTCATTAACTTGTTTTTTTTCATACTTGTCTGCTACACAGCGTGGCTACGTGGATATTATTGATCTGGTGCCTCTTTGACTTTGGTCATTGCGTAATTTCTATATTCTCCCTCTTGTTGCTTTCCATTTGATCCACCGCTATCAGGGTATTGGGCTATGCTGCTCTGTTGGGTAAATGCAGTGCCTTTGCTACTACTGGTAACGTTGACATGTCATGAACGGGTGGTTCTGTTGTTGGATTCAATAGTTATGTTCTACTGTTATTGGCCATAACTACTGTATAATTCTTATATTGTCTGTACGTATACTAGATCCATTTAGCAGCGTATTGCCCTCTCCGCGGTCGATATGGAAGTTTTTCGTATTTATTCCAATTTGATAGAAACTGATATTGAACATGGAACTAGATTGGTATTGATATGACGCAACAAATGCAGTAGAAAAAAATCCCCTTTGTCCCGATTTTAATAATCCATGGATTGTTCTAACAAGCTCCTCAGTTCAATCTTCTCCGCCTCCAATTCCTCGTTGAGATTAGGCGCAAGCATCAGAACCCGTCTCTGCGGGAGAGTCCCCTCCACCAGGGAATCAATATCCGAGGACTTAAACCCGAGGTCCTTCAGGCCACGGGGCTGGTCACCCAGCTCAGCCAAGAACTTAGCAATGGCCTCGCCGAGCACTTCACCTGCGCTTTCGCGCTTGACGTTCGAGATGTCGACGCCGAAGGCCTCGGCTGCTGCCAAATGGCGGTCTGGGTTGGATGCAGCGGTGAATCGGAAGACTGCAGGAGCGGTGACGGCGACTGACACACCGTGTGGGATAATCGGGTGCTCGACGTCATATCCAGCATGCTTGTAGCCGGGGTTTTGACTGGAGATAGGATAGCTCATGCCGTGACAGAGATGGACACCGGCATTACCAAATCCAACACCGGCCAAGGTAGCAGCCAGAAGCATCTTTGACTGGGCCTCAAAGTCATCGGGGTCCTTGACAGCTCGGGGCAGATACTTGACGGTGTCGCGAAGGGCTTGCAGGGAGAAGATGTCGGAAATTGGGTTCGCGCCTTGGTACGCGGGACGGTTGATGGGGTTGGTTGGGCGGGGAGTACGCTCATTGTATGGGATTGCAGTCCATGACTCCAGGGAGTGGCAGAGGACGTCTAGACCGGAGGAGGCGTGCACGGCGGACGGCATGGTCCGCGTGTTCAGGGGGTCACAAATTCCCAGCGTCGGCTTGAGGTTCCGGTGTGCAATACCGGTTTTGGCCCCCTTGGACACGAGGTCGAAAATGGCAGTTCCGGTGGTCTCTGATCCAGTGCCTGCGGTGGTTGGCACCGCTACCAAGGGCTTCAATTTCCTTTCTACGGGAAGACCCTTCCCAATGGGCGCATTAACAAAGTCGAGGAAATCAGCCTCAGGATAGACAGTGTAGAGGTTCATGAGCTTTGCGGTATCAATAACCGATCCACCACCTGTGCGGTCATTAGCCGTTCAAGGGATGACAGTGGGTTACTTACCCACTGCGAGGAACGCATCAGGGTTATATGGTTTTGCGAAAGCAATTGCCTCTTTGACACTAATTCTATCAGTACACAATTAATTGGGCTACGGGATACTACTTACGAGTAATCCTTTGGTTCAACCCGAACCTTGTCGAACACCGTAAACTCGATTCCTTCCCGGCTCAACCCCTCCACGGCTTGCTTCATCGCGTCCAACTTGGAGACATTCTGGTCTGTGACGATGCATACTCGCTTTGCCTGCATGTTGGCAAAGTCCATTCCAACCTCCTTTGTGGCACCAGGGCCGAATCGGATGCTGGAGGCGGCCATTTCGAAGGCGTACTCCTTCTGCCGTGAGGGGTCAACGGGTGTGGCCATGTGGCGGCGGACATGATCCGCTAGAGTGGGTGTGCGGTGGTGATGGTGATGGTTAGGGTTCGAATGGCATGGACATGATGGCGGGTGAGTATACTGAACAGTACGCAGGAGGTTGAGAGCTCTGTTGGCGGCCGAAGGGGCCACGCGGATGGAGGGAGCGACCATAATGCGGGGAAAGCGTTCTATGGAGCTCTATATAGCAGATGGAGCAATGAGCGCGAAAGGCAGTGGCTATATAAACGGATCGACAAGAAGAATAAGTAAAGAGTATAAATAGCGGTCAATAAGCGAAGTTAGCAAGGAGAGGTGAAGAAGTGGGAGGCTGCGAAGTTGAATGCAGGTCGGAGGACCGCAAGATGCGGGGATCACCGATCTGGTAATTCGGACAGAAAGCCGAGGTTACTGCATATAAATACCCTAAAGCCACCATTTGGAGATTCCAAAAGGCACCCACTCCCACTAAAATATGTTTCTAGCCAATTAAGAGGAGCCATAGACTCAAGGATTTGGAGAAATAACTCAAGACCCAAGGAAAAGCCACAGCCAATTTCTACGAACTGGCAGGCAGCACACGGATTATGGCTTAATGAGGAAGTACCGAGGGAAAACATCGATCGGGATCGACAACAAAAACACCGCGTCCCCAATTCGGAGAATTGCAAATACTACAGGTCAAAGACATCTCCTAACTAAGTGGGGTGCCTACTTGTATAGAGGACGCTAGAAGCTCTTGTGTCAGGGTTACACCTTGCCTTATTTGCCAGTTCATGGGAGCCGGACCCTCGGTCTTGCGCCCAAAGGGTTCTAGACTAGCCCTTTAGTACGGTAGTGCCCATCTATATAGATCTGTATCTGATATTCGGATTGAGATAGAAGCAGCTTCGATATTCCGACATCTTGAATGTCAGAAATTGAAAGACCTAGCCCCCGCGAGGGTCATATCCGATGACCACTGCAGTAATCATGCCGCATCATCCGAAACCAGCTGGCCGTGCCGTTCGTGCAAGCAATTAAAGGGAAGAAGGAACGATCAGAGCAGTTGCTAGGACTTGGACTCTTGAACAGACATGTCTTTACCTATTACTATCGACGTTGACATGTCCGATAAGAACGACTCTCACCTAAGATAAGCCAACGAGCGACCGCCTGACAAGCTCCTCCTCCAATCCCGCCACAGCCCTAATTATTATAAATGTGACCGACAAGGAGTACGTGGCCTCAATAACCCGAAAGTGGATGTGCCATCCGCGGCACAGCGCAGCGACGAGGATACGAAGTGCTCAGACCTAAGATAATGGGGTTGTTCGGGTTTAGCGGGATGCCATTCCTTAGTCTCGCTGATAATGTTTAATTAATATGGACTCCCAAGGATTACCTCATTACTTTTTCCTCGTCCTTTTTTGTTACCCCTCACTCAACACGGTCGAGATCGCGAATACCCTACTACACCACATTCTATCAAAATGGCTTCGGCGCCACACGCCTCATTCCAACAGTTAGAGAAGGTCAGTCGTGGCACCGCCCAGGCAGGTTAATTATTGGCTAACGGGCTCCAGCTGGGTGAAGGAACATATGCGACAGTTTGTTCCGCAATTGTGCACCCCCATACATTTCCGTAAACTGACAAGCTACCCTAGGTCTTCAAAGGCCGCAACAACCAAACAGGAGAATTGGTCGCATTAAAAGAGATCCACCTCGACACAGAAGAAGGAACACCCTCCACCGCCATTCGCGAGATCTCCTTGATGAAAGAGCTCCAACACGAGAACATCTTGTCGCTGTACGATGTCGTCCACACCGAGAACAAGCTCATGCTCGTCTTCGAATATATGGACAAGGATCTTAAACGATATATGGACACCCATGGTAATCGCGGCCAGCTCGAACCGACTCTTATCAAATCCTTCGTCCACCAGTTACTCCGAGGCGTCGCGCATTGCCACGAGAACCGGATTCTGCATCGCGATCTCAAGCCTCAGAACCTGCTAATCAACACCAAGGGCCAGTTAAAACTAGCCGATTTCGGCTTAGCCAGAGCCTTCGGCATCCCGGTCAACACTTTCTCCAACGAAGTCGTCACGCTTTGGTATCGCGCGCCGGACGTGCTCCTCGGCAGCCGCAGCTACAACACCAGTATCGACATCTGGTCGATCGGCTGCATTTTAGCAGAGATGTACACAGGACGCCCGCTATTCCCGGGAACCACAAACGATGACCAGCTGCTAAAGATCTTCCGAGTGATGGGCACGCCGTCTGAGATCTCTTGGCCCGGGATTTCGAAATTCCCGGAGTACAAGGCTGATTTCCCAGTCTATGCGACGCAAGATCTGCGGCAGGTTGTTCCGCGAATCGATCACCTAGGCGTCGACTTGCTGAGGCGCATGTTGCAGTTGCGGCCGGAGATGCGCATCAGTGCGGCGAGTGCATTGAAGCATTCGTGGTTTAATGATCTTCCTCGGCCGGTCCCATGGAGTGCTCAATAGTAGCTGCGGCTTGCTTTATTCTTTCCTTTTGTTATTCTTCAGTACTAAGCTGAGTAGAACTGACGAGGACTGTAAGGAATGACGATCACCCTTGCGCAACCCATTACCATTACTAGCTGAGCATCATTCTGGTTTCCAATAACTCATAAAAAGCCAAGCAAAACGATTAAGCTGATCACCTTCATTAACCACAACTAAGCAACAACCCGTAACCCAAGCCCACCCCAGCAAAAGAACACTAACAAACCGTCAAAACCAAATCCACCCCGGCCCTCTGATTCCCAATCCTAGACCCCGCAGGTGGTACCCCCCTCTCCCAAACAATATCCGTAACCTCCCCGTCCAAAAACACCCTGTTGCCCCTAAACGGATCCCCAAACACATCCGACAAATCATACCAAGCCCTATCGGCGACAAGGTTATACGCAAAAATAGTCTGGGGCGCCGAAGTCTCGAGCCCGTTTGGCACAGTCGTGAGCTTGATGCCCACGCCGCCGGTTTGCGGGTCCCGCCGGAATGTCTCGGCGTAGAGGGCGCCCTGCGTCATGTTTTGCTGCTCGCTGACGGTCGAGGACACGGACCAGAGGTAGATGGGGAATGCGCAGTTGTTGCGGACGATTGCGTGGCCGAGCTGAGTTGTTTGGTTCTGGGGATTGGTTTGGTTTTGGTAGTAGGTTTGGTTCTGGGTCTGGAGGAAGGGGAAGGCGGGCGTGAGGGTTGGGAGGAGGAGGAGGAGGGCGGTGGTGGTGAGGAGGGTTAATGGGAAGTGCATTTTCTGTCTGGATTGAGATTGATTGGGATGTTTTGGTTTGGGGTTCTCTTGGTTGGGATGTGCTTTTCTTGGAAGGGGAAGAGAGGGCTTCTATATATCTTGGGACTGACAGCTTGTTCTGTGTACCGTTCGTATATCCTTGCGCATTTGTAAATTGATTTACTTTTGTTACTGTGTTTCCTAGTAAGACCCGACATTTCTTGATATCTGACCGCTGCAGAATCTCCCGAAATTTACCTTTGCGTAGTAGTGTCGCTGCAAGGGAGCTTGTGTATAGTTCTTGGATCAATGTATGGACCTGACTTACACACGCTAGCAGGCCATTAGATTTGTTGCGCGAGTGGAGAGTAATACGATGGTCGGTGCATTTGGTCGAAATTATGTATAGTGAGCGACAGGTCGGAACACAGATACCTGGGAAGGCACCATGTTTTATATCGTGTTGTATCTGGGGTTTGACAAACCCGCGGTAAATGCTTCATACAGCTACAGTCGGTATGTAGCTTTCCTACGGACAAGGACCAGGTGCATTTATATCTCGGAGCGGGTGGAACGCAGCTCGTTAGCATTCTGGCGGGTCTGCGCAGCTCAACAATGCAGGGCTATCTCTGTTCTACATGCATGGGTCTACTCCAGATCAATGTTTGTAGCGGCGTCGAGGCGTTCTCTGGTGAGCTCTCAGAAATCATTCAGATAGATGTAGGCTATAGCGTGCTATGTGTCCTAGAGTCGATGTGGACTAATCGAGAGGGTCAATATTCTGTACGGCGGACAGTATTTACATGTATAGTCAATGATAAATATATACAAGAACAAAACAAGTCAAGAATTTACAAAGAAAAGCTTGCATGGTCTCCAATGACATGTACACGGCTGGCGACGTCCGTGACACAAACCCAGGATCACAGCACGGAGTCACATGTCGTCGAAGCTTGACACGGAGGATTTTTAAGCGACTGGGACAATAGTGCTGCTAAGTGGAACATTTCCCTTCCGAGCAACTACCTGGAAGTAAGGGCTTCTCAAGTTGTTTACATCTACAGCAGTCTCGAAGCCGGTCCGTTGGGCAGATGTAATAAAGGTATGGTCGGTAGACTCAGGAGAGCTGGCCGTGTAGATGGCCCAGTTGTCATACTCAGTGGCCCCATTCCAACTCATATGGACCGTGGCAGAGGTTGAGTGTCGCTCCACCACGACGGCGGGTTTCCAGAAAGGGGTAGCCTTCCACTGACACTTGTAGCCACGGTAGGACGCAACAGCATTGTCGTCACCAAACTGGGCGGTGAGGACCACATTATTGTTGGCGTCAAATTCCTTCACCTTCGAGATGGAACCGTAACCCATGAAGACATGGTTCGTTTCCTCGTTCATCAGCTGATAGCTTCCCTGACTGACACTGTGGATGACATCATCACCGTCGTTCATGGTCCGCAGCGTGGTAACCTTCCGGTTGATCAGGTCCAACGACAGACTCAGACCGGTGGTGGGAGCAACGGTTTCCGTGGGTGTGTTGGCATTATTAAACAGGTCCAGGACCATGCCCTCATTTGTCTGGTTATAGACACGCATGTCATGCTGCCACGAGAAGACGGCACCATCGTCAATCTCAAAGTCGCCAACACCCTTCTCACCCTAAAAGAGGCGTCAGTGTTGAAAGTGGCCAGTATCAAACACAGAAACTTACACCAAGTCGCCACATGACCGTGCCGTTCTCGGCGATGAAGTAGCCGGACCAGTAGTGACGCAGGGAGATAATCCAGCCTCCATCTACAAGCTCCACCGAATTGATGTGATACGCATCCCATGGCTTTTCTTGGGTGCCATACTCGTCACCCAGACCTTGCTTCGACTGTTCCAGGGGAATATCTTGAATATGTTCAAGGGCACTCCATCGATACACAATATTATTGGTAGCAATATCGATCTCGAAAAACATGCCATCCAGCATATAGTCATCCATTTTACCGCCAATGGAGGTCAGATCATATTGAGTGATATTGTAGGCGGTTACCAACAGGGTGTTGCGATTGGTTACGTGACTTTCGTGGAGATCAATATAAGAGTCTCTGGCAACACCATCCGGGGAGATGAAGTTCCCTGGAAGGGTGACAGTGTAGGTCTCCTGATAAGTGTCGTCAAGGATGTGAACAGTGCCGTAGCCGAAACCAAGTTCCATCATGTTACCCGCCCAGAAGGTGATGACATCTTTGTTATACAAACTCTGCACCTTGAAGTTGGCGGCTACCTCGGTAGGGCCTTGATACACAAGGTTGCCGTCCTCATCGTAGATGAGGGCCGCAGTGCCATTCGGCTGGTTACCCCGAGGACCAATGAAGATGTAACCAGGGTCGGTAGCTCCGGTCTTTTTCACCTCGAGCTGAGGGGGCGTAAAGTCAGCCGTCTGTAGAGTCATATACGGCCAAGTATCTTGGGCTAGCGCCCCCATGGACAGCAGCAGGGTGCTGAAAGCAGCGACGAATCCGCGGGCCATATTGCGTGATTGCGGGTACCCAGTTCACAATGATAGTAGGACGCTAATCAAAACAAGCATATATAGGATTTAGGTTCTACTCTGTAGAGTACAAAGTTCAAAAGAACGATAAATGAGCGACGTGTGTCTACTCCAACTCCGACGTGACACGGTCAAAATGAGGGTATCAAAGAATGACTGAATAGAACAAAAAGGAAGGAGAGTTAATAGAAAGGAGAAAAGAATCTGGAGGCTCCTTTACACCATGGCCAATATTAATAGGGAAAGACAGTGGGAAAAATGGAGGGAAAAACCGAGAAGGGGCAAAGCGGGAACAACGTCGGACAGGTAGTGTGGGACCGGGACGCTTCCTCACTTGCCCTGTGGGGAGAGGAAATAAAAATGGAGGAAAAAAAAAGGTCGGCACAACATCAACGTCAATTCTGGTGAAACTGGCGGAAAAGCCGATAACACGGAACATCAGTCACAGTTGGCCGTTTGAACTAATGCTGATCGCGGTCCCCCGCCGGCTGTCCATACAAGAGACACGCAATAGGATGGGTCCAGCGAGAAGTTTGCTTCACTGACGTGCCGATCCCTTTTTGAGCGGTGGATTCGCGACCACAACCATGGGGTACACTGATACTGCGGTCCCATCATGGATTAACAAATTGGCTGGTATACTTTCTGTATCTTTCTCTCTCTCTCTCTCTCTCTCTCTGTTTCGCCCTGATTCCCGGTGTTCATACATAATATGAGCGGAGAAGACAAAAGCAAAAGAAGGTTATGGCCACATGGTCCGGCCCAACAGGGGTCCGATGTTGGTTGCCTCAGGCGGGGATCTCCACCAATAGGGCCCAGAACACCCGTCCCTGAATGAACGATCGGCAGACTATCGCCGCCCCTGAGTTTCATTACCATTACTACAATCGTGCTGATAGTAACAATTTCCGCTCAGTTGGAGTAATATCAGATAAGATTACTCCGTACACGCGACAAAATCCAGCCCACCAATTGAATGATCCGCTTTCGGGTTGGAAGCAGCGTATGACGATTTCGTGCGTTGATAAGCGAGGTGATATTGATATGCAGGTAGCGGACTGGTTGAAGTGCTTAATTACTAGTATATTAGCCCTATAATGAACGGTTCTTGCGCACCTACCTAATACGGGTGCCGCCGCTTTTATAAAGACATCGCATAAATAATCAGTGGGCGCTCTGGGAACATTCGAGGTCACTTACTAAGGACTCTGTAAATACAACTAACTCTAGATATCATGCTAGTCCTTTACGTACTATATGCTGTTGATATCTTGGTGTAGGTAGTCTTGTATATTGTCCCATATGTGGTCTCTGAGACCGAGGGTGCCAGAGAATATCAAACAAAGAAGCCCAACTACAACACTCTTAGTCGCTTGACATCCCTAGGAAGGGGAACGCCATCTCCTCGCCGCGCGACTCCATGGCCTCCAGGTAGCTGGCTACCAGGGACTCGAGTCCCAAAGTGCGGGCCCTCTGCACCCACTCTGCAAGCGCAAGGCGACCGAATACCCCACCATAAAGGTCCTGCATACGCTCCTGGATCTTGTCAACCGGCACCTTGTCCCCACTGGAGTGATGGCTGAATGATGCAAAGCGATGTGGCATGATCCCTGGTTACCTGGACACTCTGCAAAGCTTTCTTCACGATGTTGGCCGCCCCAACTCCCACCTTCTCAAAATAAAAGAATCCTCTTACATTGGGAAACTGTGGTACGACTTTCATCAGCACAGAAAATCGCAGGATCGCATTCAAGGCACCCTCGCTGGGCGCTTGGGCACCTGTCAGCGCACAAGGCCGGTGGATGCACACATCCAAACCCGTCGCCTCGGCAACATTCTCCAATTATCGCTCACTGGCCCATTTCGACGCTGTAAAGCCATCGCTGCCAGTCTTGGGCGGCGGGAATGCCGATACTGACCCCGGGGGGAGCGCGACATCGCCGGAGAGTAACGTCACCCGGTTAGAAAAAAACGTAGTGTAGGGGAACGCCTCTCGAGAGCGCCAGCTCGGTGAGGAAGCGAGTGGATCCTAGATTGGGCATTCGCAGCGAGAAGTAGTTGTTTTGGCAATGTCCATTTGCACCCGCATGGATCAAGGCGTCTACGGTCGACTTCCCTGGTACTCAGCCCTAGCGCAGAAAAATTAAGGGATCCAGGGTAGATAGCAACCTTATGGGACTTTGGGAAACTCTGACCTTGCTGCGCGTCTACTGCAAGACAATGGATTTTGCTGACGGTCGGCTGTTCGAGCAAGGCCTTCAAAATCTCCACCCCCAGAAACCCGGTCGATCCCGTGAGGGCGATGCGCAGATCAGTTGTTTTGGGCTCTCGCGACCGTTGGCCGCGTGCGAGGCCGCCGGGTACGCGTGTCTCCTCCTCCCAGTCAATTGTCTCGGAGAAGGGCTGGTTCTTCTTCTCGTCATCAATGAGAGTAGCCATCCGTCGCAACGTAGAACACCGGTACAGATCCTTGAGGGTGATGGATAAGCCGTTTGCATTCTTGATCGCTACCTGGAGTTTGACCAGGAGAAGGGAGTTGCCGCCCGCCATGAAGAAGTCCGTTCGTGGATCAATTCGCCCGGCCTGAGTGACCTGCTGCAGAACATCCTGCCAGATCAGGCGGAGCTTCCCCTCTGCAACACTTAGAGTCTCAGTGGGAAATGAGGAGTCGGGCTAAGTAGGCAGAGGCTTATCCTGTAAAGCCTTCCAGTCGACCTTCCCATTCGGAGTGGTGGGAAGACGATCAAGTAACACTATAGCTGCCGGACACATGTTTTGGGGTAGCGGCAAGGATTTCTTGAACGACTTGGGATCGCTATTCGTCACCTTTTGACCCCTGGCCGGTACTGCATGAGCGACAAGGAATTCTGGGTCCCCCCGTACCGACACCACCGTGTCTGAAAGCAGTCCGGCGGCGACTTGAAGCAGGCTGTTGCCCACCTCTTCGAGGTCGATCCGTAAGCCACGTAGCTTGATCTGTGTGTCACCATCGAGTCGGCCCATAAATATCAAGCCCCCGTCTGGCCCCAGCCTCCCACGATCGCCCGTCTTGTATAACCTCTTCCAGCCCAGGCGCCTGTCTGCTGAAGATGCAAAAGGGTCATGGATACACTTTCGCTTGTCAAGGTCTGGCAGGTTCCAGTACCCGAGGGCGACCCCGACACCACCAATGCATACTTCGCCAACGAAGCCCGGTGGGACGAGTTCCCCATTCCCACCTAAGATGTATATAGTCGAACTGGGAACCGGCCTTCCAGCCGTCGAATATTCATTGGCTGCATCCCGGTGCAGGTCAAGCGTGTTGGATGAAGTAGCAGCGGAAGTTTCCGTTGGCCCATAGCAATCAGTCACATTGGGACAGTTAGGAGATAAGCGCCGGAACTCACGCTTTAGTGGCTCTGTCACCGACTCACCACCGAGACAGGCATGTCCCCAGTCCCTGTTTTGACGGAGGTAGTCACCGCCATGTTGAAGGAGCATCAGGTACTCAGACGGCGTCCCAATCATGAAAGTAACCTTCTCCTGAAGCATCAACTGTGCTGTCGCAACAGGGCCCCCCCGGACACTCTGCGGGACAACCACGACAGTACTTCCATGAGCAAGGGCGTTTCCGATCTGGTCAGGTTCGATTCAGCAATATACATGGTGGGACCTAGAAGCAGGTCTGCACCAGCTACAATGGAGGCTGAGGCCTCCCTGTTTTGGAGCGAAAGAACGGCCTGGTGCAAGGCAACGAGTGAGCTTGAGCAGGCTGTGTCAGCAGTCATAGATGCTTCTTTCCAGTCAAAGAAGTACGAAATTCGGTTTGATATAATACTTCTTGCGGTTCCAGTCGCGTTATACCGAGCCATAGTCTCCGTGTCCCGCAGCTGGATGTCGTAGTAATCGGCGTTCATCACGCCGACAAAAACTGATGTTTTGGTCTCTTGGATGTCGTCCAGGCTGCAGCCGCCACGCTCCAGCCCTTCATAGACCGTTTCGAGAAGGATCCGATGTTGCCGATCCATGGCCTGCGCTTCAAGGCCATTGAGATTGAACAGTGCTGCATCAAATTCATTCGGATCCTCACTCAAAAGGTACGATTTGTTTGTCACATTAGTAGAACCATGGTGCTCTCCATCTGTGTGGTAGAAGTTGGATAGCCGGAGACGGCTTGGTGGGAAGTCCATCAAAACATCCCTCAGAGAGCGGAGAAGGTCCCAGAGCTTGGATGGAGAGTTGTCTCCCCCAGGGAATCGGCATGCAGAACCGACAATGGCAATTGGCTCCACGCGAACATCAGAAAGGCTGCCCATCTCTGCTGCCAGGGCTTGATGTCGAGAAGATGAGAGCGGTGGGATGATGTCTCTCCGATTGGACTTCTGCTGGTACAGCTTGATGAAGAGGGATCGTCAAAGAAAGGCTTGTTCCCTAGCTTCACCAGTACAGAAACGTTGCAGGAAAGTGTCACCACAACTACATAGAGGCCTGATGGACCGACGCGCTTTCCGTTGGACTCTACTGTCTTACTGCTTGTCACTTTCCTTCGCGGCTAGGACAATAGTTTAATAAGACAGCCCATGTTCGCACACGAACACGGACGAGTGAGCCAAACCGATGGCCATCCTTTGGAAGCGAAAGGAGTATCGGAGATAAGATGATGTTGAGACGGATATGGCTACCAGACCGGCCGGGGTGGGCCCTGCGAAGGAACAACGGACCGGGCGCCTTGTGGCTTACATGAACCCGCGCTTACTACGCACAGTTACGGCCGAGACAGACATAGGATGACGGGAGACGGCGCTCGGGCAGTCCTTCTGGTCGCTTGTCTGGGACTGGCGGCAGGGGGGCGGGTATGTTGGGGAAATACGAGCGAAGATTGGCGATTTTGAAGTAGTTAGAGTGCCATAACGTAATCTAAACTAGGACGGTTTGGTTAGGGTATAAGAATTATTCACCCACCTACTAGTAGATATAGGTTAACATTAGTACCCGGAAGTCGACCTGTAATTAATATAAGAAAGTCAACTACATTCTTTCATGTTGCTTAGGTTTACAGTAAAGGAAGCCCATAATGTAGCCATATCCTAGCTGTTCGCCAGTATAGAAGACAGTTTATGTGGCGTGTCCATTGTGGGGTGTAGAGAGGAAGCGAAGTGTGGCGTCTTCACTAAAAATCCGCCCATGGGAGATGTCGACGTCGCTTTATTGGAGTTGGTCATTGGTGCTGTGGCACGCACTGGGCTATCTTGGGTTTCAGGTTAAGTTGAAGTATGTGCGCCTGCCAAAGCCAAGGTATCTCCTTATAATATAATTGGAGATCGCGCAGAACCCAGGATTGCGCTACCCCATTAGAGTATTTGGATCACTAGAACCCGCTCCCTTTCATCTCACACAATTCTGTTGTCTAAGGCCGAAAATAAATGATCCCAGCTGCCGGGGCTGCAGTTCTGATCCAGATTGATGAAGTTCTGCCATACATCATCAATGCTCGCATTTTCCAACGGATCGTACGCACTTGGCAAGATCTGGCTGGGGCTCACCAGGTCCCTGTCCGGCAGATTCGGATCTGGCACGCCACTGACACCGGTGTTAGCCGACAGTGGTCGCACATCCGGGACCGTGGTTGCCGGCAGGACTTGGATCTGATACTTCTGCAAGATGTCCATGAGGGACTTCAAAAACCTGCTCGCCATGGGCGACGTCGCCTCGGCCTCCTGCAGGACGCGGCACGCGTCAACGATCTCCTGGCGACGGTCTTCGCCGCTGCCCCCCTCCTTATTGAGGCACAGATCCATGACCAGCACCGCGGTGGCCAGGAAGTAGTTGTGGAGGAAGGTGGCCAGCCGGGCGAGCGAGGCCATGTCATGATCCATGAGGGCCTTAAGCTCAATCACACAGCGCGCCGACTGCAGGCACACTTTCCGTGAATATTGATAGCGTGGGTTCATGGACACGCGCGTGAGGAAGGGCTGATTCAACTTCGACCGGCGCCCCTGCAGGGTCGACCAGAGGATGTACCGCTGCACGATTATCTGGGGGTACTGGCGCTCGACGTCTCGGCTCTGACGGCGGCTGGCCTCGTCGAGGCGGAAGAAGACTGGGAGACTGCGGATGAAGGCTTCGAAGCGCTGGTCCAGCGAGATGAACCGATCGTAGTTCACCTCGCCCCAGTCCGAAAAGGGCGGGGGTAGCGCATCGATGGCGCTGCGGCAAATGTCGGCCAACTGGATGCGTAGGAGCGTGTAAGTCATCGCCGTTGGTTGCGATAGGGGTCGACTGTACTGCGGGTCGCAACAATCGAGGTCCCGATCATCGAGATTCCGTGGGTAGTTGACGCGCATGTGGGCCGGGTGCATCAAGTATGTCCCTTCTTGGGGCCCGCCTGACAGTGCCAGGAGCCTGGGGGGAGGAGGAAGGCGCGTTAGCAGAGCTGGCCGTCGCCCTGGCCGGGGAACGAGTCTGCCACAAAGTAAACTCACCAGTCAGTCGAGACCATATGCCACCACACCCTGCGTTTGATCTCCCGCCCTATATCGCTGTCCAGTGGTGCTTGGAGGCCAGGCAGTCGGTCCGGCCGCGCGTCCAAGCGATGGAGCGACAAATCGCGGGCCATGGTTAGGGCGCTGGCGCTGAGTGCGCGGAAGCGCATGGTGAAGCCCTCGAAGTTGAAAATGACAAAGGACAGGATGATGGTCGCCTGGATATCTTCGATGGAGCCGGAGGTGCTGCGGCTGGAGTGCTCCAGCACATCCAAGGCCATCTTACTCCACAGGAAGGCACACTTGACAGCTGTCTGCTCGTTGGTGAATACCGCGTCCCCGCCGGTAAGAGGGGTGAGCGTGTAGGCCGTGCTGGCAAAAATGCTGAGAACTAATGCGACATGGCAGGGCTCTATCTGTAACCCCAGGGATAGTTGCTTGTACAAATCCTCCATCTGCTGGCGCACCGACGGGAGATGAAGGATGTGATGTAGATAGGTGACATCTTCGCCGTAGCGCTTTAGCAGCCAGGCCGCCTCATTCTTCAGTGGCAACCACGCTCTGGCGACACAGCTGCCCACGGATGAGGAATTACCGGACGCCTCTCCCAGGGAAATGTCAGTCTCTAATGCCTGCTGCACCGCCAGTACGCGGACAGATACGCCATTGGACATGGATGACAACTACAAGTGGGCAGGGCGCACGGCTCGGTCAGTACATGACACATCGAGTGCTGGCCAGGCAACATCAGAGACTTACCACGGAAGTGTCACGGGTCCCGACCCCTTCCAGCCATTTCGAGTCCCCCTCGCCCTCGGAAATGTATGAGGGCTCCGTAGAGGGACGCGGAGCAGCGGCACTGTGGGTCCGAAGAATGATGTCTTCCAGCCGCTGTAGACGCGACAGGATCTCGGTATTGCTGCCGGTGCCAGTACCGGCACTGGGATTAGCGGACCACCCCGGCTGCTGCAAGTACGTTGTCTGCGCTTGCACGGGGTCAGTAGTGCTGGGAGACACGATGGACAAGGTGGTCGGCTCCACCCGATATGCGCGCTCACAGGTAACCCCGCGGCTGACGCAGTTGGAGCAGGGTTGGTCGCGACTGCATTTCAACTTCATGGACCGGCAGAGCTGACACGAGACTGGAAGCTGCCTTCGACGTCGTCGCTGCATGTTGGTCGATCAAATGCCGACACTATGGCGAAGATAGGGCGATGATATCAAGCTCGACAATATCAAATTAGCTGTAGCCGAGCCAGTAACAGCGAAAGAGCTCAGAACGGAATGTCATGTCGAGGGCGAATGGTAGCTGACTGAAAAGAGAGGGTGAAAGAAAAGAACCTGGAAAGAAAGAAACGTGCGGGTCAGTGTGACGGGCCGCTAAGCTTGATCGGGTGCTAAGGCTCCATTGGGAAACAAACGACAGCGGGCGCTAAACCATGTGCAGTGGAGTGGGGCTGCCTGCCGGCGCTCAGGCACTCAGGCGCTCAGGAACGCTTATTGTCGTCCTCTTCCTGTTCCTACGCCGGTAGTGGCCTGTGCCTGCTTCTCATAAAGGGAACAACTCTCCCTATGTCATCCTCTTCATCTTTTCTTACTATTCATGCGACTGCCCGTATCTCGAAAACCCTTACCTAATCTCCGTGGCTGTCCGGTGCTCCACGGAGCTCCTCGGAGTCTCCATGGAGAATAAGCGGCGCTTGCCCGATCTGGGAGTATATATGGCTCACTGATTCTTTATTTGCCTCTGCTGCTTCTCCAAAGCATTTCTTCTTCTTCCGCTCTGTCCCTGTCAACTCTGATCTTAGATCGTTCATCATGTCCGCGACAGTGGACAACACCGAGGCTAGTACCTCCCCTCCAAAAGAGTTCACGTAATGGCCGGTCTACTTCCTTCCTCTGAATATCACTGATCCTGTGGGATAGGCTTCGCTCGACGATTGCGCTGATTGGAGCCTTCATGGCCCTCTTCTGCACCTTGGGGTTCCAGAATGCCTTTGGGGTCTTCCAGGCATTCTATCATGCCACCATACTTCGCGATCATTCCGAATTTGATATCGCCTGGATTGGCTCCCTATTGACGTTCATGATTTTTTTCTTTGCAGCGCCTGCGGGCGTCCTGGTGGATCGGGTTGGTCCCGCAGTAAGTGGTCCCAGGCGAGGACGGGAGGTCGCATCCACTCACCCGTCATCTACAGCCGCTGCTCACCTTCGGCGCTGTTGCCACTATCCTGGCAACCTTCATGATCTCACTATGTAGGGAGCTGTATCAGTTCCTACTAGCCCAAGGTATACTGCTAGGCATCGGCAACGCCTTCCTGCTCTGTCCGGCTATGGCTACCGTCACCCGTCTATTTGATCGCCACCGCGGCGCCGCCAACGGAATCATGATCGCCGGGTCCTCCATCGGCGGTATCATCTGGCCCATCATGCTCGACCAGCTGCTCAACAAGGACGGCGTCAGCTTTGGCTGGACCTTCCGCATCGTTGGCTTTGTGGTGCTGCCCCTATGTCTCTTCATGGTCGCGACCATCCGCCCGGCTCCCAAGACACCGCACGATTCGGACAGGGAGGGGATACAGCTGTCGCGCGGCGAGTTAGTGAGCGGCCACAAAGCGCAAGACGCAGAAGGGCCGGCGTCAATTATCAAGAACCCGACCTTCCTCATCCTCTGCGCCGGTCTCTCGGTAGCCACCTTCGGCCTCTTCAGCCCGCTCTTCTTCATCTCCACCTACGCCGCCGAGCAAGGTTTGTCCGTAAGTCTGGCCTTTTACCTCGTGTCCATGCTCAACGGCGCCTCCATGGTCGGGCGGGTCTCCACGGGCTTTCTGGCCGATCGCTACGGGAACTTCAACCTCTGCTTCTTGACGATTGCCTCCTCCGGGTTGATTGCCATGTGCTGGACCAAGGCCACGAACACCGTAGGCATCATCTTCTTTGCCCTAGCCTATGGATACACGTCCGGGGTAGGTCCGTCTGATTCCAATAAGAACCCTCCGAGTCCTAACACCGCAGCTGCAGGCTATGTTCAGTCTCCAAACCCCGTGTGCCGCCCAGCTCTCGACGCCCGAGACGAGGGGGGCTGCCGTCGGCATTCTCTTTGTCGCACCAGCAATTCCGTAAGTATCGTCTTTTTCTCTCTCATGGCTCGTTCTTGCTGACTAACTCTCTCGTACAGCGGATTAGTCGGCACCCCCATCAGCGGGCGCCTACTCAAGCACGGCTACCTGGCCCTTTCGATGTATTCGGGGGCGGCGTTGTTGGCTGGAGCGGGCTTGGTGCTGATCGCTCGGCTGCGCCAAAACACAAAGCTGATGGCGAAGGTGTAGTTGTTCTTCTGTAGCTGAAAGTGGGCGTTACGTCTACCTTTGCTCTGTCTGTGGGTTTTTTTGCGTTTCTAATGGTCTGTCGATCCTTGCTTTTGGATGCGATAGCCTTGATCAGGATTTCTTACGTGTGTCATTGTTAATGCGCCTACAATAAATCCCCACTTTAGGAATAGAGACAATAATATCATAGTTCATTGGCCATTGTATCATCCGTATCTTCAATTATCAGATGAGGTTTGCCGTCACTCGGCCACCCACCTAAGTATGATATATATTCACAATCCCCGCAAACCGCAACCACTACAAGGAAATATCCTGAATAGTGGACAAGATCGCATGTAGACATCTACTATTGGTATTTTAGTTCCAGGTATTTAGCATGCCTAAAAAGAGTTTCGTAGGGTTTATAATTAAAATCCTCACTGATCCGCCTCACAGGTATCAACAAAACATACCGATTACGGATGGCTAATGCGGTTGTGAACCAAGGCTCGTCCGGATAGAAGACCGTTCCATACGAATTAAAATATAGAAGCCCGATTGATCGAAGACGAAATTTGTGTTGGCAGCATTTATCAACCTTCCAGTATTTCTCCTTGCCTAGATGGCGGGTCTGAATTCTACTTCCACGTCCCGGTTGATCGTGAAGCCAGCCTCCGATTTCTCTCCTTGATCAGGCAGTGCAGAGGGTACATGTAGCGTATACTTGTCCGTCACAGCCAGAATCGCTAGCTTCAGAATCACCTCTGCCATATTCTTGCCCAGGCACTTGTCACGTCCGATCCCCCAGCGAACAAACCCAAACCGATACCGCGCGGGGTCCAGACTAAAAAGTCGCTCCGGGCGGAAAGCATCAGCGTCTGCCCCGGCGCGTGGCTTAAAACGCGGCTGGAAATCGGGTGGCTGCCGCCCGGGGTGAGCGAGCCGGTGATCTTGGGTGAGATGCACAATAGATGGAGTGAGCTGGCCAGACACTCACCCAAGAACGCGCGACCTTGCGAAAAGTTACCTAAAAGCGAACCTTATTACTTACTGAGCGAGGGCCGAACACCAAGCACTTTTCAATAGAACTGGTGTTGTGAGGGCCTCGCCTTTCTTGCCTAGCAAAAATGTCAGACTGCTGCGCGATACCTTCATAGGGTAGTTAGTGGCCAGTGGTATTGCCCAGGCATTCGCTTGCGCAAGCATTCTTAGCGTTTGAGTAGGAAGGGGGATCGGGGCGATTTGGAACACCGACAAGTGCGAAAGTTTTCCAAGACAGATCAGACTTGAGCAGGGATAGAGCTCCACATCTACTTCTAGTACATTATTATACTTTCTGGTACTCTGTATATTACTGTTAGAAGAGTATGAGATTCCCGTATGGTACTAGGATAGACCGTAAGTTTTTTGCTACAGGAACCTAATCAATAGATAAATTCATGATTGGACGTCGGACTGATAAGAGCACGCCTCATCATCTGCCAGGGGTCGGAATAAATCATGTTACATTACTAGGGCACGTATAGTACATATATTGAAAATTACGTACGTGTCTATGTCTTATACTATACAGTAGCTAGATCGATGCGAAGACTATACGTGGTCATATTTATATAAAAAGCACTACAGTTGCGGGACTACCTAAGGAATAGGTAGATTTTGTCTCTTTCGCTTGCTTCACAAATACAAGGACTACGGACACGTGACAAAAAGATAGTAAATATGGACTTAGGTAAGAGAAGATGGGTACACGACTGTACATTATTCACTCATTGCTAAAAAAAATTTCAAACACTTGACAGGAACCATAGCTGCGAGTCTAGCCGGCACCGCAGTGGCAGCGGCCTATTTAGATGCCAAATGGCACATTACCAAAGATGTACAATATATGTGGAGAGTGAAAGCAGCTGAAAGGGCAGCAGCGCAAGAAGGTAAGTGCCTTCTAAGTTTAAAAGTGTGAAACTGAATCTCACATCTATCGTAGAGCGAAAAGGACAGATCTGTCCCTTCTATGAGTTCGAGAGGAATGTTCGAAAATACCCAGATCATCTCGCGATCTGGTCGCATACAGGGGTCTATACATTTCAGGAGCTCTATGAGCACGTCTGCCAGTATGCGAACTATTTTTACGAGCTAGGTATTCAACGTGGGCAGTTGGTCGCTTTCTACCTGACAAATAGCCCTGAATTTATCATGGCATGGTTTGCGCTTTTGAGTATTGGTAGCGCACCGGCAGCCATTAACTACCATCTCACTGGTGATGCGCTTGTTCATTGTTTGAGGATTTGCGGTGTCAATATTCTCTTTGTGGATGAAGACGTGGAATGTCAGGGCCGAATTGATGCTAGTCGCTCAACTATCGAAGGCAAGCTGGGGATGAAGATCCTCTCCCTGGATAAAAGTTTAAAATTACACATCGCGACCTTCCCTAATTCTACACCACATGAACACCTGCGACGGAATCTACCAGGAGATACGCCTTTTGTTCTCTTATATACATCTGGTACGACTGGAATGCCAAAGGCGTACCCATTCTCTCAGCGACGATTCTACCCAGATATCAGGATATACCAATTTCTCAATCTCCAGTCGCAACCTGGGCCAAAGGGAGACTGCTGGTACAACTGTATGCCACTCTATCATGGGACCGGAGGCTTTATGACGATGGTAGCTCTGTGCAGCGGCACATCCGTCGCGATCGCAAAGCGGTTCAGCGCGACCAGCTTCTGGAAAGATATCCATGACTCCAATGCTACCTGGTTTGTCTACGTCGGTGAGGTGGTGCGATACTTACTTAATCAACCAGCATCGCCTTACGATCGTGATCACAGACTGCGAGGCATGTATGGAAATGGCCTTCGGCTGGATGTATGGGAGAGATTCCGGGAACGTTTCAATGTCCCAGACATCGTCGAGTTCTTCGGAAGTTCAGAAGGTATGTTTTACAGGGCGAACATGAATCGGGGCCCATACACCAGAGGAGCGGTAGGGCTTGATGGCCTTCTTACACGTCGCCGGCTGAATCGTACTTTGGTCCCTATTGTCGTCGACCATGACTCAGGAAACATCGTTCGCGATCCGAAGACCGGACTAGCTAAAACAGCATCATACGTGGAGGGTGGGGAGATAGTCGTCGCGGCCCCCAACAAGACAGCATGGAAGGGGTACTGGCAAAACGCTGGTGCAACCGATAAGAAATTCGCGCGCGATATTTTGAAAAAGGGTGATCTGTTTTACCGTACAGGCGACGCGTTGCGCCGAACCCCAGATGGCAGATGGTACTTCATGGACCGACTCGGTGATACGTTCCGGTGGAAGAGCGAGAATGTGTCCACCACTGAAGTGGCGGAAGCGCTCTCCCAGTTCCCAGGAGTGGTGGAAGCGAATGTTTATGGGGTGCTGGTTCCCCATCATGAAGGTCGTGCCGGCTGTGCAGCTCTCCAGATGTCAGAGAGGATTGATGTCGACATGATGGAACTGGCTCGTTTCGCTCGGTCCAAGCTTCCTCGCTATGCTGTTCCTGCTTTTATACGGTTTGTTAGGACGCCTAGTCATATCCATAACTATAAGCAGAACAAGGTTCCGTTGCGCGAGGAGGGAGTTGATCCACGTAGAAAGGGATCTCTACTAGAGGGTGGTGCACATGATAGAGTTTTCTACCTGTCACCGGGCTCCAGGGCATATGTTGAATTTGGGCAGAGGGAATGGGATGATTTGGTTGCTGAGCGAGTGAGACTGTGATTAGCCTTTGGTCTATGTACATCCGATGTATATATCTACATTCAATCATGGATTCATGTGTTTAATCACATCAACATTCTACACCAGCTATGTTTAATCTTTCGACGCTCCGGGTTCAACAATGTGCATAGAATTTACAATAGCCACAATCAAGTAAAGATACATGAACATCAAAGAATGTCCCTTCAATTGTTTAGGGCTGGTAGTACGTAAGACGTTTCTTAAGAAGCTGGACGCTTTCGATGAATATGCGTGACGTCAGGGGCAATGGACCCGAGACAAGTAGGTGCACCTTCATACATTGTGATCTAAACCGGTTCTCTCATTTCTACAAGACTTAATCCTTTCCCTGTTCGTCTTCCCTCCGCCCATCAGCAGCACACTTTGCAATCATTGTGACAAAACTCACGATGAAATGTCTCCCGCCTCGAAGAGCCACAAACTTATCTATCAGGCTATCTACCGTCTCCTGAACTCCAACATGGGGCCATGCACGATACTGGAGAAAGTACCCTTAGACTGAAGCTCACCGGTTAGATTCCGAGGGAACGGCAGACCTGGCATACCCTCCCCAACACGGGCCAGCTGTTCATCTTTAGGCAACTGCATCTCGTACAGAAACAGGACCCTAGCTAGGCTGATATGAAGGAGGGTCAAGGCCAGCGATTTGCCCACACAACCACGAGGGCCAATGGAGAACGGACACCAGGCTTTTCTGGCGATATCTACTGCAGCAGGGGCAATTCCCGTGTCAGGACTGGCAATCCACCGCTCAGGCCGGTAAGTGAAAGGGTCGGGATAGTAGTCGGCCTGGTGATGGATGCTGTAAATTGCCACGCCGACATCTGTGCCAGCAGGAATAAAATGGCCATCGATTGTAGCACCTCCAGAAATGACCTCACGCCACAACGCTCCACCGTTGACTGGGTTCATCCGCAGCGCTTCATCAATGCAGGCGCGTAAGTATTGACAGCTGCTTAGCTTCGGCCCGCCAACGATCTCTTCCACATCTGTGAACGTAGAGAGAACTTCGGCTACCACCTTGTTATATGCGTCTTTGTTTCGGGCCAGGTAAAAGAACGCGGCGGTCAAGGATGTTGAGGTAGCGTCGGGTCCTGGTCAGCAAGGGTCAGTGGCGAGCGGGTACTACAATGTTGTGGCTAGACATACCCGCTCCAAACAAGAGAAGAGACTCAGAGGTTATTTCAGACAGGGGGAATGACTCCCCAGTCTCCTCATCGATGTATTCGCTATATATACTAAAAATATCTCGCTTTTCCGGTTTCGAGTTGATCCGGTCTCTCATTAGGATTCTAAAGTCATCCCGCAATGTTTGCCGTGCACGCGCCAGTTGAGGTATCACGTACCCATCAAGACCGAGCTTTGATATAGTTGGCGATTGAAAAATGATTCCGATCCATTCGTAAGACTTGTGGACCAGGTGGAGAACATGCCGGTTGGTTTCCTCTGTCAGGGTACGGAAGGGAGTTCCGAAGACAGAGTCACTTACAATGTCCGACATGAGGTATAGAGCTGCAAGTATACAAGTGAGTCTATGCCATTTCCACTGATAATGAGTCCAGACTTAAGTGAAAGCTTACCATAATCTGACATCTTCTTCGGGCTACTCCAGCCTTCCTTCTCACTTAGACTGGGCGTAGAAGACGGCTGAATTAGTTCATTGCACATGATTCGAATCTGTTGAAGCTGGGATGTCTCCCAGATCTTCAACGCATTCTTGGTGAAGGCTTGATTGACAAGCTTTCTCTTCCGGCGATGCATGTTCTTGTCCACAGCATTATGGGTACTGTAGGCAAATTTGGTCGGGAATTGGTGGTAAGCAGCTGATTTTCGGATATTTTGTCCAAAGCCATATATATCTGTTGCACGACTCAGCGTTTGGGGTTGTCTAATTGCCAGTGTAAGTATAAGAACCTGCTTACCCTTCAATGCCGTACTGGTCCGGAAGAGAAGCCTATTTGGTCCGAAGCGGACAACATCGCCTGTCAAGAACAGGATGAATGTGAGTGGTATGAACATTAGAAACCCTAATAGAATTTATACATACCATACTTCTCATGAGCCCGCCACATCTCCAAGTGAATCTCACCGGTATATGAGAGATATGCTGCGTAGAGAGATGTGACCTTTGCCAACCATGGTCCAGGATATTTGGCCAAAGGGTGCAAATAGAGACGATAGACCGAGACCACCACCAACTTTTGCTATGGGTTAGACAAGACAGGTATTGTAGGAAACTTGAACTGAGTATCTCACATATATTACCCCGGAAAGTGCAGTTGCACCAGCAATAGCAAACGGTGAAGGGGCCATAATTGTTCCCTTGTTTTCTTCAAACTTGGAAGTTCAGTACAGAACAGACAAATGGCTAAGAAAATTGAGACTTCTGATATAGTTTAGTTGATCTCACGAAATTGGCGATTACGACTCAACCAGGCGGCTGATTTGTTTGTCCGATAAGACCCCTCTTGCCAATGTCACATCCTGACAAGGGGAGTCCAAAAGTACCCTTCCCTATGATAACCAACCGCTCTATCTTACCTGCATGAAGAGTGTATCACTTTCTGGCCCCAGCTTAGGGAATATCGGAGGAAGCAGAGATAGGGCATGGACAAGGGGGGCGAACCGGCAAGAACTACCCGTGCCGCAGAGCGATGTAACTATGACTATGATATCTCGGCCTAGTATATGGCTCACTAATGCAATGTCTCTCGTCGAAGGATTCCCCTGCGCCATTTCTCCTCAACGTGGCGTAATCACACTCGTGTCGATCGTGTGGACTAGATTATCAACTCGGTAGTTATGTTGGACCCGATGTATCTACACTCACATGCCATGCCCCAGTAAAATACTCTTCGATATTGGATTCTAAGCCAGTTACCACGAGATTCGCTAGGCTCCAACTGCAGATCATCACAATCTGACAACCTGGTACCCGTAATTATAGCGCTTTAAACTGAGAAAAACGCGTTACAGAAAGAGACGTATTCTCAGAACAGGACGGCATACATGTCCGTATTCTGGGTAGTTCAACTAAGCACGAAATTGACGACCTGGTTGGTCTAAGAGGAGAACTGGCAAGCAGACCGGATACCGAACAGAGTTCTGCGAATGGACTCCTGCTATTCCTCAGAGGCGTCGTAATACAGGTTCTTTTTGTCTGCTCCCCACTCTGTGCCCTGCGCTGGTCAATCTAGGACTGCTGTCTGTGCAGCCCGGTGAAAATAGCTATATAAATTCTGAAGTTATAATGCCCATATCTAGCACGGCTCTCAACAAACACTTCAATTTATTATCATTCCATATATCTTCCATCTCGATCTTTCCGTTCTTGCGTTCTTTATTCGGTTCAAACATGATTGTCCGCCTACTATCACCGTTGGGCATCGGGCAAAAGCCACCCATAGAAGAGAAAATATCATCTTTAGCGACGCACAGAGAGACCGCAAATCTCCGAAACATCCCAGAAGATGAGTTAGCTAGGCAAATTGAAGCTGCTGCGGAGCGAATTGCCGAGCATGTTGTCAGAACGCCTATAATCCGTTTACCGTGGCTAGACCGTGACGGTAGAGAGGTTTGGGCCAAGCTTGAGTGTCATCAGCATTCCGGATCGTTCAAGTATCGTGGTGCTCTAAATGCTTTGATGAAAACCGATTATCAGCGTGTGATTACCGCATCTGCAGGGAACCATGCCCTTGCCACAGCTGCGGCAGGAAAGCAAGTCGGTAAAGAGGTTCAGGTCGTTGCCCCAACCACGGCATCCGAGCTGAAGGTCAATCGTTTGCTTAGCGATGCCAGTGTCAGCTTGCTGGGGAGCAATCTCCATGAGGCCACGATAGCCGCGATGGGAATAGCGAAAGAATCCGGTAATAACCCTGAGAGTAGCCTCAGGTTCCTTTCTCCTTATGCCGACCCAGATGTGGTCGCAGGCGCTGGGACTGTCATCAAGGAGGCTCTTGACGACGCTGGTGTTGATTTTGACACAGTGGTTGTTCCTCTAGGAGGCGGTGGGCTAGCCGCAGCGACAGCCGCATGGTGCGCAGCTCGCAGGCCTGGAACTCAAATCATCTGTACTCATCCAGAGATCTTTGGCCGGGACTTTGATGCAGGCCGCGTTTCAGAGAAGTTAGCTCATCCCACTGTGCCAACTTATTCGGATGGATTGGGAGTTCAACTCGTAGAAGACACGCCCTTCGCTGATATCATTGACCGTCGTTTGCGTTCTATTATCCAAGTGTCCGAGTCGGACACTGCAGCGGCCATCGCTTACATTCTCCGACTACAATCATTGCTGATCGAAGGCGCAGCAGCAACTACAATTGCGGCGTGGCTGACCAACGATCCCATTTTCCAGCAACGGAAGGGCAAGGTGTTACTGCTCCTTACTGGCGCTAATGTCGCTTCTAGCACCGTGGCCAAAGCGCTGGTGGCCGATGTTCATGATCCCAAACGTCGCCAGCAGCTTGGCCTGCGTCACATTCTAAATCCAGTCGAAAGACACGGAGCTGTGGCTGCTGGAAACGGTCGAAAGCGACCAGAAAAAGGCCCTCATCTAGGCCACCACATCTCGCAGTCCATGATAGATGTGTGGTCCGTTTTATTCGAGCGGCTTCAGCAATCAACAGTCCGCCTGAAGAACAGATTTGACGAAAAGAGACAACTTTCGAATAGCCTGGGTCTCCAAACGCATGAATGGTGCGTCACTATATTCATTGATGTGTACTCCAGGCTTGTCTCACTGCTTGATGAATGCCACAATGCTTTATCAACGGGACATCTGTCTTTGAAAGCGTGGGAATTGGAAGAGCGGTATCGCGTTCTTCTTCAGTTGCGATCTACCCTGGTATCATTGTTTGATCGATGCAGTGCCGCGTACGACCAGTCAAGGGCTGATTGGTTCTTTGATCCTGCATCTCAAAATGCGGCTGCTGTCAACTACGATCGTTATGGATCGCCTGATCTCAGAGACATGGAGCGCAATATGCTGTCAACTATCCGGGTTAGTTCATCGCGCCCAGTGGAATTATTGCTTGCATCGAGCGGTATGGCTGCCTATCAAATTCTGCAACATTTCCTGCTCCAGCATCTGTCCGTGAACGACACCATCGTCCTCCCACCATATATCTACTTTGAGGCACTGGAGCAACTGCAGGCACTAACTCACATTCGTGTTGTTCATGCGCCTTCCTTCGATGTGGAGGATATAATCGCTATAGCCGAGAAGCATAACGCACGAGCAGTCTTCGCAGACCCAGTAGCGAATATCGTCTCGCTGGATTGTACCGATCTTAAAGAATTGGCAAAGGCCGTCTCAAATCGACCCGGTTGGGAAGATCGATATCTGGTGGTTGATGGGACAATGGCATCCGGTGCACTGGAAATTGTGGATTGGTTCCAGAGTCCTTCAGCACCAACACTGCTATACTATGAGAGCGTAAGCAAATATCTTCAGCTCGGGCTGGACATCCAGATGGGGGGTCTCCTAGTTTACCCAGCGGATCTGGATCATGAAATGCGAACTATCCGTCGCAACACAGGGACAATAATGTATCCGCGCAATGCAGCACTTCTTCCCCCGATTGACTTCGATGTCTTCCAATGTCGCATGCGCTTACTTACAGAAAATGCCGAACTCCTATACAACTTGCTGCGCAGAGCCAACAACTCTATCGCTGAGATCTCCTTTCCCATGAAGTGGCGCGAGATGGGTTGGCGCCACGGAGGATCTCTCGTCACCATCCGATTCTACCGAGATGGCATGAACAATAAAGAAGGGTTAGAGGCTTGTATCGACCGCATTCTCCGAGCAGCTGAAAATCTTCATGTTCCAATGGTAAAGGGAGTCAGCTTTGGCTTCTCCTTCGCTCGTATTTCTTCTGCGTCATCGATGGCTAAGGATTCGGACCCTTTCCTTCGTATTGCCGTTGGGGTTGAGTCAGACCACATCCAACCCCTTGCTACGGCGATTATTCAGGGTGTTGAAGCATACTGTTTGTCCTTCAATCCAGAGTTGTTTTCCAGGCTAGGTCCAACATCAAATGGCGGAGCTGTCAATGGGTTTCTGGCCAAGTAGTGATATATAGCTAAAGTGTTCATTCCTTCTCTTTCTCTTTTAGGTGTAAACCCTCGAGTGAGACTCCATGTTGCTAATGCTTACTTCTGGCATGCAATCAAGCAAACCGTCCAATAGCAGCAGCAGCTCCAGCTTGATAGTTCAATGTAATTCAGGTGACGCGACGGGCTTTTCCTTTAGAGTATATGATTAAGACGAAAGGAGCACAACCATAAGTATCAACCCAGAGGACCATCAGCTTTCCACCTCAACACCACCACATCTAACTCTGGAATATTGTGCACGCCATGAGGACCAAGGTCGACCTTTTGAGAAGGAAGATGTATCTTCCCAATTTCCTTGCACCCATTGCGAACATAGAGGGGCAGACCATGAGAAGATGCATCACCAAAGACAGTTACCCCTTCTTTGGAGGCCCGATATCCGCAAAATTGTACCAGTTTGAAGCCATATCCCCGATGCTGGTAGGCAGGATGCACTGCCAGGGTCTTGAACTCGAGTTTCCCTTGGTCCGCATCGAGGTACTGAGCATGTATTTTTGCCGCTTGTCCGTAATAGCTATCGATTGCCTTGAAGGAAATAGCTCGATTCGGAGCGATGTAGCTGTTCACCGTGGATCGAGATCCGAGGAGGACACGCCAGAACCCTGTACGAAGACAAAAAATAATCAGCTTCTCCCTGTCGGCACAAACTTGATGGGGTTCACAGCGTATACATTTGTAGTAGGAGTCTGGATTCCACCTCCTCAACTCCCCCGACGTCCCATACCGAACAAATGTCGCAAACGCAACGACCCTGCTACCTGCAATTGGCTCTGTTACCTGCTCATCGTCACCCTCCAGTTCCGCCACCATAGCTAGATGGCCTGGAGTGACCATAAACCGCGTCATATCCTCGACAAAATAAGCTTTGAAATCCTCCGGGTATACCTTGCGATAAGGGAAGAAGTGTTCGTAGATTGGCTCATCTGCGAATGCCAATGACCCGATATGGGCAATGGCTTGGATGTCGGCTGGGTAGGCAGGTCGGATTTTCATTTTGAGGGTTTGTTGTTTGATTCGAATGGCTATCTCCTGGCTTGTTTAGGCCATTGGGATGATATAGCTTTTTTGTAGCACGAGGTAGCAGTTTCCTCATTTATTGAGCCCAGCCAGAGGATTCACTTGCTCCGTCGAGTTAGACACAAGTGTTGTCCTCTCCTCCAATTTACCATGTCACTACCGTAAGCTTTCCACCATGCAATACCCGTATCAAATACACTGGAAAGGAAACCGTATCGTTTTGACACATTACTGATACCAGTCGTAATTTATAACGGTAATACCAACACTTAGAACCGTGAATCCATTTGATCAAAACAAAGTATTTCTCAAAACCATACTACTTTACTAGTGAAATTTGCAGTGAGCATCCTTCAGTTTTGAGGCTACGAATCAAGATTTAGGGCTCTAGCCATGCTGGCCTGAAGAGTACGGAGGGCCGACGGAGCGGTTGTCGGCACGAGATGCTTGAATTGACTTGGCGTGGACTTGGGGCCGAATAAGGTTACATTGGTCGGATATCATACATCTCGACTTATTGTGACGAGATTGCGCAAGCCTTAACTTGACTCCGAGAATAGATTGTAGGTATCAAGCTGCACAAGGACATAACCGAGGGTTTCTCAGTCGAGAGCAGGGATTTGGTACTTCGATATTTGCTCCTCGGATAGATAGGCATCTCCAGTTAGATGGGTATCTTGTGCGTAGGACATGAAATTTAGGCTATTATTCTACTTTAATTCACTGGGGTTCTGTCGTGGCTTTTGCCAATTGCCTTGCTATCTAGGAAAAAAATGATTTCAGCACAAGAGTTCACATACAGCATTCCATCACTGTCTCTGGGAGTCCTCGTGATCAGTACCATTGCCTGGCTCATCTGGACCGTGCTACTTTACCCCAAAGTTTCCAGTCCCCTCAGAAGATTCCCAGGCCCAAAAGTTAGTTATTCCGTAACACACGCCTATATTCATAGTATAATAACCATAAGTTTCTTTTGTATAGGATAGCCATTTCTTCCACGGGCAGTTATGGAGAATCCTGTCTGAGCCCGTTGGCAGCCCAATGAGAGAATGGATCAATACGATTCCAAACGATGGGATTATCCGGTTCACCACGGTATTCAACCAGGAACGCCTTATCCTGACGAGTCCTGAGGCGCTATCCGATGCTCTGGTTACTCACAATTATGACTGGGATAAGCCGGAACAGATGAAGAAGGGACTTGGGCGCATTGTGGGTCAGGGTGTTCTGCTGGCGTCAGGGAATGTGCACAAGGTATGTACTACTCTCACGAAATGAATGAACCCTGATCTGAGACCAGATGGCTAACCAAGTATGCAAGTTCAGACACAAAGAAAGCACCTCTTACCCGCGTTCTCCTTCCGGCACATCAAGACTCTATACCCTATCTTTTGGGAAAAGTCCTGTGAAATGGTCGAAGCCATCACGAAGGCTACCACCAATGCCGACGATACAAACACTGAAACTTCCATCTCAATCACTGACTGGCTTCGTCGCGCCACCTTAGACATCATTGGTCTTGCGGGCTTCGGACAGGATTTCGATGCTCTAGGCACGCCACACTCAGAGCTCAACAATATTTACGAGAAGGTGTTCGACCAGCCCCAAAATGAGAATGTGATGAAAGCTATTGAAACACTTGAGAATATCTTTCCTGTTGCCTGGCTAGGGAGCCTTCCGCTGCAGCACAACCGCGACGTTAAAAAAGCGTCCATGGCCATTCGCCAGGCGGCCCGGATGGTCATCCGTAGCCAGGAGCAGTTCAAAACGAAGACAACATCTAGTATTCTCTCTGGAAATAGCCTTCTCTCGATTGCGTCGCGTTCGGAATACTTCAGTGAGGATAATCTCATCGACCAGGTCATGACTTTCCTCGCTGCTGGTCATGAAACTGTCTCTACAGTCACGGGTTGGGCGATAGTGGCCTTATGCCGTCGACCCGTTATCCAGGAAAGACTGCGGAAGGAGATTAGATCTCAACTACCCTCTCCAAGCCAAGGCACATCTACATTCAGTGCTCAGATTCTGGATGCGCTTCCATATCTCCATGCCGTCTGTAATGAGGTGTTAAGATTCTATCCTCCTGTTCCGCTTACTCGCCGTGTATGCGTCCGAGATACGACCATCCAAGGGGAACCGGTTCCCAAAGGAACAAATATCCTAATTGTTCCTGCTGCGCTGAATGTGTCCAAGAAACTGTGGGGTGAGGACGCATTAGAGTTCAACCCTGACCGATGGATGGGTTCGGGGAAAAACAATGGCGGTGCATCAAGTAACTTTGCCAATATGACTTTTCTCCATGGCCCTCGGTCATGTATTGGAGCATCTTTCGCCAAAGCTGAATTCGCATGCTTATTGGCTTCAATCGTCGGGCGGTTTAACTTCAAGTTTAGTGATCCCGAGTATAAGTCGGAGGTCCTGTCTGCTGGCGTCACAGCAAGGCTGAAACATGAGCTTCTCCTGACAGTCGAGGTGGTAGAAGGATGGTGAGCATTTAGATCCATAGCTGGTAAAATATTTAGAAATACATGATGAAGTACAATAGCTTAATTATCAAGACTACCACGATATAATTATTTTGGCCCCGTTATGATCATTCATTATCCTTGAGAGCAAGTCGAAGACGTTCTAATATATAACTTCCTGCGTTAATAGATTTGTACTTGGGCTGCTCTCCTTCCGGAATGCAACTCGGAATGGTTTCAACGATCTCATCGTAGTTGAAAGAGAAGAAGAATGGGACGCTGTATCGCTCCTTTCCGGTGCAGTTGACAACTCGGTGGATGGTACTCTTGTATAAACCATTCGTCATTCGCACTGTATATGAACATAAGTATTAGCACCTCTTGTAGAACACTGGCACAGTATATGCCAACTGACTCATAAAATCCCCCACATTGACCACAATCGTTCCTGGTAAAGGGTCTGCGGCCACCCATTTTCCGTCAGGAGACAGGACCTCCAGCCCACTGACATCCGATTGTAGTAAAAGCGTGAAAAGCTCAAAGTCTGAATGCGCTCCAATACCGACCAAGTTTTCGACCTTGTCCGTGGGAGGGTAGTACAGCAGACGGGCCACTCCTCCCGGGTGAGTGACTAGGTGATCGAAAGTGGTTTCTGGAAGAGCAAGGGACAGTGCAAAGAGCTGAATCAATCGACGAGACAACTGCAAAGCCTGGCCGTAGAACCCTTTCACTCCGTCTAAGAAGCCGGGAAGATCCTCCTCCCTTGGCCAGAGGTTCCCAACTGACCGAGAGCCATCAAGCTCCACATACTTCCCATCGCCACCGGTAGGGTCAAAATCAGATTGATATGCCCAGTTGAAGGCTTCTTTGTAATCTCCAACCCCCTTTACGCCTAAGGCCTGCGCGCTATCGGGATGTGACCGCTTGAGAATGTCGGCCGATGGTCGCCAACCGCGGAAGAATTTTGAATTTTGATAGTGAATCTCTTTCTTTTTCTCGAAAGGGAGTTCCTTGAAGAATCTTTTCGCTTGATTCAACGCCTCATCACATTGGTCTGCACTGATTCCGTGATTCTTGATATAAAAGAAGCCACTGGTTGTACAGGCCTCATTCATCTCCCGTGCGACTCTCTGTTTGTCCACGGGGGAGCCATGCGTTAACGGGCCAAGGTCGATGACCGGAATTGACGAGAAGGCAGGCGCATAGCCTCCTTGTCCCTTTTGGATCAGCCCCTTCAGGTATTTCTGAGCCTCTTGGACTTCTGCATCAATGGCGCTTGGTTGCGAAGGGATAGTCATTGTGAATTCAGCTTCGTGGGATTGATGAATTGTGTCAAGAGCAGTTTTTGCTGTTCGACTCAGATTCCTACCACCATAAAAACACTGAAGGTACGCCTCAATGTGTGTATCTCACTGAAAGCCTATACGACTACCGCCTACTTTGGTGCTTCCACTTAACCCCACTTGCATTATCGCGTTCATTATCACAGGGGCTTCATACACCCTCGGCTATTCTATTCAGCATCGCTTTCGCCCGTAGCCACCATCTAATCCCAACATGCACTTGCGATATTGGAGGATTGTTGACTAGAGTGTGATAATGTGACATTGCATTAGTGCTTCCTTCGCGGTAACCAACGACACGAGGGGTAAAAATAGGCTAGATGTCTTGGCTCAGTCTGATAAGGCTTCTCTTCTGCCTTACCTGCGGGGATCCTGGATTCATCGCGATAGCTTGCTAGTCGGCGCCAATCGGATCCTTCCGCGGCCTACGGGTCGTAGAGATACTCTCGATGTGACGTGATTTCAAATGCTTAGCACGGAACCCTAATCTAAGAAGATTTTCAGTAAGCGCTAACGGAGAACATCTCGGGTTGTAAATTTAAAATTGGAAGTAACATATTTTTCCTCCTTGTTTTGTTTTTTTTTCAAATGGTATAACCTGTGTATCGAAAAGCCTGCCTATACGCCGTAAGTACAAAGATACTGTATCTAAGGATCGGCATGTCAGTGACTCACCCTAAGGTAACTTGACGTGAGTTTCTCTCCATTCCGCGTGCTCGCAAAGTGCTACAAACTAATTTCACCCAAGGTCCACTGAGTTTCAGTGTATGGAAGCTTCCTCCTCGTCCCAGATTACGAAGACTATTCAGCTGAACAGCCTTGCTCTCCCGGCGATTGCAACCAGTCGCACCCGGCCACCCCTTCCTCGCAATGGCCAATCGTAATGAAAGCCCTTCTCAGGAACCTTCCATCGAGGAGCAACCCCAGCCCCAACCCCAAGGTCATTGCAAAGAAAATGAATATGTGAACACTGTCCATGAGACGATCGAACTCCAAGATGATCCCAGGAAATGGTCGCCTATGAGGAAGGTGTGTATTCTGGGGCCTCTCCTTCCTCCAGGCTCTAATGGCATTCTATTATCAATGCTCACTTTTCCAAAGTGGATAACCCTAGCGACAGTGGCAAACGGCTCATTGGTCGTTGGGTTTGCGCCGAATATCTACAATCGTAAGTATACCATGCGGCCTTATATAGTGGGGTATAGTGATCGCTGTACACACTCACCATGACTGGTTGATGATAATTAAATTAGCTGCCATTAATGCAATCAAATCTTCACTCCATGCTCAGGATTGGCACATCTCATTGACCCTTTCTTTATTCATCCTGCTGTCGGGCATCTTCCCAATGCCATGGAGTCTCACTAGCGAGTTGGTCGGCAGAAAGGTATGTTATGGTACACTACGTCCTCTTCAAGGCAATAACACTGATAAGTGAAGCAGCGTGTGTATATGGTTTCCCTAACAATAGCACTTGGTGGTTACATTGGCGCCGCGGTCGCAAACTCGATCGGACTGTTGATTGGGATGCGCTGTATTCAGGCGATGGGGTAGGTGCTCCTTGTAATAGTTCTTCTATGGTTACCCTAGACCATGGTGATTATACCGCTGACCGTCATTCTGTATTCTAGTAATAGCTCCTTATTCTCGGTAGGAGCAGGTTCGTTAACCGACATTTACGATGTTCACGAGCGCGGAACAAAATTCGGTATCTACTATGCTGCACCCATGCTTGGACCATCTCTCGGTATGCTTGCGGAGAGGTATATTTGACTGATCCGTGACTAACAGAAAGAAGGCCCAGTCCTTGGTGGTATTTTGACGAGATACTTGTCCTGGCGCGCTACTTTTTGGTTTCTCGCCATTTGGATCGGCGTTACCATCTTCAGCGTGCTCGCTTTAATGAAAGAGTCTTTCCGGAAAGATCGTAGTACTACATATCAGGATGCATTGGCAATACGAACTGAAAAGATCGCTAGGAGGCAAAGCCAGGCGATACACCGTTCGTCATGCGAGGAAGGTGCTTCTCATCCCAGCTCAAGAAGCAAGATAAATGTCTATCCTACTGATCTCAGGGTAGCGACATCACTAAAGAGGGTCGTTAAGAAGCGTAACAATGTAGTCCTACTAATTGCTACAGGTAAGAGCAGCTTTATTCCAAAGCAGACTTTCCCGGGCTTGTGCGATAGAAACAGACTGACGGCATTTTTAGGGCTAAACTATGGGTTCACTTACAGTATATCTTATACCTGTACTTTGTCTCTCTCTGACAAATACCATCTGGATGCGCTCAAGATAGGGCTGGTACTACTTGCTTATGGACTAGGTCAGTCGGGCAATGTTTTAGTAATACCAATCTCGTGGTTATTAACCAAACAATAGGCAGCATGGCAGGGAGTGTCCTAGGCGGACGATATTCAGATTATCTTCTGGCTCGCTCACGCTCCCTGAATAACACTGCAGTTGCTCCATCTGAAGTGAGACTCAGAACTGTTAGTGCTTTCTACTCGTATATCAGACTAACGGCGGTTCTTCCAGGTGCGTCTCGCGACCACTATACCGGGTCTTATCATAATGCCAGCACTGTGCCTTGCATATGGGTGGATGGCACAATACGCTGTACACATCTCAGGGATCGCTATCATCCTTTTCTTCGGAGGTCTTTCTTCTATGTATACACCCCACCCTATTGTATCTTTGTCGTATGGTTCCGCGCAACGTTCCGTAGCTGATGAACAAATTCTCTCTATTAAAGCTGGGTTTATTCTCCTACCATGTCATACCTGCTTGACATCAACCCGGGGAATACTACAGTCACTGTCGCCTGCAACAGCTTCATACGTGGCCTCCTCGCTTTCTTGTTTGCGGAAGTTGCAGTTCCTCTCCAGGTACGCTGAGTCTTCAGATTATACAGCTTGTTCTAACAAAGAATAAGAATGCCATAGGGGACGGTGGCTTGTACTCGTTATGGGCTGGCCTGTGGGCCCTTTGCGCTGTCCTAGTACTGATAGTCTACTTCAAAGGGGGTCACTGGAGAGCGCAATCTTCTTCAAGCGTTTAAAGGCACAATATTATATGCAACGATTAACACGATCAGAAGAGTTGCGCTTGTCTGTCTGTACGAAAAGCATTGTCCTCCCTTCTGGCTCCGAGTCCAATTTTCTCTCCAATTTGCACTCCAATGCTCTGGATGTATTGGGAATGTTCCATAGTCAATCGGATAAACTCTTCTGGGCTTGCTGACTCATTCAGAAGTTTCTCCAGGGTGAGGCTATGGAAGGCAGCTTGTTCAGTTCCGGCACCAGTATGCGGACGTAGCCCAGCCAATGCGTCTCCGATAAGAATAACCTTGCCCTCGTGGAAGAAGTTCTGGGGACTGATCACATCCCAAATAGCCTGAACAAAGGGTCTGTGCGTGCTTTGAACAATCTCGTAGAATTGCGGCGGAAGGACTTCTTGTGCAAAGTTCTTTTGGCTATCCCAAACCTCCGGCCGTACTTGTCCAGCTTGCAGTGTTACTCGATGCACTGATCCATCATTACCAGTCATCAGCTCGGGAGATGGGAGTGAATTCTCTTCCGAGTCACAGTACCAGACCCAGTTCACGTAGCGTTTGCCTTCTTCCCCGGGTACAACATATACGACCATTTGACATCCGGGCGAATTATAAAAAACCAGCTTGTTCAAACAAAGATCGAAAATAGTCGGTGCTATCTCATCTTCTACGACAATGCCTCTCCAGGCGACGTATCCGGCATAACTCGGCGCCACATCCTCCAGCAGACTCCTCCGGAGAGCAGAGAAAGCACCATCTGCACCAAGAAGAAGATCCACTTCCTCACGCTTCAGTATCCGATCTGCATCTGTGTAAGACACTTCGATTTTGTCATCTTCAATCCGAACATCGGCTTTCGTAACGGTATGTCCCTCTAGATATTTCGACTCTACCTCTCCACTGTCAAACGTTTCGCGAGCAATAAGATATAGCTGGTCCCAGCTCGTGGTCTCTTGATGTTTCTCTATCGTACGAACGATGATTCCGGCGCGATCGAGAAAGAAATGTCCATCACTGGTAACCGTCTCGAGCTGGTGATTTGGAGAAAATCGAGATAGAAATTCACGGATCGACTTTCCGAGCACGATGCCTGCACCGCTGCCTCTCACGCGGGCGGAAGTATGTCTCTCGAGAATGTGCACAGAATGGCCCTGTGATTTAGCAACAATACCTGCAAACAGGCCACCCAGCGAGCCTCCGGCCTTAAGTGAAGATAGTCAGGGTAATAATTCTCGTCAAATTGTATATCAGGTAATTGACATCGTGCTTACTACAATGACCTTCATCGCCAACTTAGTTGAAGCCGAACGAGGACAATCCAATGCCATTCGCGGTGTGTGATAATCATGAAGCCAATATAGTCAGACAAACCCTTCAAATACGATCGGTGTTTAATCACTCCCCGATGGCCCGGTACAGATGACCTCTTGTAACTCTGTTTTACCAAACCAATACCGCCCGTCCTACATGTATTACGCCGATACAATCGTGACAATTGTTAAGGTTGACCCTGGCATCACGCCATATTTTCTCGTCTGCTGAAGGATTCAACCCGCTGATAACACTGTTTTAGTGTATTCGCAACCGTGCATGGCTTCTCTATATTGGTCTTGTGATGTGTCTTATCATAGTTTAGGGGTTCCTATTGTTTGCCAATACTCGAAAAGTCAGTGAGGCAGGCCTGCCGATGGAATAAAATAATATTCACGTAATGTAAATTCAAGTAGTTTTGCTCTTGGTCAATGTACATCTGGACAACTGGCAGGTTAGACCTTATCCAACCCATGGCTTGGTCAATAATATTATGCTCGAAATTATTCGTACACACTTTCCTGCTCAACGCTTAACGTTTACTATCTCTCGTCAAACTGATCAGAGAACACTATGTCCCAAGTCCCAGATAACACAGTATATCCCATACTTCAAAACCTTCCAACCGAAAATGACCCCCTACTCCCCAGTCTGTCCGACGACAACGAAGCTATAGCACACGAAAGACCTGTAATATGTATTCCAGGTTCTCTGCCCCGATCAGTGTGGTTGATAGCGCTGGTCGAAGTCTGTGATCGATTCGCCTTCTTCGGTCTCGCAGCTCCCTTACAAAACTATCTTCAGAATGCAAAGGATGATCCTCTACGCCCTGGTGGCCTGGGTATGTTATATATATCCACGAGGCAAGAAGGGAAGTCTAAGTAACGATATAGGCCTTGGACAGTCATACGCCACCTTAGTAAACCTATCATTCACAGTTTGGTGTTACGTGACGCCGATTTTTGGTGCCATCATCGCTGACCAATATATTGGGAGAAAAGCAACTATCACACATGCTAGTCGAGTATATGCAGTAGGGCTATTCATTTTGTTTGGCTCGTCTCTTTCTGTCTTCAAAAACAGCGATGTTTCCATCCTGGCATTGCTTGCTGCAATGTTATTGATCGGTATCGGCGCAGGCGGTATCCGACCCAATGTGAATTCGTTGATTGCAGAGCAATATCAGCCTGCGGACCAGCCTGTACATAAACTAGACACTGGGGAGAATATTTCCATTGACCATGATATGACTATTCAGAGGTCAGTGCAATCCCTCTTGTGCATTTGCTCGAAACCCATCGGTAACCTCAAGATAGGATCTTTATGACATTTATCATGCTAACAAACGCCGGCTCCCTCTCCTCCATTCTAACAACAACAATTGAACACCGACAAGGCTTTCCCCTTGCCTTCCTCGTCCCGGCACTAACTTTCACTTCCATCACAACTTTATGCCTTTCTCAAAACACATACTCCTCCCCACCGACAACAGAGTCAACCACGCTCCACGCTCTCCAAGCTTTCTACATTGCCGCCCGAAACAACTGGACCCTAGACGCAGCCAAGCCGAGCGCTGAAGAACACCACCCATGGTCAGAAACCTTCATTGGTGAACTTCGCCACTCTCTAAGAGCCAGTCGAATCTTCCTCTTCTACCCTATCTTCTGGGCATCTTATAATCAGATGCTCACGAGCTTTATATCTCAAGCTGCCAATATGAATACACATCGTTTACCGAATGATATCATGTTTGCCATCAACCCGCTCAGTATCCTGCTGATAATCCCGGTTCTAGACCAAATCATTCTTCCACGGGCCCGACGCGTTGGATTGGATCTATCCCCAATCACTAGGATCACCGCTGGGTTCTTCCTCTGCGGTCTCGGTATGGCCTATGCCGGGATTCTCCAATACACCATCTATCACTCCCCACCCTGCTACGCCTCTCCACGCTCTGCAGGGTGTAATGCTCCAAACAATGTCCACATAGTCTGGCAAGCACCCGTATATATAATCTTAGCGATCTCAGAAATCTTCATGTCCACCACCGGACTAGAATACGCATACAGCCACGCCCCAGGCTCCATGAAGTCAACTATCATGGCGCTATTCCTATTTACCTATACACTCGGGTCTCTGTTGTCGATGCTAATCACTCCCTTTCTGGTCGATCCGCTGATGACCAGGGCGTATGCTGTGTTGAGTATAAGTACTTGGAGTTCCGGAGTGGTATTCTGGGTTTGTTTTGGGGTGAGGCGGGGGATTTGATCAAGTGGTAATTCCTAACCTAGAGCTTTTTTTGGTTCGAAATCTACAAAACAATTGATGCTACCTCTTACGGCCTGCAAAGGGATCATTGATGTGAGGTATCTAGCATGTGACCAGTGGATCAGGTAAGATAACGAATCATACATGTATCAGATTCAGAACCAAATACCATACCCCAACCTCAAAAATACCAGCAGAAAACTTTACAATCCCTCCTTCCTCTTCCTGACGACCAAACTCTCGCACTCCGCAAAAACACCCCCAACTCCATCTTCAATAGTAGCCCTAACCACCCACTTCCTCCCCACCGGCCCCTTCTCGGACCAAACCCGACACAAAACCACCGCGGGAGTTGCAACAGGCCTGCGATAAGAAACATTCAGCGTAGCCGTAACAGCCGCCTCCTTCAATTCCTTCTCTACCAATTCATGAATCGTATCATCGAAAATGAGGGCTAGTATCCCGCCGTGACAGTAACCGGGGTGGCCATCTAGTCCGGCGCCGAGGGAAACGAGGAGGCGCACCTCGCCGCCTGTTTCGGTGGGCGGAGTTGCGGTTGGGGGTTTGTAGAAGGAAGCGTGGGCGCGGATGGTCACGTCGGTCCAGAGGGTTTCGGTAAAGAGGCGGTTTGTGGAGGTTGAGCGGGTGGTTTGGGGGTGCCAGGACGGGGAGGATATGATTTGTTGGCACCAGGGGTGGGGAGTGAAATCGATGAGGTGCTCTTGTCGAGACATCTTTCTTTATGGGGTGTTTGGGTTGAATTGGACGTAGGGAAGATGACGGAATGAGTGATGAGGGGAGGATGCATGGTTTCTGTCAAGGGAGTATATATATATATATATGTAGACATGTATATATAGGTATTATGACCTCTAGCCAACCATGGGTTTTGAAAACTATCTGTTGCCGTATTGAGCTAGGTTACTGAGTGTTCATTCGTAGCGAATGTCAGATGGGCAAAGCCGCCGAGGTAGTTACGGACAATCACATTGCGTGGCGCACCTAGGTAGGCTAGTACACTGCATCCCCGGTTTTACGTACACGATCCATCTCACCACTAACATGCAATACCTTCCGCTGTTCTCTACCTAATTACGAATGGTGAGTTTCTCCAACTGTGCAATGGTCGCAGTCACGTTCTGGTACTCGACTTCCAAGTCCCTAAGCTTCTTCAGCTCGCTTGCCTTGACTGCTTCCTCGGCCTTCTCTGCCCACCCCTCTGCCTCAATGGTACGCCGTTGTCGTGATAACGTATCGGTAATCCTCTCCAACTGCTTCCGAGCCTTATCCACAGCGTCAGTGATATCAATGCGTCCATTGATTTCCAGAAATACCGCTGTAGATGCTGAGCTCACGTAAACAGCACATCCTACAGGAGGCTGTTCGTTGGGACCAATGACTTGCACAGCAGCAAGACCCTTTCCGGCCAGTGACTTGATGCTTCCAGCTTCACTACTAACAAGCTCATAGGAGTGAGCGTCTGTTGCATGGATGAATACTGTAGGTCCATGTATTAGGATTAACTGGAAACAATAAGTCTGGAGGAATAAACTTGCCTTTAGCGTTGTCCTGAATACCATATCCAGCTATCAGAGAGCGGATTCCCTTGACTGATTTTACTACAGTCTCGAATGCACCCTCGGAAGTATCATCTGCGAGGGACGCATTATATTTGGGGTATGATGCAATGACGATGGACGGAGTAGAATCGCCAGGTCTTCTGGGCAGACGCTGCCACAGCTCCTCGCTGATAAATGGCATAAAAGGATGAATCATTCGAAGACCTGCTTCTAAGGCATTGTAAAGTGTATTGAGAGCGGATCGCGCTTCCTTTTCCGAACCATGCTGGATAAGAAATTTGGAGTATTCCTGATTTTCTCTGTTAACCGGTGACCAATGATTTTGTAAGGCAACTACTGACAATGAACACGTCGCACAAATTATCATACCAATACTGATAGACAATCTGTGCCGCGCGGGAGAACTCCTTCTCGCTCAGAGCTCGGTCAATATTTTGTGAAGCGGTATTGAGTTTATGTAGCATCCACCGCTCGCCCAGCGATTCGTCTCCTGTCTTATCCAAAGTTGATGGAGGTGTATACTGGTCTCCGATTTTGCCCAGCACGAATTTGGCTGCCTGATAGATCTTGTTACAGAATCTCCTGTACCCGGCCATAACCTTAACATCGAAAGATATATCGCCGCCTGTCATATAGTGTGAGATTTGGTAATGTTTGAAGCATGGAAGGAGGTGTTATTCTTACCCCCTGTGGTATACTGGATTAGTGAGAATCGCAAGGCATCAGCTCCACACTCGGGAATTCCATTTGGGAAGGCTGCTTTTTGATACTTCATGGCCACACCCAGCTCCCGGGGATCTAGGTTTCCCTGCTGAAGTTTATCGTGCAGTTTCTGGAGGCTAATACCCTCCATGACGTCGACAGGATCAATCACATTACCGAGCGACTTCGACATCTTTCGGCCCTCAGAGTCACGGATGAGGGAATGACAGTAAACCTCTTTAAACGGCACTTTGCCAGTGAGCTTTAAACTTAGCATGATCATCCGTGCTACCCAGAAAAACAGAATATCCCATCCAGTCTCCAACAATGATGTTGGAAAGAGGTTGTCAAGATCATGGGTTTGCCGCGGCCATCCTAGTGTTGAAAATGGCCAGAGACCCGACGAGAACCAAGTATCCAGAACATCTGGATCCCTTCGGAGGGTGAAGCGTTGATTAGGGAATCTTGCCTCTGCTTTCTGGCGAGCTTCCTCCTCCGTTCGGCCGGCAACCCAAAGGTTGTCGTTTGTTTCATCTGTTAGTTGACCTTCTATGTCAACGAAATAAGCAGGTATTTGGTGGCCCCACCACAGCTGGCGAGACAAACACCAATCTGTAATGTTTTCTAGCCATCGAAAATAGTTGTCCCTTGCTGCTTCTGGCTGGATGATGATCTCTCCATCCTGAACCACTTTCAGGGCGTCATCGGCTAGCTCCCTCATTCTCATCCACCACTGTGGCTTCATTAAGGGTTCAATAACATCCTTCGATTTAGAGCAAAGTGGCACTTTCATAGGATGGCTCTCTTTCTTTACAAAGAGCCCTAATTCTTTCAATTCCGCCACCACAGCGTACCGAACATCAAAACGTTTGCGTCCCGCGTATTTTCCGGCGTTGGAATTCATAGTTCCGTCGTCATTAAGAATGTTAATAAATGGAAGATTGTGGCGCTTGCCAATGGCATAATCGTTCGCATCATGCGCAGGGGTAATCTTAACTGCTCCAGTGCCAAATTCCGGATCCACGTACGGATCTGCGATGATTGGGAGTAGTCGGTCCACGATAGGATGCTGAATCTTCTTGCCAACCAAATTGCTATAACGAGGATCATCAGGATGAACAGCCACTGCTGTATCGCCTAGCAAGGTCTCCGGTCGGGTTGTCGCAATTTCAATTGTTTCCTGACTGCCCTGCACCCGATACTGGAAATAAGTGAGAACTCCAAATTCCACTGGGCGCTCGTAGCCTGGAACTTCCAGTAATGTCCGTCCTTTCAGCTCCTTGCTATCCACTTCCAGATTCGATATTGCAGTGTTAAACTGTACACACCAATTTACCAGGCGACTCGATCGATAGATATAACCTTCTTCGTGTAGACGAACGAAGCATTCGGTCACGGCAGCCGATAAATTGTCATCCATTGTGAAGGCCTCGCGGGTCCAGTCAAACGAGCCTCCTAGCCTTTTGAGAACGGCATTAATCTTGGAATGGTATCTATGAGATTCCGCATTGTCAGCAGCTGCACATAAGTGATGGTTTCGAGGCATTAGGAAACAACAAATGATCTTGCTTTTAGATCGCATTCACACGAGCGACCGGGGAAAACGTACTCCTCTTTCCATTCCAACGCTCTATTAGTGAATTGCTCCCGTCCAAGATCATGTCTCGTCTTTCGCTCTCTCCTCCACAGCATATTTTCAATCACGCTCTGGGTTGAAATACTAGCATGATCACATCCGGGCAGGTATAATGTAGTATACCCCTTCATCCGATGCCACCGGATCAAGCAGTCCTGCAATGCTGTTCCCAACGCGTGTCCGCAATGCAAAGCACCCGTCACATTAGGAGGAGGGATCGGAATGACATAGGTCCCCTCCGGCTTTGGCTTTTGTTCTTCGCTGATGAATTCAGGCTGGAAAAAGCCTTCCGCCTCCCACCAATCATTCCACGCCGACTCGACAACTTTGGGAATATACGCTGAATGAAAAGGTCCGTCGAGGGGCTTAAGGACTAGAATGGCACCAGAATCAGCGGACATCTTTCCGGAATTTGGGAATATCTCACTTTTCTTCTTTCCTTTAGGCGTCTCTTCGGTGTACTGCGGCAATGTCTTCTTCAGCTGATGGTCTTCCGCAGTGTCTTTAGGCTTTGCCGATGCAGTGGCAGCAGCAGCCCTTTTCTTTTTAGCTTCTTTCTCCGCGAATTTCTTCGCTTTTTCGGCTTTCTGGCGCTCCTTGTCCGCTGCGAGAGAGAGGATGGTCAGGTTGTTTAATCAGACAAGACGTTTTCAACTTACCCTCTCGCTTTGCCTTCACCGCTGCCTTGCTATTGGCATTTTGGTCTATACCAGCTCCGGTGGCTGGCGGGTTGGTGGACATCCTGCAAATGGGTCTCCAAGGCGCTGAGCAAAGTCTTGTAAGGCGGGAGCTTCTTAAGAGACGAATAACCATGGACCCTCCCACGGTAGGAAGCGAACAGGTCAGCGGGCGAAATAAACAAAGAAAGGAATAGAGGGGTCGCTGAGATGGGTAAAGAAGAAATAAAATGATTAGATTAATCCATTCGCCAGGTCTTCTTTTATTAGTGACTCACAAGACAACAGACCAAGAATGCTTTAAGATACGGTAATACGGATAAATTTTGGTATTGTACTGGTAATATTACTGTCGTATTGTATATATCGTTACCCAATACTGAATGTAACCCTAATCCTAGCTCGAACAGGTCTCCGTATGTATCGGTCTCTGTTCATTTCGAGTTGACCTACCCAAGGTCAACTCGAAAGGAACAGGCATTAGCAGCTTGTATCAGTTGGGTCATGCCATATACTTGCTTCCATTTGTGGGTGGGCGGGACCTAGCAACCTAGTATATATATTCTCTGATGTGGAGATATAATTTGCTAACTATTCTATCTGCCTATTCAACTTCACAGCTATGGAATTCAACCACGACATTATCATCATCGGCGCAGGGATCTCCGGGATCAATGTAGCGTACCATGTGCAAACCGAATTGCCAAACTATTCATACATTATTCTCGAGGAGCGGGAGGCAATGGGTGGGACATGGGATCTATTTCAATATCCAGGCATTCGGTCCGACTCAGACCTCATTACCTATGGATTCTCATGGTATCCATGGAATCAGAGCCGCCCCATCGCCGAGGGGAAAGCAATTGCAACATACATCAAAGAGGCTGCTGCGCAATTTGGTATTGATCAACATATCTATTTTCAGCATCGAGCTACCCAAGCGGCATGGTCAGATACAAAGCAGAAATGGACATTGATAGCTGAACATGCTGGACGGGAGAAGTTGTATACAGCTACTTTCGTGGCATTTGGCACGGGATACTATGACTACCATCAACCGTTACCTGCGGATATTCCCGGTATGGACCAGTTCACTGGGACATTGATTCACCCTCAGTTCTGGCCTAAAGAGGTCAACTACACGGACCAGAAGATTGTTGTCATTGGCAGTGGTGCCACGGCTGTAACTCTCATTCCCAAACTTGCCGAGACGGCAGAGCGCGTTACCATGCTCCAGCGCAGTCCGACCTATATTCTTAGCGTTCCCAACGCCGAGATCAAAAAGACATGGATAGACTACCTTCTTCCACGGGCCATCGCACAGAGCTACCATCGTCTGAGCTGGTTCCTTCCACATCGGCTGTTCTTCCTTTTCTGTCAAAGCCTTCCCCAGTTCTCGGGGTGGCTTCTCCGCTGGCGAATGATCAAGGAACTTCCAGACAACATTTCCCATGATCCTCATTTCAACCCTCGCTATGCTCCATGGGACCAACGCCTCTGTGTTTCACCAGATGGCGACTTCTATCAAGCCTTGTATACGGGAAAAGTGGACATCAAAACAGACAGTATTGAAGCTGTTACCTCATCAGGAATCAAACTAAGATCTGGAGAGTTCCTTGACGCAGATATAATCATCACAGCAACAGGTCTTAAGCTACAACTGGCAGGGGGTGTAAAACTTGAAATCAACAAAGAACCCTGTAACTTGGCAGAGAAATATCTCTGGAGAGGGATCATGCTACAGGATGTACCGAATGCGTTTTTCTTTATTGGTTACACAAATGCATCCTGGACGTTGGGAGTAGATGCGAGTGCAGCATTCAGCACTCGGCTCATAAAACACTTGTCATCAAAAGATGCAACGGCAGCTGTGCCCCGGGTCCCAGACCGGCTGAAGCTACAACCGCGAAGAGTATTGGATTTAAGTTCGACCTACATCACAAAGGCGGATAAGAACATGCCAAAGGCAGCGGATCAGGGGTCCTGGTTGCCCAGAAATAACTACATCTCCGATTTGTGGTTTGCAAAGTATGGCCGGCTTAATGATCTAGAAATAATAACTCGACACAGAGTTGGAAAGGACTAATGGATCATATGCACATATTTTCAATCAAATACATGTATAGTATAACTAGACGTCGCCATGACCCTCGCTCACCCGCATTTTACATGATTTTTCTAAACCTTTCCTGAATAGGCGGCATAAAAATGATGCTTCATCATGGAAACTTACTGTTATTTACATATGTTCTAGTATTCATATCTATTAATCGCGTTTATTTTCGATATAAATTCAAAGTCAAATGAAATGCCTTTGTCTTTGGTCTAGTTGATTAGAAGCTAGCAAGAAATAGCCACCGTAGTGAGCATAGAGAAGATGTTTGCAATGGAAAACTAACAAGCCTATATAAGAATAGACCTCCTCCTCTGCTACTTCTTGGCACTGCCCTTGTCCAGCACACTCCGGAATACCACCATGTGTTCCCAGGCTCTCTCCGGCATGCCCAGCGCCCGGTACGGCTGAAGCACAGTGTCGTCCATCACGATGTCGAACGTGTGCTTCGTCCGATAGAACCCCGGAGCAGCCACGTTTCCAGTGCGTGGGGTGCTCTGCAACTGCTTCTGCCATTGTAGCGACAAGTCCACAGTTGCTTCGTAGAGTCGGCGCTCACCGGACTCGGCCAAGGGCATGGCCACCACATAGAACACCGGCAGCAGGACGGCCTGCAAGACGAGCGTGAGCATCCCTTTGAGCCATCTCCAGAATACCAGCCTCGAGCGAAAGCGCTCTGGGGATTGAAGGAAACTAGCCACGATGTCCGTCTGCACTTTCCCGGGGTACTCGTGCACAAAGTCAACGGAGGGTTGCTTGTGCGCCAGGTGTTCCAGCGCCAAGGTGTTCATTATGGTGGTGTGGGCAACGTGGTTCAGCATGGTGTAGCTTTTCTCTGACTGCAGGTCTTTGAGTACAAAGGACAGGGCACGTTCATTACCACCGTTTAAGACGCTGAAGACTCGAGGTCGTTGACTGGACGGCTCATCCGGGTGATTCGCCTTGCCGGTTCGCTCTCAATCCCGTTGACTGGAAGTCTGTCGATCTCTCGCCCAGCCCCGATGCCACCTGGGGCACGGATTTCTCCGGAGAGGTAGTTGCAGTAGGCGGAGCCTGTCAATCCCACTTCGCGGTGGGTGATTCGGTCTATGGAGCGGCCTTTGGGAATAACCCCGAGGATGCCACCCAGGGCGCCTTCGCTGAGTATGTGGCCATTCCTGGCGAGCTAGTGTACAAGATTCCTCCAGAAATGTCATTTCAGCAGGCAGCTACGGTAGGCACGGGCTTGGCTACTGCCAGTCTGACGCTCTACCAAACACTCGGTCTGTCGTGGCCCAATCAGCCTGTCCAGGACGCACAGTATGTTCTCGTCTATGGCGGGGGAACTGCGTCTGGGTGCTACGTGATCCAGCTTCTTCGGCTGTAGGTTTGAAGGCTTCCATGCCATTTACCCCCAAGAGTACATGAAGCTAACCAAGTCCCATCCATAGGTCCGGCTACATCCCCGTCACTTCCCTGACCACCAGGCGCTCGAGATCCTCCAGAACATTATTCCCGCCATGGATGCCGAGTCCCGCATTGTGATTGATGACGGGGTACCTCCGGAGAAGGGGGCGCGGTGGGCAGAAACTGGAACGGACATCTGCATTATGAGTGCTCTGGGGTCGAAGGCGCGGACTCAGCGGCAGTGGGAGGAGCTGGCTGCAAAGGCCGGACTGCAGCTTCAAGCTCTCTACCAGAACACCTGGCCAGTGGTAAATGCGGCCATGATGTTTGGCCTGCAGTAGCTACCAATACGTAGAATAAATGTGCCTCTATGGACCTCGGTGTACACTTTATCTGTTGTATAATATGTTAAATAGTGTTACAGTACTCTGTAAATATCAAGAAACCGAAATGCTACTCGAATGGTCAGCTCCAAAGTATGGCTCACTATGATAGAGCGCCATTTGATCAGAACCTAATGATATATCTCATACATTGGACCCGGGTGCTGTTGTCTGCTTGGGTGCTAGTTATCTTCCCTGCATAACAGTGGGTAATTATTGTTCCTCTATCAACTCATTCTGATATCCAATCCACACAATTAAAGCTGATGTTTGCTCACAGGAGTCCTAGATATCTCTAATACACCAAGTGTAAGCCGCTCCACTCTCCTCTGGTTTTAGCATCAATTTTCTTTTTTAATTCTTTATTTCACGCCCGGGTTGGGATCCGGCCTTCGCTAGTTACTGCAGTAGAACAGGGAGAAGAAAAATTAAATAGACGGCTGCCCGGGCCTAACTACCCGACTGATCGTCTAAATGGCGACCGATCATAATCTTGGATTTTTTTATGATCCCCCTTCCCCTAAATTCTGAGAAGCATATCCATTTAGGCTGAGTAGCCGGAGGAATTTTACAAAAAGATCAGGCTAAATTTTTCAAGTTCCCCAAGCTTAGACCAACGGAGTCTCTAGTTACAGATATTGAGGATGCACTTTCCTATGAAAGCGAAGTGTCGTGACACCCTACATGTACTATCAAGGTAGAAAATATACCCAAAGCGGCAGATGCAATACAACATCTGGCAACCAAGAACCTATGCTTAGAAGCGCCCCCTTAGCTTGGATAATCTCTAGATGATCAAGGAGGTATTGTGGTCTTGCGCAATAAATCTCGTCGTACATGCCTTAAAGTCCTATCAGAAATTGTCATGATCTATGCTACGCTAGCTGAATACTTAAGCCCGGAATTAGCAAAACCAAAATTGCGCCGCATCCCCCGGATCACAGTCCATCTGACATTCCTTGTCTTGTCTTTGAATTGGGAAGTTCAAAGGACGTTAATCAGTTTACTACTCGTAGAAGGGTGGGCCTCTCAGGTTCTACCTTCAGGGGTGTTCCATGCTTTTTTGATGCTAGGCTCTTGCCCATCTTCGTGGTCGAGGCAGTGCAAAGCCTAGTTCCACTGGGCGCATCACACATATTGCAGTCATTTGGGTTCAAATGCTTCCTTGGTGGCCTCGCACCCCCTACTTTCTAAAATTCAAATGTTAGCTCTTCTACCCCAGTATTAAATGCGTCAGTGATGTCGTCAGTACCATTCATTCGAGCAAGACTATCCTATCAAAAGGATACACTACCGAGTCTCCGAATCTGTTGCCGTAGCTCAATGCCGTTGATATTGGCACTGCCGGTGCTTCGAGCCAATCAGCAGGTACAATACTGATTCGGTTGCCGCTGGTCCCCAGAACCCCTTGAGCAGAAGATGCTAATGCTGTATAACAGCAGTAATTGAACACTGTCAATAGTAGGAGGTAGGACTCGTCGTGACGTATTGATTAAAGACCGTAAAATGGTTGTACGAATAATGATGTCCTCGTGCAAGCTAACGCAACTATCCACGTGGCCAGTATGCCTATGCCATGCATGACTCCGAACTTCAACCGTGCATGTTGAGTGGTTGGCACTTTCGAGGGTTCCATAGCTTTCAATGATGTTTTCTGCAGCTCGTTGTTATAGTCTTCAAGGCAATGTCACATCCATGTCCCATGACCTTCCGTTTGTACTGACCGGTTCTGGCTTGTTTGGTACCAAGGTAGTAGGCGAGATACATAAGAGCTCTCCTTCAGCGCTACCTGGTGAAGTACAGGTGCCGGGATGACTCATGGTACTGAAAATAGTGTCCCAGTGAGGTCGAAAAATATCTTCGCCCTGCAGTGTCTCCATCCACAGGATACACTTGATGTGGACAAGAACATCATCCCAATTACTCAGCTGTAGAGAAACAACCATGGTCTGCGCTTTCTCCACAAACCACTGATAATCGGGTGTGCCGGTTGAGGCTACCATGCCGATTGCAAGAAGCCAAGCATCAAGCGAACCATATACACGAGGAGTCGATTCGAGTTGCATGAGTTGGTCTATGAATTGGATGACAATGCTATTCATCATGGCGGCATGTGAGTAATACGTTGGCCCATGAATAATAAACATGTAGAGGATGATTGCGTAGCGGATGCATTCGGTGATCGATGACGACTGAGGGCTTTCCGTGCCCGGTGCTGTAAGTAGAAGTCGGTGTATGACAAAGCAAGTGAGGTCATGAAGTCTTGTGGTTGGAAAATGGACCCGCCGCGCCTGCTGGAAGGCACTACGAAGACGGATGAAGACATTCCTGACTGCATAATCAACATTCATACCGATGAGCTCCGACGAACCATCATAATGGGTGGTGGGATCCAACTGCCATTCTGGAATAGGCGGTATGCCGTCTCCAATTCCGACATCATCTTGGGTCTCGAATTGAGGGTGGCCCATTACGATCATCGATACCCTATGATGCATGTGAATAATACACACTCAAGGTGAACAACGAGGTACTTACCAGCTAATCATCCTCGCGGTAAGCGGGCTGGTTTGCCTCACTGAACTGATACCACCTCGCATGTTGACTAGTCTTATTGCTCCGTCAACATGCATTTGACTGACGTTGATATTGCCTTTACCAAACTGAGTGGCGTGTTATCAGTAATCGAGAAGATGAGATAGAGAGATAAGATAGTCTGGGACGGAATCTCACTTCAATAGCTGCCAAGGTGATTACAGAGTTCATGGTTCCATCTTGTACCGCCAGCGATATATCTTCAACTTTGCGCCTGAGCAATGAGACAGAGTCGGCCATGAGAAGTTCCGAAGCTTGAAAGCCCTTCTGGGCCAACAACTCTTCGTCGAGACATGCTGTCTGCAGCGAGACATGAAATAGTGCCGGGTCGCCCAGAGCAAGTGGCCACCACGAGATAAGAAATGGATTTGTCGTTGGATTCAGGTCGAGCGGATAATATTGAAAGGCGATCTTGTGGATAACTGAATTCGGTAAGCCCCGCTGTCATCTACAACATTGAATGAAGCTGTACGTACAGCTGTGGATGAGACGTTGTACGCGTTCCCGGGGAAGTCTCGTCTGTGGGTATGAATCGAAAGGATCGAGAGATCCAAGTCTGTAGGCGGTTAAAGCGCCGGATCCATCGAGGGGTCTTGGTGATCCGCCATCTCCCCGCCCGGGAGCTGCCGGCAGCGCCGTCAAAGGCTCATTCGCATAGTTGCACTGGACATTGCGCTTGATACAGCGAGAACAGCGTGGCGTGCGGAGGTCGCAACTATGTTTGGATTTGGCACATGCAGTACAGGATCGGCGAAGAGTTTGGCGCATTTTGGGGAAGGGAAGTTGAGTGGAAGTGTAGGTGGAGACAGCCGGAAGACTCAGGTACAAAAAGGTACGTGCTGTCGAGCCGCGCGCCAAGAGAACAAAATACCCATAAATAACTCTTACATCCCCACTTTTACCCGAGATACAATCTGTATATCGAGTTCTCAAGTCTCAATTTCTAATACATCAAAGGCGATATGATATCACTTTCTCTCAAAAGCCATCCTTAGCTTACTTGGTAGATGATAGAATCAGCTACTTTAATATATTAGTCTTAGGAAATTGTTTGGAGTCGTCGATAGTATATATGTTATGGCTTAGCTTGTAGTTGATCCCGTTATGACGGGATCTACATATATATCTCTGTTTAAGCATGCACGGCATAGAGACTTATTACTCCAAGTACGATGAGACTCGTACACTATAACAAACATCTGATCTAAGCTGGATCTTTGTTCTCAGCGCTTCGGTCAATGGTCGCATCTTGAAGCTATTTTTTTGTGAATAGCAACATACAGGGTATATCAAACCTACAAGAAACAAGCCTATCGTAGCAGGCATCTTCTGTTTGTGAAAACACGTTCGCAATCTAGAGCTTCTGTCGATTACCGTCAACTTCCAACCTCCGATCCTCGTTTACAATAATAGATGACTGGATGACTACCATGGTTCAAGCCGCAATATAATATTAAGTGTTAGTTATACCTCGATGGGATTCGTCAGACTTCGATGCTGCTTCTAGATCTTACTCGTCAGCCATATGGCTCTAGAGTGGCCACGACTTTTTAAGCTTAACAATCCTTGTCTGCTTTGTTAAGCGCATGCTGGTTCTTAACCCGGCATAGCTTCTGATTCAGCTGCTGATTTCGTATTTTCAAAACAGGAGCGACGATCTAGGTGAGCCCTTGTCAGGTCATGTGAGCATTCCATTCTTTTTGAGCTATATGTAAGTATCTAGGTATAGAACTGTAGGTTGTTGAAGTGGACCGCCGCCTGGGGCTATATTTATTTTTATCGACATCTCGAATTTTTTACATATCACGATATGTACTAAATGATCGAGGAATTGGTTCTTCAAAAGGTTCCACTTTCCAAATTGTCCAAAGCTTTAAAACACTACATCGCTGTTGATGATGTACCGTAGAGCAATATGCGTACGTCAAAAACAACATTCTTTCGATTAGAGAGAGTGAGACGATCACATGAAGGGCTTCAGAAAGCCGAATAGGGGCATTTCGTTAGTATGGATGAGTCGGAGGCAACGGTAATATCGAGTAGGTATCTTAACGATATTCTCAGGAATCTCATAGGCAGGAAGACACTGTTACTGAGCACGCCACTTGGGCAATCACCATCCCGTGGTTGGTGGACTCTATAATTTGACAAGGATTCTACAGTAGTGTGGCCGAAAGAGGACTAGACCCCGCCGACTGTATATGTTCGATTTTCGGAGTCTAGTCCTAATGGGGTAATGTATGTACTGGGATTCGATCCCCCTCATATCGAAACTCACGCCATCACCAGGGTATTTCCCAGGACTCATAAACCAATTGGTTCTGAGAGTGGGTCGAGTCGTTCGATCTTCTCCCCGTTATGTC